TGTGATGGTCACGTTCCATACGAGTACACCGGTAGCCCGATCGAGATCACAATACCTGTCTCAGAGCTATTTTCTTAGATTTGTTTCTATGGCTCCAAAAACCTGAGGGGTTTGAAAGTAATGGAAAAGATGAGAAAATACGTATCAATTTGAATAAATTGGATGGGGCCCCCGGATCGACAGGAATCGATTCTGCCAGGTCCAAACGTAGTGATATGCGTGCAGCAAGCATCGGAATGTACATATTATCGGTATCATTTGGCGATATGAATCGGGGCGTATTTGTAGCAAGAAAAGGGATGCGAGCAAAATTCAAATAAATAAAGCAAAGTTGAGAAAAAAATGTAATAAAATGAAATAAAATGTGGAAAATGATATAAAGATGAGGAAAATGAGGAAAATGAGGAAAATCTGGGAAAATCTGGGAAAATTTGGGAAAATCAAGAGTAGTAAATGGGGCTACAAGGACCGCCAAACTGAGCCTTCACAAATGAAAAAATGAAAATGAAAATGAAAATGAAATACAAATGAAAAAGAAAAAGATTTTTTTTTTAACAAAACAAAAATAAATCAAAACTTCAGAATTACAACATTGCTTCTTGAGCCAGCAACACTTTCGAAGCACTGTCTCAGCCACAATAACGGTGTTTGAAAGCTAGAATCTCCCGAGGCATTTGCTGGTTACATTTTGGACATGGTCTGGAGTAAGTTCGGAGCGAGTATTACGGGTAGAATTTTATTTTTTTGAGCCTATTTTAGTCGATTTTACAAAATAATTAAAAGAAATGTAAATGTAGAAAAATCGACATAGCTCTAAAAAAAAAGAAAAAAAAAGAAAAAGAAAGGAAAAAGGAAAGAAAAGAAAAGAAATAAAAAACGCCCCAGACGACATGGTCTACTGAAGCAGGAGAGTCTCGATATGTGAAAAGATCCGAAATCAGAACTCGTTCTGATAATTCAGATACATATTCCAACTCAGACCGTTTCAAGAATAACAGTGAGAGTGGACTGGTCAATGTTTGATGACATTGGTGGGATATAGAGAGATGGGGTGACAATCCCGGGGTGGATGTAAGCCACCAGGAGACGTTATAATATCGCTTCCATCATGTTTGTCTAGTACTTCCCAAACAAGACAAAATGCCGATTATGCAAGATAGCCAACTTTGTTGGTAGAAAAAAAAAACAGAAAAAAAAAAGAAATAAAAAAAAAAAGAAAGAGAAGATAAGAGAAGAGAAAGAAAAGAAACACAACCAACCAATCGTTTGTCATCGGTTCAAATCGAGTCTAGAGGACGGTGGCATGTTTTTTGTTTTTCCGAACCAACTTCAAAGAGTTATGGCAAAGGAGATCATATTCCTGATTAATTCTTCCCTTACTGATAAGGGCATAGAATGATTAGGAAATGAGATTGGTGAAAATAGACCAGACAGGAATGTTCAGAAGGGCCCATTATACACATCCATGGAGTCCATAGCACTTTTCACTATCTCCATAGATTTCGACTGTACTGTAATCTATGTGCACCGATAACGTATGCTGACATGTCGATGTATGCCATGTCGATGTATGCCATGTCGATGTATGATGTGCGTCGAATGATGTCGCGTCTGAAGGTCAGACACGTGGTCCGACCAACCAGGCCACTCCTTTTCGGTTACCGGTTGTCGTATCTTTAGGGCTGTTATCTCCACTAGCGGCGATACGACCGAGAGATAAGAGATGCATGGAATGATAGACTTGAGACACGATGATACGAATACGTGAGCCAAAAGGTCCGGGGAGGGGGAGGGAGAGTGGGGTGACCAAAGTGGCTGCTCAGAATCAAATTGGCTTCTCCAAATCCAATTGGCTTCTCCAAATCCAATTGGCTTCCCCAAATCCAATTGGCTGCTCCAAATCCAATTGGCTGCTCTGCAAATCCCCGAAACTGCAGCGCGTCGAGATAGCATCTGGTGGAACCACCGGTGGAACCGAAATGGAGGGCTTGGACCAACTGATAAGATGACAGGTCGATGGGGAGTGCAGATTTTGACGGGAAATTTTGACAGGGCGTTTAGATCGCGCCTAGCGTTGTTTTTGTGCACTCAACGGGCCATTATTCTCCGTGGGAGTCAAGGGCGGAGTCAAGGGAGCCAAGGAGCTAATCATGAGCCGTGGGGGAAACTCAATTGGGAATGGTAGGGAGATAAGAGGATTAGAGAGGCGGGTGGCGGTTAGGTGATGGGGTCATTCTGTCTCAGTGGCTAGAGTGACAGAAGAATTAGAGGAGCGGAAGATCTAGAAGATGGAAGTGGAAGAGAAGAAGTGTGGAAGGAGAAGGTGATCTTCTAGATCTAGAATGAGGAGGTGGGTTCTCGTGGGTGTTTCCGAAGACGAGTATGTACTGTTGGAGTCAGGCGGTCAGGAGCGGACCTGACCAAATCAGACCAAACCAGAACGAACCTCAACCAGGAGGAGACTGGATAGTCAGTTGTAACCGAGCCAACTACAAGTAGTAGTCAGTACCACCCAGTCCCAGTAGCATTCGTAACCGCACCAATACCAACAATTGTGACTGTTGCCAAAATGCTGGTTCGGAAAAATGGACGATTCGTGACTGACACTACCCCACATTCCTTTTTGCTCGACTACCGAGGTGAGCTGCAACATGTGAAGATGTGCCGATATGACCATGCCGAGTTTATCACGGTTGTGAACATGAACCAAACCCCACAAACAAGGCGAGTAGGAGGGTTAGGGAGGGTTAGGGAGTGTTTGGTGATGAGTCAGTTGGTGATGAGTCAGTTGGTGGTGAGTCAGCCGGAAAGTAGATGAGCTAGTTCGAAAGTAGATGAGTCAGTGGGAAAGTGGATGAGTCAGCGCCAGCGCCAATCATCAGCACCAGTCGTCCATGTCACAAACTCGAACGCCACGCCAACACCGTCGTTATCGTCGTTATCGTCGACACGTGACTTGCCGAGGTTGATCCAGACTGACACAAACGCAATGCAACTGCCTCCAGAGTCGTTCGTTAATGACACAGAAAGAGTCGCCAGGGAACAAAAAGAGTGGCCACAGACTCGAACAATTTGGGACAATCGCCGACGATCCTGGTTGTGTCACCAGAACATGTGTGTCTCCAGAACCTGTTTGTGACGCCACTGACGCCCTGTTTGTGTCACTGGCACCCCGTTTGTGTCACTGGCACCCTGTCGACCCCATCCTACTCACCCAGTTCATCCCGGGCCTCCGTTTGCACCCGCGACATGACAAAGTTGACTCGTGCAGATACCCCATACTGTAGCGGCTAATAACCCCGTTGTCATTGGATCGCTCGACAGTTATCAGCGGGGAAATGGAAAAAAGAAGACAAAAAAAAAGGCGAAAAGCAGACCTACTTGTACTACAGGAAGATGACCGCGGCAATGTCGTGGGGCGGAATAAGGAGGAATATTTTTCCCTCATATTTTTGCCCTTTTTTTTGTCATCATCGCGCACACATCCACTCCCCCACGGGTCAGCAAAACCGCCATATTTTCATTGGCCAGAAACACAAACGCTTATCTGAATCATATCCGACTGCGGAACGTGACAGATGAGAGTTTGTATTATCGTGTGAGGGTCCGGAGAGAAGGGGAGAAGGATAGAAGGAAGAAGGAAGGGTAGGAGGGGGATAATGTGATTATAAAAAAAAAAAAATAGGATAAAAATGGGAAAAAAGAAATAAAGGAAATAAAGGAAATAAAGGAAAAAAAGGGAAAAAAGAGAAAAAAGGGAAAAGAAGGGAAACAGGGAAAAAAAAAGGGAAAAAAAGGAACAGAAAAAACACAGAAAAAACACCCATTCCGAACCGCAAAAATAAATAAAAATATCCACCAAACTCGCCGCATCCTCACGACAATCCCGGTCCAACTCACCTCCCCCAAACTCGGCTCGTCGTCGACTCGCACTCATCCCGACGCCAGTTGTCGACCGTTACATTATCTTACATCCTTCTGTCGACACTTCATTGGCCGATAAGATGTCTTTGTTGCGCCCAAATTTAGAAACTCTGTCGGCCAAATTAACCTCAGACATGCCCGAGTCTAATTTACGACTTGTTGGGAGAAATTCCCAATCGGCACAAACGGAGGTCCAGGAACATAAATTTGGCGGCCAATAATTTATGAGGGCCTCCAACAACCCCGACCCCCTTTCCGCCATATCTGTAGCACATCTCTATGGCTTCCAACCGGCGGTTTCCGTGCATCGGAAGCTCTCATCTGTACAATTATATATCTCCAAATTTTAAACTTTAAGTTTGGGCATGAAAATTATCAACCTTTTGGCTTTTTGGTTGACTTTGTGTATTTTAGCACTTCCCAATTTGGCACACGTTATATATATATCGTGGCACGTCCCTTGGGTCTCGGTATCGCTTGATCCAACACTACAACAGTCCTCTGTTCTATTTATTTGCATTACGATGACCGACAACATTAACATTTCGAAAGCTTCCAACGTGAGTATCAGAAGGGCGGCGGGCGACTTTGCGCCTCTGCGATTTGGTCCGGTGGTGTGGGCTGTGGTGGTGGTTTTGTGCAACTAATTTGGTGACACAGTCTGGGTGGTCGGGTGGTGGTTGCGTGCTGAGCATATCGACACTGTACAACTTGTCCGTACAGTGTGCACTCCAGACGCATCTGACGGACCTGATACATCCGACGCACCAGACGCACCAGACGCACTAGACGCACAAGATGCACCAGACGCAACCTGAGTAATACTCAGACCGCAGCCGTCATCTCGCGGGTATTTTTGCATCTGCGCAGCCTTTTTGCATCTGCGCAGCACCCATTACGCTGCACGCTGCATCGCACACCACCAAAGCGCCCACAGCCGACCACAACCGGTGACACGGAACCCTTCCCATGGGGTAGGTGATGGCGATAGGCTATCCGATACGGTTTGCCAACGTTGCTGCAGCAGATGCAGACACAGACACAAAAGCAGACTCAGGGTTCATGTCGTGGGTGACATGGTTGTCTGTGTCGCAAACTGTCACAAACTGTCACAAACTGTCACAAACTGTCGCAAAGGTCTACCGCAAGGTCTACCCCTCGCTCCTCTGACTCCCACTAACTCAGTTGTCAAAATACCTGGACCTCCCCCAGCACGGAGCTGTCCTGGCCGAGTACATCTGGATCGATGCCCATTTCAACATCCGATCCAAGTGCAAGACTCTAGACAAGAAGCCCACTTCCATCGAAGACCTCCCCGAGTGGAACTTTGACGGCTCCTCCACAGATCAGGCTCCCGGCCACGACTCGGATATCTATCTCCGACCCGCCGCCATCTACCCCGATCCTTTCCGACGAGGCGACAACATTATTGTTCTGGCCGAGTGCTGGAACAACGACGGAACCCCCAACAAGTTCAACCACCGACACGAGTGCGCCAAGCTCATGAGCGCCCACGAGAAGGAGGTCATCTGGTTCGGAATCGAGCAGGAGTACACCATGTTCGACGAGAGCGATAACCCCGTCGGATGGCCTAAGGGCGGTTTCCCCGCTCCCCAGGGCCCCTACTACTGTGGTGTCGGAACCGGCAAGGTCTTTGCTCGAGACGTTGTTGAGGCCCACTACCGAGCCTGTCTCTACTCCGGAATCAACATCTCCGGTATCAACGCCGAGGTCATGCCTTCCCAGTGGGAGTACCAGGTTGGTCCCTGCGAGGGTATCTCCATGGCCGATGAGCTGTGGATGTCCCGATACCTGCTGCACCGAGTTGCCGAGGAGTTTGGCATCAAGATCTCCTTCCACCCCAAGCCCCTGCAGGGAGACTGGAACGGAGCCGGCTGTCACACCAACGTGTCCACCAAGTCGATGCGAGAGCCCGGTGGAATGAAGCACATTGAGGCTGCCATCGAGAAGCTTGCTGCCCGACACAAGGAGCACATTGCCGTCTACGGCGAGGACAACGACATGCGACTCACCGGCCGACACGAGACCGGCTCCATCGGCTCTTTCTCTTCCGGAGTTGCCAACCGAGGCTGCTCCATCCGAATTCCTCGATCTGTGGCCAAGGAGGGCTACGGCTACTTTGAGGACCGACGACCCGCCTCCAACATTGACCCCTACCTTGTTACCGGTATCATGACCGAGACCATCTGTGGCTCCATTCCTGATGCCGACATGGTTGAGGAGACCAAGCGAGGTGAGGAGGAGGGCTTTTAAGCGCTTGTAAGCGAGTCCTAGGGCCCCAGAGGCGAAAGTGTTGTTTCAAGAAATGTAAAACGTTCTAGACGTGTATTCTAATGACCTGGTATGTGACTGGAGGAAGTTAAGTAAAGTAGATAAATGCTAACAGATTGATTGTACTACCAGTATATGTTCAGTATACAAGTATGAGTCCAAGTAGTCGCGTGATTGATCAGATAAAAATTTTCTGATTAGGTTCACCATGTGCATATCATTGCATTTAGTACACATATTCAGGGGGATAAGACGACGGGGAGTGGCTGGAGAGCGCCATAAACGGGACGGTTGGAACGGTGTGAATTTTGTGACCATTGACGTATTTTTTCTCTGTCGATTGAGTGCGTTTTTCAACCGGTTAAAATGGGGGTATAACTTGTTGTGTGTAGTTTATTTTGGATGTTGGATTGAGGGCTGTGGTTGTGTGGCATTGAGACATGTTATTTCAAATCTGAAAGTTCCGACGTAATCAGGACCGCCGAAATACCCACTGGACGCAGTTTGGAGTCTCTAGGAGATTGTTTTGACGAGTTTTTACGTCGTGGACTCGTGTAAGGTACTATTACAATAAGGTTTTGGAAAAATGTGGGGGTGGGAAAACCGTTGAGAGTAGTCTGATAAGGGTCTTTGATAGGGACAAATACAACAAGAAAAACAAAATAAACTGACAAAAATACAAAAAAAAAAGGAGCAAGTTTGGGATCGAGCAGTCGACTCGGAGTTGTAGCCGTAGCCGTAGCTGTAGAGTTGCTACAGTTTCATCTGACTGGTCGTTTGCAGGTGCACTTGTGCAGAAGAGTGCATGTTTGAGGACTTTGTGATCTATTCTTAGACCCAGTTTTAAGGAAGATGTCTCCGTCTGATGGTGGTTGTTTTTGTGTTGGTTTTTTTGTGTTGGGTTGCTGGATGTGATCGAGGCAAGCCGAACGTGTCACTTGTGTGCGTTGCGGTCACGGTCCGTTGGTTCCCTTGCTCCGTTTGGTGTCTTTGTGGTGGCTTTGTGTTCCAAGTACAAGTTTGGAAGAGTGCATGCATGTAGGGTGCATGTGCAGACGAACATATTGTTACATTTGGGTGTGCCGAGGCCGAAATAAAGTTGGTTTTGCCTTACCGAATTCAGAGCGATGATGAGACATGCAGATGTATTGATTTGGTTGCGGATATTGGGAAAATTGGTGGAAATTGTGGAAATAATAGAAAAAATGCATGGAATATTTTAGGGTCTGATGTTGAGCCACAGAGAATTTATTCGTTTCATTTTCCATCATTTTCAATCATTTTCTGATCATTTCATTTTTATATATTGTTATATCGATTTAATTTATTTCTACACGGCTTGTCAATCTCGTTCCCGAACGACTGGGTTTGCTTCTTCAGCCTCTCCTGCCCTCGTGGTCTTCGCAACAAGGTTTCTAGACATGTAAGACTTGGTCTAGACTTGTGACTATTACTCGATCATTTATTGAGTATTTCTGGATTTATTTTTTTCAGAATAATTAAAATAATTATAAATGGAAAACAAAAACACGCAAATGAACCCTGAAAACACTGATGCAACCAGAATACCGCCACAATACAAAACAGCAACGTTACCTCACTCTGGTGCGGCTGCAAAAATATGAGTCTATCCGGATAACCGGGTCACTACTGTAGCGTGATTAGTCTATGTTTAGCACGTAACCAGAGAGACTTGTACAGTGAGTTGTACAGTGGCAATGTCGCTTAGTAACATGCTGTAGTAGTCAGCACGATTGTGTGATTACATAACCCAGATTACCCTTCGTCCAAGACGATGACATAATCGGCTGCCTGCCTACATGGCTTCTGTTCCTGGAGCTGCACACTCCTCTACCTGGCTGGCTTCTGGAACAACAAATGGAAGTGTGCAAATAAGGCTTTGTTATTTGTTACAAGCCGGAAGTTTAAAATAAAAAGTTTAAATGAGTCATCTTTAATAGCGCACGGGACTAGACCTCAACACCTTGGAACATCGTGAAAAAAATCGATTTAAAAAACTAAAAGGATTAAAAAGTTCGAAAAAATAGAAGAAAAAAAACCCCAGATCGAATGGAAGCAATACAATACAAACAACAGTCTTAATTAATAAATGATATTAGTGAAAAATTCACAGGGAAAATCCCGTTAGTAATAAATAGTGCCTGAGGCTTTTGACACGAGTAGTGTATGGGGTGACGAAACGACGTCACATGATGAATGTTGAGGAAGTAATCCTCTTAATTGGTCATGGTGGTCTTGAGCTTGGCCCAAACACGACCGGGCTCCGATCTCACGGCATGCAGAGAGTTTCGCGACTTTTGACTGGAGTTGGAGGAGTTGGAGGCGTTGGAAAACATTCGAGTAAGTCGGTTTCCCTCCTTTTCGGGCTCCTTCTCCTTCTTGTGATTAGTGACCTTGTTTCCCAGTCCTCCTCGACCCACAGAATACACTGGAGGCACATACTCATAAGCTGTGTAGCACTCCTCCAGGTACTCCTCAGGAGTGTCGGGCATCATCTGACTAATCGGACGTCGATTGCCATAGCCGCCTCGACCAGTTGTGAATCGCTGATTAGGTGACGAAAAGGACAAAACAGGAGCCAGAGTACTGGGTACAGAGTCGCATTCAGCCGACGATGATTGTTGGGGCTGAAGATGAGGTGAAACGGGGGAAGTCTTGGGCGACAGAGATTGCTGCTTCTTGGACACGTGATTGCCGTATCCTCCTCTTCCGGTGAGAACCATTTTCGATGCTGTGTTTTTGTGATGAAGGGTGTTCGTGTAACTTGGTAGGAATAAAGCTAGAGATTTCGGGGCTGTCGGTAAATATGTACTCTCAATTTGAGGGCAATTGTGGGGGTGACGCAATGCATTCTCCACATTGCCCCAGAACTCAATTTGAATTTAGGGTTGATTAAAAAGTTGGAGGTGTGGGTTGGGAGAAAGGGCTAGGGCAGGGTACTGAGTTGGGGCAGAAGGCTAGGGGAAATGTCCGGGTTGGGGAATTTGGGTTAGGGGAAACACGCGTATTGGGATATCCAGGCTAGGGTTCACTACCGGACCCAGACGCAGGGCTAGGGCACCTGCCACCAGCGCTGGGCACGGTTCTCGGCACTGTTCTAGGTCCCGTTGGGATGTAAAAAATGTCCCAATAGAGTTCAGACCAGCGAACCGAGTCATGTACTAAAATGATCTAAAGGAGGGTAACAAACGGATCGATTGCAGCTAGAGGAAGGTGGGGGAGCAAGGGTGATGGGATCGGTGCAACGTGGATGTTGTGACGTGACAAATGACAGCCACAGCCACAGCACGCACGACATGACATGACCACGGTGGTCACCACGGAGGTCACCACGGAAGTGACGTGGTCACCACAGAAGCAATGTGGTGGGCACATGGACATCCACACATTGCGACATGACGCTTCAGAGCTGTTAGTCATGTGACGTCAGTCATGTGATGTGGTGCGATGCGGTGCACAGCATGAGCAATGATGTAAGCTCACATGAACAAATGACGTAAGCCACTGACGTACACGCTGACATAATCGGCTGACATAAGTCACAGACATAATCCGCCGACATGATCTGCTGACATAATCTGCTGACATAATCTGCTGACATAATCTGCTGACATAATCCGCCGACATAAGCCACTGAGTACACCAACTTCCTCAGCACCACCACAACCACAACCAACACCATCACCTTACCGACCGGCCAATCCCTCACATCTCCTTTGGGTATCAGCGCAGTATCTCAGCTCGTCGTTATTTATCCATGCACATCCCTCCGTCTTCTTTATATCTATCCTGCTCCCTTTGCCTTATCTCTGTAGATAAGTGGATAAGGCTTTTGATTGGCTGGGAGAAAATCATGGAGGAGATATGATATCGACCAATGGGAGCGTTTGAACAAACCCTAACCCAGGAAATTTGGATCGGTCGTCCCAAAAGGGATTCGAATGTTAGGGTTAGGGCTGTACTAATGGAGTTGCATTGGTGTGGAATATCTTGCCAAAAATTGTATATTTACAAAAAGGCTTGGAAAATTAAAGAACAGTAATCAGCTGTGTTTGTTGGGTCTCAGATGATTGATTGAACAATGGATCATGTGACTACTTTTCTTCTGAATTATTTCGGAGCTCCGGGCATTTTTGTAATGGTTGCAGAAATGTGTCTGAGATTAGTTTCGTGTGCAGTAGGGATAGGGCTATTCTATGTTAGGGGTTGGTCCATGGTGGGGCCATTTTTGACAATTTTGGGCGAGATTTTGGGAGAATTTTGGGGGTATTTTTTTTGGCCGTGTGTTTAGTTTTCACTTTGATTCTCAAATTATTATTCCATTTTCGGCCATCTGAATTTAAATTTGTGTCAGTTGAAAAACGGGGATAATGGGGCTAACAACTAGATGGAAAAGTGGATAAAAAGTGGCGGAAAAATATGGAAAGTACCCCATATTTTTGTGTCACGTGATTCCCTTATTTCTGCTTTTTTGTTCAATGTTTTTAGTAAATTTCTACGCCTTATTTATCATTTTTAAATTTTATATATAATTTTTCAATACAATCCAACCCCCCCGGCACGTGTCAAACTCGTTGGAATTATGCACGAGTTCAGGAGAGCCGCGGGAGCGCGCAGAATAACAATGGAAGACAATAAAACGTTGTGCTGTATGTTCGTTTCGAGTTTCTGATTCATTTTTGCCTCAAAGTGGTTTTTTGGGGCGGTTTTCGAATTTTTCCTATTTTTCGAAGTAATTTGATGAAATTCGGAATAATTCACAGAAATTCATATTCCCCTGGATTTTTGTCGAATGAATTCAGAGAAACTTTCAAAGCCATCGTGTTGACGATCTGAATCTACAGAGATCATAATCTCTGGAATTGCCCACAATTTCGATCCCCTGAGAGATTAGGACCATAGTTGATTTGGTGGGGAAAAATATAAAAAAAGAATATTATAAAATAGACGTGCAAATGGGCGTTTTTAAAAACGAGGAAAAATACCAAAAATATGAAAAAAATCATGTAAATGGTCTAAGAAATTCGCATAATATTATTATTGCATCCATATTCTGATCACATGATTACATCATAATCTGTTGTTTTAATAAAGAATTTTATTTGTTTTTGAAAATAAGGTTTGTGTATGGGAAAAAGGGCTGGGTGGGAAATCCATTTGGACCTTACTTGTACATCTGAATCACGAGTTGGAGACGACGTGTTGAGATTGCGAGTGATTGAATCGAGCCGCGAGCCGCCGCCCAGCAAATCACGTGACCGACCGAAAAGCGACATAGCACACATCACGTGAGCGACAGACAGCGACACAAACACCCATCACGTGACCGCCCCATTGTGCGACACAAACACCAGTGACGCAAATCCTACAACCCGACACAAAACCAACCACAACCGACACTAAAACGACACAAAACCACCATCAACACCGACACAAATACGACACAAAAACAACGACAACACCATGGACTCGCCATCGTCGTTTAACACCGCCACCGGCCGATCTCGGTCGTCGTCGGAGGCCGACCCCGATGTTCATGTTGCCCAGTTCCAGACCTACAATAAGTATGTTGAGTCTGTGGCGGCAGGGGGTTCTGTCTCTTCTTCGCCGCCCCATCATGGATATGACTCTGTCACCGCCACTCCAACCATCAATGACGTGGCCTCTCCCACCTCTCCCTCCAGCATGTACTCTGATTATGGTCGAATGACCCCCGGCAACACTCCTGGAGGAACTCCTGGAGGCACTCCGGCGATGAGTGCAAACGGAACCGGCGCCGGAGACACGAACGGGGTCGCCACAAACACAAACAGAGGGGGCCACGATCCCCGCGACCTCCACGGCCTCCACGGCGTTGGTGGTCGAGAAGAGCCGGGTTCAGCAATTGGACTCGGGTTCGCAGGGATTCCCCGATCTGGACTTCCGTTCAATTACGACGCCGAAGTCAGGCATTATGAAGATGATGGAGATGAGGGTGAGGATAACGCGGGTGAGGTTGACATCGGTGATACAGGTGACATGGGTAACATGAATGACGGCATTGACGACGACGACAGTTATGCTAATCACATGATCGCCAACACCGACAGCACCGACAGCACCGACAACACGTCCCACGTGACCCCCGTTACCTCCCATGCACCCATATCTTACCCCCCGTCGCCCATCCCCGGGGCCTTTCCCGACATTGACTCGGAGAAATACACCATGGGGGCCAACGTGAGCAGCGACCAAAGTGACATTCAGAAGTTTGTGAGCAGTCACGACCCCACTCACGTGAGCAGTCCTGGTCGTGGCGACGTTTCTACGGGCAACGTTTCTACGTCGCTGGGCCACTATTCGCCCGCCACTCACGACTCGGACGTGGATCACGTGGAGTCTTCTCCGGGAGACTTTGGAGTCCGCGAGTTGGAGCGTGATCTTCCACGTGACGAGTCCACGCCAGCGACATATGCCATTGGAGGGGCTGGGGATGGAGTGTCTGGGGATGGAGGGGCTGAGGATGGAGTGACTGGAGGGACAGGAGTAACTGGAGGGACAGGAGTAACTGGAGTGACAGGAGTGACAGGAATGTCTTACGGAGCACTCGCTGATGCTCGTGCTCCGGACTCTCCTTCTCAGTCCCGCGTATCGCGATTCTCCTTTTCCGACCGTTCACCCAGCAAATCCGACGTGACCGGCCATTACAGATCGCACTCGCAGACAGGCAGCTCTCCCAACAAGGCCGCCACGCGCAAACTGCACAAGTCCAAGGTGTCGCAGACCTCCATCGAGTCCTTTTCGCTCCCTAAAGGAGATGAGAGTAGAGAGATTAGTCCTGAGACTGATAAGAAGTTGGGTGAGTAGTAACAAACCAGACGGCAACCAGAAGCTATGCTCTTGGTTGCCGGTGGTGGAATCAGATCAGAGGTACTGAAAGCGCCTCTGATTTGGATTGACGGAATTTGGAAGCACAAAGTGATGAAGTGATTGAAGTGATTGAAGAGATGGAAGTGGTTGGAGTGCGACTTTTTTTGCGACTTTTTGAGGCTCTCTACGACTTCTGATTTCTTCTGATTACTCTATTTGGTTGGAAGTCATACTTTGGTACACAGAAGCAGTTTGGCAGTTTTGGCAGTTGACTCTTTTCCGACTACTGGTAAAAATAGCCAACTGCCGGTACTTCTGCCTGTGGTTTGATTTACTGGAATGATCACAAGCAGGTTTTGGTGTATTTTGGTGTCTTCCGGTAGCATTTTGGGGCCTCTTGAGGGCCCTTGAGCGCAGCATCACTATGATGACAGAGGGGGAAAGAGCTGTATTGTCGGATAGTGCTGCATTTGACGCTACCTGAGGGTGAATTGATGGAGTATTTGGCCCAGAATGGTATCAATTCTGAGGTTTGGCAGGTAGGGAGTCTGTGGAGAGCCTGAGTCACTATCTGTCCGTTGACATACTGTCTCTCAAAATGTCTTCAGAATGTCTTCAGAGCCTCCCACAGCCTCTCAGAATGTGTTTCAACCTGCCACTGCCACATCTTCCTCCATATCTTCCATTCATCACCAGTTCCTTCTTTTTCTTTTCCTTTTTTCCCTTTTCTCTTACTAACACAGACGCCCCCATTGAATTCGAAACCACAATCATCGACCCCGCCGAACAGACGTCGCATCACGTGAGCGAGAGCCGCCCCACACACCTCTCGTTCTCGTCATCGTCGGAGTCACCACGTGACCAGTCACGTGAGCAATCATCACGGGACGTGTCAGCGTCGCCCGTATTCCCCAAGCGGCAGCAGTCGTTGCTCCGGCTCGACGAACACATGGCCGGCGGCGCTGGGGAGTCACGTGACGAGCCACATGGCGAACCATCTGACGATGCCCACAAATCGCGCGCGTCGTCCACGTCGTCGTCGTCCTCCTTTGGCCAGTCGTGGAACCAGTCGTCGGCTTCTCAGCGAGCCAGTGTCTCCAGTATGGGTGGAGTAGATGTGGCTCAAAAGCGGCCAGGACCCTCTTCTGGAGGACTCACGGGAGCATCAGCGGCTTCTGGAATGCCCCCAGCGCCTACTTCGCAGGCGCCTGCGATTCCACCCATCACTCCACAGATGCAGACAGGCGCCTTTGAGCAGTACACTCCACAGACTGCTCCACCGATCCCAACCCAATCCCAGCTGGGTCAAGATGGCCGAAAGAGGGCAGCGACACTGGATCGGCAGCAGCAGTATGTCCCCTCCTATGGCTATTCAAGCCCTGCTAACGGAGAAAGGGGTGGACCTACCGGAGGTACTCCAGGAGGTACCCCAATGTCTCCTGGAGGAGTGGCTCACGTAACCTCTCCTGGAGGGGGCCCATCGGCGGCGTCAGTTCACCGGTCGTTTTCCACCACCACTCCGCACGCGCCAACGAAAAACTCACGTCGGATCGTGTCCACTTCCGCTGCTCCAATGCGCAAGCAGATTGACGACGCCAACGCCGCGTTGGGTCGCGCGGTGGACCCGTCACGTGACTCACAGCCCATGCAGTCTCGCGACAAGCGCTCCAAGTCGATCTCTTCACGGGGCGGCATGAAGGGCGTGTTTTCGAACCTGGTGTCTTCCATGGGCACTCTGAGTCGAAAGAACACGACTGTGCGGCGGTCTGAGTCTGACACGAGCGCGCCATCGACGCCCAAGATTTCGGGGCCCTACGACGCCAAACACGTGACCCACGTGGGGTTCAACTTCGACACCGGCGAGTTCACTGGACTACCCAAGCCGTGGCAGAAGCTGTTGTCGGAGTCCGGCATTTCCAAGGTCGAGGCCGAGCAGCACCCTCAGGCGGTGATGGACATTATGGCCTTTTACACCGATCAGAAGGACGACGGAGTTTGGCAGAAGTTTGGGGGAGCCAATCAGGCCGGTTCTGGGGCTACTGCTACCACGCCTTACAATGCCCAGAACGGCTTTTCTCCCATTGCGTCTCCTGGCGCCACCACTCCTACTCTGGGAGCGCTTAATCTGGGCACTCCTCTTAGTGTGGATCTGGATACCGAGGGTGATACTAGTACCAGCACTGGCGGTGGAGGTGGAGTCGGAGGGGGAGACTATTTCGCCAAGCCGCGGTCTGCTCCCTTTCCTCCAGCAGCTGGTGGTGGTTCTGCGTCGTCTTCTACCGCCACTCTAGGCACTGGAGCTACTGCTAGTGGTGGCGCCACGACTGCTACGCCCGCCATTCCCTCACGTGACCGAACACGTGAGTCGTCGTTGTCTTCGGGGACCTCGAACCAGGGGCCTCCCGTCACCCCCCTCGCTCTCTCTCAGTCGAGGCAGAATCTTCGGGAGGAGGCGCCGGCAACTCCCGAGGAGAAGCCCCTGGCGCACTTTGTGGCGTCCAGAAAGGCTCCTCGGCCGCCCTCCGCGTCTCCAAAGAAGACCGGTGGTGCTGGGGCATCTGGCGATAGTGGTGCTGGAGCGGCTCCTCCTTCGGCTGCGCCCAAGTCTCCTCCTCCGCGACCTCCGCCTGCGCCTCCGCTCGGTGTTCCTTCGGTGCACGCTCCAAACTCGGAGTATCGTCAGAAGATGATTACTCAGCTGGAGGCGTTCAACGCGAAGCGGCAGCAGGAGCGGGCAGAGCGGCATGCGCAGAAGCAGAAGCTCGCTGCAGCGCATGCTCAGGCTGTTCAGCGGCAGCAGCGGCAACAGCAGCAGCAGCAGCAGCAGCAGCAACAGCAGCAGAGTGCTCAGCAGGGAGCTATGCCTTCTGTCATGCCCCAGATGCAACACGGGTCGATGCAGCAGGCGCAACAATCTGTTTCTGGCGGTTCTTCGGGTCTGACTCCCCAGCAGAAGCAGCTCATTCAACAGAAACAGCTGTTGGAGTTGCAGAAGGCGACCGGGGGCCAGGTTGGCGGTCCGGTGACGTCATCCACACAGCAGGTTCTTAGTAATCCTGCTGCTGCTGCGGCGGCGTCTCAACGAAAGCGGGAGCAGCGACTACGAAAGGACCAGCAGGTGGTGGCTCGTCTGAACCAGATTTGCACGCCTGGCGACCCCACCAAGCTGTATCGCAACCTGGTGAAGATTGGCCAGGGCGCTTCTGGCGGCGTGTTCACTGCGTATGAGGTGGGCTCGAATCTGTCGGTAGCCATCAAGCAGATGAATCTCGAGCACCAGCCCAAGAAGGAGCTCATCATCAACGAGATTCTGGTCATGAAGGACTCCAAGCACAAGAACATTGTCAATTTCATCGACTCGTACCTGCACGGCGGTGATCTGTGGGTGGTGATGGAGTACATGGAGGGAGGTTCTCTGACGGATGTGGTGACCTACAACATGATGACCGAGAGTCAGATTGGTGCCGTGTGTCGAGAAACGCTTCTGGGACTGCAGCATTTGCATTCCAAGGGCGTGATTCATCGGGATATCAAGTCGGACAATGTTCTGTTGTCGATGCGGGGCGAAATCAAGCTCACGGACTTTGGTTTCTGCGCCCAGATAAACGAAAGCAATCTCAAGCGGACCACCATGGTGGGAACTCCCTACTGGATGGCGCCCGAGGTGGTGTCTCGAAAGGAGTATGGTTCCAAGGTGGATATTTGGTCGCTTGGAATCATGAGCATTGAAATGATCGAAGGTGAGCCGCCCTATCTCAACGAGTCGCCTCTGCGAGCCCTCTATCTCATTGCCACCAATGGAACTCCTCAGCTCAAGGAGCCCGATGCTCTGAGCACGATTTTCAAGGCGTTTTTGGCCTGGGCGTTGCAAGTGTCTGCGGACCAGCGAGCCAGTGCTTCCGAGTTGCTCAAGCACGAGTTTTTGCTCACTGCCGACGATGTGAGCACTTTGGCGCCGTTGGTCAAGGCCGCCCGAATGGCCAAGATTCAGGAGAAGAATGAAAAGGCTCAGAGGTAGAGACCCTGTTGGTATTGACTCACTTTGACCAGGTTGGAATATAAATAATGACGATGATTGGATATGTGATGTGATATTATAGTAAGAAGAGACCATTCAGGTTCAGCAAAAGAAATCTTATAGAGGAACGAGTTGGTGCGATTTTGAGCTGTGATAATCTCTCAGAAGAGATTGAACATATCCTGGAGAAAATGGTGACATTCCAGGGACAATTGGAAGACATCATTTTGTTTAGTTTTGTCTAAAGAATCAGCTTGTAGTAAACAGTCCATTGTCATTGGGTCAATATTATTCGTTTTGAAGGTCACGTGTTGTCCTCTGGATACGATACGTTGACGACACGACGTCAAACAAACACGTAATATGGAAAATCGAGTCACGTGAGCTTTGAAATGTGAAAATATAACCTCTTTGGAGTCGTCCAATTCACTTTGCTTAGTAATAGCTGCTATCTTGGCCATTGGACACGAGAGGTTCACATGGTACTACAAGTAGGACTACGAGTACTCTTACGTAGCTGGAAACTTGATGTAGAAAAAAAGAGAATTTGTTGGTATTGTAGAGAATCATTGAATTAGTCCATTAATCAACTTATCTTTTTTATCTGAGCAGTATATATGTGTTGAGGTTGATTTTTAGCTAAAAAAATATAAATAAATTAAAAAAAAACAAAAAAAAACAACGAAACAAACAACAAAACAAAAAAGTGTCCAGCTATTCAATTTTGAGTCTGCTGGCTGTATTTTATTACTGGAACGAGTCATGTGACCTTATAGGGGATCTAGACTCGGTCACATGATCCCGTAGTCACATTAATCTGCAATTTTTCACCGACTGTTTACCTCCGTATCTTCGTATCTCTACTTGTACTTATAAGCAAGGTATTGGCCACATGACTTCATATATCAGGTATGTATTCAATATATTCAATATAAATTAATTAGCTTCTATCTATTATTTATTATGTATTTATTTTGTAGATCAATTCACGCCATTTTTATCAAGTTGTGTTCCGATCTCAGTCCATTAGTTGACATTTGAGGAAGTAGGTGATATTCCAGCCAAACGTGACTCTTCATATGGAATCGTATCATATCAACATGTGTGAACATGTCACCGCGCGAGAAAGGATCTTTTTCAACTGATCAAATATAACGAAGAGCATTGCAGTTTTCCTGGAATGAGTCTGAGTTGACGTATGATGCCAGAAGACACTCGATGGTCGTAGAGACATGAGTTCAGAGCGATCAGCATGGGTCTTTCTGTCAGCAGTTTTCTGCAGTAGAATCCATCATGAGAGGTGTTAGAACTCTTTGGTGCAGAAAACCATCAACCCTCGAGTGGTACCCATAGCACGAACGGTTGGCGAGGGTTGGTAATCCCGAGAGATGCAATGGGGTTATTCAGAGACTTCCATTTAGTGGACGAGGACCGCGGGAGAGCCGAGAAACAGCTGATTTACGCCCGAGAAGTGCGACAAGTATCAACAGGAGCTCTCTGGTGCTGATCACGTGCAACATCGCAGTGACCTGTTCATTCCGTTCAATCTAATCCAGAATTCCAGTCATTCGGGTGGTCTGAGTGGGTCCCATTTCGGAGACCGGATCCGGGTCGTTCAGATCGTCATCGAGAAACAGCGGTTCTTCCATCTCCAGATTGTCGTCGGCGATTTGGTCGTCGGCGATTTGGTCGTTGGTGGCTCCAATTTCCTCATTAGTGGGTCCAATTTCCTCGTTAGTTGCATCAGCTCCAACCTCCGCCGTCTCCGGATACAGAACGGTGTCGTCGTAGTAGATCTGGTCCTCGTTGACGTTATCATCGACCGTTTCTGCCACCGAACTGTTGGTTGAACTGAACCGTCGCATTTTAGCCGGAGCAGCCGCTGCTGACCCGTCTCTCGACTCGTCTCTGCTCAATTGACGACTGGCGACCTTTCGCTTGGAGCGGGCCAGAGTCGCGGCCGACGTCATATTCATGAAATGGAGTACACACTCGACATCATGGGGTCCATTGAGGGTCTCGGTCACCAATTCGAACCGCGCAGGGGTGTTTTCGTCGCCAAATTGGCACAGAATGGTGCCCAACAGGGACTCGGACAGACTCAAAAAGTGCCGCAAATCCACCATGGGCATGGCCACCTGGCCTCCATGGGCCGAGAGATCGTCGAAAATGTTGGCGGAGATCTTCAATCGACTGTTGACCGCCTGGCGAATAACCCGGCCGCGAATATTCTTGATTGGAGCCGTCACCGACTTCATAGACACGGCATAATGGGTGTTTTCCCCGCCAAGATGCTCCTGGTCCATGGCATCCCATTTGATCTCCACCTGCTCGCCCTTGAGATGCTCGACAAACTCGCGGAACCGGCGCGAATGGAGCGCAAACGACGACGTATAGGCGCCATCGGGAATGACAGGAACGGACCGAAGCAGCTCGTAGGACAGAAAATAGGTGCGCTTGATGTGATTGACGCATTCGGATTGCACAGAAACCGTGTGGTCCTCCAGAACAGTCACATGACACTCCTTGACCGACGGGTCCTGCTCCATGCGCTTGGAAATGTTGAAAATGCCCTTGTTGGCGGTGCGGAAAGTGAGCCGCTGGCGACTCTCAAAGCGGCTGAAAAACCCCGGCAAAAAACTGATGGTCATGTGACTCAGACCCGACGCGTTCATCACCGACAAATTCAGGCCCTCCGACGTCACCTCCCACGTGAGATTCTCGCCGATCCGAGAAACAGCCGTGATTGCCCGGTTCCATTTCTTGATGCTCTCGTGATCGAAAGAAAACGCCATTTGCAACGACGCCGTTTGCTGGCCTGTGGCGCGTGTTGTGTGTTGTTCTGCTATCGATTCCGACGCGTGATCTATATATTAAAAATAAATAAAATCGCGGTGCACGTATTTTTAAAGTTTTTTCCTTTTCTCTTTTTTTTCCTTTTTTTATTATTTTTATTTTTTGGCGATGACAAACCTGAAAAATGGAGCTGTTGGATATTGGAGGGGCTCATTGGATAGGGAATCTTGCGGAGATGACGGTAGATCTTTTTGATTTCAATTGTGAGGTCCCGAGGTCGTTTCTGAGTGACATATTGGACGTAACTCTCTGAATAATGTGTAAGTCTTTGGCTGACATGTTTACTTAAGATGAATGTGTCCCATAGTTGGAGATTAGTTAGAATCTGGGACGTAGTCAGGTTTTTTGTTTAAAAAAACATAAAAACATAGTGTGGACAGAGATGTGACCAGGACAACTAATAGACATCAAAGTACGGCATAATTGCAGGAAAATAACGACAAAAACACGGTGAAGTGATTTATATGTTTTCCTTCTCTGTAATGTCATTATCTATCGAGATTTCAGCTACACAAACATCACTAACTCAGGACAATTGATTAGTATGCACTTTACTTACCGTGACAGAGTAAATCAACAAAAAAGTCACTCTACTTGGCGAGAATACTTTTCGCGCCATGTGTCCACCGAGGTCACGTGTCTTATTTGTTGATTTCAACGCATCTGAGCTCTCTTTGGCGGCTCACCTGCTGCTGCTGTGTGCTATCTGCGACTGTCTGTGGCTATCTACTGGCCCAATGACTCGCAATAGTGCCTCCCACTACCACACAAGATCCTGTCTTGCCTCCAACCCTTGCAACGACACAAACAAAGCAAACGCCTTCATCACCGGCGGTTCCGGCTCCTCTCCCGACGCCTCGGCATCTTCAGCGTCGAGACAGTTGATTCCGGGAGCCGACACGTTGTAAAACGGAGTCACATCGTCACAGGCGTATTTGGCGGCATGGAATCCGAATCGCTGAGGTTGAGACAGTTGGTGAGTCAGAGGAAAGATTTCGTTGGTGAACATGTTCCACATCAGCTGCTTGTTTCGGTCCCGGGTGCCCAGAAAAGCGTAGCCGTCACAGCCTATATACAGGCAGTACTTGATTTTGAGGGGGCGCGTGGAGCGGCTGTAGATAACAGTGGTAGGTGGTTCTGGACCTCTTTTCGATGTTGTATCCGTCCCAGCCTCCGAACCATTGAGACATACCTGAACGCAATTGAGCTTTCGCCTGGAGAAAAAGTAAAAGAGACCGTTGAAACACACCACCGGCTTTTGACACGTGAACAGCAGCCTGAGTCCTCCTCCGGTCACGTGGAAAAACTCCCCATAGTGGATATCTCCCTCTGGTTCAATTTCGTCAATGATATGGAGAAACAGGTGCGATCCAGACGTCAGCAGGCGATACTTTTGACACACTGGAAGAGATGTGTTCACGTCGGGCTCCAGACCAGGCGAGTTTCGGTACTTGACCACAAGAATTCCTCTGATCATGGTAGTCACGTCCTGGTAGATGACCAGAACAGCCAGCAGTTGAGGCAGGGACAGAATCTCCTGGAAGTCCGGAGCACTCCAGACGTCCACGTTGGCAAAGGAGACTTGGATTCCGTACTTGCTGGTGTACACGGAGGGTTGCGATGGTGAGAGGGATATTCGCAGGAGTTGGGACGACTGATCTGGGGTCAAACTCTTGCTGAAGTTGAATTCACCATCGTCAAGGCCATCTCCAGGTCTATACTTTAACCATGGCGCAAACGTCTTTCTGCTAACTCTCCAAACGAACTCCAGAGCACACTCTTTCCAGGTCTTGTATTGGCTCGTCTGGGGCTCGAACCACGGACATAGGGAGCTCATTCGGGAGCGGAAAACGTCCTCGGAAACCGCATATCTCCATGACGAGCTCGTTTGAGACAAAGAGACGATCGACGCCATGTCCAGATGACTAGCGATGAGCTGAACCAGTTCCGACGGGAGCATGACAATGGGGTGTTGGCAATGGGACGGAGGGGTATGAGAAAGACCCAATCAACAGTTGATCGGGCTTGGGTATAATCGGTGCTATTTCAGGTCGATGTTTCAGGTCGACGTTCAGATTGGCGTTTCACACTGGTGATGGTGTAGTGAAATGCTTCGCCTTACAAGTGCATGCATGCACATCAAGTGCAAAAGCCTTGCCCAATCCATGAGCTCTCGAATAGCACAAAAAATGACCAAAAAGGCCAGAAAAACAAGGCCTGGCCGAGATTTATTTCATATGAGATATAAATCCACTCGTGGTAAAAAATACATATCCCTTTTGTACCCATAATACAACCCTCCGAGCCCCCCAAGATTCCCCCAAAGTCTTTAAGCTCAGTTTCAGCCGCATCATCTTGTTATGTGGAAAATCAGACATGACGCACACAAAATTCGTGCTAGAAAGCTGCTAGACATCTGGAAGAGATTTTAATTTGTTCAAATATCTCCAATAAATACTTATTAGAAATCTCAAGATATTCGATAGACCCTATCAACTACATCGAGGACGGTAAATTTCAACACTTTTAACTAACAACTTTAGTTGAGTCTACTTAGTGAATACTTAAATAAAAAAGTTGGCTGGGGGTGCCATTCCAACGATCCAAAACTCCCACAGACATAAAAAGTATACAATTGAAAAACCAATACTTTGTTTTTCAACAAATATCGACAAATAATCACCCCTTTCAGTACGATTGTTTCGAGATATCAGAGTTATATATACCCAGCTATAAGTGTAATTAGTTGGAAATATACTTATAAGTACTTGGAAAATCTATAGAGTTCAAATGTGTTACAAAATAATTTTAAAATAAAACCATCAAATCAGTAACTTGAACTGAACATTCTATAGGAACATTTTCTACTACTACTCTCTCCAAATACAACAGTGAATTTTTACTGTATTAACCTATACACGTCTCTCAAGAAAGACGTGATACGTATCCTTGCCATGGGGGCTCGGACAACCCCGGGAGGCAGCTAACAGCCGCGCGATTCACACGACTAAGCCTCACGACTATGGAAAAGAAAACATTGTGCAATGAACTCCTCCAGGGCCGTGTATTTACAATCTATTTAACGTCGCTTGGTTCCCTGACGCTTGTTAGAGTCTCTGTTTCCGGACGAGCCGCTTCCGCTACCGCCACCGTTGCTGGTTCCAGAGCCAGAGCCGGGCTTTCGGCGCTTTCGCTCGTCGATGATGATGGTCAGATCGCCGACCTTGAGCTCCCGCAGCTCCAGAGCCTTTCGCAGCGTCTGGGCGTCGTTGAAGTCGACAAAAACGCTGTTCCTGGACTTGGTCACCTCGAAGTGTGAGATGCCGTTGCCAATCTTCTTGAGCGCGGCCTCCACGACCGCCAAGTCTGTGTTGCCGTCCACGCCCTTGATGTATGCCGAGTGGAAGGTTCCCTTTCGGTTGCCGGCGGCCGAGGAGGCGGAGGACGTGGTTGCGGCCGCAACAGTGGGAGAGCTGGAAGGCTCCTTTTTGGCTACAGCAGCGGCAGCCACGGGCGAGGGGGTCTCGGCGGGGGTAGCAGAGCCCGCGGGAGCAGGCTTGTCAGAAGACCGGGCTCGGGCAGCCCAAGAGATAGGTCCCGAGGGCTTGGTAGGCTCAGCGGGGGCGGAGGTGGCTGCAGCAGGGGGGGCGGCAGCAGCTGTCTCCTTCTTGGGCTCCTCCTTGGTCTCAGGAGCAGCGGAAGCAGCGGAAGAAGAAGAGGCGGCAACAGGAGTGGCCGGAGTAGCAACAGGAGCAGCAACAGGAGCCTCCTTCTTGGGCTCATCCTTCTTGGGCTCCTCCTTCTTGAGGGCCTCCTCCTTCTTGGGCTCCTCCTTCTTGGTCTCCTCCTTCTTGGGCTCCTCCTTCTTTGGCTCCTTCTTCGCCTCAACCTCCTTCTTGGGCTCCTCCTTGACGTCCTCCTTAGGCTCCTCCTTGACATCCTCCTTGGCCACCTCTTCGTCGTCATCCTTCAGGAACCGGAACACGTCGCTGTAGATGGAGTAGTTGGTGCCGCTCTTGCTTTCGAGAACAACGGACTGCACAAACTTCTGAGGCACGCCATCGTCGGTGGACGACATCTGGCCGATGATCTGGATCAGAATGGACTTGTTGGGGCCCTCCATGGCGTCCAGGCACGAGATGAGCGTCTTGCAGCCCTTGGTGTGCAGCTGGCTAATCCGCTCCTGGATGCTCTCTGTGCCAGAGATCGCGGCGGTGTCGTCCTGCTCCTTGCCGTGCAGCAGCTTCGCATCGACGTCGTAAAAGTGGTGCAGCTCGCTGGGGTCCGAGTGCAGTCGCTTAAAGTACTGCGACACAAACAGCCATGCAATCTGTTCAGCGGTGGGGGACATCTGGGTTAGCGAGGTGAAGAAAAGTGCAAGTGCGGATCGCAGGCGAGGTCGTAAGACGGGAAAAAGACACTATTGCTCGTCAGACTGGGTGCAAGAGACCAGCTTTTGTGTATGACAGCAGCAGATCTGTAGTGGAGATGCAGTATTGGGATCACAGATGTGGGTCTGTCGCCAGCTCACTAGCGATATGATGATGTCTGCGGTGATCTGTCGAGTGCTGTCTGTTGGATGCTGTACGTTGAGTGTTGCCTGACGAGCACTATCCGCTAATGACGTGTCTTCTCTTTGACCTGTGAGTTGCTGTATCTTTTCTCTCTGCAGTCAGCCTGACAACTGCGTATGCGTGTATTCGTGGGACTGGCGGTAGGTGGGAGACCAAGATGGTCTGTAATGAACTGAATCAACACCCGAAAGGGCCAAATGAACACGTATGACAGCCCTAAATCAGCACCAACAGATCCGGTGGCCAACATTCACTGAATTCATGTCAGCATTAGTCACATCAAAGTCACCACATAGTCACAGCAACAACATCATGATAGAACACACACAGTCAACAGCAGACAGAAGCAGCAAACAGCTCCAGCAACCAGCCAACAGCTCCATCCACCAGCCAACAACATAACCTGCGTCTCTCACCGCTCTCGTCGTCCTACCACCGTGTCTGTGCCTCACTCTCTGCCGCTCTCTACCTCCTCACATTGGGGACATTTCATCGTTGTTGATCCAAACACAAAGAGGCAGAAAAGAGCGAAATCAACACACACAGACCGACACCGGAGACGTCACGTGGCCCATCTCCGAGCGCGGTGCCGCGCCATACTCACCGTAAAACGGATGTGATCAAAGACTAGGGTTGAGGGTCTTGAGGTGAAAGAAAAGCACTTTCATCAGGCGAACTTAAAACTACGGCTGACTAAGGTGGGTGGGTGAGTATGGGTTAGGTTAAGAGTGGTGGTGGAAAATTGTTCACCAGTTCGATTTTCCGCCATTTCAATGAATTTTTTGTTTTAATATTTCTTTTCGTTTTCCCAGATCAGTTCAATTCACCTGGAAATGAGCACAAAATAGTCTGGCTTTTGGTTGTTGCTTTAGGCTGAATGAAATAAATTTATAAAAATTAAAAATTAAAAATTAAAAATTAAAAAATGTATTTTTTAAAAAAACCACAAAGAAATAAAGAAATAAAAATACCAAAGGTCAATAAAAATGGAGAAAAATACAAATATACAAAAATACAAATACATCAATTCATTAAATCAAGGATTTTTTTTTGTTTTTTCATTTAATTTTTTTCCCAAATCAATTCATATCTCTTAATCTGAAACCTAAAATCGCCCACCAATATGGAATTCCAAGCTCGACAATTACACGATACTAATTCACTCCAACATGTCAGACAACCAATTGGCGGAAATCGCGGCAATTGCCCCGTTACCGCCCGCCGGTGGAGACCCCGATCACGTGACATACTCGACGATCAAGGGCACGTATCTGTATGAGAAGGAGGAAGATGGGACCATGTTCGAGTTTGACCATGTGACTAGAGGCTGGCGGTTGATAGAGGAGGAGGAGGAGGACAAGGAGGAGGAGGTGGAGGATAAGGGAGACGAGTTGGAAGCGGCTCTGGTTGCTGGGGAGACGACGGACACAACTGCGACTGCGAAGGCGGAACCGAGTGGGAGGGATACGGGCAAAAACCAGCCGGTTTCGGACAAGAAGGCGGTTCAGGAGCAGCTCAAAAAGAGGCGCAAAGAGGTAATTGAGGAGCGACGGAATGCGAAAAAGGCTCAGCAGAAGGGCGACAAGCCTCCTCAGAAGGCCATCTATGTCAGTGGGCTTCCTTCAACTGCTACCAACGATGAGCTGGTGGACATTTTCCAAAAGTACGGAGTGTTGGCCGAAGATGTTTACACTGGCAAGAAGAAGGCTCGGGTTTATGTCGATGAGCAGGGCAAGGGCAAGGGCGACGGTCTGGTGGTTTTTTTCAAGCCCGAAAGCGTGAAATTGGCGGTGGATATGCTGCACAATCAGCCAGTTTACGTTGGCGACACAATGGTCACTCTGAATGTCCAGCCGGCAGTTTTCGACAAGGAAAAGGGCAGTAGCGACAATAAGAAGCAAGAGACGAATTCCGGTCCCAATTACTCCGAAGAAGCCAAGGCCAAGGCCAAGAGGAAGTACACTCAATTGCAGCAAAGGCTCAACGATTGGGATGAGGAGGAGGTCAAACGAGTCAAGACGGAGTCTCGTGAAAAGTCGTCCAAGGTGGTCACTCTCAAACGGGTATTTACCATTCAGGAGCTCCAGGATGACGTGGATGCCGAAATGGACATCAAGGAAGATATTTATAACGGTTGTGGAGCTATCGGAACAGTCACAAACGTGACTTTATACGACCTGGAGCCCGACGGAGTGGTGACCGTCAAGTTTGAAAGAGCTTCCGATGCCGCGGAGTGCGTGGAGAAGATGAACGGTCGCTTCTTTGGTGGCCAGAAACTCGAGGCATACATTGATTATGACGAGACCAAGTGGAGAAAGACTAAGGATCGGGGAGGTGATGAGGAAGATGAGGAGAGGCTGGAGAGGTTTGGAGAGTGGCTGGAGGGCGAGTAGTATAGTATGTACTCTGTTAGATACACTTGGTCTCCATCTCGCCATAAGTGCGTGTATACTAATCATATAGATCGACAAATGGACAAGTTGAGTTCAATAGGGTATGACGCGCGAAGCCGAATCAATTACTTAACGTTAGTTTTTTGTATTTTTTTTATTTTATTTGTTATAACATAATAATATTGAAACGTCGATATTTTGTTTAAATAGTTACCATATTTACAAAATTGTTAAAATCATTGTTAAGATTCTGTATCCCAGGGTTTAGATATTGTTACAGTATCTGGAGAAGAACAAAGTAAACCTATGAAGCACGAATTTGTCATTGTATCCTGTCAAATATGACTTGAAGCAGCCTTCATATTGTCAGCTACTGGTGCAGTTTTGGATGTCTCCGAGAATGATTGAGTAGTGTTCCATTTCGACGCAGATTTAAACTGGAGGTTCTAATCGGCTTTATGAAATAGATAGAAAACAAGTGTTACAACGGCAATAACTTCAAAAGCCAGGCCAATATTTCCAGGCCAATATTTCCAGGCCAATATTTCCAGGCCGTTTTTATACTAACATAATACATTTTTATTTCATTTTTTGGCTAGTTCAATCGGTACAGTACCAGATAACTCCAACTAAATTTACTTGATAACCCAACTGAAGAGTGAATCATTAATTTGAGTCGAAAATAGTCGTCGTCTGCTGATCGATATAAGTAGTAAAAGGCAATAAAAGTAGTATTAATTGAAATCTGGCACTTATATTATTACTTTGATCCACTTTTTTATCTCCATAATATTGATTCTACACAGGTTTGATAGACTAGTGAGCAGATTGAATATATGCGTTTATTCTCTATTTTAAACAAAATCAATTCAAATAGTTAGAAAATATGTTGATAAGTTCTTAAAGTAGCTTAGAAATTAGGAAATGTCTTATTAAATACAGTTAAAAATACTTGGAAATCCTTCCACTACAACACAGTGGATAAGTCCCGTTACAGACCTATATGGTCAGTTTGAAGTCCAAAATTGTCTAAATATAAATATTTACAACATGAGCACACTTTTCTCCTCGTCTCTTCCAGTCAATTGAGTCATCCATTGCAACTATCGTCGACTCACTCCCAGATTACGTGACTCCATCAATGTACTTCCAAGGTATTCAGATCACGTGATTCGATCAATGTACTTCCAAGAAATCCAGATCACGTGACTTCAATTATCCCACGTGTCCGTTTGATTCTGTCTGGCTCAGTTTGCTGCCCCTGAATCGCAAAAAACTGCTCTTCTAATCCTAGCATCTACGGTCTCTGTTGAAACGCACCTCTTTTCTGGTCCCTCTTACCTGTGATTACCAACCAGTTGAGGTCCATCTAATCGGTCCTTTGATTGTTACGACGGTGGCAAGACGGACATCAATCAGTTGATAGCTAGATTGTTCCTTCTCCACAGTCGTCACAACTCATCTCTACTAGTCCTGGATTCAGCTTATGGTCTTGGTCTCAGTAAAGAGAACATTGTGGTTTTAATATGTGAAATAAAGCATATCTGATTAAAATGTGATTTTATTTTTCACTGATTGATTTAGACATGACTACGGCTCACAGTGCCATGTTCTGCTTGAATTGGTGTTTGGCCTGAGCCATTTTTTGGGTGAATTAATTGAAGAGAAATAACAGCCAGTTGGAAATGGTGAAGTTCTGAGTACAAGAACTTGTACTACTTGTAGTAGGTCTTGGAGCAACTATTGGACAAGTTTTTACAATATTTTTGGGTCTTTGAATAAATACAGGTAGTATCCGATGCCACCAGTGGTACTCGTAGCTGTTCTAGTTGTAGCAGCTCTGTACCTGTCGTGAAAAATCCCTGTTTTGAATAGCATGGTGACATATCGGTCAAAACCGGTATTATTTTATTTATTCTAATGATTCATTACAGCTATATACCTAGGAAGCCGGGTTATTGGCGCTCAATGAATCATACACTTATAAATCGTTTCGATTTGCATTGCCAGTCGCGTGTCAGTTGGTTCGTCGACGCTTCGGTTTTTTATTTTTTATTTTTTTATTTTTCGATACTGCAATACCTCCTAGATATCGCCATAACCATCTCTCCTATACTGCATTATCACCACTCCAAGGTAGAGCAGTTGGGTCAACTGAGGCATTCTGAGCGGAGACAACTATCGACCCAGTTCGATCCTGAAAATGGTTTAAATTCAAGATCATGATAGCGGGTGGATATTAGTACTAAGACGATTATTATTCTGTCTCCTGATCGATTCATAGATTCAGTCCCCCTCGCAGTGATTTATTATGTAATCAGCTCTCGTTCAGCTTGCAATCTACATTCCAGTTCAGACGTCATTCAAATCATCATTTTCATTAAATACATGTCGACACTCCAGCCGACTTGAGCGCCGACTTGAACACCGACTTCACTCCGTCTCCGTCTCCGTCTATTTCAGAACAGAAGCTCCGGACTGGGTGGGAGCATCAATGGCATCAAACAGCTGAACCACCTTCTCGGCGGTGGAGTTGGCAGAGGCGGGGTTGGCTCCGGTGACAATTCGATCGTCGGTGATGGAAAAGTCCTGGAAGGGGGTGGGAGGGGCCCGGTACTCGGCACCGGCCTCCTTGGCGATCTCGGGCACCAGCTTCTTGCCGTGCTTGGTAATGGCCTCGGAAACACCCATCTCCTTCTCACCCTCGGCGGTGAAACCGGTAATCACCTTGCCGGCCACAATGGGCTGGCCCTCCTCGTTCTTGATGGAGGCGAAGATGGCGGGGCCGTGGCAAACGGCAGAGACAATGCCGCCAGCAGCGTAGATGTCTGCGGCAATCTTTCCCAGAACGGGGGCGTTGACAAAGTCGAAAATGGCGCCGTGGCCGCCGGCAGCAAAGAAAACGCTGTAGTTGGAGGCGTCAATCTCCGACGCGGGCAGAATGCCATCCAGAACCAGGTTGTATTGCGACTGGGGGTTCTTCTGGGCATCGAGCTGCTCCTCGGTGGCAAACTTGGGGTCCAGCGAATGGGCGTCGTAGCCATACTTGCCGTCCTCGGACACAAACTGCACGTCGAAGCCGGCCTTCTGGAACACCTCGAACGGCTCGTAGGCCTCAGAGAAGAAGAGTCCCGTCTTGGATCCGTCGGGGTAGAAGGGGCCGTTGTAGTCGGTAACAGCAATCAGAGCTCGCTTGGGGAAAGACATTGTGATAAGTGGTGGTTGGTAGGTGGTGATAGAGAGAGAGAACCAAGGCCGGGCGAGCCGGACTATATATACACGAGTTATGGATACAAACAGCAAGCAATTCTAATGCAGAGAAGATTATCGAAGGGCAAAGTGAATATATTGAGAGACAGACATGAGCTACTTGTAACTGGTAGGTGCAGGTCAGTATGCAGAGAAGAATGGTATTTAGAAAAATTATAAAAAATATACTGTTAATTATTGTTCAATTGTTCATAAAATACACCCCTTTTTGGTATCGATATGATCAATTGAATGTAGAGATTTTTATTCTTGGTTTTTTACGATTACTCTCGTTTTTATTCGGTCGAAAAATCGCCCCACAACCTCTGCCCGTTCTGCCCGATTCTCTGACAAACAAAGTTACGATAAAGTTGCTGACTTCAAAGAGAGGTCCATCTGAAACGACGAAAAGTGGAGATGCGGCGGTGAAAAGTGCACGGTTTGAATCCCCCCAGCGAGGAGAACACGCCGATACCACTCATATTCCAATACCTCTACTCAATCGCCCCGTTGAGACCCCTCCCCCTCATCCCACGCCTCCATCTCTAAGGCATCATAATTGCATCTATTATGCATGCCAAAGTTGCTCGCAGCGATTTGGCGACCGACTGGAGACACTGGAGAGCGTCGTGTGTTTTGGAGATGATGTGCAAGGGTTTGAAACTCTTCTTTGGTTTTCCATGGGCCCATTTCACGTGACCGGGAGGCGTCGGCGGAGCGACCAGTGCAACTCTGGTGACGTCATCATTGGTACAAGGGCTTACGTCAGCTGTCAGAGAGGAGTCTAGGGGTGTTGCCCGAGCTGAACTGGACCATTCGACAACTGCCTCCTTCGTGGCGCCATTGCTACCAAATAATGATGGCTCGATTGTGGAGACCAGACAAAAGGCGGGCTGATTGATCCGGCCTAAAGCGGGGAGTGGGGATTGACAATGTGGGATTAAAGAGGTTCAATTGGACCGGGTTGAGCGAATTGAAATAGTCATGGTGGATATTCTCCGTGTGGACTGTATATCAACGAAGTATATAGACGTTTTATGAATTATATCTCCCGTTATTCCCTCCATTATCACAGGACTGGCACATGTTTAAGTTGCACGTAATTTCAACAGCACCTTAGTTCCGCAGCACAGTTTTTCCGCCAAATAGATTAAAAAACATTTAAAAAAAGGGTAAATTCGTATGATCGATAAAACGGCAGAAGGTGAAGATATTAGATAGGTATTGAGGGGTGGTGTATATTTCACTGACAGGGGAAAAAGCCTCTTTTACTGTTTTATCTTATTCATTCATTTATTATTTTATTTTATTTTATTATTGCATTTTATTATTGCATTTTTTCTTTTTCAAAAAAAGCAACAATTAGAGCCGTCCAAGTGGATCCTCTCGGCATGACACCATCTCAAATAGTGAGATCTTCAACTGTCACCAGAGAACCTGCATGGGGGCTGAGGGGAGGGGTCACGTGATCTGGTACCTCTCCCGACTTTTACCGGCTCCAGCACTCGGCAATCATTATACTCTGACTCTACACTTCTCCTCAGCTCACGTGAATCACACTCCGTCGCTTTAATGAGGTTTATCAATACCCGCCAGCCCTTCAATTCTACTGCTTTTCGAAAACGAAAAGTCTCGTTGTATTTAAAATGAGCTGAAAAACGCTTTGTAAAAAAAAATGGGCCCAAAATACCTCAATTAGACCCTTCCGAAGACCCCCCAAAACACCACCCCCAGTGGTGCGGCTCAGAAATTATTGGGGTTCGTCACGTGATCTTCTCGAAGGACACCATCAGATCTCACTGGGTCTCCAGAACAGACAGTTCAGAGGGGAGAAAAAAATAGTTGATGGTAAATACCAGGACTCTTGTGATTGCTATTTAACTTGTAGGAAAGCCACCCTGGTTCTATCACCGTTTTCTGGACATTTGTAATCCCTTACTTATCTTAACAATAATTTCAACTATTCTTGGCGCTTTTAACAAAATTCCAACTAATAAAATCCACCCCTACAACTCTACCAAACCTCAGAGGAGCATATGGAAGATATACCATCACCGTAACAACAATAGCAATGACAATAAAAAGACAATGACAATGGCAATGACAATAACAGCAATTCAAGACTCGTTCCCTGGTATGGATCATTCTAGAGACTATACTCTGTCCATCTTTCACAAGGATCTACTCTCTGTCCATCTTCCACTAGCCCCTCTAAAACCAATCCTCCTTGAAGATTTATCAGACAAGTCCTCAGTAACATTCTTCACACTCTCATGATACTCAAACTCGACCATAGTCACTCTCTCCCCCTCTTCTCCATGACGTCAGTTCTGACTAATCATCACAACACAACACCACGCTTCAGGAGCAAATAACGAACAGCTGCTCGCATCAGAACATATCACAGCAATAACAACACGTGTTCCCGTGCAAAGAACCAGTAATTGGAATGTCCAGCTCCTGCGCGCCTGCGCCAGATGTTTGAGGAAAGTGGGGTACAGTATGTACATACTTGTAAGGTGCACATGTGTGCTGCTGCCCCGGGTGGAGATAACTAGGGAACGGCTAAAACTGCACAGTTTGGTGTTCATGTGAGCTGAAGAGGGGGAAAGGGTGGTATTTGCAAGGTTTTGGGGTCATTGAAGGTGTGGACTTGGATCTGGGGTTTTATTCGGGATTTCTCGGGATTTCTCAATTAAAATAAACAAATAAGTGAGTTCAAAATCATCCCATAGTGTTGAAGGTAATACCCGGTAGGGTGATACGGGGCCAATTCCTTACATAGTGATGAGAGGAACCAGCTTGGTCGAGATGCCCATTGTAGAAAATGCTATCTACTAATCTAGAATCTCTTGTGAACGAGCAAGCACGAGCGTCTGGTGTGCTATTATCAGGACATCTGGTAGTCTTCTCATATTCTAGAGTTTAATGTATTGTTATTAAAGAAAAGAAGAAGAAAAAAAGAAAAAAAACATAGAAGTGAGTAATCAACATATTTATCACCGTCAATAGACAACAACACATTCAGGACTGTCGGAAATGAATTAATCGACGTAATTCCGTGGTCCCAGAAACAGCAGTGCCCCTATATATGCTGACTAATCGCAGTTTATGGTCCTGGCTAAGTCAATACAACTCCTCCCACAGAGGTCGTATCCAAGAAAGAAATATATCATAGTAATCAGGGAAAAAATCTCGATTGAATGGTACCAAATGAATCCAGTTTTTGAGACTTGAAACGAATATAATGGCTACATTTTAATCTCCCAGATTATACAACTACTTACTCATACTTTACACTACAAGCTGTACCTATATGATGGGGTCGCACCGCGGTCAAGATGAGCATCAAAAGGAGACATTGCATTGAACAATCATAAGAACATCCCTGGGTCGCCCTCCTTGGTCTGGTACTGTACCAAAGTCGTCGATTGAAGCTGTCGTGGTAGTATTCACAGTATTCAAACCCCAACCCACTCCAGCCAAAAAGGCATGCTAAGTACAATTTTATTTGTATTAACCATGGGGGAAATTACCCTGTCGTCGATTCACCAGCAACAGACAGAGAGAAAAGAGAGAACAAGGAAACACACACGGAAAAGAACGGGCCCTCGATACGGTTGCTCGGTCACGTGACCGATAAATACGTGGCAACGCCCCGTTTCCGTCTTTTTGGCACACCAAATCAAACCAAACCAAACCAAAGTCTCTTCTCTTCTCTTATCTCTTCATTCTGTTCACAGGTATACATATTTCGCGCACCAAACGCCGCACCAAATGCCGGATTACGGTTCGCAGACTCTTGGCGAGAGGTGAGTGGAGCATGTCTTCAGTGACTCCAACACGGGGGAATGTGTCATAAGTTGGTTGTTTCTGTGTTCAGATTGCGTCGAAAATGGCCAGCTCGGAGTCTTGGATTCGTTTGGGGACCTTGGGGGTACCTGAGTCGAGCTGACAGCGACTGGAGGTCCTCGTATTGTAATCAAATAAGAATATTTGTTGGATACGGCTGAGGGTTTTTCGATGGAGTTTGTTTTGAGACCAGCCGCATAGCAGGGAGGTTTTGCCGAGTGAGGGAGAGGCAGATGGCAGATGACAAGAGTACGACATGGCACATGATTGTGCTGAGGCACGTGATTTGTGGTGTGGCACGTGACTCGTGACGCGCGACTTGTGACTCGCGACTCGTGACACATGATCTCAGCTGTGTGTTGTCGTATCTGTCTTCGTCTCATGACTCCGTGCTACTGGATAGGTCTCTTGGCACCACTTATATTTGATAGTGTGTTTTGATAGTGTGATTTGGTATTGGTGATTCGATAGTGACGGTGGACCCACCGGGATATTTGCAGCAGAAAAAATGCAATTTTCCGCACAAAACTTCCCAGCAAGGAAACATAGCTCTTATCGCACATGAATGGTGGCTTGGGATGGGTTCCGACTGCACCGAGTCGCTGTGGTTCCGGCATGGCGGCGTTTGAGGCGCACAACCAACCATGCTGGGGAACGAGAAAGGGAAATGGATCCAGGACTGCTCATGGTTGACTATTTTTTGATCCTTGAGGGGATTGTGTCACGGCCCTGGCTGAGTGCTGCTCCAAAGTAGTGTCGTCCACCGCTCCCACTCCTGCCCATTTGACCCACTTGCACTTGATCAGGGGTGTATTTTAGGACGGTAAAAATTGCCCTAGGATTAAGGGTGGTCCTTTCTTCTTTGGTCTTTTTTTTTCCTCTCTTCCTCTCTCCTTCTCCCTCCTTTTTGAGTTGAGGCGTGAGGCAGGGCTGTGAAACAACTCTGCACAACATTGGTGTGAATGGGCGCAAAAGACGCTCGACAAAGTCCTGTGGATGCTCATGTCCCTCCGCCCGGGCTCCAGCCGACCGCCACCGGTCCCCGTCCGCCCGTATTATGTCTCCTCGTCACGCCGAAATGGGCTAATCATGCCAATAATAACAAATAAAATTGAACCCAGAGCGAAAAGCCTGTGGGCCTTTAACCTCCAGCCCGGCATCTGGTTCCCCGCATGTCAATCGCACACCTTGTGTCTATCTGACGCTGCAGGAAGCAAGAAATATATATTAGCGGCAGGATCCAAGAGGAGCCCCAGGCATCATCCGTCAGGTAGTGGCAGCGACACACACAGACAGAAACGGACAGACACGGACAGACACGGACAGACACGGACAGACACGGACAAAGTCAGCCACAAACACAAACGCAGAAACTCCCGAGACCTGACCCACTTGACCAATCCCCCCGCACCACAACTAAAGACCATATACGACAAAGTCTCACCCCTACACTTGCCACCCCACACTTGCCACCCCACACACTCACAACATCCACATGCTCGCACCAGTTCCCGTGGGAGGCGAAACCCCCATTCTGCTGCCTAACGAGCTGCTACTGCAAAAGTTCTCGTCAAAGTCGTCCGGATACCGCCAATCGATCATCCGGCTGCACCAACAGCGTCAGTTGGAGCAGGACAAGCTCAGGCAGGAGAAGGAGCGCCAACGGGAGGAAAAACGGCAGCGAGAACGACACCAACAGGCCAAAAAGAACCCCGGGGGATCCGAACGCGACCGGTTTGTCGCCTCGCTGAAAAAGGGACTCAAAAAATGGGCGTCCGAATCAGTGCCAGATGCCTCAGGAGCAAGAGAAATGTCGCTCAGAACAGACACCCCTAGACCAACAACCGCCGGAACCCACCGAGCCTCCAACACCACAACCCCAACTTCCAGCACCATCCGACCAATAACTTCTGATGCTCCTGCCTCCTCCCTAGCAACACACACAATCACACAAGCAGCTCCACGGTTCAACCTGTCGCTGCTCAAAAACTTACTGCCCACTTATGCGCCTCCCGAAGCCGCGGTCAGCTATCTCACCAACGACACCGAGACGGGATCGGTTTGGATCACCACTGAACGGCTCATTTTTGTACCCCAAAAGGCCGGCCACAAGGGCTTCTACGTGCATATCGACAACCTCGACTGTATGAAGGTGGTGTGCATGGCCGTCTGTGACGTGGATTACGACTACTGGAGCCACCCGCAACTGTCCAAGAAGCCTTATTTCTTTGTCGCGTACGAAGGCACCAACTTTCTCACCGTGCCCTTCTCCACCCACGCACGAGCCTCCTCCTTCCTGAAACTGCTGTCAAACATCAGATTCGAACACATGGTAAAGAGCTGTTTGCCTCCTCCTTACATGTCCTGTGTCGTGTGCTCGAGCGAGTGCAACATGGATGCTGAGGCTGACTCTTCTGGAGGATCTAGTTCGGAGTCGAGCTCCTGCAGATCGTCCATTTCCGAGTCCGACCTCGAGCGAATCGACTCCACATCGACTACAGCCACCTCGACAATTTCCTCGACGCCCTGTCTGTGTCACGACGACTGGGTCCATGAGGACAATGTGCTCCCGACGTATCAGGACAGCGAGCATGCTCTGAAGCTTTACCTTATCAAGAGAGGTCTATTGCAGCCCGAAGAGCATTTTGAGCGAGGTACGCATGCGCAGGCCAGCAACATTCTTGCCCAGGCGAACGCTCCTCCTTCGAATGAGATGGATGCGGCGACTGAGCGGGATGTCCAGAGGAGAGTTGGGCCTCCGGTTCACGCGGTAGGGGATGTGAGTTATCCGTTGGTGTGGTTCTAACGAGACACGAGACATAGCCGAGTGTGTCCTCTACAATTCGGAATAAGTCGTTTGAAAGGCGTTGTCGGGATAATCTTGAAGGCGCTCGCGGAATAATCTTGAAGGCGCTCTCGGAGTAATTTGGAAGGCGCGCTTACGTGTAGGAAAATAGCCTTTGACGTAGAAATGTTCAAGGCTAATATGGCAGCTTCATATACTGTATCGCAGTGTGGTTGTTGTATATAATGATTAATGACTATTTATTGCTTTATAATTCGTCTTCACGACTTGTATTCTCCAATACACGTTGTGTCGCTGTAGGTGAGTTCTAGAATGGAAAATGTCTGTTCGAATCCGACTCTGTTCATAAGGTCTTCGTGATCCAATACGATGGGTTCTGGCATGCTGGCAATCACAAGAACTTTTCGTGTAGGGTATCTCAGACAGGTATACCTACCACATACTTTCTTTTTTTTTTCTCTTTTTTCTCTCTTTTTTTCTCTTTTCCCCCCTTTCCCCCCCCCCCCCCCCCCCCCTTTTGTCTTTCTTTTTTTAATTCTTTTGTTATTATTATTATTATTTTAACAAATGTTTCGCTCCAGACAACTGTCTTCAGCCTGCGAAGGAAAGGTATAAAATTGTTGTAAAATATTAAAGAAATGAAGAAACGATAAGGGTAGCAGTATTTCACCGCAATCGAAGCTGCCATTAATCTCTATTTCTCTCCCTATGATCCTTCGCGGGGATGTCTCGGGTGAAGCTCAGCAGGGTCTCTCCAGTACTCACCAAAAGACTCGACAGAGTCTCCCGGAAACCTCTGAACGAATTTGGAGCCGATCCACTGCCCCGAAGAAGTCTCATTGGGAGCTCACAACTGAATGAGGGCGGTTCCTAGCACTGCAACCAGGTGGACGGGTCGTTTGCCAAACTGATGAGAAAGAGGTTGCGAAATACTACAACCCAGGTCAAACAAGAGAAACATGTAGCTTGTTCCCTGGTTGAGAGTCGCCAGAGGGAGACCTGTGCTATGAGAGATGGAGGTGAGAACCGAGTATATGGAGGCAGAGGGGACTGTCACTGCAACGGTATACGTGACCATGCTGAACATTCGTAGTTTACGTCGGTAGGACCGGTTGAGAGGATGATCGGGGTGACATGAGGGAGTAGGGTGGAGAACAATGTCAGATTGCGAGCTGTCCACGAAAGAAATGGTGCCTGGAATGGCTTCGTAATCGAGCATCGCGATAAGTAGTGGAACGAGAGACAATTGTAGTTGAAAAGTTTCTGTCTGCTGAAGAACCAAAATTGGTCTCTTGATAGCTGTTGGAAGCGTATAGAGCTCTTGAAAAGTGGCTTCTCAGCCGCTGACGCTGTTCTAGATGGGATCCAGTACTTCCGAAGAGCCTTGGACAGTACAGTATGTACTGCACACTTTTCTTGATCCACAGGATCAAGAAAAGAGCCAGCCAGACCCATTTCTGTTCCACTTGATCCAACAGATCTACCAACATGTGTTCATCATTCTGCTGTACAATACATACTGAACTTGTTTTCCACTTGTTCCTTGGTTCAAGTTAATCCGAAACGCGTTTTCAATGTGGCAGCTAAAGTGGATCCATAGAAGTTGGTTCCAGCATTTGGAGTAAATGCTCCCAGATAACTGTCCTTGAGGTCTGCTAAAAGTCTGGCCCTCTCCTCTAAACTGACCATTTGAACTGGTCTCGCTGTTTTAGCCTCCTCAATCGCCCGTCTGTCTAGGACTACAGTACAGTACGGAATAGACCCACACACCACGAACACCTCAATGGGCTTGCTGTGGGGGGGTTTAAAAAATATGGCGAGCCTTGATTCAGTGTATCTACGCCTTGAACTCGTCGTCGAGATGCTCAAGGAGACACGACTGCCATCAGAAGTATTGTGTCAACACCGTTACCATTGATAGACATGGACCATTGCATGTAACAGATAGCTGGAATTTTATAGTTGGCATTTGATAGTTGATATTTTGTTATACAGAAAGTAACATCATCAATTTCTGTGGGGAGAATACTAAGTACTAACTCTACATTACTACTGCACAGTACTTAGTAATCAAATCAGACAAGACCCCAAATCAACAATATGATACAAAACTCAGATTAGAAAAAACCGCCGCCCAGCCTCCGAGAAACCCCATCCATCGCACTAACCCCAGAAAATCCACACAACCGTTTCATTGACAACGTTTATTCGACAACCGTTTTTTTGACAACCCTAACCCCAACTTTATATATTTTTACTGTAGTCTGATGATTAGATACGGGCTAAGAAAAAATATCTGGGGTGTGTCAAGGGAGGCAGATGGAGACATGGATGGTCTGGCGGGTGGGAGAGAGGGGGAGGTCACGTGACGAGTTGTTTACCCACCGTGCACATGGAACACCTTTCTCTGAGTCATATTCCTGTCACGTGACCCCCCTCCCATCCCGCGCTGATCACATGACTCTGTCCTTCCAATCACATGTGTTTGCCTCCACAACCCCACACAACCCCCGCTGTATTTAGCTCTCGGTGCATATACCGAGGTAACGACGATATTCTCTGAGTTTCAGAGACCACTTTGAACAGACAGAACACTACACACGCCGCGGTTTCGTCTACGATCCACGACACCAAACCAACAAAAAAATGCCCCCCGCAATGCCACAAATGACAACATCCACGCTGTTGACAGACTCGGTCACATCTGCAGTGAACCAGGCTGCCACGCCCAAGGTGGACCAGATGTACCAGACGTTTGGGGAGTCTGCGCGGGAATTTGTCAACAAGAACTTTTACAACTCGTACGAGCTGATTCGGCCGTTTTTCGATGAGATCACCGCCAAGGGCGCACAGCAGAACGGCTCGACCGTGTTGGACGCCGAAAACCCCCACAATATTCCTCTGTCTCTGTGGATCAAGGTGTGGTCGTTGTACCTGGCGATTTTGGACGCTTCTTGCAAACAGGCGGGAGAGGCTCTGTTGAACAGCACAGGGGATCTCAGCGGCAGCGATTCGGGCGAGTGGAACCAGACTCGAAAGCTTCTGGCTCGAAAGCTGACTTCCGGGTCGGTCTGGGACGAGCTGGTGACGGCCTCGGGAGGAACTGGCAACATTCATCCCACTATTCTGGCTTTGCTGGCTTCTCTGTCCATCCGACATGATACCGACGCGAAATTGATGGCCGACAACCTGGAAAAGTTCATTGTCACCTATAACGACAATGGCAGTGACGACGTCAAGACCAAAACGGCGTTCTACAAGGTGCTGGATCTGTACCTGTTGAGAGTGCTGCCCGACCTCGGGCAGTGGGATGTGGCTCATAGCTTTGTCAATAACACCAATCTGTTCTCCCATGAGCAGAAGAAGGAAATGACCCACAAGCTGGACCAGTCGCAGAAACACGCCGAGCAGGAACACAAGAGACTGCTGGAGGAGGCTCAGGAAAAGGAAAAGAGTGACGCCAAGGAAAAGGAAAGAGAAGAGAGGGTTTCGAGAGATACACAGTCGAGGGAAATCAAGTCTCCTATTGTTGATTCATCCACATCTTCACGCGATGTCACCCGTGACACCACACGGGAACTATCCAAGTCCTCCAGACAACCAAGAACATTGTCGCAGATCATCTCGACATCGCTCAAGTCGCAATTTGACGGCAATGCCATTTTCCGGACCCTTGCGCTCATCGTCATTGTGTCTCTGTCTGCCGCTAACCCGCTGATTCGAAAGCGTGTTGTCGACACCCTCAAAATGCTGTGGATCAAGATTTTGCAGACCCTCAGTATGGGTTTCAAGGTGAGTTATTTGTAGATGGTACAGTGACTTGGTGGATATAGACGAATGATACATGGACATAGTATAGGTTACTAGACGGCACTCAGCATGTACATACTGCATCGTACTGGGTAGATTATCGTTATAGGAGTACCAATAGCTATAAAGGAACTGCGGATAGAACCTGGGGACCCTATAGGATACAAGTTGCCCAAAACTACAAGTACAGTAGTGCATTTACCAGTGTACAAGTAGCTCGATTCCGCTCTTGACCAAGTTGAGTCAATTTACTTGGAATTTTGTTAAATACAAGTGTGCTGGGGGATTCTATGAAATGCTCCAGGAACAGTAGAGCCATGGAAAATATATCAATGCTGCTGAGAGAATATTATTTTATAACAAATCCGACGTAAATGGCAGTTGTTGCAATACAAAAAGTTTTGTAATCACAGATTGGGCAGCATTTCCAAAAGTAGCTGTAATTGAAATTTCACTCTTAACAAAAGCCGTCGTAAACAAGACAACCATGCATAGAGTGCATAGAGTCGTCCCTAAGGGTCACGAATCCATGACAGGAATTCGTTTGTTTGGACTATTGAGTCACGTGAGCAGTTTATGACCAGCCGCCCACATAGGGTATACTTCGAGTCACGTGTGCCAGCTCAGAATCCTTTGTTTCGAATATCACCACACCGGAGCATGATGAAACTTCCCACTTGATAATTTGGCCGGGATGTTTCATATTATTGAACCACAGGCAAATGATTGTGTCGTAGAACGACGGGTCCTGTCGGCTGGTAGATGGACTCTGGGTCATTAGAAGGACTACAACTTATGCTGGTGTACCACTTCAGCTAGGTCACGTGCCATAAACACACCAGCAACGAGAATATACACCCAACTGCCAGTTACTCTCTCTCTCAGATCAGACCCGAACCTAAGCAGGCGATACTCAATTCCAACATTATCCACACCAGTAATATGAGGCCAAGTGGTATGTGGAAAACTAACAGACCACAATGTGTATATATATACATGCTGTCTCGTTTCTCAGCATCTGACTGTGCACGCAAAATCACGACTTTTTTTGGACAATGGCTTGGACTGAGGAACACGATCTCTTGGTTTGCAACTACATCAAGGAGCACAAGGGAGAAGAGGCTCGAGAAGCTACTCTCAATATCATGGCTCAATTGGAATGGGAGTTTTCATACCAAGAGGTCTTGGTCTACGTTTGCTACTGGATAGGCCGTCTTTCGTACTCAGTGGCTAGTTGAGACTGGTTTTGATTTTAATGAAGGGCTGGTGATAATCCAACTAACGCTTGGATTTCAGTTCCTTCAAACACACAAGCAATGTACTGCCCATTCCTTGGAAAGAAGTACATGAGAGAACTCGAGTAACTTACCAGATCCACTGAGAACTATACAAGATTCACAACTGCTGTCTAAATCTGGAAATGGTCAAAACACACACCCACTACCGAATCACTCTCAATCATCATTACTATAATACAATAAATTACATGTTAGCATTTTGCCTTCCTTCTACACGCCAATGGAGTGGAGACAGGCGGTTCACTATCATTAACTGCTTCACGCTTGTGAGCCGTCCATAGTAGCTAGGCTATTCTCTAGGTTGTCAGCACTCTCACAAGCTACGCGTCGCTCGCTCAATGGGTTCACGGCCATTGAGGTCTCAACGCCTGCAGCTTCATTCTCACTCTCAACGGGAACTTCGCAATCGCCTTATCAATCTGCTCCGATTCGGCCTCCACATATGCCGCTGTAGCAGCCGCAGCCTCAGCATCCTCCTCCCAATCAATGTCAACCTTGAGGGGAGCCACAGACATGACAGCATCAAACAGCAGAGGAAAGTTCGTTGAAATCACCTCCAGCACATCGCTGCAAGACACCCAGAAACAGTTCATGCCGAGAAACTTGCGCCGCTCGTCCTGTCGCTCAAGACCCACCATTTCCAAATCGTCGCCAGGACCTGGAGCTCGGCACAACAAGGGAGTCAAAGTGCTCCAAAGTCGCTCCTTTTCGGTGGTGGACACGATGCGACGAGCCACTCGAGGATACGAACCGCAAAAGTTTTTCACACCAAGAAGAAGAGACAGCTGGATGTCGAGGAAACACGACTGACGCACAAACAAAGGCAGAAACGCAAAAATCTGGTCAACCTGCCGAGGCTCGTATATGGCTTCTCGCAGGCCGTAAGGGAGCGCCTTTCGGCTGTCGATATCAAGCTGGATACGCCGCTGTCGCTCCCGCTCCTTTTCCCGCTCCAGCTCCTCGGCCTCGCGTTTTTCTCGCTCCTTCGCAGCCAACAGCTCCTGCTCAGCCTTGAGCTCCTGTTCGCGTCGTCGCATCTCGTTTCGCCGCCGCTCGTCTTCCTCAATGCCCTTGAGAATGGCTCTCTGGCGCTCAAGCCGCTTGCGCTCCTTCTCCCGCTCAATCTCCCGCCGGTCAAGCGACTCCTTGGACTTTTGACGGTCCAGTTCCTTGGGCCGCTTGATGAGAGGAGACTTGCGACTGTCTGGTGAAGTGGCAGCTGAGGGAGTAGTGGAAGCAGCAGCAGATGAAGAAGCTGAAAGAGACTCTCTGGATGACTCCTTGGAAGTCTCCTTAGACTCCTTAGGCTCCTTAGATTCCTTAGACTCTTTGACCTCTTTGGCTTGAGCCTTTTCAGCAGCCTCTTTGATCTCTTTGTCCTTGGCCTCCTTCTCAGCCTTCGCTGCCTCATTGGCTTCTTTCTCAGCTTTTTCAGCCCTGGCTTTCTCCTTTTCCACCCTCTCCACGCGCTCTTTTTCCTCCCTCTCCTTGCGCTCTCGGGCCTCCTTTTCGGCCTTTTCAGCCCGCTCAGCCCTCTCACGCTTCTCTCTCTCAACCCGCTCGGCCCGCTCCTTCTCTTCCCGTTCTTTCTTTTCCTTATCCTCCCTCTCCTTTCTCTCACGTTCCTTCTTCTCCCTCCTTTCTCGTTCCACGCGCTCACGCTCAGCCTTCTCGGCCTTGTCACGCTTCTCCTGTTCCTTCCTGAGCCGCTCCTCTTCCAGCCTCTTCTTTTCCTCCAGCTTGCGCTTCTCCTCCTCAAGCTTGCGCTTCTCCTCCTCCAGCTGCTCCTGCTGCTGTTGCTTCTTACGTCGGATCCGCTCCTGGCGCTCCAGCCGTGCAGCCTCCTCCTTCTCGCGAGCCACACGTTGCTGCTCCTCTTTCTCCTTCTGCTTAGAGCCAAACAGCTTGTCGAATACAGACTGTGGCTTGTTGGAAGCCCCGGAAGCAGACGAAATAGACCGCTTCTTCACCTTGACCTCCTCCTTGCTCTTGCGTCGCTCCATCTCTTCCTTGCCACCAGCCAGCTTACGTTTCTTGACTAGTAGTTTATCAGATATAGAAGAGATGCTTGGAGTCCGCTCGTGCTTCACAGAACCCTTGTTCTCGTCGGCCTGAGAAGACGTACGAGACATAGGAGTCGAAACAGGAGACATCTGGGAGGGCGAGGCAACTCGGGGGGGAGATGCCACGTGATGAGGAGATGAAGACGACATGTTGGCGTGGGTATCCACCACAGGCTCCTTCTTGACATGTTTACGTTCACGTTCTCGTTCACGTTCACGTTCCCGCTCACGGTCTCGGATCTCTGACGTCGAATTGTGTCGCTCAGAGTGTGTGGAAGCCGTTGAATTGTGTCTCTCAGAAGTAGAATTAGTTCGTTCTCGCTTCTCTCGCTTCTCAGACTTTTCACTCTTTTCGACCTTCTCCACCTTGACCCTTTCTCTGTCTCTTTCTCTCTCCCTCTCTCGTTCTCGTTCCCGTTCAATCCTTCGTTTTTCCATCTTTTCAAGTCGGGCCTTATCGCGATCAGACTTGTCAGCTTTTTCTGACTTATCTGCCTTCTCTGACTTGACAAGCTTGCTGTCACCTCTGTCTTTGCCACTCCCTTTACTAGTCCACTCCTCCAACAGGGTAACCTCCTCCTCGTAGCCACTCAGCTCCTTGACAACCTGAAGAGCAGTCTTGCCTTGTGAGTTTTTGCGTAACGGATTTGCTCCAGAATCTAGCAACAGCTTTAGAGTCGACACGTGACCCCGGCCCACTGTTCGCAACAGTGCAGTCTCGCCATCCTCCCCAGGCTCGTCACACTCACATCCAAATGCCAGCAGCAACCCCACCACATCTGTGTGGCCGTGACGTGCTGCCAGACACAAGGACTGGGTATCTGGCTTCCATCCTCCCTCCAGTGAGGAGCCTATGAACTCGATATCTCCGTCGGCGGCCTTTTGATAGATTTGTTCGCGACCGTTTTTCGAGGTAAGATCCAGCCACAACAGATCGTTGCGCATGGCCTGCGCACGCACACCACGTCTCCTGCTAGATCCCGTATCGCTTCCAGCTCCTCCTCCTTCTCCTCCTCCGGTTCCATGGTTGTAGATTTTGTGCAGCTCCGGGTCGGGGAACGCCTCGGGGTCGTCCTCGCGTGACTCTGGGGGTCGTGGCCGGTTGCGGAAGCTGTGAAGCGCCTCCTGGATCAACGAGCGGATCTTCGTCGAGTGCGGCATCTCCTCGTCCACAGAGTCCATGGCAGATTTTCCCAGCGCATTGATGATACGCGGATCAGCTCCACGTTCCAGCAGGAGTTGCACCACCTCAACGTGGTCGTTGGCCGCCGCATCAATCAATGGGGTATCAAGATCTGTAGGTCCCGACCGAATGTCAACTATGGCCTTGTGGTCCAACAGCAGTTTGACAATGTCCACATGGCCCTTCAGAGCCGCCTCATGGAGCGCTGTGTTGCCGGCATAGTCTCTGTCGTTGACATCCGCGCCATCCCTGACCAGTTGATACGCCTCCTCGTATTTGCCCTTGTCACACATTCGTTGTAACTTCATTCTGCCGTTTGCGTCCCGTTTCTTGCGCGAACCGGACCCGACACGTGGCATGGGTGTGGCACTCCGGCTCATATCCGACGAGTTTTTGCGCTTGGGCTCTTTGCGTAACACCTGTGAAGAGTGGTTGGACGGCCCCTCGTCGGAAGAGTAGTCGTCATCGTCGTCGATACGCCGCTTGAGCCGCTTGAGTCGGCTGCCCAGCTTGTATGGCGACGGCGCTACCTCCGTTTCGGCCTCGGAGACGTCGCTATAGTCGCGCATGGTGGTGTTTCAAAAGTGGTGATGTATGTGTAGGTGGGTTGGAGTGAACACAGATAGAGTAGTGGTGAATTAAAATAAAGTTTGAACGTAGTGATTATGTAAGCGCGAGAATGTGCAGAAAGTAAAGGACCGGCTTTGAAGGAGGTTCTCGGTGGCTTGTGATGTTGTTGTATGGTTTAATTTGTTAAGAAGGGATCTTTTGGTTGATTCCCATTGAGTGTACAACGATTGAGTTAATAATATTCGGAGGTTGGAGGACATTGTGTCTGGTGGGTGCATGAATCATTCGTTCGACTCGCAGGGAGCGAAAAGAGACGTTGCTTTGGGACACTTTGAGTGGATATGGGGACTATTTTTTAAGAGATAGATTGTTTATTATCGTTTCGTATATCTATTCCTGTTTATTTTGTACTAATCAAGTCATTATTGAGGGATCTGGAATCGTCTGTTACAGAAAAGGAAAGAATAGTATGCACTGTAATACAGCAAACGCAAGGTGTCTCTTTGAGGATGCATGAGCGATTTCTACAGACTGATATGTATGAGATGGTCTAGTTCAATCTGTTATATGAGTCGATTCCAATTGAGCTCCTACGAATCGGCTAGATATGAAGGAGTTTAGTTCTTGTTCGTAGCTACTGTACCCAGAGGGATCAGTCTGGAAGAAAGAGAAATTAGCCAATAGATGGATGAAAGAACCCTGATTAAATGTGTTATAAACAAAAAAGACATTTGGTGCAATTAGGCCAATCCAAATCACTGTCTACAAAGATCAGAGAGAGTCCATTTCTCTACAAGTTCCGGTATTACACTCTCACGGACACCAGCGACATTCCGAGCTGGAATGTTAGATATGCTTAACAGATGCAGATCTTGACGAGATCACGGAGAGATCTAGAATGTTCATTTCTTGTCAGTTTTCGAATCTAAAACTTCTGACAGACTTCTTCTCGCAGTTTTGGGTCTCCTGTTAAAACCCGATACTTTTTCGATCCAAAATGAGCCCTCTACACTGTACTTTTCATCACTCCAAACATACGCGTAACCGTGACGTGCATCATGCATGATAGCCGAAGGAGTTGGTACAAAACAAGTCAGCGGGAGACAAACAACACTTTGAGATACAAGGGTCGGGTAAAAAATCAAAAGAAAAACCAGCTTCGTCGTCCATACTCATAATCTGTCATTCTGAATATTTTCCCTCCGTAGTTTTGTGAATTACTTATCATCCGATAACTGTATGTACTGTGCCACTCAAGCGGTAACTTACAGTAATCTCATATCGTTGACACATTGACATCACAACCATACCAGTAAACATGATACCCCAATTCTTACTCTTGCTGTGGCTGACACTGGTCAAAGGCGAAGTATTATATTTGGATAACGAGACGCGTCTCGCATGTGCAAATGTAAACGCTGGAGAAGACAGTGTGGGCCCTGCCAAGGACACGTACATCCAGTTCTCATTCGACGAGCTGGAGACGCCTGGAGTGATGGCCTTGGCGATTTTCGAGTGGAGAGATTATGACCGGATTGGAGGCGTGTGTGACGATGCTGCCATCGACAACAATAAATGTGAAGAGCATGAATATGCCACCTTCAAGGTCAAGCCCGAGGAGACTGACAACCTGTACTCCAGAGTCTTCTCCTTTCCTCTGAATCTCCAGAGCATCCAAAAGTTCCGGTACACGGTGTTTAAATCCGGCCAGTACTGTGCCATGGTGCACCCTGTGATCCCCAACGATGACTTTGCCGCCAAAATGTCCATCAAAAGCGCATATGGGTTTCTGGGAGGTGGCGAGGTGGGTCTGCTGTTACTGAGCCGTATTTCAATCATCTATCATTTTGTGACCTTTTCCATCTGGTTCTACGCGTATAAAAAGAACTCGAAACACGCGGTACCTGTCCAGAAGTACCTCACCAAGGCCATGGGTCTACTGGTGCTCAAGTCCGTGTTGGTGTTTGTCAATCTGTCTATGACGAACAAATACGAAACTGCGCCTGAATTAGTCGCCACGGTGGCATCCATAGTCAAGCCTGTGGCCGACTCGCTCTTTCTGTCTCTTCTGATTGTCATGTCTCTAGGTTATGGAACCATTGTCCAGTCCAAGTCTCTCAAATTCTACTTTCTGTCGTGGGTGGTGAAGGGAGGTTGGTTTTGTGTGGCCTATTTCCTGCTCAAGCCTCTCAATCTCCCCATTGACATGTCTGATTTCTCTCCCGAGGCTCTCAAGATCACCTTCTACATCCCCATCATGCTGGGTCTTGTTGTCACCACCCGGTATCTGAAGAAAACTAACCAGTCGGCACTGGCCAGACGAAGTGCCATGCTCACCATGGCTCTACTGGCTCTGGGAATCGTCTATGCAGGTGTCTACCTGACCTTTAAAGCACACGTGCAACAAAACTGGACTTTGTTTGAGTACCAATGGTTCCTTCCAGCCTGTGGAGAGCTAGCTGCGGAGATGATATACCACCTTTGTTTCTGCGTCTTCTGGTTCCCGAGACCGTTACAAGCAGCAAAAGAGATTGATAAGGAGATGTAACGAAATAGTAATTGATTGCTTTAATCAAATGTGGACCTGGGGAACTGTAACCTCTGATCTAGGACCGAGACTATCAGTACAACCAACTACAGTTGTACCCCTACAAGTGTAGATACAATCTCTAGACCAGGGGAACTCGTTAAATTGGCCTATTTTATGGATTAATCCAGACACTAGACTGGGTTGAACAAGGGTCTTTGGCCTGCGTTGAAAGCAGTTCGATCTAGACTTGTACCTAACTCTAGCTACTGTAGTGGACTTTTCCAAAAAGAGCTTAGCCCAGGGGATCCAATATGCCCACTCGTGAGACACTGTTAGCGTCTTATAACCTCAAGTCTAGACTTATTCAAAACTACAAGTAGTTCGCGGCGGTCTGTCTGGGTCTACCCTCTTACCACGACTGTCCGAGGACTAGTAGCTCTATCAACATAGGGGCCCGGTCATTGACTAATGGCACTGTCGGATTATTATATCTCGGGGTTGCTCCTGGAACGTATTGCCTATCATCACGTCACTCGCCAGACTCCTCCTAGATAGCTCGTTCAGAAGGTTTTTCCTAAAGCCCAAGTTAGTTAGATTTTAGTGGAAGGAATTGGTCAAGTGAAATACACCTGGGGATTGAAACAGGGGTTGGTCATAAAATATGGATTGATATCGACATTATGTAGAGTGAAATGGTCCTGGCATTGTAGTAGAAATGCTCACTTCATATAGATTATCATCGAGTACACATCTCTCTTCTCTAAGAATTTTCCCATAATTACTTAGCTTTAGTTGGGATAGGAATTTCAATACACGGCGTGACCCGTTTATCAGTCCGAATGGGTCTAATCTAGTTCCAGAACGACCAAGAACCGTACACTACAGTACGGCACGAGAACATGAACGAGAACCGTTCACTGACTATCCCAGATCAGTACGTGGCTTCTCTACGAGCTCCTACCATAGAATGACCAGTGCCAATTGCCAATTCAGCGCTGGACAGTGTCATTAGTGGTTTCTATAAATATTGGTAATAAATAGTTAGCTGAGGTTGTCGTTGGCAATCCCTGCCCGGTTATTCTTCTATCATTGGTGATCTTCTTCTATCACCTGTCGCCTGTCCTTTCGTTAGTCCAGTCTCATGAGCAACACCAACATGACAATATAACTGGCCAAACTGAAGGCTGCGAACCAAATGACGGCGTTGCCACTGGTGATGAAGATCCGATTGCCAAGCGTCTCCTCATACATCATGTGGTCCGTGATCCGTTTGCGACGCAGCGCAACCACCAAAATGAGAATCCCACAGGCCGTGAAGGTGGTGCCCACAGGCATGAACTTGACGCTGAACACCTTGAGCACCAGCAGCGCGAACCCCAACTGACCCATGGCCGACCGATAGTACGCGCCCTCGAACGTGCGCTGCATCGCCCGCACGTCTAGCTTTTCATCCTTGTTGAGCTCCGGAAAAGGGGTGGGATCAATCGCGTAGAACCGCCTGAGTGTGGGCATGCTGTTGAGTGAGAAGATTCAGAGCTGATGGCGACGTCGTGGTAATCACGTGACTGTATCAGTGACGTTGTTGAATATCAAGTCGTGGGGAAATCTGTTCTTCTCTGAACAACAGATCTCTAGTATTTGTTGTCCTTGCTAAACGAGGTATAAGTGCCGATACAGTACATAGTGTACGAGTATAAGTGAGTAGCATGGATACAGCAACTGATGTGACCCTACTGAGAGACCGGAGTGGTGTGAGAAAAGCCGGTGATTCCAGTGAAATGATGAAGACTAGATGGTACGTAATCCCCGTGTCTTTTTTCCGGCAGATTTTGGCAATTTTTATACATGTTTCACATTCGAGTCTGGCCTATTTTTTCTCTCTGAAATTTTGGTTTTCATTTTTTTTTTCTTCATATTTTTAAAAAATTCATGTTTTCTGGCTTGCCTAATTTGCTTCTCTGAACCTCCCCCCACTCGCATCTCGGGTGCAATTCCCACAACACCACACTGACGGTAGGGTAATGGGCGGGTTGACTGTCGACCATGAGCAGGTGGGTTTTTACGAGTACAGGTACTTGCACGGATCTACATGTACATTTCTGGGGGTTCTCGTGATGTTGAGAGTTCTGAATAGATCAAAATCTTCCGGCTCAGCTTTTATTCCAACTTATCTATACATCATCGATTTAGAGTGTTTAGGACTGAATAGTACATACACTGTACATATATGAACAGAACATGTCTCTCAGAATCATATTTGGAGAGAAAAAATAATCAATAAAAGTCAGCAGCCGATATACCAATAGCAATCTGAAACCACCATAAAAGTTCTAATACCTCAAATGTACCTTCTATCGCCCCAAAAGTGGTTCTACTCATCTCCCCAGGCCAGTCCTAACCTGTGAGGTTATAGTGATCTGTGGAATGGCGGCATGCACGATAATAATGGGTGGTAATTTGACAATGTGACAATGTGACAATGTGACAATTTGTTAGTGGAAAAAACTTTCGTGCACCTATAGATTAAGAGCCAATTGAGTAATTCGTGCCTATAGATTAAGAGCCAATTGAATAATTCGTGCCCCAAATATTCCTCATAATTGACGGGCCCAGTCCTTTTTTCACTTGCTACTGCAACTCCAACTGCTCACTCGCGGGTCGAGGTTGGGAGAAAGTGCATCAAACTATACGGCGAGAGAAACATGTACGTGTTTACTAGAAGACAATTGTCTGATGAGGCCAAAGTAGTACAGCTAGAGACGTGAAAAAAACACATCATTAGACAATTGTGGACCGTCTGACCAATCTAGATAATTTTCAGACCCCCACATGGCCCCAATTTTCCACAAACCCGACCCCCGAACCAGGGCCAGGGTTGCGACAAACCCTCGACATGCACGTTAAACTGAGCTTGGGTGTGACCATCAATCACCACACTCTCTTCACAACAACAACCACACAACATAGCCATCAACGTGAGTATGAGAGGGCGAAAGAACCGCAGGAGAAGGAACAGTGACACAAAAGGACGGCAATTAGTTTTGATGGGATAGCAGATCTGCTCCACTCACTCATGAGACTTGCCGCCCGCGCTCTGCCCCTGGTCCCACCCACTAACCCAGATGGAACAAGAAAACATTGACATTCCTGACGAGCTGTACCCCCTGGCTCTGCTCATGGACGAGCTCAAACACGACGAGTTTTCGCTGCGAATCTCTGCTATGAAAAAACTGCAGCTCATCGCCGCAGCCCTACGCCAAGAGCGATGCCGTGACGAACTCATCCCCTTTCTGGAGGATGTCACACAGGAGGACGAGGACGAGGTCCTGACCGTGCTGGCTGAGGAGCTCGCCAACCTGGTTCCCTACATCGGAGGCCCCGAGTACTCGCACCTGCTGATCCCCTCTCTAGAGACCCTGTCTTGCATGGAGGAGCCTGTTGTTCGGGACAAGGCCGTGGAGTCCATCAACCGAATCTGTGAGGGATTGCCGTCACGTGATCACGTGGCCCAGACCATCCTGCCTCTGGTGAAACGGCTTTCTTCTGCAGAGTGGTTTTCCTCCAAGGTCTCTGCCACCGGTCTCTATGCTGCTGCCATTCGACACTGTCCTACCGAGGCTGTTCCCGAGCTTCTCAAGCAGTATGGAGAGCTCACACGAGATGACACCCCCATGGTCCGTCGAGCTGCCGCCACCCACTTGCCTGCAGTGATTGAGGCTTTGCCCGCGGAAGCTGATTCTCCTGAGGCCGACGACGAAATCTACTCCATGTTCAAGGCACAGGTGGGCGACGACCAGGACAGCGTGCGACTGCTGTCGGTCAACGTGCTGATTGCCAAGGCCGAGAAGCTCAAGCGACAGGGCAACTCGCAGCACACGTCTTCGCTGATCGAGTTTGCTCTCGCACTGCTCCATGACCCCTCGTGGCGGGTGCGATACATGTGCGCCGACCGGTTCGAGAAGCTAGCCGAGTCGCTCACCTCAGTGGTGCCTGAGGAGGGCGTGGAGAAGACGGAGGTGGACGAGATGGAGCGAGCTTTTGTGCCCGAGTTCATCAAGTTCATGCAGGACGGCGAGGCTGAGGTCCGGACAGCGGTGGCCAAGCAGGTGCCTGGCTTCTGCCGGCTCGTTACCCCCGCCAACCTCGACAAGATTGTTGCCAACGTCGAGGAACTATCTCAGGACTCGTCCCAGCACGTGCGGGCTGCTCTGGGCTCCGAGATCTCGGCCCTGGCACCGCTGCTCGGCAAGGAGAAGACAATTGAGACTCTGCTGCCTACATTTCTGCAGATGCTCAAGGATGACTTCCCCGATGTGCGGCTCAACATTATTTCCAAGCTTCATCTGGTCAACAAGGTGATTGGTATTGATCTACTGAGCCAGAGTCTGCTTCCTGCAGTCTCGGATCTCGCGCAGGACAAGCAGTGGCGAGTGCGCCTGGCCATCATCGAGTACATCCCTCTGCTGGCCACACAGCTGGGCGTCTCCTTCTTCGACAAGGAGCTGGGTCCCCTGTGCATGACCTGGCTGTGGGACAGCGTCTACTCGATTCGAGAGGCCGCCACACAGAACCTCAAGAAGCTGACCAAGGTGTTTGGTGTGGACTGGGCCAAGGACGAGATTCTGCCCCACATTATCGTCGTTGCTGCGGATTCCAACTACCTGTACCGACTCACGGCCCTCTGTGCCGTGACCACACTCATCCCCGTGGTGGACGAGTCGATGATCAAGACATCCATTCTGCCGTTCATTGCCGAGCTCATCAACGACCCCATCCCCAACATCCGTTTCAATGTGGCCAAGACGTACACAGAGTTGGTGCGGGCTCTGCACGAGGAGAAGATCAGCTCGCCTGAGGTGATTGAGGAGATTTGCACATCGACCGTGATCCCCCACCTGGAGCGGCTTTCCACCGACGGCGATGTGGACGTGCGCTACTTTTCCACCAAGGCTCTGGAGGACATTGCCGAAATCAAGAAGGCTCACGCATAGGGTAGGAGACGGGCTGTGGACATGAATTAGATGAATAGTTAATGAGTATAAACGGACGCGCGGTAGTGAGAGGCCGCTTGCAAGAGCCCTGTAGCCTTTACTTTGAGAAGAGAAAGTAAACGGTTTTAATACGGCTCTGGTTGAAGTGGGTGATGCGAGTATGTAGGAGGCTACTTATAGATAGTTCTTCAGGAATGTAAGTTACCCGTGTATACCGAACAACAGGGCTAGACGCTAGACGCTACTCTTTGTACCAACTCGTACCTGTACAGAACCTGTTCAGGACGGGTGCCTATTGTTAACATGCCCAAGGGTACGATTACTCTAGTGCACTTGAATCGTACAGTACTCTCTTGAGAGAGTCAATTAACCGACATTGTAGACTCCTCGCTTCTCGTACCCATCGTACAGTACATGAACTCGTGCCGAACGCACATCAAGAGAGGTGCAGCACTAAGTTGTCCCCTCATCTTGTCGAGTTCCCACACCGTTGCGCACGCACCCAGCTCGTATTGCAGTCTACAGTAAGGATCAATTATCTGTGTTTGGAGCGTCTCGGCTACATGTTTCTGTTTCAGCCGTTTTGTTTTGAAACAGAGACAGTGGTGAGGTGACCCGGGTCACGGTTTCCGAAGAGTCATGGGGCGTTGCGAGTATCGTACAAGTACTTGTAGATCTACTGGCAGAACTACATACCATATGATGATCATCTACCAATCGGCTACAGATTTTCATATTCAGGTTCACGTGATTTTTGGGACCGATGACATTAGAGAGTCATATTTCGGATGAAAAAGTGAAAATTCAAAAAATCAAAAATCAAAAATCTATATACGCCACCGTTGGTCTCCACGGCTTTGCTACTCACGCTTCTATCATCTCCACTCGGAAAAACGCATGCAACGGGTTGTGCAGATGGCCGGATTTGTGTGTGTATGAGAGGAGACAGAGTCTACACTATTAATAGAGCACTTGGTGCATGCATACTCGTACAAGTGCCCAGACCTGTTGTCAAGGTACAGTCATACTTGTATCCGGTCATCTGTGATGGCTGATGACATATGTCCCGCCGCCTACAAGTATGTACTGTACAGCACTGGCTTTGCCTGTCACATCGGTTTGCTTTTGCTTCTTCCGCCGAGGTGCCAGAGCCCATCCCAGATACATGAGGCATGTCAGATGGAGATGGCCAGAGACAGCTGTTATACATGGTGGCAACCGTGTCTTGCCCACCCGTCTCAGTGACGTAATAATTGTGCACCAACCGAACTCTGTTCCCTTTCTGTCATGAGAAGATGTCCCATGCACAAGGTGAAGGGTGCAGTTGAAACATCCGGACAAATGTCAGAGTCTGGCAGCAGGCGTGGTGTTCCTGGATTACACGGTACAAGTACTTGCACGGAGCTTGTACTATACTTGTGAACGATTCCATAACTGATACTATTCTTCAGACTGACACTTGTTGACAGTCACTGTAATTACATTACAGCAATATGGGATATACTCGACATAATATTGACATGCAGAGGGACAAAAAATTAATTGTACAAAATAAATAGCAGACCAGCGTGTATAACATAGTAGAGTGTGTGTATCAGATGTGACAGTATCAGCACTAGTATGTAATGTCACATATAACGGTCTGAAAGACGTTTCGTGATTACAGTACCGGTACAGTACATAATAGGGTGGTCTTAATCAGTTATTATAATTAGTTAGAATAAATTAGAATAAATAAGCAAATGATCTAGAGACCCTCGAGGCCCCTAAGTAAGTCATGACGACCCCTAAATAAGTCCCGAGAGTCCCGAAAGGAGCCCAAGATGGCCACGGCTAGCCCTCACTCTATTACAACCCCGGATAGAAATCAAGATGTATTGAAATGAAATCTGCAAGTAAGATGCAATAGAATAAATATATGGTGGGTTGAGTGTCCATCGAAGTCATCCAGTGACAAAAAGTAGAAGTACGGGTTCAGTAGCCTGCGCGTGAGAGCCCAGGCCCCAAACAAACGCACTGTGTTGCATAGAGGGAAAGTGATTAGTGTCCTTGAAGCTGGTGAGAAATATCTTGTGGATCACAAGCTCCAGATATGAGCCTTGAGATGGAGGCCTCATTTCAGATGATCCTCCTCTGAGCCCTATAGTCTGCATCAATGCTCAGACTCGAGTGCTTTTGGTCCAGGACTCAGTAGACCGGGTGTCGCGATGGTGAAGTCCCCTGTAGAGCCCTAATTCAAGGCAGGACTTCTGGCTCGCATAAAACTGAGCGTGTAGCCGGCCTAGACTGACAAAAGCCTCTGGCACCTAATCTTCGTCGCTCTCCAACGCATCCTTTTCGCCCAGCAAATGCTTGTGCCAGTCCATCAACTGAAAAATCAACGTCATGTTCGGTCCGATTTCCGGCGACCGGTACTTGACCCAGTCATAGGCTGCATTCAGATCAAGCTGCTGCTTCTTCATAATGTAAGCGATCAGCAGCGACGCACTTCTTGAGACTCCACACTGACAGTGAACCAGCACACGCTTGCCAGCAGCACTTCTGTCATCAATCAGCTGCGTGAGATACGGCAGGTCAGGCAGGAACTTGGAGTTGTGTCCCCAGGGCACGTAGACGTACTCGGGGTTGGTCTGTCCATCATTAGCATACTGCTCCTCGGAGAACGGGTTGTCAATCTCCTTGGCCACGTTGATGACCACGTCGAACGTACGGGCGAGCTCCACAGAAGGCTCCGAGTACAGGTAAACGTTGCTGGGGTAGATGAGCAAGGGTCCATCTGGGTATGCGTTCTCATGGTGCACGGAGGGAGTCATGAGCTCCTCTGCGAACAGGTGATGTTTGCTGGGTGGAAGCGCATCGTCGTAGTTTGGTGGCGGTGTAGTGTGTGTAGTGTTATCGGAGTTGGGGTCCGATTCCGAGTCCGACAGCGACAGCTGAGAGGCCGCGGAGTTGGCGGAATGGTGCGACTGGGACGTCGGGGTGCCCAAGGGGGCAGGCAGAGTGTTTGAGCCGGAGCACGTGGCCAGCGGGATACTGATACTCAGTTGCGATGTTCGTCTCTGCATCGTAAACGGTGGTGGTTCCATACTGAAGGGAGGCACACTAGACACAGTGGCAGAAGCGGCTGGTTGTACCTGCGGACTGGGGGACTGTCTCTTTGGGGAGGTTCTGGAGTGGTAGTTTTTGTGTTCGCTGCGGTAGTCACTGTCGTAGGCTGCGTCCTCGGGCTCGGCGTCGACGTGGGATCGTTTGACGGAACCCTTGCGAGACAGTCCCAGCGAGAAGGAGGCTGCCAGAGGAGAAGCAGCAGCAACCGAGGGGGCGGACGCTCGCACGGGCGTCGAGCTGACAGGCAGCACAAACGGCAGCGGCGCCGCTATCGAAGGCTCTATAGATGTGTGAGGCGGCGAGACATTGTTATTGCTGTGGCTGTTGTGGCTCTGGTTGCTACCTTGAGGTACCATCAACGACAGGTTTTTGGTGTTGGAGTTTTTGCCCTTGGGCGGTCGGAACGGCAGGTGGCGCGGCGGCGCCGGCAACGAGTCCATGGCGTCGGGATCGTGTATCTGTTGTGCTTGTGGGTGGTGGTGGTTGGAGGGCACGTGCGAACCCGCCATGTCGGCCACCGAGCAGTTCATGGGTATCTGGGAGAGGTGAGGAGAGTTGGGGTTGGTTCTGGGCCTGTCGTTACGGGACTCGAGTCGTGAGAGCTGCGGGAGAGTGCCGGGTGCGCGTGGGGGTTGCGAGTATCCAGATGAGTTGGTTCTCGGGCGTGAGTACGTCGCACTTTGGTGTGTGTGTGTGTTGTGTTGTGCGGTGGTGGTGAGGCCAATGTATATTCAATATACATGTATGTACAAGGGAGTCTATTCTGGCTTTTTGGCAAAGTTAGTGTGCACCTTGTTTTTTAACCTTCGTCTGAGGCTGGCACTCTGATCTATTTTTGTGTACGCACCCACATGTGGGAGGTAGCTCATGTGAGTTTATTGTGCTCCCATGTGAGCGCTGTGGTGCTATAAATATCCATTGTGGGATGGCCAAACGCCAGCTTGGAGCGTGAGGACGGCGCCGCGAGATTGGGCAGGGCATTTGTAATTTTTTTTTGGGGCCCAACATTGATTTTTCCGGTTTTCACTTTGGCGTCATGGCAGCAGAGTCCTCCACTCGTACCTTGCCTTCGCCCTTTACTCTTTACCCCTTGCCTTTGTCACTGTCTCTTTTTGACCTTTTTGTCCTTTTTTTGACATCCTTGATTTACAGTACTTGATTATAGTCTTGTTACTGTGGAGGGTGCACAACACAAGACTGTGTGGGAGCGTCGGGAGGGGGAGTATCAACAGAGTCGGCATACATTCGTACAGTACAACGTGTACATACCCAGCTAGGACGGTCCGAAACCAGCTGCAAGTCCCCCAGATTTCGGCCACACGTGCCCTCCAGCCATCCGCCGACTCACATTCATTCCTGATAGTCGCATCTGAAGCACCCTTGTTTTGCACCCGTGTTTCAACGTGAGACGTGCAAAAATTAAATGCATCTTTTCACGCACTAAAACTAACCGACACCAGTGCACCCAAGTGAAACCTGCGGTTTTAGATTTGGCAGGCCTGCACGCTTTTCGTTGTTGGTTTCAGGACCACTCTCAACGGAGGTATGGGATGACGTATGAACGTGGGAGCAGCAGCGAGAACCAGCTCAACGTGCAGACATTGTCCAGGGTATCCACTTGCAAAGGCCTCGGAATGTACCACACTCCGGCGCGAGCACCGTTTTTCCTTGGTATTGCCCGTAGGGGCTCTGTTCCCCAGTCTCTCAATCAAGGAGTAAATCAAGCCAAAATAACCCTACAATCATAAAACTGTACTGCGACCAAAGGTAGACGTATCCGAGTAGATTCCGGGGGCTCCAGCAGTTGTGTGTCAGTTGTCAGAGTCTTCTCACAAGACGTTTCACTAGAAAACGCTAGCTCGTAATATTGGCATTGTTTTGTCTTCATTTTCAAATAATATCCCCAGCATAATTTGGCTGCCTGCCTTTGTGGAGGGCCAATGGGACTCTACAGGAAGTGTGACAACCACAAGTGTCTACCGAGCATCTAGCATCTACAGTACATACAGAAAATTGTTATAAACGGATCCGACGCGGTCACATGACACGTACCCCTGACATGAGGAGGCTGGAAGAAGAGCTCAGGAAGCTCGATATGGACACGTCGACCATCATTCCAAACTGAAACCATGTGTGGAAAAGGGTGTGCGTGATCGGCACCATGCGTTAAGGGTAGTCTGGGTCTGGGTCGCGATGAACACGGTCTAAATGGGAAATGGACGCGAGACGAGAGGAGACAGGTATAACGGACAAGTAAAGGTCGCAGAGACAAGAGGAAAGCTGAAATCGACCCAGAATCGCTCAATTGATTGACCAAACGGCTTTCAAACAGACTACCTCCTCTCAAACATACTCAAAAGTGAACCCCCCTCCCACCTACTGCACCACGATCTACAGTCTCACAAGGACATCTCATCTGTCCATATCTCATCTTGCAGCCACCTCTTTGTCGAGCCCACCAAAGGCAAAAGAGAGCGACCCCAAAGTGAATCTCTCTATCGAACCGTCCATCATGTATGGCTGCATTACCATATTCGATCCGTTCCTGGTGCTGGTGCAGGTACAGAGCAAGGCACAAGATATGAACGTACAGAAGCCAATGTTCTGGGGCTGTGTCGATAGTTGGCTGCCTTTGGTTCCTTCCTACAGTACGAGTACAGCTGAATTGTACTTCAACTCCACCCAGACATGTACGATACTTGTCTCTACTTGTAGCTCGATTAGTAGCCTCTGTGGTCGTATCAGTGCGTCGAGCAAGTGTACAAGTGCACGCTTGTGAGACACGGCACTTGCTTGCTACCAAAGACATGTGGAACAGCATCGAATGAGTATGGTCACGTCCTCTGAGACCTTGGATACGACATGGGTGCATTTCCGTGGACGACCTGCATTCAATGAGACACGAGTGGCGGAGAGAATGGCGAAGAAAATCAAGACTGGTATGTATCTGGAGTCCACGCTACATTTATCCACCAGTGGGCTCACCCTTACGCCCACAAATCACGTCTAGCCACACTAACGGGCGTTTTAAAGCATCACAAAGAGCAGTAGCGCGGAGAGCCGCCTTAGTTGAAGTTCCTAGCGCCACTACTGTAGAGCGCGGATAGTGTCCATAACTCTTACCCATCAGCTGATCCCGTAGTCACACAGTGTCAGCTCAAGGACATACCTACAAATGTAGCTATAGGCGGCGTCTTGTCGACTTCGCGAGAGGCTGGGGGAAGCAAAGCTAAGCGAACGGAAAGAGAAGCGAATACGAGTTGCTTTCGAGCTAGCGACGGATTCAAATGGAGAGCCAAGCCAACCTAATCATCTACAAGTACAGGTAGCTTGTTTGAAGAGAAGCCACAGATGTAAACTGTGGGTGTGAGAGATGGAGCCGAAAACTTGTGAGAAATGGACAATCTTGTATGGTGGGGTCAATGTTTCATCTTTGGATGTCAATCGAACAATGTACTGGTATGTGTAGATACGAGTACGAGAGTGTGTTGAGCCTTTGAGAGCGGTAAAAAGGAGCGTCACCAGCTTGCCCATTCCCACTACAAGTAGTAATCAGCGGGGTCATTCGATTATCTACCGTTGGTGTCTCAGTTGCTGAACGACAAGAACCGACATCTTAGGGGAGCCCGAAATAACATGCTATAAGTACTTGTAGTCTGTACTGGGTGTCACAGTATGTACTACTCATGTCAACAGTAGATGAGTATTTGCAACCAGTACTGTAGTTGTAACAGGACTACTGCCCCAGTATCCATCCATTCAGTCAAACAGCAAAGCCCCTACTGGACATCCAGAGGATATAACATGAGGAAAACATACCCACATGAGGAAAACTTGACATGAGGAAAACATGACATGAGGAAAATAAGTCAATTAATCATTCAAGGATTCTGTGAATATCTGTTAGCCGCAACTCCCGTTTCATTCGGTCATGTACTCGGAACTCTAGACTCACCATCAGACACGCTACTGTACCATTTATTGTAACGCAGGAACGTTACGACTGATTCACCACCTTAAACCCCCTCTAAGAACCCATCAACTAGTCTCATTCACTAGCCCTCCTGTGATTAAATACTACCGTTGGATTCCCCATCGTCTTTTTTCTCTAGTGATTTATTAACATAGACAAATAATGGCGGAAAAAAGGGGGATGTTGGTATGTGTCCAAACACAGCCAACGCCCAAGAACAAGACGCTTGAATGTTGCTCCTATCAATCCAAATAGAAAAAGATACGACAAGGTCCGCCATTATTCATAATACCGGTTTGTACAAGTACTGTACAGACAACTCATTTATCATGATCCAATTGGGTCAATATATCTATATATGGGTGTTAGCTACTAAGAACACTATACTGTTCAATAACTACGTACGCTTACTCATCTAAACCAAGTAGCTACTGTACAAGTATACCAAAACAGCTATCACATAGTGGCACAAACAACCAAAAACTACCCTGGAATCAATAGCACCACCCTTCTCTGCTTCGAACACTACATGTACAAGAAGTGCTCTCGAGCCTAGACAGTCATGTTACAGTAGTTCAGGAACCAGATCAAAAAGCAAATAAATACGATCGAATGTACCTCTTAACTTCAATATGGCATGTGTTCGGAGATATCAGTGGGATCCTCATAGCTTTGCGCGAACATGTACACACACCTACATTGTCACCAACATATGTACTGTGCTGTACATCCTGTACTCATATATCCGTGGAGACAGCCGAACTACAAACAATTATACTCACATCTCCTTCTACACTACTGTTCTCATTCGGACTAGATCCTCAGCGGACTAGATCCTCAGGCTCTCTTCTCATATCATCAATCCATTCTAACCTCTATCTACCTACTATCTTGTCACCTCCAAGGTTGCAACATAAATAGAGTTTCTATATAACCGTACTTAATCTCTTACTGAGAAGCACACTGGACACCCTGGGCTCCTCCAGGTCCATCCTCATCCATGTCCATCTCATCATCGCCGCCCATAGCTCCTCGGTGCTTGAGAGGATCCACGTCAGCCAGAACAACATCGTCAACATGGACACTCTCGGGCACACTGGGAAGAGCAGGCTTGGCAGGCAGAAGAGCAGACAGCTGTTGCAGAGTCTCCTCGTTGAGAGAGCCAGATGCGGGGAACTCGACCTCAAACTGAATGAACAGGTTGCCGTGAACCTGGTGTCGGTAGGAGGGCATACCCTTGCCCTCCACGACCTTGGTGGTGCCATGCGAAATGATCTCGCCGGGGATGATCTCCACCTTGATCCACTCCTCCTTCTCAAGATGCTCAATCATGAAAGAGCCACCGGTAAGGGCAGTGTTGAGATCAATCTTGGCGTGGTAGTACAGATCGTCGCCTCGTCGGACAAATCGGGCGTGGGGCTGCTCATCCAGCACAAAGACAACGTCACCAGGAATAATATCAGGACCCTGGTCACCCTCACCAGAGAAGGTGATCTTCTGTCCGTTGACCATACCCTTATCAATGTTGACCTCGAGCACCTTTCGCTCCTCCTTGGTCTTTCTTCCGTTACAGTCCTTGCATCGATCCTTGGGGTCGATGATCTCGCCCTCGCCGTTACAGTCGTTACACTTGGTCTGGTATCGCTGCAGCATGGGGCCCATTTGTCGGGTGACAAACTTGAATCCCTGACCCTTACAGGTCTCACACTTGTTGACGGAGCCGGCCTTGCCTCCGATACCGTCACAGCCGTTACAGAGCACGGTCTTCTTGAGAGCCATCTTGGAGGTCTTTCCTCGGAACAGGTCCTCGAGGGTCACGGACACGGCGTGAACAATGTCACGGGATCGTCGGGGGCCCTGGGGCTGGCCGCCGCCGAACATGCCGCCCATGCCGCCCATGCCACCGCCGCCGCCAAAGAAATGCGAAAACAGCTCCTCAGCAGATCCGCCGCCCATTCCTCCGTCGGCTCCTCCGCCGAGGCCAGCCTCTCCAAAGTTGTCGTATGCAGCTCTCTTCTGGTCGTTTGACAGAACCTCGTAGGCCATGGAGATTTCCTTGAACTTGGCCTCGGCCTCGACGTTGCCGGGGTTCTTATCGGGGTGGTATTTGAGAGCACCAACTCGGTATGCCTTTTTGATTTCCACTTCGGTGGCGGTTACGCTGACGCCTGGGTTAGTAAAGCACTTCGGGGTGCGTGGCACGACTGAGCGAGAGACAGGAGAGATGTGGGAGCACGTAGCGTGTCTGGTAATACCAGGTTGTGTGGTTTGGTCATGGCAATCGCAGGATGGTAATGAGAGAGCCGCAACATTGCTACTAACCAGTGTGACAAATCCAGATGAACAGCCAGTCATGTACACAAACACAGAACCATCCTCAGATTGCACTGTGTTCATATTCATACTGCCACATTGTCACATTGTCACATTGCCAATCCCTCCCACTCAACATCACCACAGTTTCGCTTCGCTTCTGATCCTTGATATGATAAGACTCTGATCACAAGTCTGTGTGTGGTCTTCATACTATTCAGCTTCATCTCAACCGCTCCGTCCATTCACTCTCCTCTTCTCTTCTCTTCTCATACTCACCGAGAACGTCGTAGAGTTTTGATTCCTTGACCATTTTGTCTGTGTCGTGTGTTTGTGTTGTTGTGAGAGTCTAGGTCTAATTTTTCCAGGAGGCCTCAACTTCTCGTAGATTGGCTTGTATATACACTGCCAAAAAATTTGAGGATGGGCCTGAAAGTTAGAGGGCACAAAGAGTACTGGGAGTGTTTAACGCGAATAAGGTTCACAAAGAAGGGTGTAGAAAGATCCAGACACTGCCTGCTCAGTCCCGTGCCAGTGGAGAAAGAAGGGCGTTGGTGGGGTGGCGTGGGAGTGGTTTTTTGCTGTGTATTTTTGCCACGCGAAATCGGGTCTCTGGCTCCATTTTGCGGCCGTTTTGGGGTCTCTGACGTCGTGCATAAAGTGTTCAGTTGTGCGAGCTCTTGTTCCAAGACCTTCTTCCAGTTTCCCCAATGTTCGATGAGCTCAACTTAGTGACGTAATCGCGAGTTATAATTTACAGGTACGGGAGCGGGATCGCATCGAGGAAGGGCGATGGTGGGGACACAATTAAATATCACGCAAAAATAGTGATAAATATACGTGTGCCATGGGCAGTATATTTTGATTCTTTTTGCGTGATATTTATTCATCCCTTCAACCGCCTCATCTCGGATCCCAATTGTCTCGAGTTAATCACTGATGCACAATCTAATTGCACGCTGGGCACGAGTAAAAACGACGTGCTGGGGCGTGGGTTGGTGCCTCAGATAGCAAGGTATACGCAATCGAAGCAGCATGGAAGTTTCGTGGTCAGTGGGGACCGGTTTGGGGTCCACGAGATAAGTTCTAGGGTGTTCTAGGAGCTGAGAAAGAGTGATGTGTAGATGGGCTTAAAAATTACCGACAAGTAGAAGGGGAGTCAACTAAAGATTCAAGTAGCAAAACAACCAACGGTGAAGGATTGCAACTTCGTTGGTATTGAATCGATAACGATTTTGGAGCAGTTAGAAGCTTTAAGAAGGTGGCCGGGCTGAATAAATGAATTTCAGCGTCCGAAATACCTCTTGAAACAGCTTTTGAAGCCTCGTGTGATGGTGCTCACATCGGAACTCCTACTTGTAGTAGTATGTTACTGGGACTGGATGGAGACATCTTGATCTGCTGGATAAGAGATTTATTTTGAACCACTCAAGTCCATTAGATTCATTGGATGACTTGGTTGATTGATTGAAAAGAACTGCAGAAATCTGATCAGCAGATTGCTATAGCTGGCTTACCATTGTCCTTCCGTTACTTTTTTTTTTTTTTTTTCCTGCATATACATTCATTTAATTATAACTTTGCTGTGAAAGAATAACCTTTGAAATGAATGTACGCTTTTCTTACCTCTGTCGGATCATTTACTTGGAAGTTAGTTAGAGAAAATGCCAGCTTGAGGTTCAATACAGATCCCAGCGTCGTTCGAGATCCAAGGAGGATCTTTGAGAAAAAAATGTAGCCGAATATATATTAATATATTTCGATATACCTGGATTGACCAAAATGTAGGACTCAACATTACCTATATTAGTTTGGACTAATGTACCCTGAAGGGGTTTAGCTACCAGAACACCAAATAACCACCTTCGAGAGAGTAGACCTCTGTTTGTCAAGTACGAGCTACAAGTACAGTACAGTACAGTACTTCACTTCTAATAACAATAAATTAATGCAATAAATCCATGCTGTTGTCGTCTGCCATAGTGATGCAGCTGTGAATGATTTGCCAATCGTCCAGTAATGTTGCAGATATCTCTGCAACAGCCCACTCAATAACGGGTCGTTTGATCCGTACAACTGTCACGGCGAGGAATGTTGAGCACGACCTTCAGGCTGTCAGATGGGTTCGCTCGTTCGCAAAGTTCACTCATCCACCTCCTCCTCGTCACTCGACTCGTAATCCACAGGAGCCAGACCAGGAGTCAAGCCAGGCTGACCCTTGTACCGCTCAAACTCATCCTCTCCCTCAGACTCAGTTTCCTCCTCCTCAGGCTCGACATAGTTGGGATACGTCTTGTGCTTCACCTTAGGCTTGGGCAGACGACCCGTGAGCTCAGCAAGCTGCTTGGACTTGAGCATATGGGAGCCCCGCTTGGAGTTGACGTGCTTCATGATCTGGGCTTGAAGCTGCTCCTCGTCCATCGCGTACTCGGACTCCTTGACGTCATAGGATCGCACCAGCCGCGCGTTCTTCTTGATCTCAGCCTTGCGCTTCTTGTCAGCGAGCTCCTTGTCCAGAAGCAGCTTGAGCTCCTCCTTCTGTTTTTGCTCTTTCTGCCGTAGCTTTCGCTGGGTCGCAGACTTCTTTTTGTGCACTCGTCGGCTCACGTCCTCGGACGGAGCAAGCGTTCGGCTCAGTAGCTTGGCAACGGTGGCCTCAGAAGCACTTGAAACGCCCATCTTTTGTGTGTAATGTGGTGGTGATGAGTTTGTCTTGGATACAGATATGCACGACAAAAATAATTTTCGAAATCATGCATGTCGAGGTTTAGGGTTTGTATTACATAAGCGAGGGAGGGACGGAGCACTGGGTTGTATAAACCGGCCCTAGCGATGCTATATCGGAAATATTGAAAGACATTTTTGTTTTTAATCTCGTGAAAAGTATTATTCACACATATTTTATCTCGTAACTCATGTCAGACATCCAAGTTGGATGAACTTCATATCTTGGACGCCATCAAAGCCATATAACAGCCGAATGGAACTCGATGAGAAACTGTTAGACTAGAGAATATTGCTTATATGGCTTTATTACTCAGATCACAAGACTTCATTTCCATACAAACCTCCTAAGACTGGTGTTGGACCTAATGAGAGTAGACTCTACAGCATATCTCCAACTTGGTGTGCCATAAGGGAAGGGCAATGTGAAGATATGCGGCTAATGTTTTTTTATAAATACAATAAATACTCAGTTTATATGGATTTAAAGTAATTTAAACCATTTTGGATCACTCTGGGATGTCTTAATTAGACACCTCGTGCTCAAGTGCAGAGTTATGATAAGCTTACATAATCAAAAAAACAATTGGTTTTGAGAAGGGTCTTATTTAGTTGACTGATTTGAGAGATACTTTCAAACATGGCCAATTTTCAACATAACGAGCCAGTACAAGGCCCAAAATGAGTGAAAGAGAAATTTCAGTGTCAGTTTGTTGCATTACTTTCACTGATAATACAACAGCACGTGATTTTTCTCGCTCACCAACTGCTGTCCTGTAGATCTCCAAAAAAGTGTATTCCAATTTCACTAATTTGTCAACTAACTATGGAGGTTGAATACACATGGAAGTGCACATATTCATCCATGATCTTGATGTAGATCATTTGAACCGAGATAAGTCTTTTATTTAGATGATTTTGTATCTATAAATATAAATATTAGCTCTCCATCCCTGCGGGAACACTACAAACGAACTCCCAGGTGTATTTTTGCCTCAACAAGTTGTCAACTAAAATGTCGACTAGAGACTACAGTAATCACAACCAGCGTCGACCTAGAACAACGAATACAACGTCCAATGACATGAAAAATACATCATTGGATTTCGCTAATCTGGGGCTTTAAATCGACATTACAAAGATGCCCAAAAGTCTACAGCTGCAAATATATCGAGACCACTTGTTGATACTACACTTTGATGCTGAGATGATGAGATATACACTCTACTTGAAGGTCAGGAGGTTGTCTTAGGCTAGGGAAGAGAGACATGTGGCAAGACATGTGTTCAGAATCCGTCCAGAATCTGTCCGTTATTGAGTGTTATTGAGCCGCAGAACCATTTAGATTCCGTATTATCGTGATTTACGTGGTAATGTGTAGCACACGTAACATACTGCATCCACTCATATCCTGCAGATCTACAATACTGTGTGTACAATTGCGCGAGTACTTATACAATATCCATCTTGAATCGACAAAAGCAATCTCAAAGGATGGACAAGACTTTACTTGTACTGTACAAGGTGCTAATATGATGAATACTGTCTCCGCACAGTTATTTATGTATTCGCTCGAGCACATTACTCGTACATAATGTGGCTCGCCAATAAGCACTACAACTGAATTGACCGTAAAGAGAGCGCCTACAACACTCAGATGGGCGGATAATAGAAAGTGTTTTCTTACAACACATGCGCTCTCCGGTTGTAGTGCTTGGCTCTTATTACGACACTGATAGCTACACTCGTTCGCAGATGGAGCCGTAAAACAACAGTCGCTACAGTCCTGTTATTTTCCGCAACCCCAACTGCTCGCTCTCCTAATAAAAATGCATTTCCCCTCTCTATCTGTAAGGAGCATCAGCGTCCAGAGCGTACTGCAGCTCGAGCTCCCACTTGTCTCCGTTAGCAAGCAGCTTTTCCTTGTTGTACAGCAGCTCTTCTCGAGTCTCGGTGGCGTACTCCACGTTGGGAGTCTCGACAATGGCGTCCACGGGGCACGACTCCTGGCAGTAGCCGCAGTAGATGCACTTGGTCATGTCGATATCGTACTTGGTGGTTCGTCGCGATCCGTCGATTCGCTCCTCAGCGTCGATGGTAATTGCCAGAGCGGGGCAGATGGCCTCACACAGCTTGCAGGCAATGCATCGCTCCTCACCACTGGGGTAACGTCGCAGGGCGTGCTCGCCTCGGAATCGAGGAGAGACGGGTCCCTTCTCGAACGGGTAGTAGATGGTGTAAGGAGCTCGGAAAAACTGTTCCAGCACAACGTACAGGCCACGGAACATCTCGGCCAGCAAAAAGTACTTGGTGGCCTTGGAAAGAGCGCCCTCTTCGCTCTCCTCCCAGGTGGCGGGTCTGTGAATTCGGAAGCCTGCTGGGGGAGCAGCAGCGGCAGATCCTCCGGCGTAGATGTTGATGGCGGAGTCTGTGGCGGGGGCGTGGAGCCGGGCTGTGGAGGACAGCAGCCGCATGGATCCGGGAGCGCCTCGCAGAATCGATCGGGTGACAGCGGGTCGGACCAGACTCAACATTTTTTTTTGGTTTGTGTGTGGTGGTGATGTGTGTGGTGTTGTACCCTCTCCAAGCAGTATTACACCTTTAAGCTTGTCACGTAATTTTGCTTGCTTTCATTGGCTGACGGTTGGGAGGGACGAGGTTAGGGTTCCTTGAAATGAGTGGCCGCAGGCCACGAATGGTCTACAGTGGGTGTATTGGTGGGTGAATTTTCGTTTTAGACGTGGCATATGATTGGCCGCATGTAAATTAGTATATATTTATTTCAAAAATTGCACATTATCCACCCCTCGACCTACTTGTTGCAACCTCCGGACAACCCCCCATTAGCGAATGCTGATTGTAACTGAGGTTATTGGTGGGAATTCCACCCCCCCCGCAAATTTTGTTTGCATATGGGGAGACGAAAAGGTGTGGGTTCGAGTTTGGCGCGGGTTGAAAAGGGGGATATTGTGAGTAGAGTTTGGTGATACTGTACCAACAGTGCATTCAGGTTGGGAGTTTGAGTCATTCGGGATATAAAGAAATATATGATAGAAGTACGAATAAAATAGTAATTAGCTATCCTAAAACACGGCTCTACGAACGGCCATTTGATCGACATATTGGCGACAGATTACTACTGTACTTGTACTTGTACTTGTATTTGTATTTATACTCTTCTTTCGGACATGTCACTGACATTATTTCATTTCGTTACTCGGACATTTCAATCCATTCCTCTGTCTTGCCTCTCCCGTCTGCTGTATGTCTAGCAGAAGGTCCGACTCACGATCTTCGCAGCTCCTTCATAATCACCAATTATGATACCAAGAGTGCTATTAAAGCCGCTAATAGGGCCAAATAAATAAATGCAACACGATATAGCGGGGAACAGTGCTACATGGCTCATGCTGTCATTGGCCCACATTTTGGAGGAAGGGCAGATAAGAAAACTTGTTGGTGATAGATTCACTGGTCTCTACAGGTGGTAGTTGAGCTCAACATGCCATATTCCACTACTGTCACATTGTCTGTCCCTCCTACCATGCACTATTAACCTGGAAATGAAAAGCTTGTCAAGCCGATATGTCCGACGGTGGCTGCAGGGTGGGCATTACACCTGTTAGCCGAGATGAGGCGGCCGAGATGAGGTTCACATTTCTTGTTTCACGACCGGGGGAAAGAGCAAAAAGTATCCGCCGGGGGCGCGTGACCGTTGAATAGAAGGTGCGAAATTCCATTACAAGTCCGTCGACGTCATTTGTGAGACCCAGAGGTATGTGCTGGAATTGATCGTCATGAGACAAGCAAGTCCAAGTATGTGGTGTGGAATGCAATGTGCCCGCACTCTGGAGTACAGCAACTGTGCCACACAGTGCGGCAAACGGCACTACGGCAAATTTTTCACCTCGTGGTCACAGCCGTTTTCTCTCAATGACTCAGCTCGCTCGCCCGCCCACTATGCACTCACTTTTTTTTTGATCTACTGGCCGGCTTTCAGATTCGTGACCTGAAACCCAACCTTGAAGTGAATTGTCTGGGGTCAGAAGCATGACGATAAAACTTGTGATACCCCTATTTGTCTCACGTACGACGTAGATGTGCAGATAGCCCACATGGCCGTTCCGAATGATTCCGGTGACTGTGTCCCGAAGCAGGTTCTGTATGGTACGGTATAAAATACCAAAGTTGCACGCAGTTATCATGTTACCAAAAGTGTCCAAGAACAAACTGTACTGGCTATAACGATAACTCCGTAGAAGGTAGAGAGTAGCTTTCACCCGAGAACTTAAGAGGTAGAGCCGAACCTCTCGAGAGGTTGTCAAGTAGCAAAAAATTTGCCTGCAAGCAGATCATTGCGTCGTGGGGGGGGGGGGGGGGATTCTACAGTACAAGTCTCGACTGTCGGATTCTCTCTACTGCAAGTACGGAACAATTAAACACCCACAGCGCACAATACAAGAGTCTAGCGGTAGGCAATAGTCAGCTCTTAGCTCACATATCTTACTTGGCCATGAGGGGTATGTTGTTATGAGAATGTGACAGTGCAACCTGGAGTCTATGAGGATGAGAAATCTAGAGTGGCTCGGCTGATCAAGTTAAAGCGCCCGTCTTGCCTGACTCAAGCGTTGCCACCGGAGCTTGTCCCGTGTCTAACTTGCGTCGAGCGTGAAGACAGGCGTCTTTTTTGTATCCATCTTGCTTTCTCGGGCATATCTCTGGGTGGTTGGAGCCGAATCTCGAAAGAAGACGGTGGTACATTGTCCCCCTCCCCCCGCCAATAGGCCATATAGCCAATTCGTTCTAATACATGTGGGGCAGGTTGTGGAACTAGGAACTAGACGGTCCAGACCACCGTTCGACAGACAGCTCGTTTCCGCTGTCCCGACACCCAGCAATGTTTCATACACCGTGGGGTTTGACTTGGGGTCTCCGAGAGCATTTCCACTACAACCCTGTCGAGCACTTTTAGGGATTTAACATGGTTTGTGGAGATGACTGTGGGTGCACCCTACGTAGGAACAGCCATTTCAGCACATGCTACAGCCAGCCAGCCAAGTCTGGCACAGGCTAAGACCCTCTTGTCTATCGCACTAAGGCAGATTGACTATGATAGAACCCCCTTGATGGGCACTGTAGTGCTTGTATTGGATAGCACATTTGCTGGATATAAGTCCGGTGATATGAGTCTAACTGTGCTGAAGAGCCTACAAAGTAGCCCCCCAAAAAAAAGCCAAACGGCAAAGTTACTATCGAACATGAGGGATGCGCTCAAAGCGTTAGACACTGCTCAGATATATATATCTACACGAATCCGGATGTAAAGAGAAACAGCCAGTAATCCCCCCCCTAAGTCGGAGATCCAGACACACAAGCGATACCAGTGACGACCAGACTAAAACCAAATCTCATCAATACTTCCTACTTTAAAAGCAACTCCCCCCCCATTTACCAGCCCTCTACACACACCTCATCCCCACCACGTAATCACACACAATGCATGAACCTTGGTCGCCACCCATGTATCCGTCTCCCATCCAAGGATTTGTGGTTGCGTCCGACTTTGACGACGCGCCCGCCCTCGGACTCAAAAACGTGCTAGAGCCCCGCTCCCTGCCCAAAATTTCGACTCTCAAGCAGACCTCCCCGTCAGCGCTGCACGCCCTGCATACCCACACAGTTGAAACGCATCTCGGCACAGCTAGTGACAGCGAGCCGTCACCAATCTCGCCCATCTCACCCAAGCGATCCTTCTCGCCCCCCCAGCAGTCGCACGTGCCCCAGGTGTGGAATCGACGCTACTCCGAATCTTCCGCATCCTCAGACAGACCGCTGCGACGGTTCTCATTCGACACCGACGCGTACCAACGACAACGACGCCAGTCCGTCCAGTCCCAGGGCCCCGTTCTCAAGTGGCTGCGAAAGGCCACCGTGTTTCTCGTGGAGATTTTCGACGAAGCCGACCCCCTGGAACCGGAAGAGGAGTTCCCTGCCCCTTCGCTTACACATCAAAACTACAGACTCTCCTCTGCAAACAACTCCGCCATTGAATCCGATAGCGATACTGAGCTAGAGAAGATCAAGTCGCGTGACTCCAGCAACAAGAACACAAGCACAAGCACAAGCACAAACTCGACAAACAATATGGAAATCATCTCGACCGGAAAACGCGTCTACAACTTCTTCTCGGAGCGACCTCATTGGCTTGGCCTCTTGGCCATCTTCACAGCTCTCCCCTTGTCATCCCACGTGGTCTATGAGTGGCTGCAATGGGCCGTGATCGGCTCAGCTGTGCTCCTGGGACCCACCTACACCGCGGGCTTCTATCCGGTGCTGGGGTTTGTGTCCCTTGGCTTCATGGTCAACTTCCCCGCCCAGGTGTGTGCCTTTGGCCTGTTACTATGGCTGGCCAGAGAATGGCACACGGTTGAAGTTATGAGAAAGAGCAAACTGACCGAGTAACACAAGGAGCGAAGTCAACTTCCTCAGCATGATTTATTGGTGTAACCCACCCTTATTTATTGAACCATTATGAACGAAATACAACTGAAGACACGTATTGTAAAAGAACCTGGTAGCTGCCGCCCAACAATCACATGTAGCACATGTCAGACTGTTGACGTAATCAGGCGTGGATAAGAAGACGGAGTGGCTAACCAAAGGAGCTAGCCGCGCGCGCACTACGATACCAATTGTGGTGAGTACAGTAATTAATTATGAGGCAGTACGATACATACGGGGACAATATCCCCCTTAGTAGCACTATATGACGTCATGGCTGGGTAAATACGAGATTTACGAAGCCTAGATCTATTCAAGATATATTATGAGAAATAAACTGCTCAACATTGTGTTTATGGGTGTCGGTAGAGGTCGAAACCGTGGCTGTGGATGTGCAATCGAGCGTGTTTTTATTATTCCTTTTTTGACTACTTGAACCTGTCAAGTACAGATCTAAGTAAAACATGCTGAATTTGAGGAACATTTCACCTCAAAACCAACAGTCAAGGAGACTCAATTGTCTCTTGGGTATAAAAGACAAGGAGGTAATCACTTCATAAGGGCGTTATACAACACACGGCAACTTTTCCCATTTCAAAGACCCCATTATTGATGTCGTGCGAGATGGCGCCCCTGCAGCTGCAATTAATTTGGCTAACTCAACAGATGCCAATCCACACGATAGATACGATATGGGGAGAGTGTACGGTAGAGAGAGGGTCAACACATGATGTAGGCCACTTCACAAGAAAACCAGCTAAAGCCCTTGCAAGCATGTAATAACGAGGGTGGGTCTTTATTTTTATCGATTTCCCCCGATTTAATATCGTCAGGTCGGTCTCGAGTATCCGACTGGTTCTTGCAGTTGTAATCTTCGTCTTGCACCAATCACAAGACGACTCATCGGCGGTGGCTAGCGTGTGGCTAGTGAGACGTAATAACGACTTTTCAGCTTTTCAGCCACAGAGTGGACATAGGGCAACTACTGTTTGAAAAACAGGTACTCGTACCCCGAGTAGAGACCTTCGGTCACTGCTACTTGTGATATGTACGAGCACTCATACATACTGTAGCGGTATCGATCGTATATACAAACGCAGCTACCAGCACATAGCAGTGGTATAAGGGTTGTAACTACAAGTAGTACCGGTACATAGTGTACTATACTCTTACAGAACACCGACAAGACTGCTTTCTGTGCTCAATTATCCTCCGACATACACTGCAACATGCAAACTCGTATAATTACCAGCTCCGATCCACACAACCACTTTTGTCCAACAGGGCGTAACCACTGCTGTCGAAGTGAGTTATTGGAAGCAAGGAAGAGAGGATGCTGAGAGAGTGGAGACCACGGGCTGCAACCATGTGCACGCCCTACGTTCTAGCAAGTTCCACGTCTTCTAGAATGCGCGCTGTGGTTCTTCCGGTGGTAGTGCCGTGTTCTTAGGGCCACCTGAGTTGAGTTACCCCAAGGAGTCTTCACCACATGACCACCATATGGGACCACCTTGCAACTAAAAAGCCAACCGTGGGCAAGATTTGGGACCATATTTGGTTCTGAAATTTTTACTGTTGCACATCCTACGCATGACAAGGCAGAAGGTAAAAGGTAACGGAAAAACAGACGAGACGGGTTGTGTGGAGGAGATTGATCGGACCGGGAGTGTACTATTAGCGCCAGCATTAGCGCAGCTCGCTCGTGTTTTTTCGAACGCCACGTCATGCGATATATAAGACCACTTTTTTCTGATGGGCACTACTTGTAGCTAGGCGCTAAAACCGAATCACTCGACTAGTAACAAAAATCCATGATACGACAGTGCTGGCTTGTTGCACTCGGTTTTTCCCGTAGATTCGATTACATGTTCCTGCAGAAGCCAGCTCTTGTGTTTTGGCTGCCGGTGCAGCACCGCACAGCACAGCTCAGCGCACATGATGTGTTGCGCCATTGTCTGACAAGGTAGGGTAGATCCGACTGGAGGCGAGAAGCGTGCGGTCACGGGGATGCCATCTCGGTAGTATGGCTGTTGATCGTACACGGCGCGGCATATACGGGACAGGTGGTATAGGAGATAGGACTGGGGAGTAATTTGACAGGTGGGAAGGGGGTTGGAATGTGATCATTGTCTGTAAAGTACAACACCTACTGTAACAGAAGACACTAGAACAAGGAACAAGTGGGCATGTTCAACAGCTTGTACAACAGCTTGTGCAGGAGCCACCCCCAATGGCCAAAGACTATCGATTTCGCTAGCAAAGCCCAGATAGCACGGCTCAATCAAACTATTAGCCTGACTCAGGTGTCCAGATCAGTCCAGAACGAGACTCAGTTCAGCTCTTGCCTACCTCCATCTCATCTCATAGCCCAAACCTTGCCGAGGAAAGTTACGTTAACAAGGTAGGAAAAGCCGCCGAGGCTTGTTTTTGTGTGGATACGAGAGATGCGAACGGATGCAGGGCGAGGTCTACTGTACGTCGCAGTCGTGGGCTCTTGGTCTGGCCAGAGACAACAAACATAGGCTCTCTGGCAAGGCCAGATATCCTGCACACCACTGCATGACAGGGTCTTGTCTGCGAGTACCCGTGCCGCTACCTCCGGGCCACCCACATAATACCATGTCCCAGTGCGTCGACAGGGTTTGAGACTCTGTTGCTGGCGTTGCTTTTTGCAGCACTGACGGGAGAGACGGTTGAAAATCTGGGTCAGGCTGAAAACTGGTCCCAGACTGCCGCCAGTCCGAGGCTATGTTCTCATGTGACCGCACAGACGACAACATTCGATTGTCGTTTTAGAGTGAATGAGTGTACAGTCAGAGTTGGTCTGATGTCTGACGACGGAACGGGTGGAGCGCGGGCCTTGTTCTGTCTATGATCATTGTGCGGTCTATAATCATTGTGCACTGTACAAGTACATTCATTCAAACAGTTCTTTTTTTTCATCGGATTTTTGCCCTGATTTTATTATTTTGACTGGCCTATCATACAGGAGCAGATGTACAGTATACTACAGAGCTGTGTCCCAGATGCCGAAGACGTAGCCCCCTCCCCCCAACTCCAAGGCCGTAATTAAGAGGAACCACGCGATCCCGCTGGTTGAGTTCTCAAGATCGTTTTCTAATCGTCGCCGGAGGTTTTTCCGTCCGTCTCAATTCAATCCCTTTGACTTTACATTTTTCATGGCCAGTTTTTTCTATCTCCCCACACACGCACTCACACCCAATTCAATTTTCACCGAACCCAACCTTGCCAGTTTGGCTCGCCCAATTTATATCAAACCTCCCCCGTACAGACGCTACCCGCTAACAAGAGATTGTCTTCCACTGGGGCTTACACCCATACACACACCACCACACACACAAGGGAAAATAGACTTTCTGGCGACTTTTGCTTACCTCAGAAAAATTCACCAACAGGACCTCGGAGACTACACAACACCACTACTGACACGACTGCATTTTTTGATATTAAAGCGCCCAGAAGGCATCCAAGAACCAGCCAGAGCATCGACACTCACAGTACACCTCCGCACAAATACACGATACAGTCTCAACCACACTCCACATCAGACACAACGCATGGACCGATGAAGGCAACTTCTTCAACAGGGTCGAAAAAACGCATGGCCAGCCAAAACCAAAGGGTGGCGTGGTCCGCCCGGACCGAAGAGCGCATCCGCATATGGTTGGCGATGCTGGCGGCCAACATTGTCAAGTTCCCGCACGCCTTCATTCTGTGGCCCTCCTCGGTCTCCTTCACCCTGGCGTACCCCTACATCATTCTGCTGGTGTCGCTGTGCATCCCCACCGTGTCGGTGAGCGATGTGGGCGCGGCTAACACTTCCAGCGCAGCGCTCCGGGTACAGCAGACGATATTTGCGACCGACAACTCGGTGTTCGGACCAGAGTTCATGGGCTCTATTGCCCCCATTCTCGACACGCTGCACCCACAGCTGGACAGCTACTACGACAATGTCACCGACAGCATCGACCTGGGCCGCATCCAGACCTCGCATCTGCTGTCGTACCGTGATCTACCCCAGCTGCCCCAGCCGCCCAAGCTGCCGCTGCCGTTGGATCCTACTCTGGAGACCCTTCTCGAGACGCTCTTCTACCACCCCAGGGTGCGCAACGGCCAGTTGGTGGACGCTGAGGGGCTTATTCTCACGCTGGTGGAGCGTGTAGACGGAGAGACTGTTGATAACACACCCGCACAGACTACGTGGCGCCGGATTCTCAACAGCCCATCACACCGACGACAACTCACCCCCACACGACACAGGGTCCAGCGGCTATCGGAGCCGTTCGGCAAGTCGCTGCTAGGACTGCTGTACGAGTCGCAGCGGTCCGTGTCGCACCGGCTCGGCGAAATCACGCTTTTCGCGGCCTACCTGCTGCTGTTTGTATACATCATTCTGTCGCTGTCAAACATCACATCGGTGCGGTCGCGGTTCGGACTTTTTGTGTCCTTCTGCGTCCAGTGCGCGCTCTCGGTGCTGTCGGCATGCACCATCATCTCGCTGTTTGTGCCGGCGTTTGTGCCCCGCTCCACACACTGCTTTGTGCTGTTCCCGTTTAGCGTGGTTGTCATCGGCACCGGCAACATGTTCAGACTTGTCAATGCCGTGAGCCGAACGCCCGAGGAGAACCACCCCTTCACACGGCTCAAGACAGCTCTACTGGCCTCCGCGCCTCTCACAATCAAACAGGTGGCCGTGGACGTGTCCATTTTCGTCCTTGCATCGGCCGCCTCCTATTCACACTTCCCGCAGGCGTCCATGGTCTTTCTGGCGTCAGCGCTAGCCGTACTCATTGATCTGACTCTGCACTTCACCTACTTTCTGTCGGTGCTGTCAGTGGATGTCCGACGAGTCGAGCTGGAAGACCTCATCTCCACGGAGCTTCCCATTGACCGGTTCGAAAACTCGTCCGGTGAAGACGGACGACGCCTGAAGCTCCACCAGCGAGCGTTTGTGTACCTGCACCCGTCGTTCCACAATATTAAGCTGCCCTACACGACCCAGACTACCACAGCAGTCTTCATTGTGCTCTACATTGCGGCTATTCTGGTTGGATTGCCTCCCAGCCGCTACGGAGTCGACTCTGTGGCTCTGTTCACGCCCAGCATGGTCAAGTCAGTTGTTTCGCAATCCGTGGACGTCATTTCGCCGCTCATTGTGCGCAAATATGGCTCGTCAGCAACAGCCGCTTTTCTGTATTCTGACGGAGACGTGCTGTCGTACCTGCCGTCGGTTCGAATATCGTTTGCGCTGGAGTTTATCGCGTCCTTGACCTTTATTCTCTCGCTTACAGGCATCATTCTCAAGGTTATTTTGCCTCCTGAGCCAGATGCGATCGATGAGGTGCCTGTATCGGAAAATCAGTTTTTCGCCAAGGATCTCATTGGGTACCACATGCTGGACATCCTGCAAATCTACACTCAGGGCTCGCATGTACTGACCGTGTCTATGGACCGAAAAGTGTTTTTGTGGAATGCCGTTTCGGCCGGCTCACACCGTGGAACACTCGTGGACAAACCTGTGTCCATCCCCGTGCACCGCAAGTACTGGCCGCTGCACTCGTGCGAGCTCAACACGTCGCACCAGCTCGTGGCGATGTTTTCCAAGTCGCACAGCACCGTGATTGTGTTCAACTATCGCATTGGGCAGGTGGTAACATGCCTAGAATCCCCTCTCTTCAGACACAAGCCCGTGTTGGCGTTTTTCCGCAACACAGACCTGCTGGTGGTGACTTCCTGCGGTTATCTGGTGGTTGTTCACACCTCAGACGTGGATGCAGGCACCATTTCAGCTACTCGTGTGCCTGTGGATATGCTGACCAAGTCGATCACAGCTGGCCCCGGCCCCGTTCCCGACCAGCTGCATCTCGACCACCACACCATCATCTGGGCCTCCCGCATCAATACCCCCCGCATGATGGAGCGGATCGTCATGGCGTCAGCATCCAACAAGATCTTCATTGTGTCGCCGATGCGCAAAAAGTGGATTTTCCGGGTCCTGGATCTCCAGGAGATTGGCTCTCACCACTCTGCACCCGGTCCCGGTGGCCCCATGGGGATGGGACGCTTTGCCGGCGTTCACATGATGACTGGAGGAGGTGCGGCAGCATCGCGGCAGTTCCAGTTGCCCTCCGACATGGTGGAGTTGGTAGCTTTGCCGCAGCTCAACATGGTGCTCATTGGTATCAACCTGGAGGTGCTGCTGGTGGACCTGCAGACCGGCACGGTGGTCAAACGCATGCATGTGGGCCATTACAAGCGCGGAACTCTGCGGGCGTTCCACTCCAACCCCATTCATTGCCGGTTCTGTGGCTCTACGTCTATTGAGTCTATTTCGGTGGCCTACTCAGACTACGAAACTCTCGGGCTCGTCATCTGCCATACGGTAACTCTAGACTCGCGGTCCAAGTCCAACATTTGCTTGCGAGTGGAGCGAGATCCCCGAGAAATCCGATGCCTGTCGTTCGAGGCGTCGCAGGAGAAACAGCATTGGATGAGCAACGTCGAAGGTTGGGAGACGACTGGCATCAACATGATCATGGGTGTGTCGCGCAAACAGCAGCCGAACGAGGCCGACACGGGCGAGATCATCTCCTATAGCGACCCCGTGCGAGACACGTCGCTATTTGGAACGTCTGCATCTCCCTACCAGACCCCCGACTCGGTGTACTCGCGGCTCAACGCCATGAGCTCTCACAACAAGAGGCAGCTGAGCTCGGTGATTGAGAAGCGACCTCCCCTGGCAGTCACATGGGAGGGCTGGATCATGAGCGCGTCGGGCAAGGTGTCGTATTACGACATTCCCGAAACGTCGCTCATCAACCAGACCAAGAACAAGCAGCAGCAGAGTGACAGCGGCGACTGCTCGCAAACGGTGCCTGGCGTCGGGCTGGCCACACATCTGCCCATGGGTCGTCTTCTAATCGGATCGGTGGGCCCTGTCACGCGCTACGGCACAAAGTCCATTGCCGTGGTGTTTGGAAACATCATCAAGATTCTCTATTTCGGCAACGAGGAGTCTTTTGTCGACGAGCTTACCCCCAACGAGACGGCGTCAATGCCCGGCACCCCGCTGCTGGCTCCCAAAAAATGGCGGCGAGTCTCCATGAACTCGGTCAATACAATGAATTAGCATGTATATAGTATGTATTATAATGGTATGGATTATGGATTAATCAAAGTATGTAAATACTTGTAGATAAGTTCCTTCAATATAGCTGTTTACTGTTTTTCAATCAGCTACTCCGTGTCGTCGAAGCTAGTACCGCAAGCTGTATCAAGAGAACCACAGGATCATGGGCATCCCAGTTGTGGCATTGATGCTCATGGGGCTCTTTGGAGCGACTTTTTGGAGCTGGACAGTCCTCATTGCGAGATCCTTTGAGCTGCACTACTTATAGTGGATGTCTCTTTATGTACTATATATTTTATTAGTTTCTCGTCAATATTTATAACGAAAAAATCTAGCCATTCACTATTATAACAAATACTCTAACCGCAAATGAGAAAAACGATTGACATATTCATGTGTTTTACAAAAATTCAACCAAGAATCCAACCAAAAAACAAAAAACATTAAATACAAAAGTCAACTAAAATCAGACAATTTTAATCATTAAATACACTCGGACTTCGTCCTCGTGCGGGGAAATCAAATAGACACTATATGGAAAGAATAAATTAAACCATCATGACTAGACCAATGATGGCAATGGCAACCATGGTGGGCTTGACAGCCACTCCCTCGTTGGCCTGAGCAATACCATTGCCAGGCTTAGAAGATCCAGGAGACTGGGGGGTAGAGCCAGAGCCAGAACCAGGCTGCTCAGGAGTGGAGCCCGAACCAGAGCCTGGAGAACCAGGAGTGGAGCCTGAACCAGAGCCAGGAGAACCAGGGTTAGAGCCTGAGCCAGAGCCGGGAGAACCAGGGTTAGAGCCAGAGCCAGAGCCGGGAGAACCAGGGTTAGAGCCTGAACCAGATCCAGGAGAACCAGGGTTAGAACCAGAACCAGATCCAGGAGACTGGGGGGTAGAGCCAGAGCCAGAACCAGGCTGCTCAGGAGTGGAGCCCGAACCAGAGCCTGGAGAACCAGGGTTAGAGCCTGAGCCAGAGCCGGGAGAACCAGGGTTAGAGCCTGAACCAGATCCAGGAGAACCAGGGTTAGAGCCTGAGCCAGAGCCGGGAGAACCAGGGTTAGAGCCTGAACCAGATCCAGGAGAACCAGGGTTAGAGCCTGAACCAGATCCAGGAGAACCAGGGTTAGAACCAGAACCAGAACCAGGGGATCCAGGAGTAGAACCAGAACCAGAACCAGGCTGCTCAGGGTTAGAGCCAGAAGTAGGCTGGGGACCGGGGCCACCGCCGTTCTCGCAGACAGGGCAGAAAGTGGTGGTAATTGTGCTTCCGTGCTGATCGGTGGTGGTCAGAGTGATGGTCTTCGCCGAAGTGATGAACTGGGTAGAGACATCAGGGGCAGGAATAACAGGGGTATCAGATCCGGTAGGAAGAGGAACCACATTAGTAGACTCTGGGTGCTCCTTGGTGCACTCGGTGCAGACGGTGACGGTGATGGTAGATCCGTGCTGATCAGTGGTGGTGATCGTCTCTGTCTTGGGAGGCACAATAATGCCAGTAAACGTGGAACCATTAGCGTCAGTGGTGGTCACAGTGACAGCCTCGGAAGTATCAGTGGCCTGTGACTTGGAAGCCGAGGCGGTCTTGGACTCGCAAACAGGGCATGAAGTAACAGTCACTGTCTTACCCTGGTCATCAGTTGTGGTGTAAGTGACAGTCTCCGGACCACTCTCAGTGGCAGTTCCAATGACCGAACCGTTACTGTCAGTAGAAGATTCCACAGCACCGCCAGTTTCAGATGTAATGGGCGCAGTAACAGAACCAGTTGCAGAGCCTCCGCTGGTAACGGGAACAGTGGTCGCAGTGGCAAGAGAAGTACCGGAAGGCACCATGGAAGTGCAGCCACTGGGGAGAACAGCGGTAGTCTGACCACCCCAGCAGATAACATAGGTGGTAGAAGGCCGGGGGTCAAGGTCACATCCAAGCAGGGTTGGAATCAGCAGAGTCTCAACAAGACCTTGGATTTCGTCGTAGAGAGTTCCACATCGGAAACACTGAGCGACAGACGAAACAGCAGCATTGAGAGCCGAGCAGACACAAGAATGCAGGCCGTTACACTCCTTGGTTCGGAAGATTGCGTAAAGACAGTCAGTGATACAGGTGCCAAGATCTCCGATGTTGTGAGTGTAGGTAGCTGGATCAGCGACGCACATGGTCACAATAGCGGGGTCAGCAGCAGCAAAGGCGGCGGCAGGGTCACAAACAGGAGGCGAGGGAGTGGGGACGGCAGTATCGCAAGGAGTGTAAGGAGGAGGCTTGTAGTTGTCACAAGAAAGGAGGTTCTTGATGACAGTGTTCTCAACGAAATCATGGACGAGAGGGAAAATGGCACCACAAGTGATACACTCGTCAACCACGTTCAGAGAAGTCTCGAGCACGTTGCAAATACACGACTGCAGGCCGTTACACTCAAGGAAGGAACCAATTGCATCGGTACACTTCTTGTAACAGTCACCCTGGGTTCCAATCTCAGAGTTGGGATAACAGGTCTGCCCGCCAGTGGTGATAGGAGTGAGAGTACCAGAAGAGGATGCACCAGAGGAGGCTGGGGATGAAGTAACAGGCGAAGAAGAGGCGGAAGCAGATCCAGAAGCTCCTGAAGAAACAGGAGAGCTGGAAGCAGCTGTATTAGACTCAACGGTGGAAGACGAGGCCTCAGCAGAAGCACTGGACTCAGGGGAGCTCGAAACTGAAGCAGAGCTGGAAGACTCAGAAGAAGAAGCAGGAACACTGGTCTCGCCAGTCGACTGGGGACCAGAAGTGACAGGAGCAGAGGAAGAACCAGCAGCAGAGGAAGAACCAGCAGCAGAGGAAGAACCAGCAGCAGAGGAAGAACCAGCAGCAGAGGAAGAACCAGCAGTAGAGGTGGTAGCCGAAGCAGTTGTTGCTGTGGCGGTAGCCAGAGAGGTGCCGGAGGGAACAATAGACGTACATCCACTGGGAAGAACGGCAGTGGTCTGGCCATCCCAACAAATGACATAGGTGGTAGAAGGTCGAGGATCAAGATTACACGCAAGGAGGTTGGGGATCAGAAGGGCCTCAACAAGTCCGTGGATCTCGTCGTAAAGAGTACCACACTTGAAGCACTGGGCAACGGACGAAACCACAGCGTTAAGAGCGGAACAAATACACGAATGCAGACCATTGCACTCCTTTGTTCGGAAAACAGCGTACAGACAGTCAGTAATGCAAGTTCCCAGATCTCCAATGTTGTGAGTGTAAGTGGCAGGATCAGCAACACACATGGTCACAATGTTGGGGTCGTCTGCGGCGAAGGCTGCAGCAACAGGATCGCAGACAGGAGGCGACGGAGTAGGGACGGCAGTCTCGCAAGGTGTGTAAGAAGGAGGCTTGTAGTTGTCGCACTGGAGAAGGTTCTTGATAACGGTGTTCTCAATGAAGTCGTGAACCAAGGGGAAAATGGCCCCACAGGTGATGCACTCGTCCACCACGTTCAAGGAGGTATCGAGAACGTTACAAACACAGGATTGCACTCCGTTGCAGTTCAAGAAAGAGCCAATTGCGTCTGTGCACTTCTTGTAACAATCATCCTGGGTTCCAATCTCAGAGTTTGGCAAACAAGTTTGGCCGCCAGTGGTGATTGGAGTGATACCTCCGGTAGAGGATGTACCAGAAGCTGCAGAAGAGGAAGGGCTAGTCTCAGGGGAGGAAGAAGTGGCCTGAGAAGAGGCGCTGGACTCAGGGGAGCTCGAAGCTGGAGCAGAGCTGGAAGCCTCAGACGAAGAAGCAGGAGCACTGGACTCGACAGAAGACTGGGGACCAGAAGTGACAGGAGCAGAGGAAGAACCAGGAGCAGAGGAAGAACTAGGCGCAGAGGTGGTAGCCGAGGCGGTAGTTGCGGTAGCGGTAGCCAGAGACGTTCCGGAGGGAACAATAGACGTACAGCCACTGGGAAGGACAGCAGTGGTCTGGCCATCCCAACAAATGACATAGGTGGTAGAAGGTCGAGGATCAAGATCACATGCAAGGAGGTTAGGGATCAGAAGGGCCTCAACAAGTCCGTGGATCTCGTCATAAAGAGTACCACACTTGAAGCACTGGGCAACGGACGAAACCACAGCGTTAAGAGCGGAACAAATACACGAGTGTAGACCATTGCATTCCTTTGCTCGGAAAACAGCGTACAGACAGTCAGTAATGCAAGTTCCCAGATCTCCAATGTTGTGAGTGTAAGTGGCAGGATCAGCAACACACATGGTCACAATGTTGGGGTCGTCTGCGGCGAAGGCTGCGGCAACGGGATCGCAGGCGGGAGGGGAGGGGGTAGGAGAAGGGGTTTCACAAGGGGTCTGAGCCGGAGGCTTGTAATTGTCGCATTGGAGGAGGTTCTTGATGACAGTGTTCTCAATGAAGTCGTGGACCAAAGGGAAGATGGCTCCACAGGTGATACACTCGTCCACAACGTTAAGAGAGGTATCGAGAACGTTACAAACACAGGATTGCACTCCGTTGCAGTTCAAGAAAGATCCAATTGCATCGGTACACTTCTTGTAGCAGTCGGCCTGGGTGCCAATGTCGGCGGGAGGCACACAGGAGCTCTGCTGTTGTCGGGCAACGAGGCCGTAGTCGGTTGGGGTAGCAGTGACACCCAGGGCGAGTGGGAGGGCCACCAGGAGGGTCCTTGTGATAGAGACCATTGCTTGTGGTTTCAAACGAGTGTGATTGTTGTTAGCTTGGGGTATCTGATGTTCGAGAGGGGACCATTCTTTTTATATGTCATTGGAGTCGGAGCTTCGGGTCCTGAAAGGGAGCTTTCAGCTCACCGCACACAAAAGAAACGCAGAGCTTGAGCGAGACAAAAACACAAAAAGAAACAAGCATCAACATGGTTCTGCAGAGACAAAGTCCAGGTTGTCGGAGTGCCATCCCTGATGCTGAGGTTTAATGCACATTGGGTCTTGGAGAGCTCAACCTACTTTGGGACAAAGAGCAAGTCTGGGATTGACGAACAGGCGAAAAAAATGTCTTGTGGCCAGTTGTGGACAAAATATCTCACTGTCTCAGCCAACGCGTCGCGTGGAGGTGTGACGGAGACATTACTTGTGTTGAGTATCTTGTGTGTATAGGGTGTGGTGTGTCTGTTTGCCATATTCATTTGCCGTATCTCCGTTTGTGTTTCAATGATCAACCCTTCTATCGTACTGCCGGCGCACCGATCAACACAAGCCTGACGGTTGATCTTCTTGTCTTGCGGTGATCGTCTATGCTTCATCCGCATCTGAGTGTCAGTGTGTATTGCAGGTGGAGGAGGCGGGGAGCCCACTAGTTGAGAGTGTATTAGTTACGGCAATTACTTAATATAAGTATTCACGTGACGGCCAAGACCCCGACAACGGAGGCTAGTGCCTGGCAGCCGTATGCCGAAATGATTAGTCTGCAGAGATTGCGGCTTTCTGATGAACGTCAGGCTGCCGCTCGAATCGAGCGTCTATTCGGACATGCTGACATTGCCAGATGTCTATCGCTCTATCACTCCACCTTTGGCAATCTCTTTTGCCAGGCTCTGTTATTTTGCCTTCTCTAAATTGCCTTTGCAAAATTGCCTTGCCATTTTTTATGAGTCTCGTATCCCTCCCCCTCTATTAAAGTTGCGCTAATCTGATATAGGTTTGGCCATGACGTGGGGCGAAGATGGGCATCTGGAGTAGGTGCGGCGTGCGCGGAGCGATAAGTATAGGTGCCGGGGGGAAAAAACAGTTGCGATTTGGGATTGATTGATTGATGTCACATGACCAAACACAGCGTCACTGCCGCCCATAATCTCTACAGCTACCATGTCCTCTTGCTCGTCTCTTTCTGTTGTCTGCAACATTGACTTCCTGCGCACCACCCCTGTCGCTTCCCCACTGGAGAAGAGCTGAAAAAGCAAAATGGAACAAGCGACCTATTGAACTCTCACCAACTACTTGTACCGGGGAGACCAAAAGTGATTGCTCAGGGCGTATGGTTTGAAGTCTGGGCACTGTGCAATGTACGGGCCCAAACAGGTAGTGCCCTGGTCCTTCAGACGTCGGGAGGTGTCACTATACCAGAACAGTTTATCCCGTGACAGTTTTCAATATCTGTCTGTCATGTTGTACCGTGATTACATCTACCCCCACCTAAGAAGGCACTGATGCGTCCTAATACAGACGTCAAACCACTTTACTATGGTACAGTGCTTCCGAAAACAACCGCTGAAAGCGCATGTGTGCAGCTTCTCGCATTATATGGAGGTGTTTTTTGCGCTCTGAACGTGCGACGGTTGCGGATGAACCAACTGAGACATTGACCTTTTTTGAATGGGGGTATTTGGAAATGAGACTGGATACCTGAGACATCGGAGAGGCTCACAGCCATAACCGAAAGCAGTACTACCTGTACTGTTACGGGACGAATACAGAGCACCCCAACTGGACGACCACCCCACAAACGTCACTCTCACCAAACGTCACAGACAAACGTCACCCCACCAGCCTCCCCCACCCCTGGTAACCGCTATCATGCACCGACCCCATCGCCTTACAAAGAGGTTGGAAAGACAAAATTCTGGAGGACAAAAACTCCACGCCGACCGCAAGTCTATTTGACTACCGAAAGTCAAACCTGACAAGACTGCAATACCTCAGAACAAGTGTTTGTACACGTGGAGGCTGAAGAAGCCCCAGCTGCGGCTTATGGGGCAACTGCGGCAACCGTTGCTGTCCCCCGCCCTCGTCGTACCGTTGACTGGATTGGCATAACTGTCTATCATGATCGGCTTCCGTCGACCCCGAGAGGTTAACTCTATAGACGAGGCAAAAACAAAAACTCCAAATACAGCCCAAATAGAAAAGTTTGACAGAGGAGAAAACATGAGATAGCCGTTTGTTCGTTGACTCCCGCACCTCTTCAACTCGTGTCTGAGCAAAATTACTGCGAAATATTATGAGGGGCTGGAATGTCGACTTAGGGGGTGTTTCATTTGGGATGTGGACCCACAAGCACCGCAGAATATACTCGGATTAGGGCTTGTACACCGACGTATAACAACCACTGGTATCAATAATCGGAGGTATTAGTTCAACAGGCGCAATAATCAGCTGGTTATTAATAGACCCGTGGTGGATACTTTGTATCCACCGGTCGTCATGGTTACTGGTCTCTGCACGCTCAGCAGGGTACAAGTATGTACATCTACAGTAACTATACAGCACGAGCACACTCTGAACTTGACAAATAACCAAGACTCCCTGCTACTACAAGTAGAAGTAGTGAGACTTACAGCGGGATAGGCACTTTGTCTTGGGCCGTCAAATGCAAGCCGTCAATTGTGCAGTTGCTAAGAGTACTTTAGTGTGATCAAATAGGAATTTTCTTTTTCCACACCCTTGGCGCTTCTCGCACGAGACTTTGATTCCAAAGTTTCCGTCTATCAATATTGCCTGAAAGTTATTGGTTCTCCCATTGTTGCTGGCGTATTCGCCCTCAATCATTCATGTCTACACCTCATTCTGTCAGCCTGTCTTCTCAAAGGAGAAACCGAGATAAAACGCACACGCTGAATAGACATGAGACATGGTGGTACTGTACATTCGGTACAAACACATTGTACAGAGGAGAGGTATACGAGCCTGGGTCGTATTTGAGTAAATGGAGTTTGTTTATTGATGTCCTTGAGTGGGTGGGAGGATATGGCGGTCTGATAACCGTATAGCTTTGATTACCTACTCGTACAACTCTGTCAGAGCGAGTACAGTACGAGTACAACATGAACAGAATTGTGTAAAAGTTGTCACCATGACTCCTCACCCTTCATAAACCACCCTCTATACACCCCTCACCCGCTAGGCCCTTCCGTGGAGCACACCCTGGACATGGAAATGCGTGAGACACATTCCGTCAGGAACCGACATGGTCTCGTCGACAGGGGTGTACAATACAGTAGAGGGTTCCAAGAGGTTCCAGAATCCCCTCTAAAGCAGGGTCTGATGAGTTCAATGTTACAGGGTAATAACAGGAAGTGAACCGGCAAACAACAACCCCTTGTATAGATCTACTTAGTACTGCGGGAAGAGTACAGTACAAATACGAGTACAGTATACGCCTGCTGGTATTGTATGCACCCATCAGACATTCTTATCTTAGACAATGTATCTCACAGATATAATCTGCTCACCAAAGAGAGACAGTCAACGGACAGGGCCCCGTCGAATTCCACTAATTACGGCCCGTGGACAGGAGCCAGAGACAGACGTTGTTTGCTTACTTCGGGCTTAATTAGGACGCTCATAGTTCACATGGGGACCAACTGAAACATAACAGAGACAGGCGTGTATCCCTCCAGCACCAAAAAAGCAGTAGGTACAAGTATGGTACCGTAACTACTGGTACTAATAATACTTACAGTAATGTAGTTCTTGCCCCACTACAAACGAGTCCTCGAACAGGATCACCACATCACACTCGTACGATACGGATCATCATCATGTCTCACACAGGTCTCAATAATTAGTCGTATTGGACTCAAAGATGAAGATCTACAAGCCAAACCTATCCAGGCGGGCTATCCGACGTATCTGAGGCGTTTGCGGAGATTGTTTACAAGTAGTGAGTTCAGAACACAATTATTCACTCAACTCATTCTCCCTCTCCTACGGTATGTACAATATCTATATTCGTACTCCACATGCAACTCCATACTCCAGGTATATACGCCTTAACCTACAAGTAGCTTATAAGTATTCGTCCACTGTCTCTGATGTCAACACGACTCACACTCGACACGCTGGAATGTACTTTTTATCAGTCCACGCCCAACTTTGATTAGTCATCAACGTGTCCGACTGGAACTTAACTTAACTGTCCAGGCATCAAGGGTGTGAGAGGGCTTGATTAGTAAGCTTGTCAGTGTTTTGGGCGTTGAACAGAATAAACCAGGCGTAGAATTTGACCCCTCCATCGGGATACTCAGATATATACCCACGCACACACACTCTCTGTTTTCCCCTTTATACACATTACCAGATCTCTTTGCCACTTTCACAGTACAGGTGAAAAGCTGGGGTGCATGAAATTACACTTTTACCGAGGTACACCTTAGACTTGCACATCACCATCTTCACCCCCGCAACAGGATTTCATGTCTTCGGTTCTACGACTTTTCAAGATCGGAGCGCCTGTTCCCAATGTGCGTGTTCACCAGCTGGACGCATCTCTCCTCGACGCCGAGCTCGTCGATCTGCTGAAAAACCAGCTGTTCAAGGGCTTCACAAACTTCCATCCCGAATTCAGAGACAAGTACGAGTCTGAGTTGGTTCTGGCGCTCAAGCTGATTCTCTTCAAGCTGACTGTATGGGATCACGCCATCACCTACGGTGGAAAGCTGCAAAACCTCAAATTCATCGACTCACGACACTCTTCAAAGTTACAGATCCAACCCAGTGTGATCCAGAAACTCGGATACGGCATTCTAGTAGTGGGAGGCGGGTATTTGTGGTCTAAAATCGAGGGCTACCTTTTGGCGCGCTCGGAGGATGACGTGGCGACAGATGGAACCTCTGTGCGTGGAGCCAGTGCGGCTCGAGGCGCTCTCAAGGTGGCCAACTTTGCATCTCTGCTCTACTCGGCAGCCACCCTCGGCAACTTTGTGGCATTTCTGTATACTGGCCGCTACGCTACCGTGATCATGAGACTGCTACGGATCAGATTGGTGCCCTCGCAGCGAACGTCATCTCGACAGGTGTCGTACGAGTTCCAGAACAGACAGCTCGTGTGGAACGCCTTCACCGAGTTTCTCATTTTCATCCTACCGCTGCTTCAGTTGCCCAAACTCAAGCGGCGAATCGAACGCAAGCTGCAGAGTCTCAATGTGACTCGTGTGGGTAACGTGGAGGAGGCTTCTGAGGGCGAGCTGGCCCATCTGCCTCAGAAGACCTGTGCTATTTGTTTCAGGGACGAAGAGGAGCAGGAAGGAGGCGGAGGAGCGTCGCATTACTCGACAGATGTCACAAACCCCTACCAGGCAGACTGCGGACACGTGTACTGCTACGTGTGTCTAGTGACCAAGCTGGCCCAAGGGGACGGAGATGGATGGAACTGCTACCGATGCGCCAAGCAAGTGCAGAAGATGAAGCCCTGGGTGGATGTGGACGAGGCCGCTGTGGTTGGAGCAGCAGAGATGCACGAGAAGGTTGACGTTATTGAGCATGCTGAGGACAATGAACAAGAGGAGGAGGAGTTTGATGATGATGACGAGGACAGCAACTTTCAGCTTATGAAAGATTAAGTAGAGAGGGAGAAATGCATTGTATATTGTACACAAAGTGGTAAGTCCGCTGAATGGTATGTATAACACTTGTAGTCAGCCCTGCCTTGAAAGCTATCTAAGGTGAGTACTGTGTAAGTAGAAGTCCAAGTAATAATATTCTATTTTAAGGATCTGGGGGCCAGAAGTGCTTATGAAGTTGTCGTTAATGAATGTATTATGCAGATATTTTTTTTGAGTACGTACAAGACCGTTGGAATCGTCTCGTTTCGAAACATACAATCATATACTTCCACGTCTTCTATGATTCTATGACAACTTCTGCTCAAACTCTTGGACTCGAGTCTGTACAACTGATGTTTAGTCCACAATGAGAGATGTCTAGTTCCTTATTTTGATGACATATCGTTCATTTATTCGTAAGTAATGTTGTATTAATGCTATACTAGAATGCTATCGTCCTCCGCTAACCCACCAGCGCAGCCTGGTTCTGGTACATTTCGACAATCTGGTCACTGCTGGTGGCATCATGAATACCCTTGTCGTCTCTCACTCGAATGAAACGAGGGAACCGAAGTGAAATACCTCGGTCCATCTGGTCAATGCCAGCTTTGTAAACCGGAGACAGAGACAAGTCGGCCGCCAGAATCTCAATCACAGTAGAAGGATCAAACCACACGTCTGGCAAGTTAGCAGGCGTGGAGTCGTACGAAACATCACTGTGGGGGGTCTCGATCACCGTGGGTTTTAGTTTATCGTACATCTTCTGCAGCATTTCTTCCGAGAAGCCCGTGGCTGTCTTGCAGACTGTCTCGAACTCCTCCGAGTCCTGATTATACACACCCAACAAGAATGCTCCATACCACTGAGACCGTTTGCCCTTGCCAAAGTATCCTCCGAGAATAACAAGGTCCAGAGAGTCGCCAATTCCGTCAATGTAGTCCTTCTTGACCTTGAGCCAGTTTCGCGACCGCTTGGACGGCTCATATCCAGACTCCTTACCCTCCAGAAGCTTCACCATCAGTCCCTCGCACGAGTCCTTGATGGACTGGTCCAGGAATGTCTGAATCTCCTCAACATTGGACGTGTCCATCGACTTGGCAAACAGAAACTCGCCCGGCACCTCAGTGAAGGCCTCCTTGAGTTTCTGACGTCGTTCGGCAAGAGGTAGGGTCAAAAGAGACTCGCCATTGAGGTACAGAATGTCGAATGCGAATATACACACTCTGACAGTAATTTCTTCCTCGTTCACGTTCTTCCGCTTTCGAGTTGACAGAACCTGGAACGGCAGGATTTTGTTTTGCTTTCTATCCCAGGCAACTGCCTCGCAATCGAGAATGAAGGATTTGGCCTCTCCGGCAAACTTGGGAATGATGGAAACCAAGTCAGGGTAACGGACAGTCATATCTTCCGAGTTTCGAGAATACACAAACATTTCCCCGGACTCGGTTTTATGGATCTGAGCTCGTTCTCCGTCGTATTTGTACTCGCAAGTGAATTCTGTGTCTTGGAAGCGATCCAGGACCTCTGAGATAGACTTGGTGGGTTTGGCCAACATAGGCTTGAGAGGAACACCAGTGGAAATCTTGCAAGTTTCAGAAAGGCGCATGATTCCGTTTTCCAGAATGGCGTCGATGATGAGCGCGTAGTTGGGCAGCTGGCAGAACACATCTCGAATCATTTCTTCTCCTGCAGTGATATCATCCGGGTTCACCTTCTTGCCTTTGTTCTCAGCTTCAAAGGTGACAAAGGCTTGAGAAAGCGACACCAGCACCGACTTCTCAGCCAGTCCAATACGCAATTTGCCCTCCAGGCTTCGAATGATAAACTTGGCCTCGTTTCCCTGACAGGCCCCCATCATTCGTTTGATCATGTTGATTTTGGCGTTCTGAGAATCTTTACCTGTTGTCTGGGCGATTTCTCGAAAGGTATCAAAAACGTTGGCAGCCTTGAGAGGTTCGGGCTTAAACATGGCTCGCTGGTTGCTCTTGGACGACTGGGCCACCTTGCCCAGATCACCGAGTTTCTGGTACTCGGTCTTGACGTAGGCAGGCGTTCGTCCGGTACTTTCGGCAATGGATTTCATCAGAAGCGACTCTCCGAGGCCCAATTCGAGACCCTCGTAGTCGGGACCAAGTCGGTTGATGCATAGGTAGACCACAGTGGCCATCATCTGAGGATGGCTCTTGAGAACCGACAAAAACAGAGCGGCACAATGGGCCGTGATTTCCAGCCGTTTAGTAGTCGCTTCGATCTTTTCAAATGTGTCCACAATGGTTCGGTACAGCAACGGGCCATGGGTATGTCCCGATCCTTCCTCAGCTAGTTTCTTGGCTGTTTCAGCACAGACGGTTTTGGTAGACGGTAACGAACTTGTCGATGTAGAAGACTTGAGGAATTGTTTCGAGGCTGACAACTCCTTGTTTGACGACTTTGGTGATTGCTTCTTAGGCGACTTTGGCGACTGCTTGCTGGATGTCTCGGGCTCAGGAGATTTGGTGGTCTTCGTCTCAATCTTCACTTTAGCCACCTTCTTATCCTCCACCTCCTCCGAAGCCTTTCTCTTAGTGCCGAAAAAACTGCGTTAACAATGTGATCCAACCTCGGTCCATCGCTTCGCATACTCACTTTAACGTCTGCTGCTTGGCCATGTTGAATACTACTCGACGCGTTGTCGGGGTGCGAAAAGAGAGAAACATGACGCGACGCGGTTTAATTGTATTTAGCTGCATGGCGTCTGGAGGTGTAAGTGGTAGGGTTAGGGAAGACCATCTGATAGATGGGTGGCGACGGAATCGCTTCCAAGGTAATTGGGAGAGCACGGGTGGGAAAAAAGTCACGTGAAGTGAACAACAGCTCAATGACATTGGTTTTTTAGTGTGTTTCCTGGTTGTTATGGCAGTTGTTTGACTTTTTAGAAAATAATGTGAAGAGCCTCTAACATTAGCTTGCTGGAAAGACAGCTAAGTAAGCTTAATCTTTTTGGAGTAATTATTAAGTAATAGTTCAAGTATTTCTAGTACGGTTTATGGCATGACTATGAATTTTCCAGGATAATATAACAGAAGTATTTTTTATCTTATAGTATTAACAGTATATGCTCTAGCGATGTGATTTCGTCACTCCTACGTTTCTGCGACACCTCGCAGAGAGTTGGCCCTAGTTGGCCAATACGGTGTTGGCAGTTTCTCAACTAAAGCTACTGAATTTGTTGGCGGAGAACCTTGGGCCAGGATGAAGATGGCCTTAGAGACACAGAGGTGGCGATGACATATAAGAATGTGTTGTAAATCATATGGATAGTTTGAGATACTCATATGATTAGTCTACGAGTACTTGTACTTGTATGGCGGGTTTCGAGCAAGTCTCCTTTGTTTCATCATCTTCTGTCTCTCTGTTGTGCAGTCTGAACTGAAGAGTTATAGCACCAAAACATCTCAATGCGAACAGGCACTTTTCTCAGGAACCACACAGGAATCGACCGAAACAAATATTGATTTTTTCTTCATGAACAATACTTCAACAATCAGCGGTCAGTCACTTCATCAGTACAGTACAAGTACCAGTTCTTGTATGTCTACATCTACTGTACACTCTCGCAAAGCTCGCGGTTAGAATGTAGTTGGTTCTTGATGCGATAAATATTATAAATAATGCAAATCTAATCCCTCTGGCTTCGTCTCTTTCTTTCTCTCTGCCGTCGGGCGTTCCTCTCCAGCATCTTCGGGGTGTTAAATAGCTCAAAGATAAATCGCCGCTGAGGAAGCCGATACCGATAAATCTCCAGCAGCTCTACCACCTCCAGAAACAGCGTAAGCGAGTCGAACCGGTCGTGGTACTTCGCGTCCAGCTTGATGAGTGTGCGCGATGCATCGTTGGCCAGAATATGATTACTCAGATTCGACAGCGCCGTCATGATTTTACGTCGGATCGGATCGGACGAAATCTTAGGCAACTCCAGAATGGGAGGCACTGTCTGTGACGTACGAACAACAGTAGATTTCTCCGTAAACAGCCCATCCCACTCATATGGCAAGGCATAGCCCCTGGGATTGCCATAAACGTCAAGCGTGCTGTTCCACCCACACTCGTCGATGATCTCAGAACCGAGGTTCGTAGTACCCATCAAACCAAGCACGTAGAAAGCGGTGCCCTTGAGAGACCACACTGGCGAATGCTTTGCAATGTTAGCCACATCCACTGCGACTCCCGACTGATCCAGGAACGGCGCTCCAAGTTCCGTAGCCCCTACATGGCCAACAGCCCACAAGCAACCCTTAAGCTTGAGCACTGTGTCTCTGTCTTGGGCAGTAAGGCCGTGTTCACGAATGAAATCGGCAAACTCTGTAAAGTGGCCACGCTTCTGCAACAGTTGACAGCCCTCTTCTGTCATGGCCAGCTCGCCGTAGAAATGAGGAGGAGGAGATGCCAGAGCATCGTCCTTGGCGTCCTTCTCTTGTAGATCGAGAACAGTGCCAAATGAGGGGACCATGCACTGCTCAAGATAGTACTCGATTCGACCCACATAGGCCTCATTCTGACCGTGGAACCAGCTGTCCATCTCCAGAGCAACGAAATCCATCTTTTGCAGATATTGGAAACCTGAAGAGGTGCACAGAAATCGCAAGAGCAGAGGAGCTCCAACAGCACCCAGATGATCAAGAGCAGGCCGACATTTGACCACATGTGGCACATTTTCAGTCACAGAGCAATACTCTTGCAAAAGTTGAACAGCAAGCTTGCACACCTCCACATCTGGATCATAAAGCTGGCCCACAAGAAGAGATATGGCCCAGTGGGGACTAGATTGAGGCTGAGTGTAGCCTCCCACATGCAATAGAGATCCCAGACGTTTGGTGGCAAACAGTCTGACGGGAGAAGGACCTGTAGTGAGAGCCTTAGAGAGGATGATCCGGGTATGGTTCGGAATTGTGTAATCTAGCGAACCAATGATCAGAATGAGGAGATCCTGACGTTCATGCACGTCTGTCAAGTGATACAGCATGTTGAACATTCTCCATCGCTCCATCATAGCCAGACCGTTCTTGTCTTGAGAAAGGGTCCCCAACAGCTCAAAGTAGCCGTAGGAAAGTGTGGATTCGAGTCTCTGGGCGGAGAAGAGAGGCTCCAGAGAAATAATTCCGCTCATGGGATCCAATTGAGCCAGACACTCGCCCATTTGCCGTAGTAACTTGTTTTCAGTCAAGTAGTCAACTCCCTCCTGGGTGGCTAACAACGTTTTAAGCAGAGCACAACCGGTCTCCACGTACTTCCGGTTGTATTTGGTCCTTTTGATAGCCGAAAACCGGTACTTGAATGGTCTGTAGAACGACATAAGTCGTTTTGCAAACTTTGAAAAGTGCTTGATAGTGACTTCTTCCAGCCGCTTTGGGTTCAGCAGTGGGCCCTCAATCAACTCCAACAGTACGTTCCAGTTCCATTTGGTGTAGTTTTTTGTCTGCAGCACTCTTGTGTCTGTGATGAGCTGCCGGAAGTGAGCATCATCAATCTGCACACCCATCTGCACCTTGACGGTAGTGGACGAGTTGAGCGCCGCGGTTTTATGCTGGTTACGCGAAATGGCATCAATGCGATGAATGGCACAAATGGCGTTTGCAGCAGCAGCGTTGGGTCCCGAAGACGACTGGACCTGGGCTGAAATAACCAGTGTTTCTAGTCGTTCGATCTCGCTCAAGAGCTCACGTGGGAGCACTTCTCCAGCCAGTTTGTGAAGCTCAGACACTAGAAGGAGAGCCTTTCGAGTACTGGTTTCGTCTTCCTTGGTGGTAATAACCTGCTGGAGCTCCCTGAGAAGCCCCTCCTTGAAGAAGACGGTCAGAAGTAACGCGAGAAAGTGGTTAATGTACCGTGGGCGCCTCCGGTTGTTAGCCTTGGGTTCGATTTTGCCATGAGAAGTGAGCTTCTTGCCTGCCACAAAGCTATGAGACCAAAAGGGGGCTTCTAAGCGAAACAAATCAAACAGAAGCGACAAAACAATGTCTCGAAGAAGAGGCAGCGGCAGGGCCAAGCACTGGATCAAAGCTCGCACCAACGAACTTCCTTCTGAAGACATGAGACCTGCCCAGGACGACAAAACCACACCAATGACCATGCACGAGTTACGCAACGTCTCTGGATTCACGTGACCCTTCTGCTGCACCTCAGTGAGCACGGACACTAGAAACTCCAGATCCTTACCTCCTTGCAAGACGTGACGCGTGGTTGGTGAGTCAAGAGTATAGAGAAGAACTCTGGTAGCTAGAGCTGCAAGCTCAAACGGGCCCTCCACACACAGCGCCAGCAATGGGCGCACTCCTCCTGCTCTATGCACCAGATGTGAATCTAGAACCAGCAGCTCAGCCAATGTCTCTAAAGCCGCCACACGTAGCCTGTCATCAGTCTGTTCTGCAACAGCGACAATAGCTCGCACGACTCCAATGCTGATTTCTGCCACTCCCTGCGGCACGTCTGTGAATGCACGAATAAATTTGAGTGCCTGCAGCCGCTCAAAATGACACCTGTTGTCCCGTGCCAAACTGCGAATCACAAACAGATCTGTCTGAAACCCCCGGGCTGTCTTCAACGAGTAAATGTCCGTGAGAGCATGACGTGCCACTCTGTACCCTGCCGCCACCACCTCTGTGCGTTTGTGTAACAGCAGCCGCTGTATCCGGTCGCCCACATGCGACAAGACCAGATCGTACTTTTGCAGGGGGTATCTTGTGAAGACCCTCACCAGCTCGTTGCACTTGGTCACGAGGTCGTCGGCATTGACCGCCGGGTCGTCCAACGCCTGCACAATGTTGCTGATGAGCCACGACGGGCTCTCATTGTTGGTGTCGTCTGTATCCATGCCGTCTCCTCCTCCATTCATGTGGTTGTTGGTGTGAATGTGATTTTGCTGATGAATACCCCGTATCGGCACATCATGGCCGACCGGAACCTCGCGCAATTGTTCGTTCAAAAGCGCTATCCGAGCCACACTGGCATTGAGCTCACTCTCCACCCGCGACCGCATTCCCTCCCGAGTAGTGTCCGTCTTGGACTTCTCCTTCTTGTCCAGCACCTGCAGCATGTTTTCCGCGCCATCTTTGATTTTCGCCTCGATCTCCAGCTTGTCCAGCAGCTCCATCCGCCACTGCTTGTCCGTCAGATGTGGCGGCTTCATGTTGGCTGTTGGTCCGTCTAGCTGTGTGCGCGATACTGGAGCTGGAGCTATGGTTTAGGTGCGTAGTGGGTATGCAGGGTCACGTGAGAGGGAAAAGGAGGAGGGGCAGATTACTGGGCATTGGCGGAGCGATGGACGCTTGCAAAAACCTGGGGCTAATCCGGGGAGACTTGTTTGTTCATATTTGGGGCCTTTAAACAGGCACTTATCACCGCAACAACCATACAAGTGTTCTAACAGCTCTCTCCTCTTCATCATTATACATGTTTGGGGGAGGTGGGAATGATGACGCACATGACGTCAAAATAACATTGGGAGGATTGGGGATTGGGTGGTGCAGACTGTCTGTTTTGAGAGCATTTCAGAGAGATTTGACCTACGACAAAAATCGATTGTAACTGTAGAAAATGACGACAAAGGTTGCCAGAATGTATTTAATGGGCTAGCCAACCGTTAGTCACGTGATAATCCGTCAATTTCTGGTCTATTGATAGCACATTTAGCTGATCTGTGGTGCTCGCACTGTCCATCCATCCATGCCCATGTCCAAATTTAAATTCCTCAAACCAGCCCAAAAAGACGCCCCTTATTTTGCGACGTGTAAATCCGGGGTACAAGTACTGTAATTACGTTGTAAGCGTATGGCAGAATGTGTGAAGGACATTGAATCACGTGATAAATAACCGATGGTGACGCTTGGCTGAGTGTGTGGGCTCTTTAGTGACGACAGTAGCAAATTAAAACTCAAAGTATTTAGTTGACTTTATTCAAACCGATAGTTGATACAGATCACTTTATTAGTTAACACGATTACTGAAGACACTTGCATTATCCATGCACTCAAGTCATGGGGTGCGGGTTCAAGTTCCGTTCTGGGGCACGGCAGGATCCGATTGTGATTACACGGAGGCTCTGTGGCACAATGCAATCTGTCGTATACTGTGGCTACGTTCACGGATTTCAGAAAAAAACTTGTTAATTGTGGCTTTGGATCTCAGCCACGAATTGTCAATGTCAAGGTTGCATAGAATGAAGAAGGGAGATCGTGCCAAGTGATTGAGGGTAGTAGGGACCACAGTGGAAAAACAGAAACATTTCTAGTACTTGATTTATGAGTTTTTGATCCTTTTGGTCCCCTAGACAGCCAATTGCGTCAGTTGGTAGACTTCAGACTCCCGCTACAAGCACGGGTGTCTCACGAAGCTACTGGACTTTAGCATGTCAATAGACAATGTGTAACTTCCGGAGATCAGCTCTACAACCAAATGATGACACCTTGAGCCTCTAACTCGTCCACAGAACTTTTCCGATAAGACCTGGCTTCTCTAGCTATATATAATTGAAGACATGCACTTTAGTATGTATACGAGAGCCTTACTACCACGACCCACCATGTCAGAACTCGAAAAACAAGTCCCCGACTCATATTACAACGACTCGGAGATTCTTGCTACCATTGGATACAAGCCCGAGTTGAAACGCAACTTCTCCACTGTTCAAGTGTTTGGAATTGCGTTTTCACTCATGGGCCTGATCCCCTCCATAGCCTCAACCATCTCTTTCTCTCTCCAGGCTGGCCCATACGGAATGGTGTGGGGTTGGTTTACCTGTTCGGTATGCATCATGACAGTCGGACTGGCTCTAGCAGAACTCGGCTCCTCTCTACCAACTTCAGGAGGCCTATACTGGTGGTCGTACTATTTTGCTCCTGGGAAGGCAAAACGGCCCCTGAGCTTTCTCGCAGGCTACAGCAGCTTCCTGGGCCTCACTGGAGGCCTCATGTCCATTGATTATGGATTTGCTCAAATGCTGGTCAGTATGATCATTGTGGCTACAGACGGCCAGTGGAATCCAAGTGCCTACGTGCTTTACGGCATTTTTGCAGCCTGCGTAGTATCTCATGCTTGCGTGGGGTCCATGGGAACCAGACATATGGCTAGGCTACAGACCGTGTGTATCTATGGTAATGTCGCTATCGCTCTAGTTTTAATCATAGCACTTCCCATAGGCGCGCGAAACCATCTCAACTCCGCTTCTTACATGTTTGGACAAATTGAAAACACCACCGACGGATGGCCCACCGCCTGGGTCTTCTTTCTGGGCTGGCTAGCTCCCTCGTGGACCATTGGAGGATTCGACTCGTGTGTTCACATGTCAGAAGAGGCTTCAAATGCTACCAAGGCAGTGCCATTTGGAATCATTGCGTCTATCAGTGTAGGCTGGATTCTGGGGTTTGTTGTCGTCATTGTCCTGGTTGCAGTTATGCCCCACGATGTCAAGCCTCTTCTTGAGACAGTCTATCAGCAACCTTTTGCTCAATTGGTGTATGATACTCTGGGAAAGAAATGGACAATTGGAGTCATGACGGCCATCTTCATCCTACAATGGACTATGGGGTTGTCCAGTGTCACTTCTGCATCGAGACAAGCCTGGGCTTTTTCAAGAGACGGGGCTCTGCAATTCTCCGACTTCTTTAAAGTGGTCAACCAAAAGTACTCCAACCCAATCAGATGTGTCTGGGGCAGTGCCCTGTTGGCTCTGTGTATCGGATGTCTGTGTATGATCAACGCGGCGGCTGCTCAGGCGTTGTTTTCGCTGGCAGCAGGAGGAACTTCTTTGGGATGGCTGATTCCAATTTCTCTGAAGTTGCTGTATGGTAAGAACCGGTTCGTTCCAGGCCCCTTCTATCTCGGAAGATTTCCTTCCAAGCTGATTGGGGGCTTTGCCAGCGTCTTTCTGATGTTCAGTCTAGTACTGATCCAGTTCCCACAGACTACTGCCCATCCTACTAAGGATACAATGAATTACACCTGTGTCATTGTAGCTGTGGTCTGGGGAGGGTGTTTGATGTACTATTATCTGTTTGCTTACAGATGGTACACTGGTCCGAAAACGACGCTGGAGGGGGCAGTTGTTGAGTTTGAAGGAGTAGCAGACGAGCACACTGGAAAGTCTCGTACAAGTAGTAGTAGCGAGAAAGGGATTAGTATTTAACTATACTCCAAATATTAGTTGAATTAGATATTGTACTGTACTTGAAAAAACACAGACTCCAATGAAGGGGAACTACAATAGGGGGCTCCTCTTGACGTCTTAAACATGTATCATGGACGATCAAACGATCCTATTGTAAGCGCTTTGGTTATCTCTGTGCTTTATATAGCTCCCATACATCGCAATCACAACACTTTCTCTTCGGTGACATATCTAAAACAGGAACAGTTTAAGCTGAGAGGGAGTGTCTGTATCGTGTTGTACTTTAACAAGCGATACGTCATTTTTCCCTTTCTCTAAATCACGTCAAATACACACATTCTAAAGTCATCATCTACAGTACAGTTATACGTGCAACACGCCATCTCTCTACCAAATGGGTCGAAAACTCCACCCCGTCACGTGCCTCGATTTGGTACAATATCCTCTCCAAGAACGCGAGTTTCTTTTAGTCAGCAAATGCGACCGACAAGCCATGGGTATACAGAACCCACTCCACTTTCTGCTGAGATGGAAGGTGTTCCAAACGGCCTTTTTTGAAGCCCGAAGTAAGGGACACTCGTTCGTGTTACTTAAGCTACCTCATTCAACTTTGGTGTTCATTACTCAGCACTTTTACGACGCGGAGCCAGAGATGGACCACTCGGAAGCTGTTAATTTGATAACCTACTACGAGCATCATAAGATATTTGTGTTGCGTCAACTAGCAACTCAGTACCTCGATACGAACCCAATGGACATCCACCAGACAGTAGCCATGTGGCGGTTGGGCTTCAAGGAGAAGAGTGTACGTGCTAAGAACTACGCCTCCAGACACATGCGAGAGATACGAGATACTTCCGAAGAGCACGATGCCGCTCTTGGTGAAGCCATGTCTCATCTGGAGGCCCAAGAGTTGCGTTCCTTGGTGAATGAATTGTGGCTATCCTCTCCAATTGTGGATGACTAGAGGAGACAGGTACTGTACTTGTACTACACAGTATGTTGGTTGCTCAAAGATATTGGGATGGTACCTTGACCTCTTCACATCGTGGCTACTTGTAACAAATGAAGAAGTGGTGATCCTTTCAGCTACTGTAGCGAGAGATAAAACGGTAAACATGTGTATGGATCCAAATTATTGAAATGTATTTCTGCTACAATTGATGATACAAAAATTGAGGTGTTGGGGGTGGAATTTGTGGATTCAGGACGCTTTTCCAACCTTGCGTAGTTCTGTCACTAAAGTGAACTAAAAATACAACTACACACACTTCACCGGAGTTGCCCAAATTCAACATTCTTAATAATAGTAAATGTAAGACAAACATTTTTTGATAAATTATTTTAGTCTTTTTTTTTAAAAACAATTCTGTTGCCCAAATGGACTCTTTTACCAAGCAGTGAGGTTCTTAAAACGTCAGAATTTTGTTTTTTTCCGAAAAAAACCATCCAGCGGACTTGTGTTCTTAACAAAGTTCAACTATGAAGTCTATGGAGTTAGGTTACAGTAGCGCCAGTAGTTGTACTGTAGCTACAGTGCTAAGCATGACAAAAAACTAAAAAAATAAAATAAAAAATAAAGGGCGAAGAAGAAACTGAAGTTGGTAACAGAAATGTGATAGGATAGTCATTTCAGTCGGTCTACAATATCGGTACATACTGTACTGTACTTGTAGTTGGTTACTACAGAAGACATGAGCTGACAAAAGCCGCACCCAAAGATGATCTCATGAGAGAATCGTTCAGTTAGCACCATGAGTTCTGATACAGGTTCTCGCACTCGTACTCGTACCGTACCCATAATACATTGTTACAGTGAGGTATACTAGTAACTTCTTTGTCTCTTTCTATACCTTTCTCTCTCTTTCTCTCCCTCTCCCTCGTATCTTACCCTCTTCTCGTATTCCAGTAGCCGCAGCCAGAGAGGTTATTCGACGACTTTTTGGAGATAACTGGACACCTCAGAGAAGGCTGGAAAAGAGTAGCTAGAGGTCAATGGCTATTGCGTAGAAGATTTAGAACGTTTCCTTGACTGATATACGTGCAAATTACCACTCATTTGCCATCAGAAACAACCTCGTCGCGTATAAAATTGCTTCCTATCTATACTGGGGGTTGGGTCAAACCAAGACTCGTTGATCGATTGATGTAGATCGTACACATGAGTGGATGGTGGTTTCGATGTAGAGTTTCGGAGTTAGGGTAAATGCGACAATCCCATTGGACGATTGGGGCGCGAAACAGCTACAAACACAACTTTTGTGACCCATTCGCTGTTCTCAACATGTCGTTTCGTCTCCCTTCTTCCTGCAGCTGCACCCCACTCCTCATTGGACAGATGACTCAAGACGAGTCAAACGATGACTAGGTTGCATGGTAGCCGAAAGTTTAATGAGTCTTTCGAGTTATATAGCGGGTATAAAAAGTCCCCTTCTCTCCCTTCTCTCTCCAATAAAACCCGTCAAACATCAATCACTTCACCATGGAATGGCCCGATCTTCAAGAACAATTCGACATTGCGTCCATCAAGGCTCCGTGGGTTGTCAAAGTCGGCCGACGAGAGATTACCGATGAGCAGTTCAACCACTGGCTCTTCTCAGACCATATCTACGTCGGAGGATGTGGAGGCTACGTCAGCCGAATGATCACCGAGCTGGAAAAGCTGCAAAAGGACCCAATGTGGACCAAGGTCGAGCCCAAGTACGGCCCTCTCGTCGACGAGCTCCATACTCTGCTATCCGGCTGCTACGTGGTGGCCCAGAACGAAATGGTCAAGTTTGAGGAGATTGGAGAGAAGCGCCAAATCAAAATGACCGAGCTGGAGCGTCTGGATCCCGATCCCATTGCCCAGCACGAAAAGTTTCTCGCCAACAGCTCTGGTCGACTCGATCAACTCAAGGCTCTGTCGTCCCATGGCTCCGAGAAGATCCACCCTCCTGTCTGGGAATACATCAACTTCATGATCGAGTCTTCTCAAAACTCAAAGCTCGACATCCGGACCCTGGTGGCCGGCATGTGGGTGCTCGAGAAAGTCTACAAGGAGGCCATGTTCTACATTGCTTCTGAGCGGAAGAAGAACATCAACTCACCCAAGGCAGTCCCCGAGACCATCGAGGGTGTGGGAATCGACTCAATGATCTCATGGTGGGCCAAACCCGACTTTGAACAGTTTGTCGAGAAGCTGGGTGTGCTGGCGAACAAGTTCGATAAGGTGCAGTTTGATGGAGAGTCTACAGAGCACTATGAGGAGGTGAGAAAGCAAACCAAGGCTTTTGCCGAGCAGCTTCTCGAGATGGAGAAGAAGTTCTGGCCTGTCCTGGAGTAGAAAAATGCGTCTGAGTGAATAAATGAGTTGTGTATGACGGTCAACGTTCTATGTACACTTCTGAATCAGTAGTGTATCTTGTATGTATACTATATAATAGGAGAGCTCATAATTGAAGCCCCTCTCGTGTGCTTCTACTGTACCATAACTCACACTCACAACCGACAGTAATATTGCGTATATTATTGATCTAACGTTCCGATACCACTCTCCTCCTAATCTAACATGCACTGTCTATTAAGCATCCTGTACCTTGGCATAACTAGGAGGCTTGAGTTTTGCTTTTATGGCCTTGGCAGCCCACACGGGGATAAGGGCAGCCGAAAGAATGACAGCCACCTGCCAGTATAAGTCTGGCTTTTGAAAGTATTCGAGGTTGAAGTACTCGCCCAGAAACGGAATGGAACCGCAGTATAGCCCGAGAGATACCACCTCGGTAATTACCATGGTCTTGTTCCACTTGATCACCTCCAGAGCCACCATGAACAGCTCGTTGAGAAGTAGACCCGTGTATGAGACAGCAACCATGGTGGTGAAGAGGGTCTGGTCGAGACCGGTGAACACCTGGGCCAGTCCTTGCACAATGATACCTTGGTACAAGGAAATGAGCACCCAGATGAAAAAGGTGCTCCATGAGAGCGACTTACCCTCTGTCAGCTCCTTATACAGCTCCGGGTAGAGCTTGGCCAGGTGCTCGTCCACATCTTTATCGAGCACCAGCGAAAAGACGGGCATCATGGTGTACACCGTAGCATAGCCTACCATGAGCCATCCTTGATAGAGAGCCAGAGGCTCGAATCGAGATGACACAGAATACACAGTTTGACACACGGAGATAATGAGTCCTCGGTGAATGACAAACAGCGCCAGTTTGGCCGACCGTTTGTATGAGTTTCTTCCATGCCAAAGCAACAGCTTGGTGAGATGGCAGAACTGAGTGATGGAAAAGTCAGCTGCCAGACTGGCTTGTCGGCCCTCTTTTCCAACAATACCAACTCCCACGTCGGCAGCCTGGATCATGGAAACATCGTTGCCTCCGTCTCCAATACAGAGCACCCGTTTCTTTGTATGCTGTCTGATCAACAAGGCCATATCTGCTTTCTGCTGAGGATGGCATCGACAAGCAATCACTGCGGGGAGTTTTGTGGCCACAGTAATGAACTCGGTCTGGTAGAGGTTCAGGAACTGCTGTAAGGACTCTCCGTCAATCAACAGAGCAGCATCAGTCTTGAACTGCAGGTACTCCAATTGATCCAAAGCAGCCTCGCGGCCCTTGAGTTTTGTGATTGTGTGCACATGCTGGCCACGTGACACAAGTTTGGACGATACGGCCACACATCGAGCCGTCTCAACCTTGTCTCCGGTCAACATCCAGATTTTGATGCCTGCGTTTCGCAGGAGCTCCAGAGACACCTTTACGTCCTTCTGGAGTCGGTCCTCGACACCAGTCAGACCCAGAAGCTCCAGATCGTGCTCCAGATGCTCCGTGATCACGTGAGCGATCGCGTGATCTCGTCTATGCATTGCCATCTGCGCCTTCGCATATGCTTCAGAAAAGGCCTCGTACGACTTCTTGGACAGCCGCTTTCGGCCCACCACCAGTGTTCGTAGACCCTCGCGAGCCATATTTGCTGTCTCCTCCTCCAGCCAGTCGTTGGTCTGCACAATGCTAGCCATGACGGTATCGGCTCCCTTTTCAAAAAACCAGTAGTCGTCTCCATCTCGAACAACAATGCCCATTCGTTTCGATTCGGATGTGAATGGGAACACGTTGAGAATCTCGTATTCCCGTAGCTGGCCGGTAGATTCCAGTTGCAAGACCATAGAGCTTCTGTCTCGACGAACAAGACGAAGGCCGACCTCGGCAGTCCAATTGACAATGGCAATTTCATCGGGAGATGCAGCCTGATACGTCAGAGTGCCGTCTTCGTAGGAAGGAGTGACAGAATGACAAATGGCCAAAGCTGTGACAATGTCTTTGACTCGGTTTCCGATCTCTCGTCTTGATCGAGGTCCGGCTTCCCCGCCAGAGTTGACAAAGTCGCGCACTTCGTCCATGGCCTCCCCGGCGTACGAAACAGTGCCCACATGGATCTTCTTCATCTCCATGTCGTTCTGGGTAAGTGTTCCTGTCTTGTCGGAAAGCACGTACTCGATTCGGCCAAGGTCTTCGGGAATGGTGGATGTTCGCACAACAGTGTCTGGAATGGAAGAGTCATGCTCAATCTGGTATGCGTAGACCGACTTGGCCATGTCGAGGTTGACTCGGAGAGAAACAGGGATGATTGTGGAGAAAAGAATGAGAAAGCGCATCACGTCGACGTACCATTCTTTTCCAAATCCGTGGAGTGCCACAAGAACAAAGGAGAGCAAGAAGACGCAGAAGCAGAGCATTTTCGACAGAGAGTTGAGCTCGAGTTCAAGCAGACCGGTTTTAGTGCCTGCTCGAGATGTGTTGAGAGCCTGGCGGGTTTCTGCGCCTACGTAAACAACGATTCCAACGGCTGTTCCGCTGGCGAGAACCGTGTTGGCCCACATTGTGTTGTCGACTGAGAGACCCATGGAGTCGGTTCCAACAGTGACCTTTCCTTCAAATTGGTGGATGGATTTTCGCGGCGGTTCTGCCGTGACTGTCACGAGATCCTTGAGATCGGTTTCCGACAGCTTTTGGGTGATGTGAGGTGCGATTCTTAGTTTCCAGTCCGTTTCACCGTCGAGTTGATCGGTTCGAATAAAACACTCAGCTGATTCTTCCGACGACTGGAGAAGCACCATGTCTGCGGGGACACGCTGGTCTTTGTGGATCTGGACGAGCTGGCCGACATGGATGTCACGTGAAGCGACCTGGGTCACCTGATCCAGAACCGTGTAAGTTTCTGAGTTTGATTCATTGTCTCTTCGTCGTCGCAGGATGTCGTCCCATGCCTCCTTTCCCATCGTTACCGTCAATACAAAGGCCAGGGGAACGACGTAGGACGACAAGTAGCCGATCCGCAGTGCCGGAATGGCCTGCGACAAAGCAACCAGCAGAAAATAGAGATTGAAGAAAAACTTGAATTGCTCATAGAGAATCTTTGGAATGAATGACCAGGGCGAGTACTTGGCGTTGGACACGGCGTTGGAGGTGGACAGATCGGGATGTCGCGGGTCGATGACCCGTTCTTCTGCCTCGGCTTCTTGATTGTGACGGTTGCGATGGTCTCGGTGTCCTCGCCGCTCGGTCTGGGGACCGTCGCCAATCAGTGGCACGCTGTCCTCGTCCATGTGTGGCTGTAGATTGGCCAAGGGGATACTTTCCGACATACGGCGGGTGTATTGGTTGGAGAGAAAAGTGACGCCCTTGACGTACACGTGGCGCAGTAGACGGACAGGCTGATGGGGGAGGGAGAGTAGTCGTCGGTGTGTTCGTTTCACTTTGCACGGTGGGGCACGACTCTCGGGAGGAGGTCGTCTGCACTAGTGGAGGCGTGGTAGGGTCGTCACGTACAGTCGTAGTGTCTTGTTATGCCTTCTGCGCAGTGCTGTGGTGTTGTGCGGTTGTGCTGTATGTATGTTTTATGCACACTAATTATACCGTCCCTCCCAAAAAAACGGCCGCTGACAAGATCTGAACTAAGCACCTATAAAGTTGGCATATAGGGGGGTACAGTCAAGACAAGAGACCTGAGAGAGGTTCTAGAGAGAGATATGGAGAGGGGGGAGGGTGTAGTATGGGTTACGTGACTCCAAGGATTGCTGTGGAGGGTTTTATCTATTAATCCCGTACCTAAAGGGTTTGTTAGAGACACCCGATAAGTTGCTCTACATGGTTGAATGTAGAGGTGTGAAGGTGACTATGACTAAGAGGCACTCCATTAGTACAGTAGCTACGAAGCAAGGACTGGTGGAAATACACACCTGTCTCACGTGATTCTATTAGGTCTTGTGATGTGACTTCGTACAATTAATCAATCTACGAATATCTCGAGGCTATGTTGTGTCTGACTCGAGGGTCAGGCACGTGTTAGGTACAGGTAAGTGGGACGTGAACTAAGAGTAAACAAAATGACTCACATAGAGACGAAACAAGCTAACTATTGCAGTCAGATGGTCAACTAATTAGTTTGATGTAAGTTGAAGACCAAGTAAAATACGTACACCGATATCATTCAATGAAGCCATTTTGTAGGTCTAAAAACGTTCAAATACACCAATATATCGTCGAATAACACTTTCTTATCACTACAAACTGTACCCATCGCAGCTAACACCCCTTCTTCTCGCCTAGTGCTACTCACCACTATCTCCACAAGGTTTGAAATTTGGCGCTGAGCATAAACGACAAGCATGGACTATCGGAGATTCACAACACCGCCAAATACAAGTCCAACTAACACAAAAAGAGTGGAAGCCATCGGATAAAATCAGCACACATAATGAACTCAACTCCGGCCAATTCAACGCCTCTACCGCCATTACAACCCTTCACACCAGGCTCCTCGGCTGCAACGCCCGCACCAATAGCTCTGACCAGGTCCAAGCCCCGTAGACGGCTGTCGTCGAACGTGGTGGGTGTGTCGGACCGGCGGCGGCTGCTGCAAATGCTTCAAAACGTGGAGGAAGTGTCTCCAGGTCCCGATAGTGCAAGTGAAGCGGGAGAGTCGCCGTCTATTCGATCTCAAGATGAAGCACATCTGGAACATCTTTCTTCGGCGAGAATCTGCATGGATGAAGACAAGGAGCTGTTGATTCATCAGGCGCTACCAGCATTTGAAAATACGCTGCTTCGGTTCGTACAGGCGTTGTCCAAGTACGACTTTCGACAGGATCTGGCAGAAACCCTGATGGAGACAGAATCGCAGTTTTGTGAGGCCGTGGACGAGCTGGTGGAGCACCAACAGGCGGCACAGACAATCGCGGCACTGGAACGTGTCAGTGAAGGGTTGGACGACAAGATTCGAGACATGATCCGCAAACTGGCAGAGTGCAGACGAGAGCTGCGAAACTACCAGCCCAACAACGAGAACCAGTCGACCTTGTCGTCGGCAGATCTGCTGACATATGCCACGCGAATTGCAAACTTCACCACAGCTCCTCCGTACTTTAGAGAGCGGCCTGAGCACTCGAAGCTGCCCTGGCCAATTGAAGACGAGATGAGAAAGGGATTGCTGGCTCTTATGGAAGTAGGAAAGGACAAGACGGAGCTCGGAGAGCTGGCGGACCCGGAGAAGTTCGCACACACCGCTGCAAATGGTGTGGCTCCCAATGGAGCGGCTCCCGTGGCCAACGGAGTAGCTCAGAACCACAACAATGGATATGCTATGGAACGACGACTATCGACGGGCTACGGAAGCGATAATGATGGCGATACGAATATGAACGGAAGGAGTGGTTTGGCGGGTCTGGACATCTTTGACGATGATGATGATGACGATGACGATGATTAATGAAGCGCGTTATGTTTTACGCAGTGCGAGAAGCCTGGGACTCGGAAAACTTCGAAAATGGGTGTGCTTCGAGTGCGTAGCACGACCAGCGCGGGATGACTATTGCACAAGCTATCAAACTACAAGTAGGCTTGTCGTCATTTCAAGGAACTTGTGCTACTACTTGTAGTAGTATATATCCCCTATTAACAAGCAAATGATGGCAGTAGACTTCATAGTTATAAAGTGTAGAAGATGTTTAAGGGCTTAGTGAGAACGATTGATCGTTTGTATTTTTAGTAACTTGAACGGACGATGCTCTTGGTCGTGTCAATATGACAGTGTCTACAAGTGGAAGACGCAGACAGTCTTTAGCTCGATACAGCCAAGTCTGTCCTGTTTCTGCAATTTCTCCAACTTAGCACATCGACACTCTGCAGTCGTACAATTGACTCTACAGGTGCAAAAGCAGCTGGTGCTTCGCACTCATCATTCCATCTGGCAATACAATAAATCTACTCTACTTACAAGTCCTTGAGCTCAACATCATCTCTGGACGAACCCACAGGAGCCTCTCGCTCCCTAGTTTCGCCGGTAGGAGCCTCGTTCAGTACCTGCTTGAGCTTGGCCTTGGCCATGTCCGTGGCCTCGGCAATCATGGTATTGGTCATGTGAGTCAGAGGACCCCACAAATGCAATGTGTGGATGACGTAGGCGGCACCAGCAGCCACCAGAAGGAACATGAAGTAGACTGGCGATCGCAAAACAGCCATAATCTCGTTCCAACCCAACAGAAGCAGCAGACCATACATGTAAAGAGGAATCTGGGTAGTGGACTGAATGGTGGACCGCTTGGCCTCAAGATACAGACCCTCAGCCTGCTTCTTAAACTTTTCAATCAGCGACGCCTGTCTCTTTGGGGTCAGAATCACTGCAAACGCAGTCTCGTCATCGTCGTCCTCGTCATCCTCAAGAGCAACAGTAGGCTCAATAGACTTCCCAGAGCTCAATTTTGCAGTCGACAACAGTGGCATAATTTCCAGAGCCTGCTCTCGCGACTTGGCAAATGCGCCGTCGATATCATCTCCAGGACGCCACACAATGGGTACTCCATTGGCATCGTATCGGAAGGACTCCTTGAACTTGTTTTTGAGACGGCTGAGAACTTGCTCTTCCTTGGAAAGTTCCTTGAGCTCAGCACCGAAAACAGCCCAGGCCTCCTGCTGGATCTGTTTGAGACCCTCGGCAGAAGTTTTGGGTGAACCAAAGCCGAAAGAAAACGCACTGGGGGCGGAAGGCGAATAGTTGGGGTCAATCTTCTTGATGGACGCATTCAGAAGCGTTTCGAAGGACTCCAGAATTCGGTCCCACACTGTCTCATCGGGCTTGTTGAGATTCTCGTCGAATTCCTCGTGGAACGAGCTCTTGAACCGTTTGGCAGACCGCGAAATAAGCCGGTCAATCTCAACCTTGCTCTTGTGGTCACGCAGAGTGTCCAGCTCCTGTTCCAGAGCAGCCAGTGTGTCGTCATACGAGAAGTGCGACGAATTGGGCTGGCCAATGGCAGCAGTCACCTGCTTGGCATTGTCGATGAAATGAGCATGGGCAGCTTTGGAGGCTCGAGAGAGGTTTTCGCCAAAAGTGAGAGCAGAAGAGGACTCCAGAGCGGCGTTGAACTGTTCCAGAGATTCACGCTTCAGCTGGGCGAGATACGACTGATACACCTTGCCCAAGTCGTTGTCGACGCGGTCCTCCAGCTTTTCAAGAGTCGCGGAATACACCGAGGGAGTGTATCGAGACGCCTGGGAGTCATACTCGTCCACTGTTTGTTTTCGAGCCTCTCCCATGAGCCCTCCGAGCACCGCAGAGGCCACAGCGCCACCAGAAAGCTGATCTCGGATTTTGACTAGCAGAGAAAGGAAGATATCGAGCGCGCCGGCAGCGATTTCGTCGCATCGGAACCGCGCAACCAGAATCTGCTGCGTGGGCAGATCCAGATCCTTGTTCTGCTCAATCTGGTCCCAGACCTGCTCGGCGTAGAAAGACCATCCGTCCAGAGGCACGTTTCGGTGGTAAACGGGCTTGAAGACATAGTTGGGGTCCTTGGGCACAGTGAATCGACATGCCAGCTGCTCCACGTCGGCGTAGAACTCGTTGGGCTGCAGAAGCTTGTGAGGTAGAGCTGTGAACTGCAAATCAAAGAAGTCCTCTAGTTTGGCATGCTCCAGACCTTCGGGCTTGTTAATAGAGTCCCAAAGCTTACCCATATCCGTCTTGAGGGTTGTAGACAGGTTGGCTAGAGGAGTAGCTCCAATGTGGTCTCTGATGACAAACATGATTAGCGACCTGTTCTGAGAGGTGGCAAACAGGTTGAGGTTGACCTCAAACACAGTCTTGAGCAGTCCCATGTTGGCGCCCTGGTAGAGACCAATCTGATGTTCCCAGATGTTGACAATGAGCACTTCGGAGGTGGCGAGAGCGAACAGAGCCGATTTTCGCTCAAAGTCCTGGTCCTCACCTCGTTCTCTACCATCAGTTCCCTCGACGTCCATCACAAGCACTCCCGAGTCGGAACAATCCTGGCTGTGAGCCGAGTTGGCTGAGTGGGGAGCCTCGAGCTGAGCACGGGCCATCCAGATACCCTTTGTGGTCTGTTGACGAGCGGTTTCATTCATGACGTCGAACTGGGTGCCAAACAGGGCATTGAGGAGAGTCGATTTACCGGTGGACTGGGAACCGAAGACGGCAACTACATGGTAGTCAAGACCAGCACGGTCAAGATGCACCTTTTTGAAGTAAGAGGAGACGTCTGGGTTGAACTCCTTATTTCCGTCAATGAGTTGGAGCGAGGGAATACCGGCGTAAGAGCCAGGTGTCGACTTGGCAGACTTCTGGGAGGTAGGAACTGCGTGGGAGGCAGCAGGAGTGGGAGCAGCCTTGTGAACGGGGGAGGAAGCGGGAATGGACTTCTCAGCGGGAGAAGACACGGGCTTTCGTTCAACAGGCTTGTGCTCTCTCTCCACGGGCTTGTGCTCGGACTTGAGTCCCTCAGGAACAGGGGCGGCAATTGGCTCCGGAGCAGGAATGGGTTCAGGGGCAGCAATTGGTTCAGGGGCGGCAATTGGTTCAGGGGCGGTCACAGGAGCCACGCCAGACTCTCTCACGGGTCTAGAGGCGGGAGGAGGAGGAGCAGGGTGGTGGTGGGTGGTGACGGGTGAGTGGGACGAGTGAGACGAGCTGACAGAGTGGCTGTCATGAGAGTCGTAGCCGGAGACGGGAACTCGAGAGGCCGGAGGTCGAGACGAGGGCACAGGGGGTGCTCCATGGGACTGGGAAGTCATCTTGTTGACACTCTCACTGCTGCTTCTTCCGAGAATATCGTCTTTGGTGAGGAGAGGCTCGAACGAGTCAGATTGACGGAACGTGCTTGCAGATGGACTCGCCGCAGCTGACGATCGATCAAACGATCGCTCCTTCTCAAACGACTTCTCGTCAAACGCCATGGGAGGCGGCACCGTGAAGGGGTTGGGGGGAGGCACGGAATCGAGATGGTTTCGGATCATCTTTTCTTCGGGCGAATCATTGAGCGATGAAGCCAGTCTATCGGTCTTATCGCCCTCGAACGAAAAGGCGTCCTCGATCTCTTTTCGAGACGAAGAAAAGTCGTCCATGTTGGCTGTTGTTGTCTTGTGTGGGGTGCTGTGTAGCTCGAGTTGGAACACGTTCACCATAGAGCAATAAAGTTGAGCAGCACGTGCAATGTGCAGGTAGCTGTAGGGGTATGAAGGGAGAGGGGGAAAGAAATACAGCACCATGTGAATGTGATTAATAGCCGGAGCAGCAACGCCAATCACGTGGCTTCACGTGGCGTCATGGGGAAATCACGTGACCCTACATTTCCCTTTCTCTCATACTCGACAATCGCCGCAACATTCCCTCGTACTTGTAGCTCAGTCTCAACCTACTTACTGTACATACTGGTGTGAGCACATACCACTAACAAGCAACGTCCAAGAACTTTAGACGCGGCGCCAGTTTGATACGTGAAAGGTGTCAGATGTAAGTGAGTGAATAGGAGGCATAGCGGGGCTCAGGAGCAGTTTGAAAGGTGGCTGTGCACACTTATATAGGTTCAGGCATTGTGTTTGTGTAACAGAGGACCCACACTACATCCAGTGAACCACTCTGGCAAGTCACGGGTGTCATGGTTCCCCAAAACATCTGAACAGCGCACAGTCTAAAAACGGGACGAAATGAGACCCAACCATATGTGAGACAATTTGACGAAACAGTATACTGTACTTGTAGATTGCTATAAATGGATGATTGGGTACGAGCTGAGCCTCTGGCTCATTTAGAGACAAAAGAAATGCAATGATCAACGAGTCTCAACAAAAGGGGGTATGTACTGTACTCGTACGATGCAGTGCAGGTGGGCATACAACACATTTGTTATTTGTTCTGCCCAAGGGCTTCATCAAAAAAGATTGCAGCACCCAGGATTCTCGTATGGTCTCCCACTACAATACTAACTAGGCTCTCTGGTGCTTGACTATGGCTAATCGGACGGGAAGCCGTATTTTCACCAGGATATGGCCGCAACCGTTACAAAAAAAACGGCGTTGAACCCTTATATTAGACCATATAAGTCACGTGTGTAAATTTTTAAAATGGGATTTTGGCAGCATTACATGACCGGATTGAAATTTTTTAAAAAGTCACACGTTAGAACAGAATCCTCTCTATCATTCTATGCCGTAATTGTCACAGTTTTTCCAGTAACATCTTGTTTTTGCAGCAATTAACATATCAACGACGCTATAATCGACAAACATTTAGTGGAGAGTTAAGTGGACAATATTTCAGACTAATAGAATGCTACAGCTTACGGCAGGGTGCGTAATATGGCTCGAAATACCCGGTATTACGACTTTTCAGTTTCCATAACTATTATTATTTGAGATCTCAACTAAAACTACCTGGTGTAGTTAAGAACTCCACCTCAACATAGCTGAGCACTACAACACACAACAACACACTTTACAGCACCTTTATAAAATGCTGTGATCTCCACACCCTTTGGATGACTACCACCTTGTCTCACAAACGTCCCGACTCTCCTTACCCGGTATCTACTTGTTACCTATATAAATAGTATATACAGCATCGATTCCTCCAATCAATGTTTGAGGACAAAGTCGATGGTGGAATCGCCCAGTCCGTCCTTTTTCAAATGCTCCCAAGCCGCCTCGTACACGGGTTTGTCTCTACCTTTACCTCTGGTTTTGCCCCTTGTGTTTGCAGTGGGATTCTTCGTTCTCTCACAGTTGCCGATCACATTGAACAACATCCGCATACGGCTCTCTCTGCTGGGTCTCTCCTCTACAGAAATACTAAGAGTGCGTAGATCTGTGCCATCAAAGGCTACCCACTCTTGAATAAGAGCTAGCGCCTCTCTTGTGGCATTAGGACGGTTACTGTTGAGTACCAAATGAACCTGCGTCTCTGCAAATGAGTCAATAACATGCTGGTCGGGTGAAACTCCTCCTCGAGCCATAAACTGCTGGTATTCCCGTACGCACTGTAGGGCCAGTTCCGGCTCAGAGTCACGCAGAATCACAGCCACAGCGGCATACATATGCATACCCACATGCTCGTCCATCTTGGAAATATATTCCAGACCCTGTTCGACCGATTGCCGCACCATATGGGTCACCAGAAGCTGTGTTTCATACAGAGAAAGCCGACCGTCTCGACGCTTGATCTCCTGGGAAAGCTCCTCGGTGATATCCGAGTCACGTGACACTACAGCGTAATGCAAGAGAGCTGTTAGCACGTGACGGGGTCGTTGGGAGATGGAAATCTGCTGCCATCGCAGCGCAAATGATTGTCCGAGCTCCAGTTGTTTAGTGTGTGCGCAAAACTCGATCACGGACGCTCCCAAAGAAGCCGTGTAGTCAAATTGCAGGTTGGAAATGATATCGCGGCAGATATAATGCAGTTCAGGGGTAGTTGTGAGCTTGGAAAGCATAGAAGAAATCATGGCTGGCGGCAAGGTCATCAGATCACGAGGTTTGTACAGCTCCCATAAATAAGCAGCTCCCCAGGGGTTCCCATTGTCGAGGTTCTGGCACAGTAGGGACACAAATGACGTCTGTGAGACCTTGCTCTTGTATCCCTTGAGTAAGAACTCGGCAAGCTCATTTGCAGGAGTAGGAACACGTTGTTGAAACCGAGCCCAGTCCATGAGTTCTTCTATGACGTAAGACGGTTGACGGTCCAGCTCGTTTGTGAGGTTTTGAATCGCAGCAAACTGTTTCAGCAGCTGTGCTTTCTTGTGCAGCGGATGGTATGCAATGGCCTTGAACAGCAAATCTGCCACAGCGGGATGAGGTCCAAAAATGCTGTTGAACCTTGAGGTCATGGCTATAGCCGCCGTGAGCAGGTTCTGAGACACCGCCAACGACACAATCTGGTACCCGAGCCACTGAGGATACGACGAGAAGCCGTGTTCCTCATAGTTGCCGAACGCAGCGTCCTCAAACACCTCACTGTGTCGTAATGCAGCCTCCACCGACGCTAGATCCCGGGCTTCGAGATAATGCATTGCCAGATCCACCACCAGCGCCACCAAATTGTCCTGAGGGTCTCCTTCTCGGTCTATAGCGTAAGATAGTCGTTTCAGAGACTGGTTGGGGATGTGTCTTGCCAAGATGTAGTCCGGGTCTTTGTAGAGCTTTTCTCCGAGTAATTTCAAAATCTGGTGGATATCCTTGGCAAATAACGTCTTATGCTTCTTGAATTTCAGCACCTCGGCCGCCCCAATCTCCTCGGGCGGTGTGTAGACTGGCTTTCCGTTTTTGTTATTGTAGTTCTTCTGTGGGATGAGCGGTTTCGGCAAGATTTTCTCGCTAGCCGGACTCAAGACCCCAAACCTGTCGGCTTGCCACGCCTCACCCGCGCTGGTGGACATGCGCCGAAAACCCAGACACACCCTGCGCATTGTGTTGTGTTTGGTGGAGAAAAGTTGATCTCGCGATAGTTTAGAAATTTCACTGAGATACTGCATGGGTTAGGGTTAGGCGTGTGTGGGGGATACAGACCGACCAACGTCCAAGGGTGATTTCTGAGCTCATGTAAGGACTACAGAATGTTAGCAGCTATACGATTTTGCGTCTTTATTATGTTTTCTACTGCCCTATCAGTTCCAGGTGGAGTTGGAAGATCGTGGTATGGAAAGACTAATTGGTGGTGGTGGAAGCAGGAGGTGAGATGGATGGTGTGAGACTGATGATGTGGAGAGGTGGGGCTCTTGTGGGTGTTTAAAAGTAGATAACCCTGCTTAAATATTATAATTATGGGAATTCATTACTTTTTTTGTGATCAAAAGCTACTCTTTGGGGTCTTTTCGGTGGTATGAGTCGTCCAATAACTGTTAGGACTTCTGTACAATAATTTGGTAGAACCGTATTGGGGGTGTCGGCAGTTCGAGGATGCGACGGTTGTTGAAACTGGTTTGAGAATGCTCAACGCAACACGCAACAAAACACACAAATGACAAGACAGGCTGGATGACAAGACATTATGGCTTATATAAGCAGTTCACCGCAGCAGGTTGGAGATTAAATGACTTTTGATTATAATGTTCAATAAAACAGCCTCAATGAGTTCCTCATTTGAAGCCCCATGTTGGATGTCTATGTACATCCTGGGTCTGGCTATTGAGCGTGCTGGATTGAGATTCTGAATGGGCTGTGAGTACTATTAGTACTAAGATGTTGGAATACTTAAGACGGCGGAAGAAGTGAAGCAGCAGTATCGATCTCTCTCCACTCTCACCATTCTATCTCATCACCACCAAGATGACTATCAGCAACTACTGCGTGGACCCGTATGTGGCTCACGAAAAGCACTCCAACTACGAAATCTTCACTGATGAACCTGCCGAACGGGGAGCTAGCTACACCTGCGACTGGTGTGACAAGTTCTATCCCAACTGGAAGGAATACAAGTTGCACGTCCGGCCTTGTCTGATGAATTTCATTGGCTATTATCCGCCGACCGATCCAATCAGGCTGACAGATGAAAAGTGATTGTTTGTTAGATATAGCTGTTGTTAGACACAGCTGTTATGAGACATAGCAGAGCCATTTCCGAACAGTAAAGTAGTGTTATACAACTTGAAATTGTATCAGAATGTGTCGAGAGCCACACGTGTGGATCTAGTCTAGTCCAGAGGCATCTGTAGATGATTCGAGCTGACCCAATCACGGATACTGAGTAAGTGCAAAGGTATGAAAGTTTTGGTAGCTACGTTGGTCACCGTTTGGGGTATGGTATTCTCCTTTCACGGCTCTTTCTGCCATTATCCACTTATTCCTGGCAGATTGTACCAGTTTCTTGAATGGTCTTGTTAGTGATCATCTTTACACGATTCTTCTCGAAACATTCGGCTATTGTCTTCACATAACTGAAGGGCTGGTTTCTCTCTCATTCCACGGACATTGCTAGCTAGTGTACTGTATGAAAAGAAATAATAAAAACGCATTTGGTATAGTTATGGAATGCTACAACCGAGAGAGGACTGGTGTAGAGTACATATTGTACCCACAAAAATAACACTCTCTGTTATCCTATAACCAGTATCCTGCTGAAGATATCTTCCATGCTACTCTATGTACAAGCCTCAAGACGTGCAATAGATGATTTGATCAAGAACTCATACAGTACAATGGAGCCACTTGTAGCCCAATCTGGTATACAAACAGTACCAGCCCATTATTCTCAATTCTGCCAGTCATTAGAGCTACTTACCACAGGTAATACTTCTGAATCTCAACCATCGAAACTCGGTGACACAAGATGGAACAGCAGCTCCGTCAAGTCTCATCTGTCTCATCGTCATGTGTCTGATATCACCAGTCGTTCCGACAGGGGCGAATTTGCCAGATGTCCGGCTCTGCCCGTGTTATGGCACTTGTTTAGGAAACTGCACGGACGTCAGACGTTGTTGACGTTGACAGTTGGAAGACAGCTGAGCTCTCCGTCTCTTCAAAACCACACTAAAAGTACATACGGTAGCACTACGAGTAGCTCGTGTCAGGCAAACTTCTCGGCTTTCGGCTCCGAATACCCCAGAAACAGAGAATGCTTGTCTGAGACGCATCTCACACTAATTACCGACTGTTTCAGAATAACCAAACAAAAAACTACAAGCCTCTGCAAGAGGACGGTTGTGCAGTTACAGTTGCAGTAGCAGTAGCTACTGCAGTTGCGGTGACATGACTGACTGTTAACCCTGAAGACACGCAAAAAAGAAACCAAGGACCTGTAATAACTTTTTGTTAGCCAAAAATAGCCACCTGCCGTCTATCCCTTGCCGCCGTTTATCATAAATCCCAGCCTAATCTTGCCTTGAACTCAGAAGCTGGGTTTTCTACAAGTGCCCGTATCTCGCTCCCCAGGTTGATAGCAATAATATTACCGAGCCATGTGGGAGGAGTACATCGCACATACATGATAATAAAGAGGCTCGCATTTGTGCCTACATTTCCCGGCACTTGTACTTGGACTTGGACGGCAGGACACCGGTCTGATTGCACGAGCCATTGGCTGTCTCATCCGGGTGAGATGTATTCGGTGAAGACTTTTTCACACGCGGCTGAGACAGAGTTTGTTCCGGTTCCGTAGCCGGCCATTATCGTTTCATATTATGGCCCAGCCCGTGATCTGGTGCCTTGCCGGAAGACTCCAGGGTCATCGGCCATCCTCAGGCCATTGCTACATTGCGCTGGTATGCCTCACTGTCGTTTCTTTTGACGAGCAAAACGCACACAACAGAGCCACTGCTTCCGATCTGAGACTCAGGGTTCGGAAAAAGCAAATTAGGCAGCACCGCGGAGGTTGGTGGAAGAGCAGAACAGAAAGATGCCCCATCACAAGTACACAAGTCCTTGCTGAGCCGCCGCTTGTGCAACCAATTCCCATATGGGACTTCTATCGTACCATGAGACTAGCAATACTTTAGCTCACATTAGACTGAACTACTGTATGTACAAGTATCGTGGACTAGTGCCAGCCACGCAACTAACAACGCGACGGCCTGCAACACGCAAGGTCTCAAGCAAGGGGTTCATCGAGGAGTTAGTTGCATGTGGAGACGACGAGAGTGAGTAACAATGACTAAACCCCATCTGTGGAGACCGTATCTTAGCGACAAGCCGAATACAAGCTCTACTCCCGACGATCTGTAACATCCTTAACAATGGTCTTAATCACATGGCCACGGCAAATTCACCGACGGACGCCAATCTACCCGTCAATCTGACAGGCTATAATTAGATATCGTCGACGAACAATGGTAGGAAAACTTTTCTTGGGTTTGGTTTCGTCTTGAGACACGGTGGGCCATTTAGACTTGCATTGATGAACACCACACAATAGAGCATGGAAACTTCCATGCATGGTGCAACTGAGGGGTAGTAGGTCGCTACACGAAAACCTCACAGAATTGTACCCTATTTTTTGTCTAATAATATCGTATATATATCAGCAGACTTGCCCCGTGCTATTTGCAGACGTCAGAAATGCAATACGTCAACGTCTGGCACACGATCTCTCCGAATTGGAACAAGCAAAGTGAAACTCCAACATGCATGAGGCTGCATAGACAATAGGCATTGTCTAAATATAGCCATGTCGATCCAGTTCTAAGCCTCTCAGAAACGCTTGAGAGTGGCTCTGCAGGATAATCCCTCCCTACATCCATCCATCCATTCCTTCGAGGTCCCGTGGTCTCACCTCCAGCGATCCTTTCGAGTCTATTTGTCTCTACAGTGCAAACATGATTACCATACCGGATTAGGACATTCGACAAGAGGAATACAAGACGTGCGGACGCACAGGATCCGAAACGGCAAGAGCGCAGGCACACGTACAGTAATATTGTTGCCTTGTCTTCGCTCATCTGTTTCGAGCCCATGGTTGTCTCCTTTTGGGCGTCGTTGCCTGGGAGACGTTGACGGGCCCTAACTACAGCGCACAGCTTTTTGTATGTACTCGGCTCCCGGAATTGACGGAAGTTTATCCAGAGCCCAATGTGATTGTCGACACGAAAAACGAAAAGCAACAAAAAAAAAAAAGTGTTTTGCAGTGGAGCGGGTAGGGTTTATATCTAAGAGTTAGTAATACATTTTTAGTTCAATTGGCCCAATGCTGCCGTTTCGAGGGCGAGTGGGGTCCTGAACGAGCACATTTGGGGTCCACAACCGCCTCTTTCGGCACCCCCTCCAAGCCAGAGCCGCCTTAATTGAACCCCGTTGTGAGTTGCGCCATTATGTCTTATGCCCTGTAGGTCATTTGGTGGCCCGAAGCGGCCCCATGCAGACGAACACAAAGCCCCGTATAAACAAGGTTCGTACATTGGGTTTGTGGACAAGTCTTTGTATGCAACTACTTTTGCTGCGTCTCGGTCAGAATCAGCTGAGTGATCAGCATTCGATACTTACTAGCTGCCGGGAATAGAGGGTGTGTGGGGACACTCGTAATATTATGTGTGTGGGTTTGCGAGATAGCGCTGACCATTCGCTCCACCATTCATTGCTGGCAAGACGATATGAAACGAGGATTGACATAAAACGCAAAAAATGAAAATCGTTGGAAAAAGAAAAAACAGATGTTGTCAGGACCTAAGAAAAAGCAATGCACGTTTGGGGAACCATTTTTTTGAGAGCTGGGCTGCACGCACACGCACACCACGCACACCACGCACAAGCGTTGCACAAAGGTAGCCGTATGGTGGAGTCCTGAAGGTTATTCGGAGGATTGATGAAAAGTACCTGGAAGCCCGTCACTCGATACAAGTGATGGGTGGACTCCTTAATCACATGAAACAACGCGTCCAAATATTGAGCGGTTTAAACACGATGGATTAGTGGCAAGTATGTACGAAAAAAAATGACAACCTCAGGTGTTAAAGTTTGAGAACCCTGCTCTACTTAAAGCTCAAACTCTCAGCATGAATCAACCTTGTGTAAAAGCCAATTTGGGAAGAGCAGTTCAAGTAACAGAGTAGTGTTAGGCTGGTGTCTAAATCGCATGTGTGTTTGTGCGTCTGGGTAACGGGCTCTCTCTCTCTCTTCGTGACTCCAGTTGGGTATATATAGACCCTCGCTTTCCCTCTCTACAGCCTTCCCTTTCTGTACTCCACCAACACAAACCCCCCAACACAAACCCACGACATTGACAATGACCAAGGAGTCTGTGCACAATCTGCCCACCGTTTCCACCTCTCAGCCCGCTGAGCCCGTGGACGCCATCCCCCCCACCGCCTACGTCCCCCCGGATGAGGCCTACACCCGGTCTCGACCTATGGGTCTCGGTGAGAACATGCGAAACCTCTTCATTGCCTGCATTGGTGAGTTTGTCGGTACCTTCATGTTCCTGCTGTTCGCTTACCTGATTGCCACCGTCGCCAACTACGACAAAACCGTCGCCGGCCCCAACGCCGCCAAGATCATCATGATCTCCTTCGGCTTCGGCTTCTCCCTCCTCGTCAACGTCTTCATCTTCTTCCGAGTCTCCGGAGGTCAGTTCAACCCTTGTGTCACTCTCGCCCTCACCCTTGTTGGTGCCGTTCCTCCCGTCCGAGCTCTGTGCTTGGCCATCACCCAGCTCCTCGCCGGTATGGCCGCTGCTGGTGTCGCCGACGCCCTGACCCCCGGCCCCGTCACCTTCATCAACACTCTCGGTGACGGTGTGTCCCGAACCAGAGGAATGTGGATCGAGATGTTCTGCACTGCCCAGCTGTGTCTGACCGTGCTGTTCCTCGCCGTCGAGAAGCACCGAGCCACCTTCATGGCTCCCTTCCCCATTGGAATGTCTCTCTTCATTGGCCATCTGGTTGCCGTCTTCCCCACCGGCGCTGGTATCAACCCCGCTCGATCTCTGGGCCCCTGCATTGTTGGAAAGTCTTTCCCCCACTACCACTGGATCTACTGGGTCGGTCCTATCCTCGGTTCCATCTTCTCTGTTGGTCTCTACCACACCCTCAAGTTCCTTGACTACGAGACCTCCAACCCCGGCCAGGACAACCAGGACTAATCGGTGTGCCCTCTCCACTAAAACTCGCGTTCATCAACGTTGGAAATCATCTTTTATCTTCTTCCACTAGCCATGTCTAGTTTGCATCATATTTCGGTGCCGTTTTGAAACGGTTCCATCTCACATAATACACATAATAATGTATATCACATAATGACAAGGTACAAGTACAATACGGTAGAAGTAGATTGATTCTTAGAAGTGCACATACAACTTGCACAAGTAGTGGTGATGTTCTCTTCTTTGTAACGGTCGCCTAGACATTTCTTTTTCGATCGACGCACAAACCTGTTCCTGATGTGATGTTACACTGGCTCCAAAGTTGGAACATGTTGTGAGACATGAGACAATTCGATTGAGTCGATATTGTATGACTTCTCGACCTCTGATTTTTGCATTGCTCTGAGTCTCGTGTCTCATATATATTCCCCCATAGCTCTCCTTGCGACGTTCATGGACTCTGATTCTCCTGAGTGGTGGCAGTTTTCCAGAGGGTGTTCTATTGGCAGTACCGTTTCAGAGTGATACAACGTCTCTATGGCAAAAGCAATGTTGGAAAATGTGGGTTCGGAGACAAAGCGTTGTATCAACTATAGCTCGATCGCACTTGTGAGGTCATCATCAACTCCTTGCAGTAATTATTTTACCGGAGACAATGAGTGAATGAGACAGCCGGAAGCAGCGAGATGGGATACATTGCAGCAATCGGGTGTACGGTATTTGTGAGCCAGTCGTCGAATACCCATTTATTTGACGGCGTAGTCTTTTTGGTTTATTCACGTACGTACTAGCCCACGGAGGTTTATATGCTATTACCAGTGCTGCACATTCTGATTAGTCCTTCACAGGGTCTTTCATCAGCATGGGAATCTCCAGTCGAACTAAAACCAATAAATGAGTGAGACATGGTGGGGAAATGCCTCAAGCAGGGCAAGTTGGATGACATGTAGTAGTCGAACTCGTAGCCAAGACGATATAAACACCCAACCATGTTAGTATCTCGATCTACAATTGATCCTGGTGGGTTTGTTTACGTGGAATTCCTTTTTCTGAGCTACCAGTAGACTTCTCCAGTCGGTATGTAAATCATGTCCCGGTAATCCCGTGATAGCCTTCCACACTATGTTTTGGGCGTGGTCTTAAACGGGACACACCCTGTCTAATTTGGGTTCCATAACAATGCACCTTGTGAACAATATGCAACTGTCAAAATGTGGGCACGGAGAGAAAAGAAAAAGCAAGAAAAGAAAGAAAAAAATAGTGCCGAACCCGTCAAGGCCAAAGGGGGCAAAATAATAACAATGTGGAGTCACACGGAGGCGTGTCACGTGGGTCACAGGACCTCCCGCTTCCCGCTCCCGCAAACAAACACCGTTGGGGCCTGATGCATTGTTTTCATCTGTCCTTGTTATACATTAGCCCGAACTTAGTATATACATAGTTGTAGGGTCGCTAATTATAACAGTCCGGCTATGAAGGTGAAAATGGGAGCAGCAAGTCTGAAGCTCTATGAGTAGAGTTGTTGCTGGATGAAGCGCGTATTTACAATTTCCCGGGTTTGGCGTGGTCATTTGGTGTCCGGGTTGAGACCGTGTGGACGCATGGAGCCCATGTTTGAGGCACACTTATACACGAGTGGGGGCATGGGCACATGAAGAAAGGCATAGGTACGAGGAAACCAAAACAAACACGCGCAAGCACATACAAGAAAAGACGACTATTTTGAACAGACTGAGTGGATGAATGGGTGACGGTGGTCACGAGGAGATTACGTGAGAAACAGGTACCAGAGTCGTATGAGTACAATATCGTATGTACAGAGCTTCGTACTTTTTTTGGCAATAGTATATACGATTCAACTCTACCATGTTACAAGTAGTTCTGTTTCAGCCATCCTAGACTGGTGTAAGGAGCTAAAGGGGTTTGTGTAATCACATGCCTCTGCTGTACATTGACTGTCTATTCTCGTACTACTTGCAACACGACTGGTTCGCTTGGACATCACAAGCAACCACTATGTGCTTTTTTCGATGCTTGTTCACCGGAGCCGAATCAGTAACAGACATCACCAGCCACCTACAAACACCTGTATGTATGTACTGCACTAGTGTGTACTTGTACGATACACAAAGCCCTGTTGTCAGAACCCGCCAAGATGCGGCTAAGACGATTCGGTGCCTCAGTCCATGCTGGCTCCAACCAAATGGCTCTCCACCATCTACTTTTGGTGCAGTCATGTCCACATGCTGATGAGCTGTGGGACTAGACTAGTCCTACCTCGGCATGAAGCAATGGGAACGGGTGAACTAAAGGCATTCTGTCTGTTTTGGTGATGTGATTGTGTGTTTTGGCTGACCTGTCTCTGTATTAGACAGTTGCACACTCTATTTACGATACTGTACCTGTTCTTTCTCGTCCTCTTGACCGTACGCTTGTTCTCTCTTCTACGATTAATCCGGTGCTTCTAACAGGTCTCATCGGTATAATTAGCACGATAATTAGTTGGTGTGCAGCTCGATTTTGCGTTTTTCGATTTTGCACTTTTCTCACAGTTTTTCGATTTCGCAACGGGTCAATATCAGTTCTGACGTTCTGACAGACCCTAGCCATACGTACCTCGTATCGTAGTCCTACTCCTTAGAAGTGAGACTGCCAAACTAAAGAGTTGATGTTGGTGCCGGTAGATGGCACGCTGTGGACGTGTTGACGGCCCATAGCCCATTTTCCCAGTTCTCAATGTTCGAGGCTTTCTACGGCTCTGGCTTCCTCATGGCCTGGCTTCTGGACAGTGGTAAGACTTGGCAGCTCATATACTGTTCTCTGGATATGGAGATAACACTCCAGACACTACAGGACTCAAACCATCATCATCCTCCTTCTTCTGACACCACAAGTTCTTTTTCGTCCCCAAATATCGCAGCATGTGTAGACTCCATGAATGCACACGGTGTTGGCGTGCTTCTCCAAGATCGAGCATCGCAAGATTGCACAGAGGTGTTTGTTGACGGTTATTCCATGGTTTATAGAAAGGTTGACATCCAGTTGATAATACAGAATCTTTGACGGCTCAAATGCTCCATAGGAAGTTGTCTTTCGGTTGACAGGCGCTGTCACTTCTACATGACCTACAGACTTCCATAGAGCATACGTAACATCTATCATGTCTATACTTCTAGTTAGTGAAAAGAAACTGCATATCAGCAGGGGTTAGCCGGTTGATGGCTCCGTCATCTTGTCCCAGAGTCGCATGAATCATACTGGCCTTCTTCTCTTGAAGCTCAATGATACGCGACTCGATGGAGTCTTCGATCGCAAACCGAGTAATCTTAACAGGTCGATGCTGTCCAATACGATGGACTCGGTCTCCAGACTGCCACTCCACCGAAGGGTTCCACCAGGGGTCCAGGATGAACACCTGAGATGCCTCGCATAGGTTCAGAGCCACTCCTCCGGCCTTGAGAGACACCAGAAAAACCTCCACCTGTGGGTTCTCCATGAAGTATTTGATGGAGTTTTGTCGCTGGGTAGGGGACATGTTACCCTGGAGCTTGACGGTTTGGAACCCTGCTCGTCGAAGCCGCCACTCCACCAAATCCAGCATAGATGTGAACTGGCTAAAAACAATGCTTTTGATGGTCTGTCTGTCGCTTCGCAGCTTGTATAGCTCCTCGACCAATGCCTCAATCTTTGTGGAAGATCGCCAGCCACCAGTCATGTTGATTCGCTGAACAATCGATGTTTTCTCCTTGGAGTTGGTCTCCTGTTCAATAGCGGGGGCATTCAAATCGATAGTCAGGTTGATATGACAGACGGGACAGTCAGAGGCTCCAGAACAGTAGTCCTTGATACACACTCGACAGAACGTGTGGTGACACTTGGACTTGATGGGTTCTTCGGCCTCATCGTCGCATAGCTGGCAAATGATAGCATTGTCAATGTATCCTCCTTCTCCCTGGTTGGCACGTCTCAGAACCAAATCAGGATGATCTGCAATCTGTCTCATTCGAGTAATCAGAGAGAAAATGTTGGCATAGTTGTTGAGAACCACTCCCTGTGCCACATAGGTGTTGAATTTCCGGTTCACGTCCGAGTAGATACTCTGGTAGAGGTCTTTCTCCTCCTCGTTAAAAAAGTCCCGTCGAATAGTGACGATTCTAGGGGGTAGACCGAGATCATCTGCTCTCTCGACCTTGGTTCGACGCAGCATAATGTGCTTGAGCAGTTTCTGGATGTTGCCGAAGCTCTCCTTGCCTTCTTTGCTGATACCTCCCTTCTGGATATGTTTCAAGAGCACGTGGTTGAAGTAGTTTGTGTGGTCCATGGGTCGATGCCCGCACGTGACACATGTTCGGTTGTTGACAAAGCTCCAGTCATGAGATCGGCAGGGGCATTTTTTGCAAAAATACTCGCAGAACGGTTTGATTCCGAGGAACCGAATCAGCGAAAACATTTCACCGATTCGGTTCTGAAGAGGAGTGCCAGAGAGACAAAGCCGTTTCTCGGTATTGAGATTGAAGGCGGCTCTGGCGGTGTTACTTGCCCGATCCTTGATATTATGAGCCTCATCTAGCACAACTCTTCCCCATTGAACTTGATGCAAAGGAGACTTTTTGTACTGCTTTCCCTCGACTCCCTTGCGCACAAAACCGCTCTGTTGACGTCGGTAAACGCTCTCTAGAACCGCATAGGTCGTCATCACACAGTCGTAGCCCTCCAGATCTTTCACAGAGAATGAATCTTTGTTGGCTCCATGGTAAACAGCCACTTTGAGAGAGCCCGCAGAATGGTCGTTAATTTCATTGGCCCATTGCATCAGAGCAACGGTAGGGGCGACAATGAGGTTGGGCTTGACTCCCGAGGCGATGATCAAGGCAATCGTCTGGATAGTTTTACCCATTCCCATTTCATCAGCAAGAATACCGCCCTTGTATTCTCCCTCCTCCTGCTTCAAAAGCCAGTTGAGACCCTCTTGTTGAAACGGCAGCAGAGTTACAGCCATAGACTTTGGCTGTTCGGCCTTTTCAACCTGGATCCTCGGTTTATTGTCGAGATCAATAAAGGTGTTCTCCAACTCAGGATGCTGTTCAAACAAAGCCTTGGTAGTCCGGTCGTAGTATTTGAGATACCGGGGTTTTTTGTTTCCGTCTTCATCCAGCTCATCGTAGTCGTCCTTCTTGGCTTTCTTTTTAGCTGGAGCTCTTCTCTTTTTGGGTTTCTCTTCTTCGCCCTCCTCCAGATCATCCGCAATCATAAACCCTCCATCTTCCACGGCCTGTTCTCGATCAGACTCATCGCTGGCCTTATACTCATCACCGGAAGAGTCGTCACTCACCACTATTGCCCGCTTGCGTGTCGCCTTTGGCTTTGTGGCTCGGGATCGGGTGGCGACTTTAGCTCGTGTAGCGAGCGACGACGACGAAGAAGCCTCGCTATTGTCATCAATAACGGCTCTGGAACGGCCACGTCTCTTAGGCGCGGCAGCCGGCTCCTGACTTGAAGCAGATCTGGTCTTGGATGGGTCCTGAACCACCTCATTACCCTCGTCATCGAACTCCTTGAGCTGGGCCTTGTTAGTTGCAGCGGTCCTCGGCTTCCGCTTGAACGTCGGCAGTTTTGTTTCCTTCTTGGGCGCTTCGGGGGCTGGACTGGCGTCGCTGACCACAAATCCGCCGCCGTCTTCGCTGGAAAGGTCGCCGGATACTGTCATGGTCTTGTGTCGGAGAGGTGTGCAGCGGGCTTGAGATGCTGAGATGCACTGCACGATAAGAAAAGTTCCCAACTGAAATTTGGATCGGTCACTTTAAGCTTACAGTGCCTATTTGGGCACTGATTAACTCCGATATCTCCGGGACGCGGTGGAAAGGACAGAAGAACATTTTAAACCGATTTTTTCGGTCTTGTGGTGTATTTCGGAACTCCATCCCGTTTTTCAATTTGTCTCAGCTGCTTCTACGGCATTGTAATTTGATGTTAAAATGATATATGAAATTTCGCCACCGAGCCGCATCACAGTTGAGCATAGACGGGTGGAAGAACAGTAGGAAAAAAGACACAAAATACGGATAAAATCGAGAAAATTACGGGAAATTAAGCTGATTAATATATATATATATATATATTCTTGTGTCGGGTTCTTGCGGCTTAGTCGCATCACTCATAAGGGCGGTTAGCAGTGTACACATAGGGATCATGGCTATAAGTACATCAAAGATGCGCACTTTTGACTTGACAATGGGCGATGGAAAATAACAGCCTATAGGAGTTCATTCAACCTAGGATTCAACTGATACAAATAATACTGTAGTATCGTGTCGTGGGTTACCTTGGGGACACAGATATGTGCAGTATTGAACCAATTGAGCAGATTATACAGTGTTTGTCCTCACCAGAGTGTTTTGGTGCTGTGTGCTAATACCAGACCAGAGACAAGGGTGTGCTATAACTTCACGAAGAGAAGTTGAATGTTCTGTAACCTAGAATATTGTGATATATGAGCATTTCCAAACCCATTCGCGGAATTTTCGTTATTCACGTACCTTCCTCGGTTGTTCGAATGATTCCAAATTCTGTCTAAACAAAGTCTAAGTATTAGGCTGAGTCTTCATCATTCGACATACAGCAATAAAATGAATTATTGTATGGAAATACTTTTCAAAAGTTGCATTATTGACAATCTCTCATTGTCCTCTTTCTGGTTAGAAATTTATTATATCCCTGGCGAATTTAGATCATCGAATTTGGGCCCCCAGCTGGCTTTTCCCTTAACCATTAATCTAACTATACGACTCTCTAGCTCAAAATTCACTCCAAGAGCACATGAAAGACTCCAGCCACGTAGATTTTAATACCATTCGGGAGCTCCAGATATTTCCAATCATTTAACCAAAACCCTGCTCCTCTTTGTAGCTTTTTATTGGCCCTCGGCTCAAGATTGTAGGACAATGGGGATATACCTGGCTATCTAGTCTAGAAATTGTTTGTACTATACTAGCATATTATGGGTCACGGAAGACAAGCCACGGCTGTTCTATTGGTCCAAGGCACTCTAGTCTGTTCTAATGGTATCATCCCCACGGCCCAGTTCAATGGCACACTCCTCGACCGCGCTAAGACAGCCTCTTCCTAGAGAGCTATACTATGGAGGCCACTGCGATATCTTTCAGAACCCTCGTGTTGTAGAATGGCTCGGTTGTGGCGTGTCTAGGGATTGAGTGGTGAAGTGTCAGATACTTGTAGTTGTAGCACCTTCAGTGGCCAGTGTCTAGACTATTGAGAGGTCATGCTGGTGGCCAGGCCAGCAGTACTACCTGTACAGTCACGCCAAGACCGAAAGTCGGTTGATATTCAGAAAAAAAATCATCCAAAGAAACATTTTCCACAATGAAACAGTCGTACAGTGCCTCAACTTTTATTGGCAGTTCTTATCATACTTGCACAAGTACTCCTACGTCTTGGCAAGCCACATAACTGGTGATCTTCATTCCCCTCGGGTCGAAAAAAACCAGGGTTTGGCATCTTTCTGCATGCTTCCTGTCCTGATAATGTCTCACACGACTCGGGCCCGGGCAGTTGACAGTTTGATTGCCAAGCTTCCAAGAAGTGAAGACAGCGATGTCTAGATCTTGTCTACAGGACGGTACTGTACGAGTAGTACCAGCCACATCTACTGTTCATAAGCTGACTATATGAGACATGGGATGGTCTATCTGGGGAGATGGGCTCGTACTTGTACCGTTAGTCGTACTCGTACTGGACTGATGTACACATGCACCCCCCGGGTAGCAAATCCACAGACTCAAACCGTGTAACCAATACGAAGAGTGCCGTCCAAAGCCACACCCGAGCGTGTGGCTTGTACAAGCTCGAGTCTAAAGTGTAACTATTTTTCAGGTTGATTTTTTCCTGCTGATCCCCACCACTGTTACATCTCTTCAAATGTGTCCAAAAGAGCCAGAATGACGGGAAAACTTGCGCCATGGCGCCCCCAATGTCCCCAGAGCGCTATGATGCAATCGGTTGGGATATGGGACCATTTCACGTGACCTGCACGTTTTCCTTGTGCCAGCACAGAAATCCGGTATGCTCGGCAAATATGCATGAAACCTTGTTGATAAGCCACATATTTGGACAAGCAAAATGAGAATGTTGGGGAAAGAAATATGGGGAAAGAAACATGAAAATGAACTCTTGTAATGCAGGAGAATTGATTAATCCAAAAAAAATTGGCAAAATCGCCCTAATTTCACGCTAAATATCGCCTTGTACGCTGCATTAATCTAAGCTAATATTAAGCCCCACCAACTCTATGCTAGCCGATCAAATACGGACAATGTTTCCAGAAAGACCAAAAAAAGGTCGCGTGAGCTGTAGATAAATATCCCGCTTCTTCCTCTCCTGTACACTACACTTTGATCTTCTCTCAACTCCATCCTAAATGTCTCGTCTTTCAACAGACGGTAACATCACTGTGGAAGCAGTGCCAGTCAAACACGACATTGGTGTCGACCTGGAAAAATACCCTAAGGCCTTCAATGAGTTCTCCGATGATGCCAACTCACAAACAGCAGACCATACCGTCTTCCCCGTCGACCAGGATCGTCTCTCAAGATCTCTGTCTGGAAGACAGGTGCAGATGATTGCTATCGCCGGCGTGATTGGTACAGGTCTGTTTCTGGGCACTGGAAAGTCGCTGGCGAACGGAGGACCAGCTTCAATGCTCATTTGCTACACCATTATGGGCTTTCTCGTGTATTTGACAATGCTGTCGCTTGGTGAAATGGCCACTTACATGCCTGTGGCAGGTTCTTTCTGCTCCTACGCTTCGCGGTTCGTGTCTGAGTCTGTGGGCTTTTCCCTCACCTGGAACTATTGGTTTAATGACGTCACCTCCACAGCCTCCGATCTGGTCGCCCTCCAGCTCGTGTTCAAGTACTGGTCCGAATTCCCTGGCTGGGCCATCTCTCTCATTTTCTGGGTCTTTCTGATCGTGCTCAACGTGATCCATGTCAAGGCATATGGAGAGCTCGAGTACTGGCTGGCCCTGCTGAAGGTGGTCACCATCATCGTGTTCATCATTCTCGGCATTGTCGTCAACTGTGGAGGAAACCATGACCACGAGTACCTTGGATTCTCGTACTGGCACCTCGAGGGAGCTCCGTTTGTGAACGGCTTCAAGGGCTTTGCGTCTGTGTTTGTCACTGCTGCCTTTGCCTACGGAGGAACTGAGTCCATTGGAATCACTGCCGGAGAACAAAAGAACCCCACAAAGTCCATGCCCCGTGTCATCAAGACAGTCTTCTGGCGTATCATCATCTTCTACGTCCTGTCGATTTTACTGATCGGCATCAACGTGCCCTACAACTACCCCAATCTGTCTTCCAAGGAAACCACCACCTCCCCATTCACCCTTGTGTTCCAAAAGGCCGGCTCCAAGGTTGCAGGATCTTTCATCAACGCCGTCATCATGACCTCTGTTCTCTCAGCTGGTAACCACGCTCTGTTTGCAGGAACTCGACTATTGTACACTTTGGCCATCCAGGGATACGCCCCCAAGTTTTTCGGTAAACTGACCAAGGCCAAGGTCCCTTACGTTGCTTTGCTCTTCACTTCGCTACTCTCGGGTCTCTGTTTCGGCTCTTCTTTCATTGGAGCAGGTACACTCTGGTCCTGGCTCCAGAACCTTGTCGGAGTGTCTAACCAGCTGTCTTGGATGCTCATTGGAGTCACCTCCATCAGATTTAGAAAGGCGCTCGACATCCAGGGCAAGGTCCACCAGCTCAAGTACGTCAACTGGACCTACCCTTGGGGACCCTGGGTGGTGGTTATTCTCTCAGCAGTTATCATTCTGATCCAGGGATGGAGTTCGTTCGCACCCTGGAATGTCTCAGATTTCTTTTCCTATTACATTGAACTGCTTGTCTTCCCTTTGCTTTGGCTGGGATGGCAACTGTGGTCCCGAACTACTCTGCTTATTAAGCCGGAAGATGTCGATGTCGAGACTGACCGCTACCACGATACTCCAGAGGACCTGGCCGAGATGGAATACGAGGCCCAGTTCAAGGGATGGCGTAAGGCCGTCCACCTAGCAAAGTCTTTCTTTGTCTAGTTATTTATTTGTTTATTGCTTAATGATCCATGATTTGACCTGGTGAGGTGAGTAACGGTGGTAAGGAGTTGGTTGTTCGTTCGTATCTTTACAGTGTGTACAGTACATACAGTAGTTATTTCTCTCTCACGGTTGATGTAATAATCTCTACAGAATGTCGTTAGAGTCGACTTCTCTCAGTATCTTGATGTTGGAATACGCAAATCTGTTCTCTCTTGCGATTTTATCCGTTCTAGCTGTATTCATGACATTTTAGAGGTACAGATTAGTTCACCGACTCGTTAATTTCTCTGTTCTCTACCGATATATCTACTTTGCACCCCTACGTTCCTATTTTCGAGTTGTGACTGATCTACTACGGCTTGCCTGCCCCCGGGTAATAGGACCTCATGTTGGTGGAGATAACTTTTTTGCGGGTGTATAAAATACTTCTTTTGACGTGATCTTTCGAACTACACGTCCTTTCTCCAATTCGTTATCAAGCTTTTTTGATTTTTCAGATTTGAACCAGTATTTTATACTAATGATTCATTACAGTATTTTTTATTTTTTTATTCTAATGATTCATTAAAGCTATATATTTTATTCTAATGATTCATTTTTTATTTTTTTTATTCTAATGATTCGATAATTATTATTTATTTATTTATTTTATTCTAATGATTCATTACAGCTATATACCTACTTGTAGTAAGGCGGGTTATTGGCGTTCAATAAATCATACACTTCTGAATCATTGCGGTGTGAGCTGCGAGGCGCATGTCAGTTGGTTTGTAGACGCTTCGTCTCGTTATTGTCCTTGTCGTGGTCTCGTGGTAGGGAATCATGGCTAACAGATCAAATATAAACAATCTTTTTTTTTATTCTAATGATTCATTACAGCTATATACCTAGTACGCCAGCGGCTGAGTCATCAGTCTGCTTAGTCACGGGACCTGAGTTCTACTCAAAAAAAATCTGGTTGTATAGTGTAGCGGTTATCACCTTGGATTCTGAAGCACTCTTCGATTTCCAGTAACCCCGGTTCGATTCCGGGTACGACCTAAATTTTTTGGGCCATTTGCTGTCGATACTTTTTGGTTAATGTAACTGCAAAAAGGGTGTTTTGTTTTTTTTGGAGCGATTCATTAGCGTCTTGACGCCGTTTGGTGTGTAGACAATTTTGAAGGATCGCAGATAATGTATCGATATATAGGGGTTGTGGATCAGAGCATCAAATTCTGTGATACGAAGCGGATCTGGACAAGAAAGGAGAAATTGATTGAGTATATCGATTTTGGTTATTCTTTTCATGTTCGTTAGCCTGTGCAATGACTCCAACATCCTCATTGAGACACTTCCCTACGGTAGGTGCTCCCCTCCGTGTATCTGTCTAGCTGGAGATTCACTGAACTCCCTGTTTTCTGGCTTGATTTGAGCCTTATAATGAGTGAATAGTTAATCAGATACATAGGAACGCCTTTTTGTATACCAATTATCTTCCGTCTCTTCTCTTACACCACCTGGCCTTGCATCGATCTTCCACTCTATCACAAACAGCACTGTCCAATTTGCTTAGAAGTGATTTAATTATAGCCAGCTCTATTGAGATTTTATTTGAAATATATTTGCCAATATATCCTCCCATATAAGCTTGTCTCCATCTACAGTACATACTCCGAAAATATCTCAAACCAGTCTCTCTAGTCAGTCCTCATCATGGCGGAACGTTCAAGCGGGCAATCACCTGACAGGACACTCTAACAGGGCTAATATCTACACAATCTCTGTTAAATATGCTACAATCGGCTGAGATTTCGATCTTAAGCAACCTGTTAAATACAAAGCAAACTGAGTATCTCTTGCAACACCTCAAAACTTGCCCAAGTGTGTTTCTCAGTCCTGTTTGGAATGTCTGTGAGCAAACAGAACCATTCAACTTGGCGGATGTTGACTCAATTGAAGCTAGATCAACAGGACTTTATTATTCAGCTCCAAAAAATCCTCACATTACATAAATTTCTCTCCCCCCGTAACCTGGATGTGCTCCAAATCAGCTTCTCTCGGGGACAGAGATGTATCACCTCGGAGAATATCTGTCCGATTTGAATGATATCAACTGTAATGGACTTAACCGGGAATTCCAGACATTATGCCTCAGTAGTTGTACTCGTATGGTACTTGTAAGAGCTCTTGCCTACCTCCACAATGGTTGTCTCGATTATACCCCATGCCATCCCTACATCCCATCTATGTTACAAGCAGTAGTCCAAGAACATCCCTTCAACACCAAGAATACCTCAGAGATCTTGATAATTTCAATCGAAACCAACCCAGCCACCACATTTTACCAATTCTCTGTACGCTCCAAGCAGTCCGATGGCCGCATCAAACAATATTGGATCTCCATAAGTGGGTAACGACAGGCTTACTTCTACCAGTACAGTACTTGAAGCTACAATATGGTGCCTTTCTCAGTCAATGTTTGTTCATCATAAATAATTTATTAATCCATCTACAGTACAAGTATACATCCCTTTATGCGTTAATGAGCTTCTCGGTCTCGGCAAAGGCAGCCTCGTCCCGGGTCATCTTAACGAACACACCGTTAAGATGGCACAGAGTGAGGGCGTGCAGCTTCTGAGGAGGCTCGACAGCTGTGTCAGCGTTCTCGATATTGGTGAACAGCTGGCAGATTCGAGTGATGACGTACGAGGTCTCAGTGAGAGCGTACTGCTGGCCCAGGCAAATTCGGGGTCCTCCGTTGAAGGGCAGGTACTCCCAGCCTCGAGAGCCCTTCTCAGCCCATCGCTCAGGTCGGAACTCGTCGCAGTCCTTGCCCCAGAACTCCTCAGTTCGGTGCATAGAGAAGACGTTGTAGACAATGGTGTCTCCCTTTCGGACAAGGATAGGCTTGGACTCGTCGGGTCCTCCTCCTCGGGGAAGAGTGGTATCTCGAGAGGCGTATCGGACGTTAAGAGGAACAGAAGGATAGAGTCGCAGAGTCTCGTTGATGACAAATCGCAGGTACTCGCATCGCTTAAGACCCTCAAAGGTGATCTGGGAGAGATCGCTGCCGTCACCAAAGTCCTGGTGAATCTCGGCTCGCAGCTTCTTCCACACCTCGGGGTGTCGGGCCAGCTCGTAGACGATCCAGGACAGAACACCGGCGGTGGTGTCTCGGCCAGCAAGCAGAATGTTGAGGGCCTGGTCTCGCAGAACTCGGGGGTCCTTGACTTCTCGGGCCAGTTCTCGCAGGAAAATGTACTTGTCGTCGGACTTCTCTTCGTCGGAGTTGGCAAGAGCCTTCTCGACGTAGTGGTCGACAAAGGCGTGGACTCGCTTGGAGGAAGAGAAGAGCTCAGTGGGTCGCCACAGCCAGTAGAACATCTGGAATCTAGTTCGGATTCCACCGTGGTGCTGGGCCACATTAAAGTCCTCCTGGAAAGACTTTCGCATATCCTTGGGCATATCAGAGACGGTAGACTTGTCCTCGTTGGGCATCTCGACGGTCTGGGAGCCGACGGTCTGGCCAAACAGAAACTCGGTGGCAGTATCAAGGGTCAGGTTGAAGAAGAGCTCCTGGATGTCGAACTTCTTGTTGTTGGGAATTCGCAGCAACATCATCTGCACGTGTCGCTCGATCATCTCGACGTCAGACACCTGGTCTCGAGCAAACTGGGGTCGCAGCATGGCTCGAGAGTGCTGCCATCCCTGGCCGTCCAGAGTGAAGATTCCGTCTCCCAGAACGGGGGCAAGCTGGCCGTGTCGCTGGCCCAGGCAGAAGTCCTTGAACTGAGTGGCCAGAACGGCCTTGATGTTCTCGGGATCGTTGGTGGGGATGATAGTGAAGGAGCCCAGAAGCACCTGCTTAACAGTCTTGGTGGGAGCAAAGGATCGGAAAAGGCCAAGTAGGGTATCGAGCAGCTCGTGTCGTCGAGAGGCATTGATGATGAGGAAGAAGAGCGGCAAGTTCAGGGGGAACTCATTCAGGTTGTGAGGCTCCTCACAGTGCCACTTCTTGGCGAGCTCTCGGCTTCGCATCGTGTAGGTGACTCTCTTGAAGATGAGGAAGGAGACCGCAACGGCCAAAACGTATAAGATGATCATGGTTGTGGAAGGTGAAGGTCGGGGGGTTTTCGAAAGATCTAGTTAGGGCTCTCCCCCTTACTTATATATACACAGGTCTTCTTTTTCATGTTCGCAACTTGGTGATCAGAGTTTGGTCAGCATGCATAGACTTTTGATTGCGTTGTTTGCACACATCATTGTGCATTGTGCATTGGGCAATGTGGGGCAGCTGACAGAGTGAGTACGCGTAGATGGAAATGGTGGTTATTAGGAGTGTGTTTTTTTGATTGGTCGGTCCCTGAGTATATAACATTTGCTCTCTGAGGCTTTGTATGTATCCGTGTGAATCAACTTGTCTCAACTACAGCCCTATCACTAGTATGAGAAGTGTCATGTCAAGGTTAACGGATGCACTAATGAATATGAACAAGGTGTGATTGGGTGACAGTTTTGCTTTGTCGAGGCGAGGAAAGACATTGAAACCAGGAGGTGTGGTCCCTACAGTAAAGGTAATTGCTACAAGCAGTAGCAAGCAAATCGTACTGTAGTTCAGTATCCTGCTACCCCGCACTATGCACACTATTAAGCGAGTTTTTGCTATTGCGACTAGTAGAGCACGGCAGACGAGATGTTAATCACAGCGCCAAAAAAGCACCTTTTTCTTTATTTCTAATCACAGCATGTGACCACATGATAAGTATCCCCGCAGGGCGATCTTTCTTTTGCCACGTCCATCGTGCAATGGCAAAGGGGGTTATCCCCGAAATAGCAAAGGTTCCATGTGAAATCAGTAGACGAGAGTTTATTTGAAACAATAGGACAAGGACAAGGGGACGTGAAAAACTGCGAGAAATATCTGTAAAATCTCGAAAAAATAAATCCACTTGGGGTCTTTGGATTTCCATTTCGGAGAATTTATTCAAGCGACTTCCAGCCCCAATTTTCACCCCCTCCGTCCCATTCCTCAGGCTCAGGAATGGAAAGCTTGATTTCGAAGCTGGGGCTAAGGCAACTCAATGCATCGCCGCACGTCTATTACTTCCCACCTCGTCAGACACACATTTTTTCCGGCCAGAGGGGGACAATGGGTGACGCGGGTTGGGGTCGTATTGTGTGGTCTTGGAGCCCGACCTTCTGTTTGTGTAGTTTGTGGCCTCAAGACCGTTCCCCTTGCGGTTGTACGTGCAATCACATTCTTGCTTCTTCGTCATGTACACTGAGCTCGTAAAGCTGTTGGGAAAGCGAATTCACGTTCAAAAACCCAACAATTTGCATCGATCGCGTATCATGGGGAGCGTATGTACGATAACGAGTTCCTTGAGAGCTAGCGGTGAGAGGAGACAAACGCCCCGACTCCTCCAATACAAGCGCCGGTATAGTACATACGATACGGGCACAAGTGCCGCGCAGAAAAGGTGACAATATCCCCAGGCTAAATTAGACCCTATCGATGTTATCAGCACTACAGTATGTACAAGTATGGCACTATTATTTTCACAACTTGTTCCCGTGAATCCTGCTTTAGCGGAAAAACTAATTAGCTCTGACAACAATTAGACCATAACAGGGTGTGCAAACAAGGACGGAAACGTGCCCCTTTTCATATCACCCTACAAACCTCACCACCTAGGAACCATCCACAATTATCTGCTGTCCCCCAAAAGCAACGACTTATGGGGCGATTTACAACGTGTTTTAAAAAGCACAAACGTACCCCACACTTCATCATCTGGGGTACCTACTTGCAGCTACTGTTCTACAAGCACTTGGACCTACGGATGCTTCAGTTAGCAAGCGATCCACCCACCCACACCCCTTCACTCTAGTCACGGCAAATGTTAACGTCGTTATCACGCTCCTCATCACTCTGGCATTAGGAGCCATATACGAGTTGCAGGCCAAAGTGCAGACTGAGAGGCAGGCACGAGATGTTTCAGAAAAGCATGTGAAAAACACGAAACTGAAACGCATGAAGATTTGGGGACCAGTGGCAAAACTAACATGTGATTATAGAGAACGAGCTCAGGGTCAAAATCACTCGCCATTCCGTATCCACAGCAGATCTGCAGGTTCAATACCTGGTACTGAGTAAGAGTATACTGAAGTCGAGATTTTGGGACAACATGCACTGACAAAATGCACATGCTTACCCCTCGAAGCCTATCAGTCGGGTCATGTGATCAAAGTGGGGGTCAACTACAGAATGGTAAGTGTTGGGTGGGTAAGAAACAAATCCAAGGGTAGATAATTAGGTTCGAATTCGATCGCAAACACTTTTAAAACAACCAATCATGACATGACCGCTTTATAAAGCACTTTGGATCCAAAAAATGGGGGGAGAACGTTAAATTATTACTTATTGGGGTAATTATCCCTAGCCCTAAAGTTGTTGTCCTGGATGTTCAAATTTTGAAGAAAAATAGCCCGTCAATTTGGCCGAGTGGTCTAAGGCGTCCGACTCAAGTGTAAGCTTAGCAAGAGAAATCTAGCTTTCGGATCTCGCAAGAGGCGAGGGTTCGAATCCCTCAGTTGACATAATTTTTTTTCTCCTAGTAAACTCACTTTTGAATCAAAAGAACTTCCATCGATCCATATTTTTCTTTCCAAAGACCTTCAATTCTTACAAGTACTGTCCAATTTTTGTCTGGTCATTCTTTTTCTCGTTTCAATTTGCATCTCTCTACCACCTCTCAATCAAGACCACGTTAAGCACCCTATATAGATCGGGTATACTCAATCGTCACGACACCATTTTCAGAACTCCCCTTGATGTGAATGCTTTGCTATTTTTTATCTCCTAACTAGCTATACTGGAGCAATAATTATACTAACAAAAGGACTCCTCAAAGTAATCCATGCGGATGTTGCCGTGGATCTCCGTCTCGGTCACGAACGCAGCTCGCACCTCATCATTGAACTTCTCTGGCCCACACACAAACACACCTACAGAGTCGTCGTTGGTGATATCGGAAAAGTGGCGAGACAGCAACTTGGCCACTTCCGGCTTGCTCATCTCGATCTTGAACTTGCCCTTCTCAGGAACGTGATAACTTTCCCTGTTTCCCTCTGGGTCCTGCGCTGGGTGGTTCAGCTCAGGGGTGGGCGGAGTAACCACCAAATCGTGGGGCTTCTCGTCCGAGTCGCTATCATGAGGGGTATCTCCAGCAGCCTCTTTGTCCTTTCTCTCCTGGGAAATTGAGGCACTCGCCTGGGCAAGCTTAGCACTCAAAACATTGGGATCTAATGTTCTCGCTGTTCCGCCAGGGTCAAGCGATTGTCCTGTCATCGATGTGTCGTTATCAGGAGGGGGAGGGAAGGCAGATAGCATCGGCGAGGCATGGGAAGTCAATGTGCTTCCAGCGCTGTGAAGAGGTCTCGGCGGGGTATCAGTGGTATCAAAGTAGTTGGTATTCTCTGTGGGGTTGGTTATTTTGATAGGGGCGTGTTTCACAGCTTCAATCGTCTCAATGGGGACAGATCGGGATATCATAGGGGCGGTGGGACTTCCACAGAGCACCCATCGCTCGAGTTGGAACGCCTGATACACTCGTGTGGACGGAACAAAGGAATCGTCCTTGTCGAGGAAACCGCGGGTAATGTAGATCTCAACCTTGACGTTGGGTGACTTGATCAGATGGAGAAGCTCTGTTTGGAACCACTTGAGCGATCGGGCGTCGTGGACAATCCAGACAAATATGATCTGAAGAGCACGGGTGCTCCTGAGAGGGGACTGCTGTAGGCCAGTAATGTAGCTGGCATAGCCGTAAGCGGCAGTTACACCAACTCCCCCAGAAACAAGCAGAATATTAGCGTACTCCGAAAGAGGCTGCTGATTTCCGTAAGGACCGTCGACATATAGTCTGGTCTGCATGCTTCGCGAGCCTGTGGATTCGTAATGGTCCTGTAACATGCGTGTCAGCCTGGCAGTCTTACCCTTGCGAGGCTTTACAACCATGGTGAGCTGGGCGTTGCCAGGGGTGGATGTATTGTCTGGAGCGACATAGATAGAGAATGGATGACCTTGAAGCAGGTTAGGACGGGCTATAATGTAACAGTAACAGCCGGGGAAGAAGTTCCAGCGCCCAGACGTGGTTACGACAATCTTGAACATTCCCTCCTCAAACAGAGTGAGTGTGGCAATCGAATTCCAACCACAAAAGAAAATCTTGGCTATTGAAGACAGCTCATTGTAGAGGAAAATGGTACCGGAAGTGTATACCCAGCCCATCCACCCAAAGTTATGGCAGTGAAGACCAAGACCGACCAGGAAGATGACGAAGCCGGATATGTGAGTCTGGTAGAAGAGCTCGTAGACCCGAGATCTTATTGGCCGAATAGCAACCGTCACCATGACTGCAGCTGCAACAGTTGCCAGATGGCCCATGTTCCAGTTAATAAAGCCCCAATTGTGAGGGTAGGTACTCTTGTAGACAGCGAGGAAGGCGAACGCGATTGAATGGAACACCATGTGGGAGAAGGTGACCCAGGCAATCGCTCTGTGGTAGGTCAGAAACGTGTTAAAGGGCCACTTTGTATATCTCAGGAGAATGTTGTTTCGGCCTCCGAATAGGACAAGTAATGGGATCTGCGTGAGAGCCACAAGACCTGTTCGGTTGCCTGTGTAGCGTGCAAACTTGATCAGAGAGGTGCCCAGATAGGGATCGTTGGCACTGAAATGGATGGGAAAGATTGTCAGCACTACAGTCAACAAAACGTAGATTGCAATGACAATGGAGTGGATCCGGGTAGGCAGGTGGATCTGTATGTACTTGAGAATAACGTGAGGTGCATTGTGCTCAGTTCCAATGGTAGCAGGGAGGGTAAAGTGTCGCCTGAACCATGTAATCCGAGGACCTTTCATTCGGCGGACAACATCTGGGAAGTAGGAGTAGAAGACGTTTGTTGCAAAGCCCACGAAGATCACCAATGCCCAGTAGATGTTGAGTACCACGCCCTGGATGATTCCGAGACTGTATTGGCGAATGACAACGTCCATAGAGTACAAGTACTGGATGAATCTGGTTTCACGCACAGCTACTGGTGCCCTCACCTCACCCAGAAAGTGCAGCTGGGCCTCAGCTTCAGCAGCCCCTATGACGTGTTCCTTTGCCTCCACAGCCATGGCTTCGAGGTGGCCAATGGAGTACTGGAACCTGGGGCCCAGTTGGTAGCACAAGTCTTGGATGAATTTGTACGCCTTAAGCGCCTCCACAGAGTAGCCGTAAGCCACCTCGAACTCTTCTCGTCGAGAGCCTGTGATGAGTGAAAAGGGGTTGTTTTCTTGAAAGTGCAGACCGGGGTATCTCGGGGCGATGCTGGTCCATCTGTCGATACAGTTTGTGACCGAGCCCATGAAGATGGGTGATCCACATCTGCAGGCCGTCAGGTTGCCCACGGAGCAGGTGTTGTCGTATTCTCGAGCTGCGTACCAACATGCCAGCCCTACGGGTGCGGGGATTCCGCCTCTCACGGATTTGTAGGCTGACACAGACGTGGCGAGCAGCAGTGTCAAGACGAAGGCGAGACTTGCCCGCATGGTGTGTGTTTGTGTGTTTGTGTGGTTGTGTGGTTGTGTGGTTGTGAGTGTGTGTGTGTGTGTGTGTGTGTGTGTGTGTGTGTTTGATGTTGAATGGTATGCCACAGAGGAAGGTGTTCGGGAGTGTTTTGGAATTGGCTATAGTTCAAGATGGTGTTTTCATTTTGTTTGTGTCTCCAAATTTGGCGTTCATCATATTTTAAGGTGGGAAAGATCGAAAACGGCTGTATGTATTTTAGGTATTTCCGGTTTACAATAACCATATAAATATATAATGTATTTAAGAAGTTATCATTTAATGTCAAATAAATATTCCAAAACCCAGTCGCCAAAAGACAGAAACTCAAGCATTCGTCGTCACATCACCACAGTGTCACCAGTAGACGATGGACAAGGCTAGATCTGCGCAATTAGTTCATGCACAAACGATGAACTTAGCCACGACGGTGCGTCTGAGATGCACAAATACAAAGCAAACAGGAGAGGCTGCTGCACTGTGATCGTGGCAAATTTAATGACAGATTATCTATTGTGGAAGGGCCGGCAATTAAGCGATATTACTGTCGTTTAAGGAGAAGAAGCCTACAGCAGTGTCTGTGAGACAAACGCCAGGCCAAGATCTAATGTACAGTAGAGAGCAACGGTAAAATACGGTTAGGCTAATGTCAGCCCCGTGTGGCTACAATAGTGCGCTGACTACGAGTGATAAGGGGTTTCAATCAAACGCCAATGGGGTCCACCACACATCTCTATTACCGCCAATTTTCCGACGCCGGAATTATAATCCGTACTGCACATGTGCCCGGAAATATAATCTTATCGAAGTGAGTCCATTACTCAGCGCAAACTCAATTGTAGTGAAAAATTCAGCACCGCCACAAAAGAGCCACATTTCCATGCAGCAAGCTGCAGGGCGCAGACAAAGAAAACCGACCATATAATTTGGGCGCAAGGTCTAGACCCATCGCTCTGAGTAATGATAAACCAAACTATGCATTTTACATGCAATTGACCAAGAACTTCCTAGCAATCGTGGCCCCTGTGGCCCCTTATATATAGCACTAGCCACACACCAGCCTCTGCCTTGAACAATTAGACTCTAACGTTGAAGAGCTAGCAAACCAACCTCCTCACACCACTCTCTTGCATTCACACCACTTACACTACACATACACGTACAGTACACAAGACTCCTGGTACTCACACAATGTTCACCCCACTAAAGGCCGTGGCTGGAGCTATCATGCTTCACATGGCTACCGACAACTACTTGTTCACCAACGGCCGGATTCTGGGCGCCTCCTCCATTCTGTTTGGAGGTCTGCAGCAGCTCATCACCGACCCTGCCCAGGCCATTGCCTCCTCCAACTCCCTACATGTGCTCTTTGGCATGTTCCTCTCGGGTCTCTCCGCCTTCCTCTTCACACCCATCTTCATGCCCAACTATGAGGCTCATCTGCCTTGGGCTCCCTTTGGAAGCTGGACCAACCTGATTGCCGGTGTTCTGGTCGGCTTTGGAACCAAGCTGGGATCCGGCTGCACCTCAGGGCACATGCTGTGTGGCATTGCCCGTGGCTCCAAGCGATCCTTCGTCGCCACTGCCACTTTCTCCATCTTCGCCATGCTAACTGCTCGTGTGGTTGGTTCTCTGCCCACCTGCTTTGACGCTGCTGGTCAGGAGGTGGCCTGCCATCACATTGCCGAGAACTACTCCGCAGAAATCCCCTACCTGGCTGGACTGCTCGGCGTGATCATTGTGCTTCGAAATGTTATTCCCAAACTCAACCTGCCTGCAAACACCCGAGCCACTCTCTCTTCCATCTTCTCGGGCTTCGCTTTTGGCACTGGTCTGCTTGTTTCCGGTCTTGCTTCCCCCCAGAAGACTCTTGGCTTCCTCGCCGGCGTGCCCCCCAAGTTTGACCCCTCTTTGGCTATGGTCATGCTCTTTGGCGTCCTCCCCAATGCCATCTCCGTGTGGAAATCTGGTTTCTTCAAGAATGTGACTCCTCTTCTTACCACCGAGTTCTCTCTGCCCCAGATCTTTGACGTGACTCCCCGACTCATTGCTGGCGCCGCCATTTTCGGCATTGGCTGGGGTATTGCCGGTGTCTGCCCTGGCCCAGGTATCCTCGGATCCTTCCTCGATGGCCTCAAGGGTTTCTCCTGGCTCGCAGGCTTCATTCCTGCTTACTACCTAGCCGGAAAGGTCTAACCATGCTCCCTAAAATTGATATATATATTTAACATGATAAATTGAGATACACTAAGTTAAGAAATTGTCAGCATCTCCACAGAAATGCTTGCCTTTTGACATTAATGTCACCTATAACACGCTTTTTTTCTTTTCTTTCAATTCTAATGATTCATTACCCTTCCAGTCCGAGATCTCAACTCCACTCCCGATTCCAGCGGCCGTATCCTGGAGAAAGAAAAAAAAGAAAAAAAAATGAAAGTGAAAATACGGCTTCCGTCCGATCAGCCGTAGTCAAGCACCAGATAGCCCAATTAGTATTGTAGTGGGAGACCTTACCAGCATCCTGGGTGCTGCCATTCTACCATTCACTAAGCCGATGGTTTTCATTTTGTCTCAATCCGCTCTCGGCTTACCTTACTATTGCTGTGTCTCGAACTTGTTTTGGTCTTGGCTGAATAATGGTAGGAAGGTCTGAAACACGGTGCATGGATCAAATCACTATTCAGACGCATTTCTTATAGTTCGTGTGTTAACTTAAGTGTTAGACATTATATTCACCTCCAGTAGTACTCTCATCTCCGCTATTGTGTCTTCCAGTCCTTTTATCTTTCATACTTAAGATGTTGGCATCCACAGTTGTAATTCTGGGGACTTAAATGCTGGTTTTTACTTCAAAATTTGACCACAACTAAAAATGAGAACCAAATCTGTCGTTTTATCTGTCGTTTGATCTCATTATTAGTGCATGAAATCACATTATCCATCCGTTTGCAGCGTTCTTCAGCGGCATTACACGATGAGATGGAAATAAGGTCTCGTATATGCAACAACAACTTGCACATTAAAAGGACTGAGTGTTAGTTCTACACGTAATAAGCGATCATGAATACATATATATTTGTTAGTCTTATTTAATGTTTATCAATTGATCTTCTCTTGCTGTACCTTCTACTTGTAGAGAGTTCAGTTCCTTTCAACGCGTATTTCAGACGCACGATACAGCACCTTGATAACCGGTGTGCATATTTGATGCAGCCAGCCAGTGCAACAATCTTTCAAGGATGAACTTCCTTTCGAGAGACTCCAACGTATAGCTGTACTCTGTTGTCTAGAACTGAAGAGCCAAGCTGAAATGCTAGGGTTAGCAGTAGCTGAGTTGCATTACTAGAGCAAAAGAGCCAGAGTGGAGTCTCATGAGGTAGTAAGAGCATAGCTAGATATCATAGAGCCACAGTGCAAGTGCGATAGATCGTGGCTCCAATGCTGGTAAGTCCAAGAGAAATAAGACCCAGAACCATGTCTTTATCCAGGAGTAGGAGCCTAGCCTCTTAGAAGGGGTAGACCATCTGAACTTGACCTCATAATTTGAGAGGAGTCGGTAGGTGAACCGAACCACCACTAGGGTTAACACATTACACCTTGGAGGACCATAGAGTCTCACCCAACTTTTCAATTGTTGGTGGGTGGTAGAGTAGTTGGGTCAGTTTGTGTGGAATACGTTGTTTGTGTACAAGTACAAGTACAAGTTTTTTTATTTATATTTATATTTATTTATATCTTCTTTTCTTTTACTTGTACCATCTCTCTCCTTATCAGCAGATCTAACCTTGGTGGATGATCGTCATAGTGACAAGATGGAAACAATTCATTACACGGTATTATTAACATAGAAGAACTTTGAACATGACAAACCTGTGCCTCTGTGACACGGGTGGCCCTCACACATGTCATTATTTCACCTAACTATGGCTATCTTTTTCCAGTCTTTTTGTATTGGTCAGTTTTGTTAGAAATAGTGGGAACAAAAGTTGTGCTGGGGGTCCAATTTTGGTGATCCCGAGATGTTGGAGCAGAATTAATATAGTAAACACATTGATAGGATACAAAAACTAAACAAAACTGTCGTAGTATACACACCTCGTAGTACAATCTTTTCAGATATTTCAGTTTCTGTCTCAATCAGGCTTTCTGAAATAGTTAGGCTATGACACGGGTGGTATTGGGAAGTTTTGTTGGCCAAGCTTCAAAATTAAAGCAGGCACAACTGACATTCGCAAAACAAACACACATTTGCTGATTGTAATAAACACCTCTGTAGGTACAGTACAGTATGTACAGTACATATTGTACGACTCGTACAGTACATCAACCCTTACCCCATATCTCAGTCGATAGTTGGCTCCGTTAGTCAGTCTAAAACTGTTGGGGGGCTTACAGCTAACGGTTGAGACATGTCTCAGTAACGTGGTAACGCGGTTCGATTGTAATATCAGACTGGTAACACGTTGGAATCCGTTATCTTACATAATTAACGCTGGGCGTCTATCAGTGAAGATCGGGGTATTGTCCAATGGATGCAACGGTTTGTTCCCAGACGAACCACTCATCAACACGCCAATACAGTGCTGTAAGTTACAGTTTTAACCGAAAATATGCCGGGTCCTACAGGGTGGGGTATCTACGAGTCAGAACGGGTTGGTGTTTTGTGGGGTATATCTGGGATTATTATAAATGGGGGAGAAATGACAATAAATATCTGGTCCACTTTTCTCACCGATACTGAATTTTCCAGATTTATATCTCTTCAATCTTGGGCCTGAACACGTCCTTCTTCCCTCATGCACCAGTATTTTTCAGTTTCCATCCGTTTGACCGTTCACACGACTACGGGGTACTTCTGTACGACCCCGCGTTTGAGCTGAAGACGAAAGAAGTATATTAGATGATAGATGTCGCCGTGAAACAACAACTCTGTGTATTTGCTTACTCATCACGGTCCCCCGATCGCCTCCGATATCACTCCCTCCTCCCCTCCGAAAGTTACCGACCAACATTTTTCAATTCTCGTGAACCTTGCACTTCCACATTGGGAAGTCGAGACGTGCACTGCGGATCAACACTACATCGCCAAACTTGAGACCCTTCAACAGCTCGATTTTTTTACAATGTCGCTCAAGGAACAAGTGCCCATGTTGCACTCGGTCCGTGAGTTTTTCGGCCAGCCCACCGTGGCCTCCTTTTGCGCTGGAGGAGTCGCTGGAGCCGTCTCCCGAACCGTCGTGTCCCCCCTGGAGCGGATGAAAATCATCTTTCAGGTCCAGAGCGCCGGTCCTGGAGGCGCACCGTACCAGGGCGTCATCCCCACGCTGTCCAAAATGTGGCGCGAGGAGGGCTGGCGCGGCTTCATGCGAGGAAACGGAACAAACTGCATCCGGATCGTGCCCTACTCGGCCGTCCAGTTCTCCTCCTACACCATCTACAAAAAGCTGCTGTTCCCCGACCAGGATGGAACGACCCTGGGAGCAACAACGGCCGAGGGCGTGCAGTCGTCCTTCAGCTCCAAATTCAACATGGACGCTCTGCGACGTCTGACGGCAGGAGGTTTGGCGGGTATCACTTCTGTGTTTGCAACCTACCCCCTGGACATTGTGCGAACGCGTCTGTCGATCCAGACCGCTGATATCGGCACCTTCGCCAACCGAAACGTCAAGCCCCCCGGAATGTGGCAGGTCATGTGCGAAATCTACCGAAACGAAGGTGGTTTCCGAGCTCTGTATCGAGGTATCATCCCCACCACCATGGGAGTGGCTCCTTATGTCGGTCTCAACTTTGCCGTGTACGAACTCTTCAGAGACGTGGTGACGCCCGTGGGACAGAAGGACCCCTCAGCTGGAGGAAAGCTGCTGGCAGGAGCCATCTCTGGAGCCGTGGCCCAGACCGTCACATATCCGTTCGACGTGCTGCGAAGACGGTTCCAGGTGGTAGCCATGCCGGACCCCAAGCTCAAGGAGATGCAGGGCAACTACACCAGTGTTTGGAGCGCCATTAAGTCCATCATTCGAGCAGAGGGAATCAAGGGAATGTATAAGGGTCTGTCGGCCAACCTGCTGAAGGTGGCGCCCTCCATGGCCTCGTCGTGGCTGTCCTACGAGCTCGTCAAGGACGCCCTGCTCATCAAATAGACGGACTAGACACACAAGCATGCTGGCATGTCGCGAGATATAGTCAGTGATTTACATAATGCTGCATTATCACATAGTGCATTGAATAAAACATACACAAGAGAGTACAACACACAGTATGTACTGTACATAGAGAACACAGGATTGGGTACACCTGATGAGCCGCAGCCACTGTTGCCAATCTCCATCCACATACAGACCCAAACCAAAGAAACTACCCGCTGCGCAAACCACATTGTTTGTTCAGCTACTCAGTCACCACTTCATTATTTACTTTACTACTTGTAACTCGAAAATCATAATTCATGTCTATGTGCTATCCGTAGCACCGTCTACTGCCCTGCCTCGTTGCACCTACCACGCTCCAACCATGCTACCCGTGCCGTTTCCACTGCTAATCTCCCAGTAGTTGCTTGCAGTGGAAACCGAGTCCAGCTCCTCAAATGCAGATGAGCTGGAAAAGTTGTAGCTCAGAGGAGACCGAATGCTGCCTGCGCCCAGACTCATGCTCACACTGGCAGCATGGGCACCAGCAGCGCTCTCGGCAGCCGCAGCACTCGACGAAGACCGGTGGCTATGGCTATGGTGTGTGTAAGGACGGGTCCGGCTAATGTGTTCTCCATTGCCTTCTCCTTCCCAAACGCGCTGTCGCAAGTAGTTGAGAAAGTCTCCAATGTCGGTGTTCCATCGGTCGTGAGGGATGGACGCAAACAGAGAGTTGAGAGCAGCCCCTGAGTGGGTGTATCCCAGCGCATAGAGCTCTCGGGTGAGCTTGTTGACAAAGGCCTCGTTGGCCTCTTCACGGGACTCGGCCCGTCTAGCTGCGTATTCTGCCGCTGTCGTAGGTCGTCCCGTCTCTCCGTCCACAAACGTTTCTCCAGCAATCATGTCGAGGATGTCTTCGTTCATGCCGATGAAGTCTCTGATGACCCGTTGTGTGATGCGGTGGAAGAGAGCTCTGGGCGAGTAAGGCGCATCTCGTCTCACCTCTCTCTCCCGCTCTCTTCGGGACGACTCTCGACGAACAGGCACGCTTGGCCGCCTCAGAATGGCCGAAACGTCTGCAGGGTAAGTTCCCAGCTTTGTGGCCCCGGAAGAAGAAGACGCCTCTTCCTTTGGGGTAGCAAGCACCTCGTCCTCGGGAATACCCCATGAGGAGATACGTCGCTCGGGGGTGGCTCCTGCAGTCCGTTTGGGCTGGTTCAGTTCATGGTAGACAGACGCAGAGTGTTGCATTCGCCAGGCATGGATGCGGTCGTTGGCGTCGGCGTGTCCGCTGCTGCCGCTTCCATACTCGCCCACGAAGGAGCCGTCGCCCTGGTGTCGGGGAAAGTTGAGAGACGAGGAGTTGAGCGGTGTGGACGCCGAGTGGTAAAGCGAGGAGTCGTAGCAGTCCAATAGGTCGTCTGCGAGTTCGTCGTTGAGGTCGCCGTCGCCGTCTCCGTGGTCCGCGTGCTGGGTGGCTACGCTGGCGCTGTCGTCGTCGTCTTCGGACTCTTCTTCGGCGTCCGACGGGGTGAACAGCACCCACTCCTTGTTGTCTTCAAGGCTGTCGTCCTGGGCGGCGTTGGGGGTTGAGAGAACGCCATAGGCCGTCACAGGCTGGACCTGCGTTTGGGCCCGTTGCATGTTCTGGTTCATGGCTACAGATGTTTGTCTTGTCTGGCTTGGTTCTGTGTCGTCTTGTTTGTGATGAGAATGGTTGTATGTATTCGCGGTTCCACCAGTCTGTCGCTGTGTTCCGTCTGATTAGAATGAGGTCAAGTGACAGGGGGTGGGTTCTGTGGTGAAGGGGTGCTGACCTCTATTTGTGTTAGTCAGATAGCTGTGTTTGTGGTCTAGAAGTGGGTTCGAGTGAAGACCAGATGAGAGGTGTGTGTGCGGTGTGAGTATTTGTTGAGCTGGAGATGTAGACAGGTTGTTCCGGCCACCCTTAAAAAATCACAGTTGCTGCGACGTGACATGGCTTGTTAGCCCAATCTTAGCTTGATGTGGCAACAGACTCTGGACACAAAGAGGCGGGACAGACAACGTTCAGATAGCGTGATGAGAGACGAGCGAACAGGCGGCGGCGGCGTGATATCTCCGAAAAACGACCGACTTTACCACTCGTATGGGGCTCGATTGACATCGTTTTAAACCCGGGTTTCCTCCTCCTCTTGTCGTGTCGTGTTTGCACCTTCCTCGTCCTGCCGCTCTGCACCATTTCCGCCTGGTCTTGTGCATAGCTGCACACAAACTGCCCTTATCAGGCTATCTGCGTGTACGTGCATATTATCCCAAAGTAAATTTGGGTGAGAGCGAGGGCAGTGGAGCCAAAGAAAAAGGGAAAAAAAGGATGCAAAAATTGGAAATGAGTGAGTATCGTCTATTGTATAAAGGGGGGGGAAAGGGACCAAGGCGACGGATATCCCGAACCTCAACACACAGTCCAAGCCACAGTTTCCACATGGTGACATACAGTGGCTCTGCGACACGTGCTTCACGACCGTCAGCACCGAAGCCCAGTGCACTTTGTCATGCCTCCTCGGATAAATGCCACGCTAAAAAGTGAGCCAGTGAAATAAAGCCCTGGGTCAAAGAGGTTTCCGACAGCCCCTTGGCTGAGATAATTATTGGTGAGCACATCTGATAAGAGTATGGCGCTGCCGCGGAACAGCAAACCTATTGCTGGACCCCAACACCGGTCAGATGGCAAACGGTCTTACTGTCGTAGATACGATATCTCACCTACAGTATACAATACGGCCCTGGTTCTGTTGAGACGTCCCATGATGCAATGTAACAAAGGTGTGTTGTGTTATGTTAAGGCTGCGTGCGGGGAGATCCACCTGCTGAGTGAGTCCTACGGAATCTCACAAGACAAGAGGAGAGGAGAAATGGAGGGGGGTTATTAGGACAAGAATGAGCTCGTGGAATGTTCGTCGCCCCAGGAGTGAGTCAGGTGTGTTGGTCGAATTGGCGATGGACACCTATGGAACCCTGTCTTGGATGCAATAATAGAAGGAACCAAGGACTAATACGTGTCGGAATTACTGCCCAGGAACGTACCTACATACACAAGAAGAGTTTTATTGTACATACTGCATCTGTCTACAATCAGATCCCCCGCCAATCTCCCCGAATATAACAAACTCGAGCCGGCATATTTCTTTGACATGTTGACGTCCCCTTGACGCCCCTTAATAATAAGTACTCGTACAAGATTACTAGACCCAAGGCGGGCCGAGCTCAAACGAGTCGGTCACGTCATCAAGAAACACTCCCTTCCTCCTGTTTCATGGCAGCATTGACTGGCCCCTGTCTCACTTTGGAGCCCTTCTCTCAATGTGTGGATAAAATTACCCAGCGTTACGAGATAATGCACCCGGATGACGCATTCTGCAGCGGCAGTGGAATAGGACAAGGTAAACAATACAATACAAGTACAGTATGAATAAGTATACATATACGGTAGAAGTCCGGACGAGTGGCTCCTTGAGGCGCTTGGGCTGGTCCGAACTGGTCTAGAAAAAGAAATGACCAATCTGACGCCTTGAAACACACTACCAGAGCCGCCGATGGTGCTCATAGCACGTTCCAAATCACTAATCCTACAATGTAGCTACTTGTAGCAACTGCTTGTACGGCCTTAAATGTCTCACTTGACGCCACCTATGATTGCTTGCACAGAAAAAGCACACTGTCTCCACGTATAAAAACAGACTCGGAAGCGCGCAACGATACAAGTAAGACAGCCTGTTTGTCAAGGTCGCCACCCGCCGCAACACGTGACCAAAAATCCTGGGCAAGTCGTCCCAATGTTAGGGTATCTCTATTGGGACATTGTCACACCAAAGGCAGTTACCAGGTTAGGGTTGGACCCGCATCTCCACCAATATCCCACACAAAATGGGTTGCTCCCAACGATTCGAACACACAGCAACATGCCCGCAACACGCTGCCCATATGAAGCAAGATGTTGGCTGAACCTCCGTTACCCTAACCCACAGTCCCAGTTGCCCGCCAATCACAGCCCAGTAAAGTGTGGCCTGCTTTCAACATCAGACTTTTGTGAACCTACAAGCTCGAGCCATCGTCAGATTTAAAACCTCTCCACTTTCAGTCCTTTTACACCACACACAACTACACAATGCGACCCACTCTTATCCGTCTCGCTCAGCAGGCCGTGAGTATTGTCTGAGTTTGCGATTGAGCAAATTGGAATTTGTGCCAATTCAATTTTATTTATTCGTGTTTGTGTTGGCACAATGACCAACATCAACTTGTGTTTGTCGTTTTTACTAACCCCCAGAACAAGGCCCCCAAGAAGGGAATCAAGGTCCCCGTTGAGATTTACCCTCTCTTCTTCGCCATGGGTCTGGCCGGCTGCTCCGCTCTCTACTTCTCCACCAAGAAGTTCACCCACGGTGATCTGCGACTTACCCGACAGGGCAAGAAGGCCGAGCACGCCGAGGGCGAGGAGAAGCACTAAACATACAAAATGCATTATTGATTAGTTTGTTCCCATACTGAGTTAGTAGGTGGGGGAGGGTGAGGTGGTGTAATTAGATATGGTCGTAGGTGGTGTGATAATGGAGTGCTGCGTGAGATGCCTTACAAGATGTACAACACCCATGTACTGTAGGCGGCGGCTCGATAGAATGTGTTGCGACCGCGTCAAAAACACGCTGTTGGCACGCTTTTGACACGCAGTTGAACACGCCAACATGATTCCACCTCATATTAGCCGTATGGCACCATTTTGATCCAACTAATAGTGTGGACAGTTTTGGTGGTGCCACAACTCTTGTCTCAAGTGGCTCCACAACCACGACAACCATCTCGTAGTCAATCCAGCTCCCATACTCACATGGCTTGTTGTTGTCAAACTGCTCCGTGTCTCCCTTGGCTAGCCTCACTCTCAATGGCTTGCCAAACAGATCGTAACCACCCATGTTGTCAACAGCAGCAGCAGCGTCCTCAGCTTCCTCAAACTGCACAGACCCGTGCTGTATGCCACTGGGACGTTTGTGTAAGTTGACCTCGACGATGGGCCCAAAGGACAGAAACAGCGAGTGCACCGTGTCTTTGGGCACCTGTGCCTCGATGTTTTCGACCTCGACTCGGGCTAGTTCCATGTTCGCAGAAGAGGTGGCGTGTGTTTGTGTGTGTGGCGGTGCGGGTGTGGCGGTGCAGGGAGATGCAAAAGATTTTGCGTCCGGGTAACTGAGACGACGGAGACGAGAGACGCTCTTTGTGTGCAGCTGAGGACGGCCTCCGAGTCGTTCTGGTGGAGTGGTGCAACAAATGTGAGTGGATCACGTGACTGTTGGGAGCACCGAAGGGAGAGGTGGGGGCGGCACTAGAGAGTTGATTTGTAAGCTGTGGCGATTCAAGAGTGCACTTCTGGTGGGTTCTAAATGTTATGTTGATGGTCATTTCATTGTTTCGCGCCAGTATCGTACTTGTAGGTGATCATTTGATTTCTTTCTTTTCTCGCCCCCAATATTTAGGTGAATTTTTTTTCTTTTTTCACTCACTCATTCACTCAAACATGCTCGTATTACTGATCAAGATTGGGTAAGGCTGATGACCCCGATGACGACATATCAATCGATAGTTGAGGTTGATTTGTAAGCGAGACTAGTCATATGATCGATGATGATCAAATTCTAGCGAGTTCTGGGTGATCCACCTGTTCTATCCTGTTCTACCTGTCTCACAGCTTCTTTCGACAAGTGGTATCGTTGTGTTGATAGCTAAAAGACAAGTGGTAATTAATAAAGTACGACTACAGAAGGAGTCCGGTGGCACACCTCATTGTCACTCTCAACGGTCGCTTCGGTACCTTCAGGTACCAGGTCTTGGCTCTGTGATTTCGCGACTCTAGTTTCAAGGCAATTGCGGCTATAGCGGACCTGTTCTGTTACATGCACTTCATTTGTATGTGTTGTACAGTGGGTACGGGCAGTCTAGACCGCTGACTAAAAAGCGGTTGGGAAAGGGCCCCGAAATTGAATTTGTAAATAAGGTTTGGGCTAGCAAGCTTCCCAGGCTGGTCGAGGTACAAATGAGAGCTTCCGCCACCTTCTTTCGCATCGTATAAATGCAGCGACTTGTCCGACCTAGTGTTCAATTACTCACACGTCACGCAAGACAATTCCACTCCACACAACACAGAATGGCCGTTACCCAGATCACCTCCGTCTCCGACTTCCAGAACGCCATCAAGTCCGACAAGCTCACCGTCATCGACTTCTACGCTACCTGGTGCGGACCCTGCAAGATGATTGCCCCCACCTTTGACAAGTTCTCCGAGACCTTCACCGACGCTCAGTTCTACCGATGTGACGTCGATGAGGCCTCTGCTGTCGCCCAGGAGGTTGGCGTCACCGCCATGCCCACCTTTGCCTTCTACAAGAACGGCGAGAAGATCACCACCGTCATGGGTGCCAACCCCTCTGCCCTGAACGCTGCCATCAAGCAGAACGTCTAAGCAGTGTATTTTATAGATGAACGACATGACTTATTCTCAATCACTGCAAGTATATTGACCCGGTGTTCGTAGTGGTACAGTGTACAATTGTAGCCAGATTGCCGTAGTGGTCTCGTGGTATAATTAAGTACTGACGCCTTAGCAACAAAGTATACAGCTGAGATGGTTTGAAATGAGTCATGAGTCATCGATAGAGGTGGTGATGATTATGAACAGGTCTCAATGGGTTGATCTTAGCTGTATCCTGGTGATTGAGGAGGTCTCCGGACCAAGTGTCTCTTTTATTGTTTGTCTTAGTGCTGTCGTTTTTTTACTCCACATGAAGATGCACGTACGACTTGCCTCAATTGGCTGTGCTTCCCCCGTACGGTGCCGGCTATTGAACAGCGTCTCTGACGTCATCACTCTCAAAACAGTTAAATTCCATATCTGACACTCGTGTCCAACGGTCTTTATCGCCCTAGCGCTATCACTGATACAGCCGTTTCGCGGCCTCCGCATGGGTCTTTATCAGCCTTGAACATTAATCTTGATTGTCGAGGAAACAGCCAAAAACACGAATGGGGATCTTGTTGGTGTGTCTCTTTGGTTCTTATCAGGTTCGGCAGTCCAAGTTGCAATTTTCCACTAAATGACTTACGTCTGGATCTAAGTGGGTGATTTGCACACAACTGCGTGATTTACTTGTTTTGTCGTATCACACTTGTGCGTGTGCGTGTATGTATGGCACCCGTACTGGTACTGTACTGTTATTAGTCGTCAGTCGCTGCTAGTTGTACGATTTTATTGAAATTTGAGTCTCAGAATGATCCACTGAGCTGGAGTGCACGTTTCGGATGTTTTGGCCGTTGATTTTATATACCTCGATTTGAAAAAGCCGCTTCAATTGCTTCAGTGAGAAATATTCAATATTCGAAGTTGTGAACAAGTATTATATTACTGTATGTACTGTCGGGTAACGTTTTCAGTCCCAGAGCCCCGCGCAGAGGCTGAGCACCAACCTCGACCACTTCACAAGATCGGGAAAATCAGGCAGACTTGGTACAAGTGATTGTAGCTATGATTCACTTGTACTTGTAGTTAGTCAGAGATACTATATGTATTTGTATTAAGGGACTCGCTTTTCCCATTCTTGTTATTTCTCTCTGGGTCTGACCATAGGTATGCCCCTGTAGAATAAGGATCACATTATGGAAAAATTGTGCAAGCGTGTTTATTGTTATTGATTTCAAAAGAAGAATGCCCAAGGCACTTATAAATATATACTGTACTTGTACTTGTAAAGCTGGGCCATTCAAACAAGATACCGTAATGCAAAAAGAGAGGAATACTCCCTGGTACATACTGTACAGTAGTTCATCATTAAAAGGACACTCATGGATTTTGTTCTCTGCGGATTTAAGGTTGAGACGCGTTGGTGACTGAGACACGTAAATATATATACAACTTACTATACTTGTTACGACGTATGTACTGTATGTACTTGGTTACTAACTTCTTGTGATAACTCACACAATCACTCACTACGATACCACTGCCACGATACCACTGCCACGATACCCCTACGACGATACCGATATCAGCCCCAAGGATTCTGTGCCACGGACCTTCTCAGACTCCTGACCGCTTCTGCGACAACCAAACGCCTGTGATGGCTACGGGTACTGTCTGTTTTGCAACTACGCTACGTGGGCACACCCTTGATTTTATACTAATGATCAATTACTAACACATTTAAACAATAAAGGCCACGACTCCAGCAAGCACAGCTCCAGCAGAAATGGCCCACTTGTTGCCACTGTTCGCCTGGGCAGGCTTGGAGGGCTTGGAGGGCTGCTGAGCGGGAGTGGCCGGCTTGGGGGACTGAGCAGACTGCATAGGAGCGTTCTTGGGCTGGGGAGATCCATTGTTGGCAGGTTTGTCTGAGCCACTGTTGGCAGGCTTGTCAGAGGCCCCGGACTTGTTGGCCTTGTCAGAAGAGCCAGAAGAGCCAGAAGAGCCAGAGGAGCCAGAGCCAGAGGAACCAGAAGAGCCAGAGGAGCCAGAGCCAGAGGAGCCAGAGCCGGAGGAACCAGAGCCAGAGGAGCCAGAGCCAGAGGAGCCAGAGCCAGAGGAGCCAGAGCCAGAAGAGCCAGAGCCAGAAGAGCCAGAGCCAGAAGAGCCAGAGCCAGAAGAGCCAGAGCCAGAGCCAGAGGAGCCAGAGCCGGAGGAACCAGAGCCGGTGTCAGCCTTTCCAGATACAGAATCAGACTTGCCAGATCCAGAGTCAGCCTTAGCGGAAGATTCACCATGCTCATCACCCTTCTTGGACTCAGTGGGCTCAGGGGCACAAGGAACAGTGATGGTGATGGTCTGGCCCTCACACTTGGCACAGACTGTCTTGATGACAGTGGAGGGAGCATTCTCGGGCACAACAGTGGTGTAAGACACGATGGGGGTGATGCAATGGTCTGCCTCGCACTGTGTCACAGTCAGAGTCACACTGGAAGTAACCATAGGGGAGGCGTTACCAGCACTGCCTGACACGGTGGGAATCGGGTTCTGAGAACTTGCGACAACAGCCCCAGCAGAGACGGAGCCAGCTTGAGAAACAGAGGCGGTTACACTAGGAGAAGTGTCGGTGGACTCAGCCTTCGAGACCGCAGAGGCAGTGTCTGCCTTGGACACAGAAGCAAAATCGGAAGACGAAACAGCAGGGGCAGAAGCAGAAACAGAGGCAGAAACAGAGGCAGAAACAGAGGCAGAAGCAGAGGCAGACTCACTACTGAGACCACGAGACTCTGAAACGGTGGCAGATTCAGCATCGGAGCCGAGTCCAGTGGCAATGGGGTCCTCGGACTTGACAGACTCTTCAGTCTTGGTGGACTCCTCAGACTGGACAGGGACAGGCTCGGTTGACTTGGCTGGAGCAGAGGCAGTTGACTTAGCAGGGACAGACTCAGTTGACATCTCAGGAGTAGGAGTTGTTTCAACAACTGTTGCCTCAGATGTCTGCACTGGCACAGTAACAGGTGCCGTCTTGTAAGGGTCACAAACAGAACCATCAGTCAGCTGGAGAGTGCAAATGAGTCCCGTAACAGCGTACAGACCATCGACAATGGCCTTGGATGGACCAGGCAGATCGGAGATACCCAGGATGGCAGCCTTCAAGATTCCCCATCCGGGGGCGTCACGATTCAGAGTGATACTGGCCTGATTGACAGCCTCATGGTAGTCATAGTGAGTTCGGAACACGGACAGCAGCTCAGTAGCCTGAACAAAGTCGGGGCTATGTTCATAATCATCGAGGGCCTGGATGACGTCACTGATCCAACCAGGGAATAGGTCAGGGAAATTGGGGTCAAGAACGAGAGCGACTGCGTCATCGAAGACGGGAAGGAGATCATCATTCATAATGAGGGGAACGAATTGATCGATTTCAGACTGGGCCTGGGTCAGAGGAATATCACTGTGTCGACCGTTGACAACACCATTGGAAATGGCGTCTTTGATGGGGTTGATAAGCGCAGCATAAGTGAGGGAATAGCTGGCTGTCTTGGTGGACACAGGAGCAGGCTCACTCGACTTGGCAGAGGCAGAGGTAGTCGACATGGCAGAAGTGGTTGACTTGGCAGAAGTGGTTGACTTGGCAGAGGTGGTTGACTTGGCAGAGGTGGTTGACTTGGCAGAAGTTGAGGCAGTGGACTTAGCAGAGGTAGTTGACTTGGCTGGAGCAGAGGCAGTGGACTCCACAAGAGCAGAAGTTGTTACGACAGGTGCCGCCTCAGATGTCTGCACAGGAACAGGGGCAGGCTCCGAGGTCTTGTATGGGTCACAAACCGAGCCATCGGTGAGCTGGAGGGTGCAAATGAGGCCGGTGACAGCGTACAGACCATCGACAATGGCCTTGGAAGGACCAGGCTGATCGGAAATAGAAATGACAGCAGCCTTCAAGATTCCCCATCCGATAGCGTCACGACTCAGGGTGATACTGGCCTGATTGACAGCCTCATGGTAGTCATAGTGAGTTCGGAACTTAGACAGCAGCTCAGTGGCTAGTGTAAAGTCCGGACTATGCTCATAGTTATCGAGGGCCTGAATGACATCACTGATCCATCCCGGGAACAGGTCAGGGAATTTGGGGTTGAGAAGGAGAGCCACGGCGTTGTCGAAAATGGGAAGAAGATCATCATTCATAATGAGGGGAACGAATTGAGAGATTTCAGACTGGGCCTGAGTCAGAGGAATGTCACTGTGTCGACCATTAACCACACCATTGGAAATGGCGTCTTTAATGGGATTGATAAGCGCCTTATTGGTGAGGACATAGGTTGCTGTATGAGCAGGAGCGGGGACAGTCTCACTGGACTTGGTAGTGGCAGAGGTAGTCGACTTGGAAGACGTGGTCGTCTTTGAGGCAGATGACTTGGAGGTAGTTGACATAACAGGGACAGAGGCAGTCGACTTCGCAGAAGTAGGAGTTGTTACGACAGGTGCCGCCTCAGATGTCTGCACAGGAACAGGAGCAGGCGCCGAGGTCTGGTATGGGTCACAAACGGAACCATCAGTCAGCTGGAGAGTGCAAATGAGTCCAGTGACAGCATAAAGACCATCGACAATGGCCTTGGAAGGACCAGGCTGATCGGAAATAGAAATGACAGCAGCCTTCAAGATTCCCCATCCGATAGCGTCACGACTCAGGGTGATACTGGCCTGATTGACAGCCTCATGGTAGTCATAGTGAGTTCGGAACTTAGACAGTAGCTCAGTGGCTAGTGTGAAGTCCGGACTATGCTCATAGTTATCGAGGGCCTGAATGACATCACTGATCCATCCCGGGAACAGGTCAGGGAATTTGGGGTTGAGAAGGAGAGCCACGGCGTTGTCGAAAATGGGAAGAAGATCATCATTCATAATGAGGGGAACGAATTGAGAGATTTCAGACTGGGCCTGAGTCAGAGGAATGTCACTGTGTCGACCATTAACCACACCATTGGAAATGGCGTCTTTAATGGGATTGATAAGCCCCTTATTGGTGAGGACATAGGTTGCTGTATGAGCAGGAGCGGGGACAGTCTCACTGGACTTGGTAGAGGCAGAGGGGGTAGAGGTGGCAGAGGTCGTCGACTTGGAAGACGTGGTCGTCTTTGAGGCAGATGACTTGGAGGTGGTTGACATAACAGGGACAGAGGCAGTCGACTTCGCAGAAGTAGGAGTTGTTACGACAGGTGCCGCCTCAGATGTCTGCACAGGAACAGGAGCAGGCGCCGAGGTCTGGTATGGGTCACAAACGGAACCATCAGTCAGCTGGAGAGTGCAAATGAGTCCAGTGACAGCATAAAGACCATCGACAATGGCCTTGGAAGGACCAGGCTGATCGGAAATAGAAATGACAGCAGCCTTCAAGATTCCCCATCCGATAGCGTCACGACTCAGGGTGATACTGGCCTGATTGACAGCCTCATGGTAGTCATAGTGAGTTCGGAACTTAGACAGTAGCTCAGTGGCTAGTGTAAAGTCCGGACTATGCTCATAGTTATCGAGGGCCTGAATGACATCACTGATCCATCCTGGGAACAGGTCGGGGAATTTGGGGTTGAGAAGGAGAGCCACGGCGTTGTCGAAAATGGGAAGAAGATCATCATTCATAATGAGAGGAACGAATTGAGAGATTTCAGACTGGGCCTGAGTCAGAGGAATGTCACTGTGTCGACCATTAACCACACCATTGGAAATGGCGTCTTTAATGGGGTTGATAAGCCCCTTATTGGTGAGGACATAGGTTGCTGTATGAACAGGAGCAGGGGTTGTCTCCACAGGAGCAGGGGTTGTCTCCACAGGAGCAGGGGTTGTATCCACAGGAGCGGGGGTTGTCTCCACAGGAGCCGGGGTTGTCTCCACAGGAGCAGGAGTCGTCGCCACAGAGGTAGCAGGTTCTTCAGTCTTGTAAGGATCACAGACGGAACCATCGGTCAGCTGAAGAGTGCAAATGAGTCCAGTGACAGCATAAAGACCATCGACAATGGCCTTGGAAGGACCGGGCTTATCAGAGATACCCAGGACGGCACCCTTCAAGATTCCCCATCCGGGGGCGTCACTATTCAGAGTGATACTAGCCTGATTGACAGCCTCATGGTAGTCATAGTGAGTTCGGAACTTAGACAGCAGCTCAGTGGCCTGTACGAAATCAGGACTTTTTTCGTAATCATCGAGGGCTTGAATCACGTCATTGATCCAACCAGGGAATAGGTCGGGGAATTTGGGGTTGAGAACGAGACCGACCGCGTTGTCGAAGACGGGGAGGAGATCATCATTCATAATGAGGGGAACGAACTGAGAGATTTCAGACTGGGCCTGGGTCAGAGGAATATCACTGTGTCGACCATTAACCACACCATTGGAAATGGCGTCTTTGATGGGGTTGATAAGCGCGGCATAAGTGAGGGAATAGCTGGCTGTAACGACAGACGTTGTCGCCAACAGAACAGTGATTCGAGATATCTTCATTGAGCGAGTGTTGTAATTGAGCTTGAATACATACTATGACATATATATATATCTGGATTCACTTCCGTGAATACTATCAATGGGGTACATGCATTCAGCAAATGTGGTATTCACTAGGTTAATATTAAGGACTAGTGACTACTGTACTTGTACTATACCTGCTGATTAGCCGGAATGACCAACACCACCATACACATCATAGTGCTAATTAAATGCACACTAACACCCCGGTCGGCAGGGTTATGAACTGGGGACAAGGATAGAAGTGAGCGAAATACATGAAATGATGGCTAGCCAGGTTCTGTTTGCAGTGAGTGTGTCTGTCTTCCTTTACAGCTACAGTTATTACTGTGTCCAAATGTCTATGTTTACGACCCAGTGAGGTTTTCGACCCAGCGAGGTTTATAAAGATCATTCCCTCTTGTGAAAGGTCTGTGATTTAAGGAAGAACCAGGGTTCAACATTACCCCATGGTTGGCACTTAGTTCAGTCTGCAGTGAACTAACCACCCCTGTAGAATGAGTTGAATCTAGGCATCTTTTGTTATAAGCAAGTGATAGACTATCGTCATTTCATGGAGGTTAGACATAGTTATACCTGTCACCGAACAGAAGATTGTTGATGTTGAGATATCGACTGAACATTAAGTCAAAATAAAGCAAAAAGACCCCTGAATTGTACACAATCACTCCTCCCCTCCTCTCACATTCTCCATCTCCTTGCTTCTTAATGGAGCGGTTGGTTTCACTATAACTACGCTACAGATCTAAAAAGGCATCCCCTGTGAACCCCATAATCGCCCCTCACCAGGAATAAATGCTTTAGTCTCACAATCGTATAATAGGAGAGATATATTTACGGATATAATTGTGTTGTTTTGTTTTACTACCGAATATGGGAATATAGCACTTCTCTATTCCCAATACGGGGTGCCCACAATATTAACATGTATCACGCGTCACTGGACCTCATGGGCGTATCAAAAAACTGGGCAGTGTGCGCGCAGATAAAAGTAGGTGTGTATACAAACCACAACTACTGTTTTCCTTTTCTGGTAGATCTTTTGTCTGAATGGTCCGCTAATAGCCCCCAATAAACCGTCTAAAATGCGTCCAGCCCCCGCTCCACCGCCCCCATTAGTGCAGTCTGTCTCACCTGACAATCGTCTAGCGCGACCCCATTGGGCTACCACGGAATCCGAAACCAAACCCCACAGGGCAAGAATACATCGAAATTACACCAGCCCACTTTATCTGAAACCAATCCCGAGCAGGATCCTGTACAAGTACAAGGTAGCTACAGCGGCCACTCAATCACACCATAACCACCTTATAGTCTGTTTCTGCGGTGGAGCTCTGGTCCACTGAAGTGCCACCAGTAGACGCCTTTGCCTCGTTCTTCTTTTCGCGTTTGCGCGCCTTTTGCTTTTCCTTTTTGTCTCGGGCCTTATCCTTTTTGCCTCCCTTTTGTTTAGTTCCTGTATCTTCCGCTTCTTTCCTAGCCTTGGCCTCTCGTTTGGCCGTGCGTTCTGCAGCCTTCTGGGCCCTTAGTGCCTTTTTATCCAACGTTGGGGTTGGCGACTGAATGTTTGTTTTTGCATAAGTCGGCTTTTGCGTCTCTATCGTCGCATCAGGCTCGGCTACTTGTTCCATTGTGTCCTCCTTCATGGAGACGTCTTCTGTTACAGATGGAGCTCCAGTACCAGTCTCTCTACCAATCTTAGTCTCTCCTACCACTTCTTCCTTCCCCTCCACCTCCTCAGGAATACCATTCTCCAAGAAATAGTCGACCGCTTCCCCAACATCTTCATGCTCCTTCAGCACCTTGGCCAGAAGATGATCCGGCACCTCAAACGGTAACGACTCACGCAATTGCTTGATCTTCCACTCTCCAACATCTTTGGTCACGTCAGCAATAAGATCGGAGCCCTTAGGCACGTAGCTGCTCAAGTAAGCGCTGGTAATCTCGGGTGGTCCACAATGAGGTCCATTGATGCATCTGACAGAAGAGTAATGCTCCCAAGTGTGATAGGCGATATGTACCTTCTCGGGTCGCTCTCCACCTTGATCCGCCTCCAGTTCCGTCCTCTGTTCACCTTTGCTTTCGTCGATAGGAGTAATCACGTATCTTAGATCAGCCTGGTATACCACCACATCCAGCTGGTATGCAGAGGCAAAGGCAGCCAGCTCCAGATTGCCTCCATAAACAGATGATCGAGACATGCGGTCAATATACGCTTCCCAAGACTCGTCCCATTCTGACGAATAAAAGATCTCGAAGTAGGCACTGTGTTTCTTCATGTAGTCCACCACACTCTGTCGGATCACCATGGCCAGTTTCAGGTCATCTTTACCGTAGAGCTGGTCCGCTAGCGACCGAAATAAACAGTTTCCATCGCCCTGGATTGTTGTTGCATAAAGACCGATACTTTTTAGTAGCGGAAATTCGCCCGACAGAACTGTTTGCCGGTTTTTGCGAGCCATGTTGGGTTGTCTGGAAGGTCTTTAGATTATGCACCATCAGTTAGTTTGAAAGGTAGCATAGGTTATGAGTTAACGGAGCAGTGGGGTGGAATCGGAGAGATTACAGAGACATGTTGCTGAAACGATGGTCAGATTACGAGCACCTTCAGAAAGTTGAGAATCCCGTAACTTGGAAATCTGAAAGAATCACGTCTGACAATCTCGCATGAACCCAATGTTTCATTAATTAAACCCACATTTGGGGAGGAGTCTTCTGTGTATCGTACGCGTACAGTACTTTAAGCTTTAAGTACATATAAACGGGGCAGTCAAAAACAGTAGCTAGCCGAGACATTGCTGACTAATACATAATGGATGACTAATTTAACGGGTATAACCACCCTGTTACAGTAGGGAGTTTTGGCTTGTCTTCATCCGCGCTTGTCCCCCCATTTTTCTCTTGTTAGTTTAAGGTGCTAGTTTTTAGCACGGCTTTATTTATACGGAGGGGACACGGAAGTCCCGTTTGGGGTTCCGCATGGAAGCACATGATGGGCAATCTATCCCGAAGCACTGATGCTAGACTTGTTGTGCGCTCAAGGCGGCGTTATACAAGTACCGCACCTGTTTTCCCCGATCTATGAAGAGCACATATACCAGTTCCGGCTCAAACAGCTGCACAGTGTTAACGTACTGTATGTTTAAAGAGAGGCTACTTGTAGAAGAGAGAGCGAGTACGACAACATACAGCAGAGGAGTGAACGTTTCAAATGAAGAAAGGTTCACAAGAAGCGTCAAAAGCAAAGTGCTGAACTTGGTCTGAGTTCGTTTTTGTTCGATTCTGTTCGTCTAAGTTTCTTGTCTGCGTTCTTACTGCCATTAACCGTTGGCGACAGACGCGTAGGGTGGAGGAGGAGCATACAGTGGAGAACCAGCTGCCAAGAATACAGTACTGTACTGTCGCATTGCAGAACGGGGCCCCACCTCGAATCCAACTGCCAGCGTACGTCTGGCCGACAATGAATGCAGACCCAGCGCAAGGAGTGCAGGAAACGGTTTGATCGGCATTTGAAAGGGCAGATCCCCGGTTTGGGAAGTGGCAGAGGGCTGGGAGAGTTGGAAGTAGTGTGCGTTGCCGTTTGTATCACCTTGTGACGGCGTATTCATCATCAGAAAAGGGCCATCTGGGGTCTAAACTTGCAGTAACGTTTTTTCCCTTTTTTTTGCAGACCCCACATGGAAACTTTGTTGGTATTTTAGTTGGCAACTTTACGATTACTGAAGGTGTAGTTAGAGCGTTCAAGTGTGCATGACGAACTCTGTCGGAACTTTGTTTAGGGTGGTGGAACTGGACGGCGTTACATGGCGCCAAAGTTATTCGGAACAGCAGAGTCTCAGTTTGGTCAGTTGAGGCGGGGGAATGTCTGACAGATATGTTGGGGGTTTTTCCGTATCTCCGGGAGGGCGAGTCGGTTGTTTTTACATGTCATCATTTCGCCGGTGTTTGTACTGCGTCCAACCTCTTCTGAGGCACGATCGGCTCAACCCGCATGTACAACAATAGGCCGCTCCCAAAAGGGCCTCTCCTGCCGTTCCTTCAGTATGTACAGTATCGTACTATAGGAGAATACGAGACAGTAGCAGCTGAGCATAGCCTACTTGTATGAAATCGAGATCGATTTATGCCTTCATGTGAGATCGGACTTGGCCGCTAGACTACACAAGTACGGGTACGAGTAACAACATGGTATGGTATCGCCGGTACAACATGCGCTTCACTCTGCTACACACTCCTCACAAGGTCTGATTGGATCCAACTTTATCAGAGCAGTGATACAACTGAGACAGCTCAACAGATGAACCACGGGCTATCGTCGTGTACAAGTACAACGGATTGTACGGAACAGACCGCCGTGTCTCCAGATGGCTTGTAATCTCTTGATGGATACTATCTCAATGTCCGACATTTCGTCTCTCATTTATCTGTCCCACTTCAGCAGGTCTTCTTACGCTACTTGTGCAGCCAAGCGGCTTCAAAAACGAAAAGCTACCAGACACTACGATCAGATTGGAGCCTGAGTGCCACTCTGCCCGAGCCTGAGGAGCGACGACTCACGCCGTGAGCAGTTGGTAGTGGAGATGAGCTCGACCTGGCGTCACGACCAGGCTCTGAGTGCTGCCGGAAACCGAGCAACCCCCTTTCGGTCTCCCGGAAAAACCCTTCGGGACCGAAACCCTCGGGGAGGGGAAGTGCGCTCTCTGGCTAACCTGAGTCCTCCACACCATACCGAACAAACAAAGGCGGGGGGCATTACTGTGCAGAGACACCGCAGCGAAGGAGACCGATATGTGCATTTTTGAAACCTAGCTGACGGAGAGCGTGCCGCAGACAAGGAGCAGGCCTCGCAGAATAGTCCTTTGGCTCTGGTTCCGTTGTGTAAAAAAAGAAACGTAACGCAAAGTCAAGACCGCTTGTGCTGAACAAGATTATGCGGACAAGAAAACTTGCAACATTTTTCAACTTACGTGAAAACGGGGACTCCGGCTGTAAGCCAAGAACAAGGTGCTTGCACGGGACCGACCCGGTAGGCTCTCCGCTCTATAGATACACGTCAGACCCCACATTCGTGTCTCACCTTCGTCCCCCTCCCGCTTACACCGCCTCTACTTATTCTTGCCGATTACGCCTGTGCAATTTTCCGATCCATTGTCTTTTCAAGCTCAGAGAGAGACGCGTCAGAATAGTTTGGGATCGACCGACTCACATATAGGCTACGCAAGGTCACGATACTTTGCAAAGGCTACTTGTCTAAAAAAAAGTCCGAGTCTGTCCGGGGCTGAGCCGAGCAATTTTCATCCTCTTACGACACACACGCAGAGACTGATTTTCCTCCAGACGACACAAATCCCTCCCCCGTTGACGCCAAGCCGACGAGCATCTGCCCCCCACGACAGACAGCAGGCTAAATTATCCGCTTTATTTGATTGCAGCTTGTTAGTCGGTTTTTTCGTTTTAAACATCAGACGATTTATTCCGCTCTAGAGCTACCTTAATACCCCACACATTTGCATAATCTAATTGCCTGCACCCGACCCACCTGTTACACAACACTTTCTCAACCACAGGTACGGCTCTGAAAACACAAAAGCGCTCTGCTTGCACCCTTGCGCCCTCCCGTCACAACATGCCGGTAGCGATATGAACGAACTGCAGTTTGTTGTTGAAACCGGAGACGTCCAGAGTTCCAGACCCGCCAGCAAAAAGCCCAAGCGAACACGACGGGCTTGTCTCCCCTGCCAAGGCAGAAAAGTGAGTGCAAACCGACTCTCGGCTGATACTCCGACGATAATATCTGCCACAGACATGTCCACACACCAGCTAACACAGATCCGATGCAATGGCGGCCTTCCATGCGAAACATGTATCGGTCGCAAAGTGCGATGCGAATACAAGGACGAAGACACCAAGAAGGGCACCGATAAGAGCCCCAGCCCCGCCAAAAATGAAGTCTTTGAAAACCGACGCCTAGCACAGGCGCAGTCCCCACACGTCCCACATACACAGAGCCCACTACAGAGCCATGTTCAGGTGGCGCAGAAGCCGGCAGGGAAGTCACCACACCAGCCAGCACACATGTCACCCCATCTATCGCCACAGGCTGTGCACATGTCACCCCAGGCTTCTCACATGTCGCCACATACTCAGCCAGTACATGTACAGCAGCACACTCAACCACCACAGTCACAACCCCATACACAACAGACGAAACCACAAGTCGGCCAGACCCAGCCCCAGTCACAACCCCCAGCTATCACATCACCTCTGTCGATAGCTACCTCCAGCTCACGTGGCTCTACCCGACAGCCGTACTTTCGATGGCTCGGAGCTACTGCCATTGCTCCGCCCAGAAAGGGCAAGTTCAGACTCATTGCGGTGAACCTGGCTTCGTCGGCCTACTCGACCGTCGTGATGAAACAGACAGCCGAGGGCTCGGCCATGGAGTTCCAGGCGCCCATAACCTCAGCAGGGTCAGCTAACTCGGTTAATTCTAACGGCTCGTACTTCCCGACTGCCATAGAGACCCCCGAAACACAGCTGCCCAGCATTGGGCCCTACTCGATTCCTACAAAGTACATTGACGTCTTCTACTCCCACGTGTCGTCCATTCTTCCGTACTTGCCCCGGAAGGTGTTCAATCAGCTTCTTCAAGCTGGCGAGGTGTCGGAGGCGCTTCTCAACGCCATGGCTGGCTTGGGACTCAAAATGAGCTCCAACTCCAGCCCTACAGAATCCGTTTCCGAGACGGAAAATACGGCTATCAAGTACTCCAACCGCGCCAAGGAGCTTGTTATCAGGCGCCTGGCACTCCCCACGGTTGAAACCGTCTACACGCTGCTTCTGATTGCATACAACGAGTTTGCCAACGACATGGACTCTGGGCTGTGGATGTGGTCTGGCATGGCCATTCGAATGTGTTTCGATCTGGGTCTGCATAAAGCAGACCTTCCCAATCTGGATGAAGAACACCGCGAAACAGCCCGGAACGTCTTCTGGTCGGTGGTGTGTCTTGATCGGCTCATCTCTTCAGGTACTGGCCGTACTGTGACGGTTCCTCTATCGCAGATTGAGCACCATCCTCCCGTAGGCAAGAAGCTGACAACTGGCCAGACAGATCCCTTCCCATATCTCTGCAAGCTGTTGCTCCTCGTGGGCAAGGTAACCGACCATCTCAACTCCGTGGACCCCTCGCAATTGTCTTCTTCTCGGTCGTTTGCCTCCACCCAACTGGCCTCTTTCCATCAGGACGTTTCCGACTTTTACACGTCGCTTCCTCCGGATCTATTGTTTGACGTTCACAACTTCCAAGAGTTTGCACGTATCCGACAGAGCCAGGTGTTCCTGTTGCTGCACGTGTGGAATCAGGCGCTCATCCTGGCTGTGTATCACCCCACGGTTGTGTATGCTCGATCAGCAGGTACCCTTGGCTCTGTTTCAGTCTCAGGCTCTTCCAACGTGTCTCTGAACAACTCTAGAGCACCTTCTCCTACTGGTGCTGTAGCTGGAGGTGGAGGTGGAGCTTCTTCTTCGGCAGAAGACGGGCCCAAACCCGCCAAGAAACGAAAGACTACCGACCCTCCTCTGTCTGGAATCGATATTGGAGCTATCAGTATTTCTGATATGGTTGCGTTTGCTGATCTCATTGACCCTCTATCGTTTTTGTGCTCTCCTTTTGCGTCTCAGCCTCTGCTGATGGCTGGAGTTTCTTGCCTGACAGTTCTCAGAGCCCTCTCACCCGCCAACACGCCTCCACATGCGATTTTCACTGTAAAAAAGTCGTATCACAACACTCGAAACGCCCTTCAACGTCTTCGGAGTAACTGGGCGGGAGTGTCGTGGCTTTGCGAGACTCTGGACTCACTGGAGCGTGAAGAGGAGGACGTGGATCTTGTTGGATCGTTCACTTTTGAGGCACCAGAGGTCCCCTCGCAAGAAGAGCCTCCTACAGGTTCCTCAGCTCGAGCCACGGCCACTTCGGCCTCCATTAACCACTCTTCACATGCTTCTAACAAGAGGTGGCTGGTGGACGCTCTGGAAGAGAACTGCCCAGAGGAAGAGATGCTTGGTCTTGTGATTGCAGGATCTCGAAAGCTATCGCTTCCAATTGAGCGACAGAATGAGTACTACTGGGACGGCAATGGAGGGGTTGCTACCGGTACTTCAAACAATGGCCATGACCAGGTTCCGACAGCGGCACATCACAATGCCCCTCGCAACCACCAGCAGCCACGGAACCATCACCACAACAATCACTCGACAAACAATGCAAACGGACCCAACAGCCATCCGTATATTTCCCGGCAGCTCTGTGAGTCTCCTGAGCCCTATTTTGAGGAAGGGTACTCCCAGTTCTACGGTCAGCAGGCCCAACAAAACCACCATATCATGCAACAGGGTCATAACAATGCTGACAAGCCTTCCGCAGGCTCCTCTGGTGGTAACAATACAAGCAACGAATCGACTAACGCTCCCAACCGGACAAATTCTCGAGAGATTCCAGATCCTCTGGACGGAGATGACTTTAAGAGTCTTCTAGTTGGAAACATGACTCTTGACGAGTTTCTCAAAATGTGACGAGTAACGACATAACGATTTCTTTAATAGTAATGATATTTATATGTATAGTAGCAACGCGATTGTGTGGTGCCAGTACGAATACAGCACTGGGAGTGTGTTCGGCTTTAATCTCTGTTGAGACTGGCATTGCAATATGTTGAGAAGAACCCTTGTATGGCTCTGGCTTCTTGCTTCTGGCTTCTGACTTCTGGCTTCTGACTTCTGACGACTGTGAGACAAACGTGAATCGTACCTTGTCGACACTGAGACATGCTTGTCAAAAAACAAACATAAGCCTCCGGCTGGGTTATCAGTCAATGGTCTGAGTTTGGCAGTTGTAACCTACAAGTCCGTCAGATAATCAGGTATTAATCCGTGGGTTTGGTGGGGTTGGTGGTTTGGCAGTAGCTCGGCCTCTAAGTAGCTCTCGTCGGCGACTATTGCAACTGTAACTGGGCGCTGTGGGAGTAATTTTGTTTTAGAACACAGGATTATAATCCTCCGGTGAAGGATAATGACTTGGTTTTATTGGTTTCCATGTTACAGTAAGTCATTAATGGCGGGGTTTGGTGTGGTGCTGCGTCTTCTCCACTTAGTGTGAGACATACAGAGACCGGCATAACCGCCTACCCTTGTAGCACACACCTCATATGGTCAGATGACCTAGGCAGAGAATGTGCCAAGAGAAGAAGTATGACAAGGGCTTCAGCTTGTCTTGTAACCTCAGAGTCTTTGTTAGCAACTTGAGTCTCTTCCGTAGAAGTAGATGTTTTGGTAGATTTGAGGTTTCAGGATGATGTAGGCAGAGCCGAACAGTAATCAGTATAGCTGGTCTAACAACCCCATATGACGTCATAAATCATTACTATATACTGTATATGTCATTATCTCTTGCTGGCTACAGCTCCAACCTCCTCGACCACCTTCTTGACGTTGTCGGGGTTGTGTCCGAATCGGCCGAGGAACAGGCCGTCCACTACTCCGTTGAGAGACTCAACCAGTCCGGGGCCAGCAGAACCACCGTAGACGATTCGCACGTCGTTGTTGTTGGTCTCTTTCTCGGCGTCAATCTTCTTTCTCAGATACGAGACAACTCCAATGATATGATCCGACTCAGCGGGCTTGGGAGCTCCAATGGCCCACACAGGCTCGTAAGCAAAGACCAGCTGGCCGGTGCAGTTATCCAGAACAGGTTTGATCTGCTCCCAGACCTCGTCTCCGCAGGCTTCGATGTCTCCCTTGTTGATTTCGCCAATGCAGATCCAGGGAATGATGCTGTTTCGGGAGCAGGCGGCGGACTTGTTGATGACCCACTCGTTGGTTTCTCCAAACTGCTTTCGTCGCTCAGCGTGGCCAATTTCCACGTAACGCACACCCAATTGGGCCAAATGCTTGGGCGACACTTCTCCGGTGAAGGCTCCCTCGTCGGCCTGCCAGCAGTCCTGGGCTCCGACGTTGAACAGAGGCTCGTCCAGACGGTTCTTGAGCCGAGTGCATTCCCGGATCGACAGGAAGTCAGGCATGACCACAAGCTCGACGTGGTTGAGGGCGGCAGTGGCCACGGTGCTGGATGAGTCCTGGACGGGTCCAGTGATTCCGTGCTTCTCAAGCTCAGCGTCGGGCTGTTCAATTCCAGCCAAGGCAGAGACAAACTGCAGCGTCTTGGCCGGATCAAAGTACATTTTGAGCGAGATGGCCACCACGGGCTGTCGTGTGTTTGACATTTTGTTTTGTGTGAGTGTTTAGGTGCCTGAAGACGGTGTGAGTGTGGGTGTGTGTGTATGTAGAAATGTTGGTGGCATTGTTCATTATGTGCTTGTTCCGCTGTACCAACATGCAGCCTTATGCAGTTTCATGCATGGTGCAGTAGAGTTCAGGGCCCCCCACAGTCCACGAGTTAGACAGCGGATGTCCCAATCGGGAAGCCGCATGGGGTGGTTTCATAGACCAGTGTGGAAATCCAACCACGGGGCGAACAAGGGAGCGTAGAGATAGACTGGAGCGTCACGGGAGCAGCTAAATGTGCGGGGGTAGCTTTGTGCCTTCTGGGACCGTATTTCACTACATCCCGAGGCCCATATTTGATCACACGGATCATAGTGAGTAATACAGAATGGATTAATCCGGCTGGTGAGTTTCAGGAGCAATGGGCGGCAGAATAGAAACGGATAACAAGGCAATCTAGTACAAAGAACTTGGCATCATTCTAAGATATCCCCGCGGACCACTTGTAAGTACGTACTTGTGTAGCATTAGGTCTATTGACTGCCTTGTCGTGTGTAGACCTTTTGGAGCTCGCTGCTTGTCTTTTTCGAACTCAATCGATGAGTGGCGGGGTAACTGTTGATTCTGGGGAGAAAGGAAACGCAAAAGGAGGAAGACGAACGAAGAGGAAAACCGAAGCGAGAGGTCCGATTTGGGTCTGATCTGACCTTGCTTTGAGGACAGACTTGTGGAATGTTGAGGAAACGGGCTGGTGATAAGATTGCTCCGTTTGTAAGTACAGTAATATTGGGAATTAGTTTAGTTGATACATGTACGAGTATTGTACCAGAACACCAAGTATTGTAGCACCTGGGTCAACATTTACTCAATGTAATAACAAAATTCCAAGTACAGTAAATTTATATTCCATCATAAATATCATTAAAAATTATATGCCATTTACAAGTGCTCGTACAAGTACTCATATTCCTTCGCTTCTCCTCCCTCTACTTGTGGTTGGCAAAACCATCAACCAGCTCGTAGACAGCCCAAGCTCCAGGGTCGGGAGGAAGCTCACCGTCCTTCTCCCCAACATAGACTGCTCGTCCAAGACGAGGCTTGATCTTCTTGGTGCCCTCGGCAGCCTGCTTGGCCTTGAGAGCGGCCTCCTTGATATCCTTGGTGGACACCAGAGACTGCACGTAGGGGATCAACACGTCCATGACAGTTCGGTCACCAGGTCGAGCAGGAGTGTGGTTCATGAGACTTTCCAGACCGGTGTTAGCAGCGTTGACGAGCTTATCAGTCACATTGACATCAGTCTTATGGGACAGAGGGTCCAGCAGAAGAGCGTTAAGGAAAGAGGCAAAAAAAATGCCGAAGATAGCTCCCAGGGTGCCTCCCATATCCTCCTCGGTGATGTGAACGACAGCCCGCACAATGGGGATGATCTCGAGAGCCTTTGGGTCGCTCTTGTTCTTGTTGAGGTACTCGAGAAGAGCTCGGCAGCCATGTTCAATGGTGTGTCCACAGTCTCCGTCTCCCATTTCGGTATCCCATGCAGTAAGCTGAGGCTCGGCCTTGATAATGTTCTGGGAGGCCTGAGTGAGAGCAGCAACCACGGTCTGTTCAGGAATGTCCAGTGTGGGAGCCTTAATGTTGGAGGTCTCGTCGTCGAAGATCTTGTCCTCGTTGATAAAGGGCTTGACCGAGGTAGGAGGGGCCACATTGACCCAGGCAGGGGCGTCGGACACAGCGTCCAGGTACTTGAGCACGTTCTTGCTGTGGGAGCCGTTAGACAGGTTCACCAGGGTGATAGAGAAGCCGGGAGCGTTGAGAGAGCTCATGAAGGTGCCGCACAGAACTCGCACAGACTTGATCTTGTGGGTCTTCTCGAGTTGCTCTCGGGCAAGCTGGACAGCAGCCCGCATCTCAATGGTGGAAATTCCACCGAGGTTGTTGGCCAGGAGAATGACCTCGTCGCCCTCCTTGAACTTTACGAAGGATCGCTCGGGGTCGTCCTGCGAAACTAGGTACTTGAGCAGAGTATCAACCATGGACTCAGGGGCAGGCACGGGGTTGATGGTCTTGACTCCGGGCTCATTGTGAATACCCAGGCCGAATTGACACTCGTTCTGGTCGAGCGAGACGTGGTTCTCAACGGATCGACCAGGAACGTGGCAGTAGTCCAGTCCAATTGAGGCGGTTGCGGTGTTCTCGGCCACCTCGGTTCCAATGGCCATGCATTCATCAAAGGACAGCTTGTCCCAGGCAGCTCCTCCGACAATCTTGTCCAGAAGCACAGTTCCAGCCAGTCCTCGTCGACCGACCAGACCACCGCTCTTTCGGTCGACAGCCACATCGTCGGCAGACTTAATGATGCCGACCTTGTGGCCCTGAGACTTGAGCTTCTCGGCCGCGAGACCAAAATGCAACATGTCGCCGGTGTAGTTGGTGACGACCAGAATATGACCCTTGTCGGAGGGCACGAGCTTGCAGCCGGCCTCGACCTGCTTGGCTGAAGGAGACGCGAAGACGGGGCCACAGATGGCACCGGTCAGCATGTTGTCTCCCACAAAGCCGGCGTGGGCAGGCTCGTGGCCAGAGCCTCCTCCAGAAAGAACTGCAACTCGGTCAGCGGAATGGGTTCCGTTGTAGAGCACCTTGAATCTGTGGGAGAGAATGGACGCTGATCGGGAAGCCTGAACTCCCTCGAGAGACTTGAGCACGAGCTCGTCAGTCTCGTTGAACAGATGTTTTGTGGACATAGTAGATGTGTAAGTGTGTAGAAGTGTCGTGTGGGCCAATTGTGGGGAAAGGAGCTTCTTATAGAAGCTGATCTGCCCCTCTTTCTGATCCACGTTGACCCCCACGCTGTTTTCAGCTTTGCAAAAGTTTGGGACCGCGGTACGTGGTGGCCTTGCCTCGAAATAATAGTCTTTGTCCGCACTAGTCAGGTCATCGGATTATGCAAGGCTGTGGAGCTTAATGCGGCGGCTTTCCCTTTTGGGATTCCGCTTCCCCAGATTGAAACGTACAGTATAGAGAAAAGTAGATGCCTTTTTAGAGCTCCTGGAGGTGTTATATATATATACCTTGGGGTGGCACCAAGGTCTCATCACACAACTACACACTCACACTCACCAGAACATCCGTTCTAACACACAAACACACCACACACACACACACACACACACTTGCACAAAATGGGATTCACTATTGTTGTTGGATGCGACGAGGCTGGCGTTGATTACAAGAACAGAATCAAGGCCGATCTCGAAAAGTCCCCTCGAGTCGACAAGGTCATTGACGTTGGTGTCAAGGCCTCGGAAGACAAGACCGCCTACCCCAACATTGCCATTGCTGCTGCTGAGAAGGTGGCCTCCGGCGAGGCCGACCGAGCCATTCTCATCTGTGGTACCGGTCTTGGTGTCGCCATCTCCGCCAACAAGGTGGCCGGTGTTCGAGCCGTGACTGCACATGACTCCTTCTCCGTCGAGCGATCCATTCTTTCCAACAACGCCCAGATTCTCTGCATGGGCCAGCGGGTGGTTGGAATCGAGCTTGCTCGACGTCTGGTGGCCGAGTGGCTCACCTACGAGTTTGACCAGACCTCTGCTTCTGCCGCTAAGGTTGCCGATATTGAGACCTACGAGAAGAAGCACATTGCTGCCTAAACGGACAAACATACGAAAACCTATATATTTAATGAAGCATGATAATTTGATATTTGGAGTAGCCATTGATGAAGTCTAGAGCTCAGACAGTCAAGTCGTATGAGTCCGAAGCAATACAGGAGATGTTTCAAAGTGCGTACACAGTTGTATGTACGAAATCTACCAACCAGTGAGATCAAATGTCTCAGGGATACATCCACAACGTAGTCTCGATGGTATAGCCCCATACTTTCCACTCCTTTCTTTTTCTCCGGACTTCTCTCTGCTTTTTCCTTTTGTGACTTGGCCAGCTCCATTCTCCTGTTCTCCACAGTTTACTACGCGTAAGGTTCGATTTAACGCATGGTGCATATGAACTCTATCGTATCTAAGTTTTTATTCCCCGCCTCATGGTGTCTTTGTCAACGGACACCCAAAGAAGCGAACCGTAACTCTAAGAGCTTATTTGTTCGTATGTCGGAAAAACATACGGCTATAACAATGCGGAGAGGTGGGGTACTAAATGAGCTGTCGTCATGCAAATTATGGAATGGGCGGTATCTAAAGACATGGAAATTAGATTCCAGCGCGCTCCGTGATGCTTTCGAGCAGTTCTAGTCCCACTTCTTCAGCCTTTAGTGTCTCAGAGATGGTACGACCCCGTCTCAGTTCCGGAACCTTCTTAATTTAGAAAAAGAGAGAGGAGACGAACAAGATGGAATCAAAAAGATTTCCCAATGGGGAAACTAATCTTCAGCGGGAAGCTGGAGAGACCACGTGCTGATCGACAGCTGTGTCGACAACAGGTTTGAGGTCATGTGACGTGTGACGACGATACTGTCTTTTTCTTACTAAAGATGCAGATCTCCTGGTGGCAAAGATTCATGTGCTCTGTAAGTGAAATTGGAAGCAAATCGATTATTCGGTATGAGCACGACTCTCAATAGAGAGATTCCGCTCACGAGTTGTACAACAGTAACAGAACACCGCAATTTGCTCCATAAATCTCCCCTAACGTAGCATGTGCTTTCAAAGTGCGCGGGCTGTACGGAACATCCCGATGTAACCTATGTTGGACAACAGTACAATCTCGGGTACGGGTCGGTAATATCCGGGGCTGAAATTTGTTCACCCGAGCGAGTTTCTAAGATGTACATACAGTAGATCCGAAACACATTTTCAAATATCGTGACCTCTAAAGCGGTGTGTGGTGCATAGAGACTTCCCGAAAGGGTCTTCCGCAAAAGTTTCTCGTCTCCGGACATGGTAAGGCAGTGACATGAAAAACAAAAATCTGGGGCAACGTGCACTCCCGGTGAATCAGATTTTTCATGTGTAAGAGACTCCCAGAAGCGTCCGAGACTGTCGGAGTGTTCCTGGCCCTCTGCCTGGTCGGGTTGCTTTTTCCTCCACCGTTGTGTAGGGCTTACTTGATGCAATTATCTGCACACTTGTCTTAGATGGTGTGAGGTGATTCGCGTTCAGAGGACTACAAGTAGTTGTATTAATCCTTTCCTGCTACAGAGTGCAATAAAGAGTAACTACAAGTAGATTTCAAGAAACGGTATTAATTCTCAGTGTAGCAAGTTGAGTCTTCAGCGTCTTTCAGGAAGCGGCGAGTTCGTGCAAATAGCGGTTGCAGTTCGAGGGACTTCGTTCCAAGTGCAAATTTCATCAATTCTGAAATGTGTAAGTCTCTTACATTGCTGTCCCGAGATTATTCTATTACTCGTACTCCTACATTGATTACTGGTGAAGTTCTACAAATACAACGTTCCTAGTGTTTTCGAATCATAATCATAATATTAAATGCAATAAGTTAACTGTCTCAGTAGACCGTGACTGTCATTTTGGCTGTTAGCTGTCAGTCGGGATGAGGAGCTTACCAGACGTGGTGGCCACCGCAGACAAGAATGTCAGAGCCGGTGGTGTAGGAGGAGGCGGAAGATGCAAGGTAGGCGCAGACTCCTCGAAGCTCGGAGACACCTCCAAGTCGGCCCATGGGGTTCTGGAAGGCCCACTGGTTACCAAGACCGGGCTCAGCGTCAAGACAGACGTCAGTCATAGCAGTCTGGATGTGACCGGGGGAGATGGAGTTGACTCGAATCTCAAACTGGCCGAGCTCAGCAGCCATGGACTTGACAAGATGAGCAGCAGCGGCCTTGGAGGCGTTGTAGGCGCACCAGGGCATGTCTCGGTTGACAATGGAGCCGGACATGGAGGCGGTGACAATGATAGAACCAGAAGTCTTGGTGGCAATCATCTGTCGAGAGGCGGCCTGGGCGGTGATAAAGACACCGGTGACGTTGACGTCCATGACCTTTCGGAACCAGTCAGCGGGGTACTCGTTGCAAGAGGCTCGAGGTCCAAGCACACCGGCGTTAGCGATGACAACGTCAATCTTGCCGTGGGTCTCGGCAATGTTCTGGAAGAGGGAGTTCATAGTCTCCTCGTCAGTGACGTCGGCTCGCTTGAAGACCAGAGAGGCGTTGCCGGGCATTCGCTTAACGTAGGACTGGCAAGCCAGGAACTCCTCAGAGGGAGTCTCGGGCATGTCAAGACAGTAGACAGTGGCACCGAGCTCGGCGAGGCAGACTGAGTACTCAAGACCAATACCGGAGTTTCCACCGGTGACAATGGCAACACCGTCGGGCAGAGAGAACTCCTTAAAGATCTCGGGCTTCACCTCGAACTCGGGGTTCTTCTGGGCCTCCAGAGCAGCATTGAGTCCAACGAGCTTCTTGGGGGCAGGAACTCGAGCCTGAGGGTAGAAGGTGTAGGGTGCCGAGATGGGCAGAGCAGAAGTAGCGGCTGAAGAAACCATTTGTGTATGTGTGTGTGTGTGTGTGTGTGTGTTTGTGTGTTTGGAAACTGTTGTCAGTATTTGATATCGAACTACAGAGCTTCCATGGCGTCCTTTTATATCGAAGAGACTCGACCTTGGAACTTCCTCTAGACTTTCCAGAGTACGGCTTCTCAATCGAGTTCCGGAGCTGTTTCTGCCCTAGGCCGGACACGAGGCCTACTCCAAGCCGCTTTGTCTGGGGTCGCGGAAGTCCTAATTAGGAAACGGAAGTAGTCTCCTATTAAGGTTTCCAAAAATCTGGGGTGCCTAAAAGTCTATTTTCTTAGTGGCACGATACCTGCTTTCTTTGTCCCACAAAAATTTAGACTTTCCAACCCCATCATGACCAGCCTTATTCCCCGGAATAACAGCCTGGGGGTGAAAAAAGCAAAAACGGACCGACAAACACAAACACAGAAGCATAATAAAATTACAGCCATCCTTTTTTTTTTTTTCGTTGGCGGCTGAACCATAGACGGACGGGTACGAGCCCCGTCTTGGGCGTAGCCGTTGGTGCAAGCGCGGAAATCTACTTGTAGAAGAGTCGCATATACATTCTTGTAGGAGGCTTTTGATGCCGTGCCAAACCGGCCTGGATATGTAGGTACAGTATCCGAGGGTGTGAGGGGAGGGGCAAACACCCAAGCTCGCTTAATTTTCAGTCTCTCTCATTCCAACTTCGATCTCTCTGTCAATTGCAGTCTCTCTCGATCTCCCCTACAGACCACACACTCCGATTAAGCATCTCCTGTGCATGTCTTGATGGGTTACATTATAGGCGCTAGCAAAGATGTCTGGCTGGAGAGAGGAAGAGAAAAAGGGTACAAGTAGCTACACAAAGAGACTGTTGTGTTGAGATGGCTCTAGTTTCAGAATATCCCTGATCTGGGGGCTATGTTACAAGTGCACCATGCATAATACTTGCCATGTCTCATGTTGATGCTACAGTGGCAGCTCTTGGAGAGTGAAGATGTTTGCTTGCTCGTGATACGGAAGTCATCTCTCTACACTACGTTGCTCTGCTCTTCATCCTTCGATTCCGTTCCTCGATTCTTTGCTCTCTTCTTTTTGTGAGCTAAGCTACATGGCTGTTGACCACTTACTCCTTTTGCCGCTACTCTTTTTGTAGCATCGTGGCAATGTCGATCCGTCACAGGAAGAAGAGGACACGCATAAATTCTACCACGTGACGCTTCGGCCGAGAGATTCACGTGACAGAGCTCCGAGAAAGTCCCTCGTCCCGCTTACTGCACTTCCGCACTTCTGGAATCTTCCACAGCCCGGAACGCCAGCCGTCAAGAGGGGAGACACTTGAAAGAGCGTGCAGATGATGAGGGGACACTCATCGCCCCACAAACGAAACCTAGAGTGTGCCGTTGAGACGCATCAGCGATGGTGCGGTGAGTTGGGGTCAGAGAGATGTGGGTGAAGATGTTGGAGGTTTGAAAGGTGCGATTTGGGGTCTTTTTTTTTCGTACAAGTACTTTGGGGCAGAAAGGTGTGATGTTGATATGGTGTACAGTATGTATGGTTATGGCCTCCAAGTACAGATGAAGAGGCTGTATCACTCTACAATCTCTGTAAACCACCCTTGAAAAAAACAAAGAATACTTTGACTGGTACTTGTACAAGACAGCGGGAGCTCAAAGTGGAAGCCGGGAACAAAAATAGAGACTTTTAGTTATACAAGTAGTGGAGTTATGGTCTGTTATGCGCACTAAGTGAAGATGCGATAGGGCTCGTTCGGAAGGAAGTGTGAAGAGGGTCTTTTTTTACTAGTACAAGTAGTTGATATTGTGGCTTCTGGTAACAGATTTTCAACTTATTCATCCGAGGTTTTGCTGCTTCAAGTATTTTATTACATTTATGCTCATTTTATAAAATAATTCTACTTAATTCCACCATAATTCCATACACGCAATAGTCACTAGAATGAAACACATAGAACGCATCGCAGAGACATGTATTAGACAGGCCAGGTTAGATACACCCTGGCTAACTAGGAGAATATTGCACCATCTCCTCAAGCGCCTCCAGCTCACCGTATACAACTATTCATCTCACCCGACTAACCTCCCTTTGCTTATTCACCGATCACCAAACTCCATCTGAGACGGTTAAAAAAGCAAGCAGGTCTTGGTCATAAACGATTCAGACATATTTTAGTGCCAACTTATATAAATGTCACGCTGTGCGGTATTTGTTGTGTCGTATTCAAAGTCCTGATCTTCACCTTTGGAAGTGCCTCCGCCTGCATATACATCGTCATGGCCTGATCTTGGAAGCTCTAGCGTTAGTTACCTCTCACAGGTCTGAATAGTTCGTGTTGTCTCAGAATAATGACACTTAGTAAAACAGGTGATGTAAGACAATCAAAGAATCCACCAAATGCCCAAGTCAACGATTGGATCATGGGGTGATTGAAGACCGGTACACTATCCGAGACTTCTGGTAGTTGCCATGAGAACTTGAAGAGCCCATCAGACGAGACATTGCGTAATCAGTAATAGTGACTTGGTGGGGTAATGTGATGTAACAACGGGTTACCAACTGCGTTTTCAGAAAATGTACTGGCACCACCTGACCACAAGTCTTCGTACAGCTCTGCCGCCTTCAACATGCCTTGATAGTTACAGGTTCTAATAGTACGGTATTGTTCCTAACAAGTAGCAAAACTATCGTAACTTGTTGTAATACTTGCAATAACAGTGCAGTAGTACACGTTGGTGCCATACCTCCTCCACATTCCCAACATTTGTAACCCTTCTCGCCCCAGAGGTCTCATCTTCAAGTCAGTCCGCATACAATGGACTCCAGGTACTTCAGTACACACGCGACTCCTCTGCTCAGACATTCTAGGGTCGATAATATAACTACAATATGAGTAAAGAGAGTCGTTCCCTAGCTGAGATGGGTTGGATCTGTAGCCACGGGGTATATATGGCCGTAAATAGTCCAATTGGCTAATAATAAGACCTATAGAACTGAGTCAGTGTTTTTCATATCTATGGCTGAAGTAGAATAGGTACTTGAACTACTTGTACCGCAGGGAAAGTTGTACGAAGAGTCCTACCGCAGAACTAGACTTGACATTAGTTTGTCCTTACTGTATCATTAATCATACAAGACAATTGCTATAGGGCCTACTACAAGTACAGTGGATATTGGACCGATACTTGTACTCGTACTGTACTTACTCGTACCCTCATCTCATTCGCCTTGAAAAGTGTACTATCGAGGCGGTAACCTGACAACAATGAGGCCCGGCACAAGCAACTACAGTATTCGTAAAAGTACACACATTTGAATCCGCATAATCGCGGGGTAGGAACTATTATTTGACTTGACACTTGATCGCGTGACTACACTAGTTAGTGTACGAATACTTGGCACTCATGTACTAGTACCCGTACTTGGATACCCAAAATCCACTGACTAAGCAGAAAACGAAGTCCGTCTCCATGCAGGGAAGTTGCAGCTGGCGCGTTTAATGTCCATGTCAATCTGGCCCTGCCGTGGGGGTTTCGCTTCTCGTAGGATAGACTTGGTCCGAGTCATGTATTATCTGGACGTTGGACAATGGAGGTTTAGCCGTAACGTTTTGATGCGCGCGCTCAAGCGCCGTGGAATATGACGTGGTTCCGTGGAAAGTGGATGAGAGATTAGACGATGATAGGAGCAAGGGCTGAAAAAGCCACTCGAAAGACCCGAAACAACTGTGTGAGAGGGGCGAGGGGTGTGTGATCACGTGACTTTGTGTCTATAGCACGATATCAACGTTCAACAGAAACCCGAGACCCACGGAAAGCCCTCGGTTCTACTGTAGGTTTGGGCTCGTTGTTGGTACAGAACGAGTACAGAGTCGCATCCGGTTTAGATCAGTTGCGTGAAACATCTGAGGCGGTTGCTGTGAATGTCGAGGAGCGAGCCTGACGGGTCATGTTTTTCTTGTTTTTCTTATTCATTCTAGTACCGTATTGAAAATACAACGAAATCTGGCTGTTTCCGTACCAGCACATCTATATTAGAGCGTATCGTACTTTTGGTGCAACGTCTATGCCTTCACTCTAAATTCCACGGAGAGGCGTGGCATTTTTTTTTAATTTTTTAATTAGGCTAAAAAGCCGAGGTGGATAGACGGATCAAGAGTGAACAGCAAGTGTGCTAAGAACGAGGAACAGCGGCTAGAGGGTGGAAAAGAATAATGCCGTGGCCGTGCAACCTCAATACTCGTTCCTGTTGACGGACTCATGCTACCATGACACAACCACGTCCGGTACTGTACTTGTACGAGTGCCGGATCGTGCTGCTTGCGTCGACGCACATAATCAGGTCAAGAAAGAGACAGTCTCGCATAAAGAATCAACGCATAGAGAGTCACCGCAGAGTCAAAGAGGGTCGTAGAAAAGAAATATTCAGCAGAAGTTGTGTGCTGAGACAACTCTATCTGTGTCATTCCCGCCGCCTCACAAGACCAGTGGAGCTGCCACTTGTAGTACAGGCCTTGTTTGCAGTAGGGCCCTTGTCCTCTCCATCTGTCCCTGTAGACAATTTCCTCATTAGACTACAAGTGCATGCATATCTGTCGGTGTGACTGAAGTTAGATCTTCTTTTGGGTGATAGTATTTATGTTTGGAGGGGGTGAAAAAAAAGACGATCAAATATATAAAGAAGGGCGGGGGCTCTTTCACAAATCTACACACTCTCAACAAACAACCTCAAACATGCCAATCGACGTGCAAAACACCCTGGAACAGCTCGAGCTGTCGGAGAAAATCGCACTCACCGCTGGAGTCGACATCTGGCATACCGTCCCTATCGAACGGCTTGGCGTACCTTCTGCCCGAACCTCTGATGGCCCCAATGGAATCAGAGGTACCCAGTTCTTCAACTCCGAGCCCGCAGCCTGTCTTCCGGCCTCCCTAGGCCTCGGTGCTACGTGGGATCAGGATCTCTTGTACCAGGTAGGAGAGCTGCTGGCCGAGGAGTCGCGTGCCAAAAGCGCCCATGTCGTGCTTGCGCCCACAATTAACATCCAGCGGTCCCCTCTAGGAGGTCGCTCCTTCGAGTCTTTCTCTGAAGATCCGCTTTTGTCTGGAAAGCTGGCTACTCAGTACGTCAAGGGTCTACAGGACAACAAGGTGGCAGCTTGTATTAAGCACTTTGTGACCAACGACCAGGAGAATGGCCGCATGGGATCCAACTCAGTCGTAACAGATCGAGCTTTGCGAGAAATCTATCTCAAGCCCTTTGAGATCGCAGTCAGAGAAGCCAACCCTAAGGCCTTCATGACCGCCTACAACAAGCTCAATGGCACCCATGTTAGCGAGCACGACATCTTGGGCAGTGTGCTGCGAGGCGAGTGGAAATGGCGAGGGTTGGTGATGAGTGACTGGTTCGGCACTTACTCCACCAGTGACGCTGTTAATGCCGGTCTGGACCTTGAGATGCCAGGTCCTCCTCGATGGAGAGGCGAGCAGCTCACCCATGCTGTTCTCAGCAACAAGGTGACCACTGAGACGCTTGATGAGCGGGTCACAAATGTTCTTGAGCTCGTGAAGTACGCCCAAGAGTCTGGAATCCCGTTCAATGGTCCCGAATCCACCAACAACACGCCTAAGACTCGGGCTCTGCTACGGAAGCTGGTGGCAGACTCCACTGTCCTGCTCAAAAACGATGCAAACATCTTGCCTCTCGACAAGACCAAGAAAGTGGCCGTGATTGGCCCCAACGCAAAGGCCACTGCTTTCTGTGGAGGTGGTTCAGCCTCTCTCAGACCCTACTATACTGTTTCTCCGTTTGAGGGAATCACTTCCAAGACTGGCAGCGAACCTGATTACGCCGTAGGAGCCTACGCTCATAAGGAGCTGCCTGACTTCGCATCATACTTGAAGTCAGAGTCTGGAGACGAGGGAATTTGGGACGTTCGATTCTACAACGACAAGAGGGGTGCTCAGGATCGAAAGTGCTTTGACCAATTGACTATCGAGCAGACCAAACTGTTTCTGTTCGATTACAGTCACAAGGATATCCCCAAGAACAAGATCTTTTATGTGGACGCCACTGCCACCCTCAAGGTTCCTAAGGACGGAGTGTACGACTTTGGAATGACCCTTCTGGGTACTGCCAAGTTCTTTGTCGATGACAAGTGCGTGCTGGACTGCACTAAGGACCAGGAGAACGGCAATTCGTTTTTCGGCGAAGGCACTAAGGAGAAGATTGGGTCTATTGAGCTCAAGGCCAACAAGGACTATGCCATTCGCCTCGAGTTTGGATCCGAGGCCACTTCCCCTCGAGAGCGAGGAGGACTTGTTTCCAACGGTGGAGGCGCTGTTCAGGCCGGCATGGCTCGACAGGCTGCCGCCGAAGATACGATCGCCGAGGCTGTCGAGCTGGCCAAACGTTCCGAACAGGTAATTCTCTTTTCGGGACTCAACATGGCGTGGGAGTCTGAGGGATTCGACCGACCGAACTTGTCGCTTCCTCCTCACAATGATGCACTCATCGAGGCCGTGCTCGACGCGAATCCCAATACCGTTATTGTCATTCAGAGTGGAGCTCCAGTGGAGATGCCCTGGGCATCCACGGCCAAGACCATCGTGCATGCCACCTTTGGAGGCAACGAGACTGGAAACGGTATTGCCGATGTGCTATTTGGCGACGTGAACCCTAGCGCTAAGCTGCCCATCACCTACCCTCTCAAGGTTCAACATACTCCCTCTTACTACAACTTCGGCCATCCTAAACGAACTTTGTATGGAGAAGATGTGTTTGTGGGCTACCGACACTACGAGAAGGTTGATCGAGAAGTGTTGTTTCCCTTTGGCCATGGTCTTTCATACACTTCATTTGAGCTGTCTAACCTGAGTGTTTCCAAGAAGGATGATACTGTCACTGTAACTGTGAACGTCAAGAACACCGGATCCAAAACGGGAGCTGAAATCGTCCAGGTTTACGTTTCTCAAGAGAAACCATCCATCGTGCGGCCTGTAAAGGAGCTCCGGGGCTTCTCCAAGGTCGAGCTTGATGCTGGCAAGTCCGATACCGTCACTGTGGAACTGGATGTCGATCAGGCCACCTCATTCTGGAACGAGTATATCAGCAAGTGGACCAGTGAAGCTGACAAGTACCATATTCATGTCGGTACCAGCAGTGCAGGTAAGCATCTTGAGGGTGAGTTTGAAGTCAAGAAGACTAAGAATTGGTTAGGTCTTTAGTCTCATTATGTAACGTCATATATAATTATTTATGCTCGATGCTAATCGATACCTACAGCCCTTGAGGTGGAGTACCAATACTATACAAAAAGAGCACATAAATGCACAAATGTAGTACTCTCATAATGGAGTTTGATCCAGAATAATCAACACCTTCTGGGCAGCCCTTGGTGGTGTCCTGGATCATGTTAACTTTGGTCTAGGTAGACTGAGAACCAGTCCATACAAAGGTCATACTACTCCGTTTGTTTGGGTATCAACACAGACTCTTCTCCCTACTAGCCTTCTTCCTCCGTATCACAGAGATTATTTGGTCGTTTTATGGAGTCAACTGTTGGTAGTTGAGTCTTAGAACACACAAGACGGTTCCATTATATACTGCAGCGTGTTGTGTATTAGCGCTCTGCAAAGTGCACTTGTATAGCGACAGTACAAATATTGCAGTATACAGTAGAAGGAACTGTTTGTACTGTACATACGTACTACACATCTCTGTCTGAACTCTTCAAGGTCATAATCATCACGAATCTTTAAATGTTATTACAAAGGTTAGAAGGGATCAAGCAAGTCCTTGACAAGCCTTCACCCCAGACTTCAACGAAGGTGGACACCGCCTGCAGTATATATACGCGTGCTAGCTGTAGACACGGCTATTACTTTAATGACTGTTGAACTTACCAGACAGGAAGCTCTTGAGATGGCCCACGGGCTGCCAGTCCCCTCCGTCGGACCATTCAAACACGCCCTCGGTCAGCGAAGAAGTGAGAGTGAATCGAGCCTCCACACCGGTAGCGGCAGGATGCACCAATCCATCGGTCTTGAACTGACACAGCAGCCGCTGCTCAGCATCCTTTCGGATGATGAAGGGCTGGGTGTCGCCCAGACGCCAGGTGATTCGTCGACGTTCAGGAGAGAATGAGCCGACGGGCTTGCTTTGGGCTCCCAAAGTGTTGGCTCCGTCCACAGAGACGGAAAAGACACCTCCCGTAAGAGTGGCTGCCTCTCCAGGGAAGCTGGGGGACAGCTTGATGGAGAGCATGAGTCTGGCCTGGGTGGGCTCAAATCGCCAGATGGGAGTGATCACCACAGGGAGAGACTGCGCAGCAGCGTCGGGGGTCAGTGAGTACTTGAAGCCCAGAGACGTTCGGCCCTTAATGGCATGGGCATTCACGTTGTACAAGGAGTTCTCGGAAGGAGAAGAAGGAGGGTTGATAACGGCAGAAGGGTTCGCTCCAAACTTGGCGAAGGGAGAGGGATCCAGAAGTCGCACCTGCAGATAGTCGGTGGTATGGGCGGACGAGGGAGGAACGTAGGCAATGGCAACCTCTCCGTTGACAGACACGTCGGAATGCGTCTCGGTGATGTTGGCATTGATCTGCTCCACGATACTTGCTCGCAGAGGGTAGGTCTCCAGGGCCTCAGAGATGAGCAGCTCAGGATGCTTGATCACGTTAGGAGTGGACTGCAGCGATCGAATCGAGCCAGCGTCGCCGCCGGTGCTGTCGGGACCCAGGGGCTGCTGCTGCTGTTGAGCAAAGGGAGCATTAGGGGGAGGCATAGAGCCGTAGCCAGCGGGGCTTTGCAGACCACTGGACTGGTGGGACAGGGGAGCAGGAGACTGGCCAATGGGTGAGTGGAAGTCTTCAGAGTTGCCAGTGAAAGTAGACCCGAGAGCTCCTCCAGCAAGACCGCCGGCAAGAGCTCCGCCAGCAAGAGCTCCGCCGTGGTGACCTCCGTGACCATTACCATTGAGGTTGTTGGTGTCAATGGGAGGCAGACCGGGAGCCTGGGACTCAATGTCGGCAGGCTGGACGTCAGTGAATAACTTGGACTGAATGTCTCGACGTCCTCGGCCGCTTCGCGAGGTGTTTCGCAAAGTGGAGGCCACCGAATTGAGCGCCTCGTTGGCGTCGCCCTCCTCGGCAATCACGTCCTGGCGAATATCCACCTTGGGGGGTCCATGGGGATCAGGGTCAGACAGTCGCCGAGAAGGAGGAGGAAGAGGTTTATCAGCGTTGTCAAAAGGAGCTTCCTGGCCGGGTTGCAGAAAAGGCTGCTGCGATTGCTGCTGACTCTGGAACTGTTGCTGAGGAGTATGGAACTGCTGTTGGGGCGAGTACTGCTGGGTCTGCTGAGGCGACTGGAACTGGCCTTGCTGGGGAGACTGGGTGTGGGAGAAGGGTGACGAGCCAGGAGACACGGGAGGGCTGTTCTGCTGGACCTGGGTGGTTTGGAAGGGGCTGCCATTATGAGTCTGACCCTGAAACTGGCCCTGTCCTTGGAACTGACTCTGTCCCTGTTGACCTTGGAATTGGCCGCCCTGCATATTCTGCTGATTCTGCTGGCCCTGACCCTGGAACTGAGGGGGGCCCTGCTGGCCGCCCGCTGCAGGAAACTGCAACTGAGAAGACAGGGCAGAAGTATCAAGCTGAGCGTTCTGGGTTCGCATGTCGGGCGATCGAGAGGCCGGGGGGAGAGGAGGCTGCTGCTTGTTCGTTCGCTCAGCCTGCTCACGTGCCCGCTCGGCTCGTCGCTCGGCCGCCTCCCGCTCCTCTTCCCGATCCTCCTGGATCTGGCGCTCAATGGCCTTTTGTTCCTCGATCTCGGCAAGTCGACGAGCCTCTCGGTCGGCCTCGCGGGCTCGCTGGCTCTGGCCAGGCTGGTCCCGGATGGTTCCCAGCGTGGAAACGTGTTTCTTGTCATCCTTCTTCTTTCTGCCAAAGATGGATCCGACCTTGGACCGCAGCTTGTCTCCTCGCTTTTGGGGAGTGGTGGGCACGTCGTGGGTGGAGTTTCGTGCAGAGTTGGTCGAGTAGATGGACTCCGAGTCCCGGGTCGAGTTGCGTCGGAATGCGTTCCGCGGGTTGGTGGTGGAGGTGGTGGAGGGGGCGTAGTTGGCTGATCGGGTGTCAGCAGCGCCCCCGTAGGTGGATTGACGGTTGTTGGCAGCAGAACTAGCTCCAAAGCCAGCAGCAGCTCCGGCAGTTCCAGCTCCGACGGAGGCGTTGGTTCCGGCATTTCCTCCAGTAGGACCTCTCTTAAGAGCCTCGGAGACAAAGACGTTGATGTCATCTTCAGGCTCAAGGGAGAGCACGTCATTCAAAAGCCGTTCGGCCACAGGAGTGAACTGCTGCGACTTGTCGGTGGACAGAGTCAGGTACTGGGTGAGGGCGTCCTTGACGAACACCACTCGGCCGGTATCGGCGCTCTCAAACTGCTTGAACACGTAGGGAGCCTGTTTCTGCCACTCGGACTGCGACCGAGACACTTCATTGAGACCGTGGCTCAGCACCTTGACATCGGCCCAGTTGCCCTGCTGCGAGGTGGGGAAGTTTTTGAGCGGCTTCTCAACCTCGGACTTGACCCGTCGAACATAGGTCTCAGCAGCTCCAATGGTCTCGTTGATGTCTCTGACGGCAATCTTTCGCCACAGGCCGTCGAGCGAGTTGACTGCGGAATTCACACCGACGTCTCCATCGTCGAGAGCGCCGATTTTGGCCGCATGGCGCTGCGCCACTCGCTGAAGGTCCTCGATGTAACGCTTTTCAATGTTGGTTCGGTCGTGGACAAAGGACGCCAGATCGCTGAGGGTGGACTCACCTTCGGTGATTCGCGACTGCAGCAGCTGCACGGCCTGGTCCGGACTGCTCTGGTCGAGCACGGTGGAGTATCGCGACATGGCTGGACAGGTGGGTGTTGGTGATGATGTATGAGGGAGAGAGTTTGGAGTTTCCACCGCCTACAGCTAATTAGTGCGGTATATTAGCATGCGGGAATAATGTGGGGTTCATGGGAATGGTTGTGGCGAGTAAATAGTGACAAGTGGTTTGTAACGACTCCCAGAATATAAATACTTCTGCTTTCCCTGCTAATTGATATACTTGGTGCCACAATTGTACCCCTTTTCACCCTCCTATTAGCTATCTCCGATGGCCTCTGGTTACACTTTTTTCCACATATATTACACCACCATGCGTAAGGTTGCGGTGCCGAGGACCACGTTTGACGGGTCTCTACAAGCACAAGTGCACTCATATCAAGTGCAAGTACAAGTAAGAGACAATGGGCGGACACCAACTGCGACATCTCACGTGCCCTCCTTGTAAGGCGCACTTTTCTAATTGATGGCATTCAACCGTGGTACAGACGATATAGCTCCATGGACCTTTTCCTCTTTTCCAAGTCCCAACGGATAAAGACATGAGTCTGAGCCTGAAGTATAATGCCTGAAGAGTGAAGCCAGCTACAAGTATAAGTACTCAATAAAGGGTGCTATCAGACTCAGAGTTGCCTCGATCAGCCTGCCCGGTTGTTTCTTTGACATCTACGACCTTGTCCAAACGCTCGCCCGCCTCGGCCCTTCCTTCAACCCCCCACGCACTGTACACACCGTTGGCATATCTAGCGTATACAGTGTGCAGTGCAGGATACAATCTAATATGTATGCAGAATGGCGCAGAGTGGGAACATCAAAACACGAGGAGGGAGGTGCTCCCAGAGAGTAAATGCTACGATTACCTGGTGGTTGAGGTTGCTCCACCCGCTAGGACTGCCCTGACAAGCTAGATCCACACTCAATCCCCCTGCCCCCACTCCATGGATTGCTCAAACTAACATCTAAACTTTGCTCTTTATTATCATGTCGTATTTTGCGACCAAACTGGCCATACCCATGAAGCATACACAACATGACCAAAGACCATGTCACTATTGTACAGCTACTACGAGGTACATGTCTGACATATGGCTACTTGTAGTTATCATATCATATCTGACTGTTCAATTACATTACCCAAATAGACTAGCATCTCACCATCCACACTAGTAGCAGATCTTAAATCAGACCACCAAAGTCACGGTAACCATTAATGTGAGTGCTGCGATTATGTACGTATATCTGAACATGTCTACAGCACTGTGTACAACTGCACATTATGTACAGCCCCTTTCAGACGTTCCTACATCCCGCACCCATGACACTCAATGTCGATGATCATTAAATATGCAATAAATATATTCCCAATATCCTTCAATCCCTCATCTATCATACATACCCTTTCAATCACAACTCCATCCGCCAGTTATCTTCATCTGGAGAAATATGGCACATATCGTCATCTGAGTTGCCCGGAGGAGGCCCAAAATCGCCCTCGTAAACTACAGCGCCAGCCTTGCGATGGTGCTCGACCCACGCAGCCTCACTGGTGGCAAGAATGTCGTCGGCTGTGGGACGGCCTCGAGGATCAGGAGTCAGCATCCAAGACACCAATGAATCCAGAATACCGAGATCCTGGGTGAGGAACAAAGGAGCCCAGTCGGGGGCCGCAGAGCTTCGCCTAATCACTGGGGGATGCATGTTTGTCGAGCTGGAAGTGTTGCCCGTGCTGGCTCCACCGTTTCCAGCAGTGCCAGACCTGGAAGAACCGGTGCTTACACCGCTAGAAGAGGTGGTGTTAGCCGTGGTGCAGCTTCGGAGAGAAGACGAGTGGATACCGTGGTGGTCAAACGGAGGCATGCACGATGGACTCAGCACTCCCCCATCCTCCTCGTACGACTTGCTCCCGCACTCAATCGCGTCTCGTTCTTGGCCCTGGGAAGAAGTAGGCTCTCCAAACTGATGATCAAATCCAGCCAGGTCGCCAGAAGAGAGCCGACCAGCATCGGTCAAGTCGCCAGACCGTAGCTTCTGCCAGTGGATGCCGTTATCGGGCAAAACCACGTTGGCAGCAATCTCCAGAATAATCAGACCAAACGAAAAGATATCCGCAGGCTTGTCGTACTCCTGTCGACTCAGCACCTCGGGAGCGATGTACTCCCGGTCTCCCTCCCGCTCGATTCCCCGAGCTGCTGGCCATGTTGTTGCCATTCCAAAATCGCCAATCTTGAGAGTGCCCTCAAAAGTGATGAACACGTTGGCTGGCTTGATGTCCAGATGCATAAAGCCCTCGTTGTGGATGTACCGGATACCGAGGGCAAGTTCCACGAGAATCTTCCACACTCGCCAGTCGTCCAGACGCGCGATTCGGCCGTTTTCAGCCAGAAAAACATCCAGACTGCCGTTTTCGCAGTACTCAGTCATGATGAACAGGAATCCATGGTACTCCCACGAGTCGACAAGCTGGACAATGAAATCGCGCCCGTCTTCGTCACGTTTCGACTCGGTCAGCTTACGAAGAACTTCGACCTCCTCCATTCGTCGAGCACGAGCCTTGGGGCCGGCAAAGGGGTACTTCATCTTCTTCACAGCGTAACGGTTGGGCGGCGTGAGGATGACCGAGGAACCCGCAGGCATCTTAACGCGCTCGGTGACCGTGTAAACGGATGAAAACTCGCCAGATCCAATCAGAGAGACGCTGTCAAACTTTTGACTAAGCCACGACTCGCCAGCAATCATGTTCTCAGCAGATTGGTCCTGGGAAGACCGTTTGGCCGGTGTCCGGGGATCTGCAAAGGTAGGATCACTGGAGAAGTTGGGCGAGTTAAAGGGATTGTCTCCATTTCCAAGAGGGGTCTCTGGTTCCATGATGGACGAGGCCTGACGAGTGATAGTCCCAGGGGTAATGGTGATCTGCGACCCATCTGACCGCTGGTGACTTGCCTTGGCCAGAGAAGACAAGGATGTCAAAGAACCAATGTAAGACGCTCGTCTGTAGGGTCCCAGATTCGTGCTGCTGTTATTGCTGCTGCTGCCGTTGCTGTCATCATGGTTGTTAGTAGTGAGAGTTCGCTGGACGGATGGAAACGACTCACTCTCCTCCAGGGGCTTCGTAGGCGTGGAGGGAACGTCGTCCATGAACGAGGAGACTGCCGAACGCAGGTCGAATGCAAAGCGTGATGCTGAATCACGCAGCCCGCTTGGAGGGCCTGAGGGGATATTCTGGTGGCCGGTGGTGTTGATTGTGAGGGGCACTCTGTGAGCTCTACCGGAGGACGCAGACCTGTGACTGCTTCCGAGCATGCTGACACCCTCGTGGGAGACACTGCTGGTGAAGGGCCGGGGTGTGTTTCCGTCTCCTCTGAGTCCGTGCACGTCCTGCAAGCTCGAACTGCCGCTGGGTTTCTTGCAGGGCGTATCTGGAGGCACGAGAGAGTGGCCAGAAGATGAGTTGGGCAGGTTGCGCGTTCGTTTCGAAAGCAAGCCCGTGCTCATGAACGCAGTCTGCAGCGGTTTGACGAACCGGAACGAGTCTGGAGTGCCGTACTCCTTGTGTTCCACGTCAGCTATCTTTGTTTTGACGAGAGGATGCAAATGGGGTTGAGGATGATGAGGGTGCGGGTGCGAGTGGTGGGGGTGATGCGTTGGTGTTGGTGGCGATGATTCGACCGACGACGACATGAGATGGATCGTGGGCGGGTTATCTGACAATCGTCGTTCTCCTCCTCCTCCAGGAGGCACATTCTCTTGCTGGATGGCGGCCTTTTTGAATGGAGGCGCCTTGACCGGCGAATTGGGGTCAGAATCATGGAGTATCATCGAGTGGCGCGGTCGGTGGCTCCTGCTGGGGCTGCTGTCCATGTTGATATCTTCGAGCGACAGGTTGGACGCCTCTTCGAGGTTGTAGAGGCCCTTGGAGCGTCTTAGGGGCTGCATGGTTGACGAGTACACCGTGGGGGGGCTCCGAGGCGCGCTGCTTGCTGGGACTGGGGCACGGCGAGAGGTCTGGCGGTAGGTCGTCGAGATTTGCCACCGTGTTGTTGCGGTGGATGGAGAGGTTGATAAGGGCGTCTGACGCTGAGTCGTCAAGCGACAGCGACGGTGACAGCTGTGGCGTGTTGGGCTTACTCTTTTTGAGCTTCACCTTGGACAGCGACGGTATGGAGGAGCGTGCCACCGAGTCGGGGCGGTGTTTGCGCCGGCGAGGCGACGGGGAGGCCGAGGGGGTGGCCGAGCTCATGTACATGTGAGTATGGGTATGTCGTGTTGACGCGTCGATCACGGTGTGAGTGTTGTAGTTTGGCGGTAGTTGTAATTCCGGTCAGGTTGTGTCGTCTGTTTCTTGTCGTGTCGTCTGTCTCGTCCTTGTGTATCGCGTCTGGTGGCGTTTTTCCCCCAAAAAAAATTAGTTGATGCGATTGTGGGTGAGGAATGTAGAAAAAGGAGCGTGTGCAAAGAAATGCAAAACTTTTCTGGAGGTCCAGTCGTGTCACAAACGCAGACCTGTTGCTCGGTCGGTCCTGCTGCTTTGCGTGTGACGTGTCGTGTGGGTGGCGCGAACGGTAGGTGAGCACTTGGGGGGTGCCTCTGGGGTTTGGAGACGCGAACAATGGTGGTGTTGGGTTGGGGGAGATTGGGACGGGTCTGTCTCCAGAGATGATGTGCGGAGCGGTGCGTCACTCCCAAAGTCTATGCATGGCCCAGGGTAGCGGTCTGATGGGGGCAAACAAACAGGCGCATGCGTCCATCACCCTCAGAGCGCGAAACCTAGAAGCCTATCCGAGCGAGCACACACACACACATCAAAACAGAAGGTGTGGGGGCTCGTCGGTTCTGAAGATGGGTGTAAGACAGTGAAGCCGGACGGACAGCCCAGAAGCAACCCGGAGGTGAATATTATGGGAGATAATTATGGTTCCATTCTGGCGGGCTTGTTTCTGCCCGGGCCACCATTGCCCAGTGCACGGTGGTAAACGCGTGTAGAGTTGGGAGAGTTCCGTAGGTACAGTAAGTTGAGGAAGAGGTGAATCTGTGAACGGGTCCAAGTGGAAGGAAGAACCGCACTTGTAGAGACATCGACGGAATGAAGGAAAAAGAAAGAGGAATTTACTCGTCAGATGTTCTCCCTACGGCTCGTTCTCCACCGTCAACACATGTCAAACTCGTCCTATTTGTACCGCCAATTTCATCGCTGTATTTGAACACTGGCCTTATTATTACGTATTGTCATTCAGGGGTCTTGGCACCCATTGTACTTTTTTCAATCAGACGCGTTCCAAAACTGCGCTATGAGTACAATACGATACAATAGTATGCATCAAGATACGAATCGTAGACGCAAAAATTATCAGTACGATCCTTGTATGTACTTGTGTCAGCTTCTAATCAAAATACGTCTCGTAATAAACACGTGTCGTACGTGGTACCGGCAGCCCAGCAACAAGGATGGACTTGATATGGTCAATCTTGCATGTTTCACCATCGCTTGTTTCAGGTGTAACACTCCAAACAGTACCCAAACATGACGACGATCATCGTACATACATCGTATGTATGGCGAGCGGGCAGGTGTGTGAATGGGTTGTGCCCATATAAGAGCATATCTGACGAGTGACATCTATCCGACGATTTAGAAACACACAGAAAGTCACCCGACAGGTCTATATAACCAGTTCGAGACCACACTTGTATCAGTTTATCACATTCCAAGCCAACCATGTGACTACAGTATTTCCAACCCGTCTCACACAGCCCCTCTTGTATGAACCGAAATACAATAGATACCAGCCGTACTTGCCGGACTTGTATGGGTCGGGTAACGTAATTTCCCGTACAGTTCGGGTTTACCAGACCCCCCTGACTCGCTTCTGTTATCATATGAAGTGCTCACTATCTAAGACACGAGAGCGGATATCTGCCCGTGAACCCTCTTGTCCCACTGCGTGAAAGAAAGACGGAAACGTGTCCCCACAGAAATACGAAAGAGCGAGTCAGGGAGCAATCGATGCACTGATGTTGTTGCGCGTGGCATGCGATACGAGCAAGGGCGCGCCTATGGCATCTACCTGTACAGTATGTACTGGCATTATATCGTGCAATTCATACCAGTCTTATACAACGACTTGGGATAATAATAGCGCCAGAAATACCACTAAACATATTACTAACATGGCCCCAATTTCGACGCTAACCAAAAGCAGATGATTGTCGATGATGATGCCATTGCTTGACTGACAGAGATGAGATGAGACACACTGAGGCAGTAAGTGCCACAACCACGTATGGACATTTCAGTCACGTGACAGGCCGGCAGAGGAAAGATGCTATCTGGCAGTTTGTGCGGCCACCACCTTCACATCTCGGCTCCACCATAGGCTATGATAATGATATATACTACTCCCATAGAATACGAGTACCAGTAATTTACTGTAGCTACCGGTACTGTACGGAACTTATACGATACACCCCGGTGCTCTTATGAGTAGGGTGGAGACTGGCACTCGTACCGATACAGATATCGTCCTCGTACATACCGTACGATAGATACGCAAGACGCTGGATTCGTTCGGCGTGTTCGGCGCACAGTCGCGCATACGTACTAAAAATATTAAACAGTTTCTCGCAGAAACAAACAGGGGACAATGAAGTCTCTGTTATAATGCCGAGATACTCCATTCTACTTGCTGTACAGCTACTTATTTTCTTGCAGCTTCAAAGTCGTATGACTGGTATTTATGGCTTTTCCGTCATACGCTCACTCCCATCGACTGTCACCCCACGCTTTACTTGTATTGTTGCTACAAACCGCTTAGACCGCTTGAACCGCCTAAATGGTCCTCTCTTTTTTGCTTCTTGTCTAAAAATCCAACTGGAGTTTGAAATACAAAAATACCATTTCAGTAAGACAGCAACGATCGTGAAGTAGCAATACAAAGATATACCAGCGAGCCAAGAGCACGGTAATTGCTGCAAAATATCCAGCGACGCAAACAGCCAATCACGGCAACCTACAGCAAACAAAAATACCCGGCCAGAGCCCCACAAACCTGCTACCACATGTCCCCTAAGAACCCCCTTTACCCTCCGCCACCAACTCTATTTCTTGCTACTCAACCTGCACCCAACTCTGCACTTGCAGAATACACACATTTACTACGGAGGTCCCGGCACCTAATCTGACATACACCACATTACCGCCATCTGTCATGCCCGAACCCGACAAGAGGGCCGCCGCCACAGCGGCGTCGCAGAGTCCGTCAGATCACGTGACCAGAATCTCCTCCACCGCCACGCCGTCTCGTCCACGCATACACACCACTCCCACCCCACAGTCTGAGGTTCTGTTGCCCCAGCAGCCTTTGTCGGCTTCACCCACCAAGACTGAGAGCGCGGAGCAGGCTGACAAGTACAAGACGCTCAAGGGCCGACCGGAGGAAGCAGGACCGCCGCCCACGCCGACCATAGCGCCCGCTGCGGTCATCACACATCTGGTTCCGAAACACAAAAAAAGCAAAACCAGACTCAAGAGCACCCCCAAGTCGAGCCCTCGAACCACACCCACCAGAACAACACCGTACAGGTCGTACTCCACCACAGATGAAGACCCGGAGAGTTCAGATGAAGATATCGGTCCCGGATCGCTGCTAGCCGCCCAACAACGTCTGCCAATCGGAGTGCCTGACAAAAACAGACACCCCAAGCTCAAAAGCCACGCCAGCGCTCCCGCAGTGCCCATGGCCAGAGACCCCAGCGGAGGAAGCGTCACTAATGGCTCTTCCGTCGGGCCTACCATCACCACAATCACTCCTGGAGGCTACAACTCCACCCCCGGAGCTTCTACAGGCGAGTCTCTCACTAATGCATCTTCGTCTTTGCCTGCATCGTCGCTTCCAGGTATCGCATCTGTCTCGTCACCCTCACTCCCCACGACTCTGCCTCCATCGTCGACTTCAAACTCAGGTACTTCTACCCCAGCAGTGCTCTCAGACCCCGTCGTCAAGCCCCGAAAGGCATCTGCTCCTGCACCCGCCTCAAACTCGCATATTACCGTGGAGACAGAAACCGTGCCTGCTGTGCCCACTGTCTCCGTAGCGCCTCCGCCACCAGTGCAGCCTCAGACTGATAGCAACAGCAACACAAACTATCAGGGCGGGTCTGTCAACTCCACTGTGGCGTTGTCTGGAGGCCCACAGCTGGGTTCAGGCTCCAACTCTCTAAGACTCAAGAAGTCACAGGATGTCAAGTCGAGGAAAAAGAAGGGCAGATCCCAGCTTTCGCAGCAGGGGAACACCAAAGCCGAAATCTTCGCGGCCAAGGTCGCTTCCGCCGTCGACGAAGTCCACTCCTCAGACTCGGACGAAGACTTTGTATACGAGTCCAACCCCATGGAGAAGCCCACGGTGAACCCTCGTGCTCTTGGCGTGGCCCTAGGACCAACTGCCCGTATGGCTCGGCCCTCAGTGTCGTCTTTATCTTCCATCGTTCACGACGAAGAAGACAACCCGGCAGTATCTGTCCCCGATCTCAACTACGACTCGTCCTGCTCCACTACCAGTGACCACCCCGAGTTTGTCAACATGACCAACAACCCACGGTTCCAGTCCAGACATCCTTCTCTTTCTTCTGTGGGTAAACCCATGGGTTCGTCTGAACGAAGAGGTATGTCTCAAGACTACTCTGATATTGAAAAGGACGGAATTCCTCTCTTTCCGCATGATAATGGGCTCGATAGCAAGGGACAGGCGAACAGAACATTCTCTGGACCCCCTCGAATGCCTCCTCGCCTCAACAATGCCCACTCGGGCTCTCATCTTGGCAACGACGCCCGTAAACGCGCACCAGTCAGCAATTATGGAAGTCTACGAAACGCTGCGTCTCTCGCACGTCTTGGAGGGGGCTCTCTGCGACGTCTGGGTTCGTATACAAAGGAAGATCCTCCTTTAGAACCCACCAAGACCCGCGGTACTGGAGGCTCACGACGTGGTCCTCTCGGTGGCAGCTCCAGTGCTGGTTTTACCAACGATGAGGAGTACTACGACTTTGATGTGGATGCTGATCTCGACGACGAAGAGTTTGATGATGCATCAGAAAGCACTCCTCTTCGAAGGGGAGACAGCAGTCGGAGAGTGCGTAAGAACGGGCAATTTTCTCCCCACAACTTCCATAAGAGCTCCCATCATGCTCGGTGGCGAGGTATTCGACGAGCTATTTGGATCATGTCTTCTCTAGTGGCTGTTCTGCTCACTGGCTTTGTGTTTGGCTTTGTGCTTGCTACAAACCGCCCCCTGCAGAACGTCAGTGTCGTGGATATCACGGAGCTGCTCATTTCCGAGCAGGAGCTGGTGTTTGACATTGTTGTCAAGGCCTTCAACCCCGGTATTTTGTCGGTGGTGGTGCCGTTCCTAGATATTGATGTGTTCGCCAAGCCCATAGTGTCCAAGGACGACAAAGACGAAAAGGACAAGAACATTCTGTTGCTGGGCAACATTGACGAGTTTGATGTGCCTCTGCGATTCGAGGGCGGCTTTTTCACCCGGCACGCCCAATCGGCCATGGGTGAGGTCCGTCTGAATGACCCCGGTGTGCCCCGTAATGCGACTCTGGATTCAGGAGTACCCTTGATGCTGCGGGTACCTGACAAAGACAAGGGCGACAAGGACAAGGAGCCATTGACTCCGGAAGAGCGGTGGAAGAAGATTTGCTCCGAGCCGTTTGAGCTCATTGTTCGCGGCGTACTCAAGTATGATCTGCCGCTGTTCCACAAGGGTCAGTCCACCACGGTTTCGAAGAGTGTCAAGGTGACGCCACATAAAAACTAGCTATTTAATATTTATTGAGTGTATTTCATCTGTGTGTTATTGTTCCCTGTGGCTACAGTAGAATGTATATCTAAGATACTTGTACAGCTTTTCTTTGTGGTTATACTGTACTGTATGTGTTGTTTTCCGTGTTTAACATCTGATTTTCTGGACACTGTATGATTGTATGTGTGATACGAGAGATACGATACAACGGAAGAATTATCGTAAGTCGTTTTTGCAGTGTCTAATCATGACCAATACAAGGCATATTTAATATGACCTGATTAACTACAATACAGTGCACACTTCAGGGGACTGCTGTGACCTCTACGTACAATCCACGATGTCGATCTTAATATGTATTTCTATGCTTATTCGGCAAGAGCCTTGGCGAGCTCGTGTCGGCCAGCCTTGGTGTAGAGCCACTCGTTCTTCTCAGAGGCCTGGGTCCAGACGTAGTAGAAGAAAGAGACGGGCAGGATGACAAAGAGAGCCTGGTTCTTAGTTCGTCGGAAGGTGTTGAAGATGGCAGCGTGCACGACACCGGCGAAGGGTCGAGCAGCAAAGGGGGAGATGGTGTATCCAGCGATACCTGAGTTAGTATGATTGGGGAAGGAGTGACGATTGACTGGTGTGTGGTGATGGTTTGTCTATCTTGCGCGTGACTTTTTACTAGACCCTCAATTCGACCACAAAGGGACCAAGTTGGCCCTGGGTCGGTTGTAGTAGTGGACTGGTTGTACCAATATCATTGATCACCTCTAACACACTCTTGATGTGGTATGTTGTCCACGTAGGTCACCGCCTGATCATCACGCACCATTGTTGTCCTGAAGCCCTCATCGCGTGTCGAATAGCGTCCAATAAATAACGCAAGGCCTCATCCTGTCTTCTTGTACTCACCCTTCTGAGGGGGGGAGCCCATGTGTCCCCACCATCCCATGTAGTGTCCGTTGCCTCCCATTTTGATAGATGTGTTTAGTTAGTGAAGGTGAGATGATTTTCGTGAGCTTTGGCTTTGAAAGATACCCGTGTGATTCCATTGGCTGTTGGGAGGAACGGTAGGGTAACCCTGGGGAGCATCACTGTGGTGTGCTGGGAGCAAAGCTTATTGTGGGCGAATGGAACACTTCCAATATGCATGGTTCAGTGTCAGCAGCAAGCTGAATGATGAGACAATATGGGGACAATATGGAGACAGTAAAACGAGATGATAACTGACGATAACATGATGAACCCGAAAAGCATACATTCTGGATTTATGATTGGATGCTGCTTATTGATATATTTGTACAAATCTTGTAGGCGATACTCCTCAACATACATCTCTACAAGGACATGTTCATACTCTTGATGTCATTGTTATACATCTATCGTTTGATTTCTCTATGGCTCTATTAATCCGTGGGAGCCGTTTCTCCACCGCACCAGGCATGATTAAGTGATTGTAGCTATGGAGTGTACATGCTTGTAGTTGGTACAGTCTAGTTTAAACGCCGTAGACGTCACGCAGTCGCTTCTGGATGATGGGAGGCAGCTGCTCGGTCACGTCCTTGTCAAAATTGGGGTGCATGCCCTTGAGGCCACCCAGCACCTGTCGAAAGGTGTGCATCAGCGCTTCGCTAGGCTCCAGGTATCGGGCCACGGCATTCACAAACATGAGCAGGGTGGAGTTGTCGAGGGCTTGGGGGTTGGACGAGATGATGGTGCACATGCCCACAAACGCGCTTTCCTTCTCGCTGTTGTCCATGGCGTCATGCATGTTGAGACACCAGGCAATGATGAAGTCTGGGATTCGCTGCGCGAAAATGTCGGGCATGGTAATGCCGATTCGGCCAATGGCGGTCGAAGCGTTTTCCAGAACTCGTGGCGATGCATCTCGGGTTCGCAGAAGCGCAATGAGCCGCTCGGCAGCAGATGCCTGCAGAAGAGGTCGCAGCTTGTCGCCGAATCGAAGAGCAATCTCTCCCAGTGACCAGCAAGTGTTGCTGACGGCATCAGGCCAAATGTGGTTGTACTCGACCTGGTTGAGCAGCTCCTCCATCAACTGATCCATGTAGGGCTCCAATGGCTGGGGGCACAGGGCGGCCATGTCTCCAATGAGCGCAAATGTCGATTGCCGCACGTCAAACTCGTCATGGCAGCACACAAGAAGCAGCTCCATGAATGGGGGCTCGCTGTTCATCATCAAGGGAGCTGCCTTGTCCTTGAGACCGAGCACCAGACCGTCGACAAGATCAATGGCAGTCACCATAAAGTCTCGCTCGGCAGGATCCTGGGACGGGTCGTTGGAAAAGTTCTGATCCTGAACCAAGCACGAGTGCAGCAGACGAGCGCATCGGTCAAACACAGGGGGAGCATAGGGCTCAAATGCAGGGCCCATGTACGAGGCCACGGCAGACATGCACTCAAACAGTGGCCACAGGGCGTTGTCGTCGTCGCTAATCTGCTCCCACTTGGCAATCAGAGGCTGCATCAGAGTCTCCATGTATTGTTGGTTTTCGGCAATTTCGGCGCCGCAATACTTGACCAGAGTCGAAACTGCGTCGTACAGGAACAGCAGCGACTTCTTCTGGTAGCGTCGGAAACAGAGCGCAAACTGCTCGAGAATCTGGCCGAGGTATGGAGTCAGCATGTTTCGGGCCTCGTCAGTGAAGGTGGCCACGGCAGAACAGCCGGCAACCTGCACCTTTTTGTTTCGGTCCAGGGCACATGTAAAGAGACCTGTAAGCGTGGGGATGAAGTAAGTGTCCTGCTCGGACATGCTCTGTTCGCAGACCCAGGTTGAGAACCGGCCCAGGGTCCAGCAACAAACCTGTCGAACGGGGAATTGAGGGTCAGACAATCGCTGAATCAGGAAGGGCACCAGCTCGGGCAGATGAGGAGCGACCATATCCTGGCATCCATCAGCAATGGCTCCAAAGGCCAGAATGGCAGCTTCTCTGGCAGGCCACTCGTCAGAGACAATGGTCTGCTTGAGGTAGGGCATTGCAGCTTCAAGAACCTCCTCGGGAAGAATGTTAGAAAGTCGGTCAAGAGTGGAGGCGGCACATTTTCGCAAATTCCAGGCCTCCAGGCCTCGCACCTCGTCGTCCTCCTCATCGTCAGATTCGTCTTCATCGGGCTCCTGTCCCTCAGCCTCGTTTTTCTTGTTGCCGTGGGCGGCCTTTTGTCGGAAGTTGATGGGCTTGAGATCCTCCTCTCGGTCGGCCACGTCGGCATCGTCCTCGTTGATGCCCTCCAGCATGAACACGTCTGTCTCGGAGTAGACCATGGCTCGAAGAACAGCAGGAACAAGGTCCCCAAGATGCGGCGACAGCGCCTCCGGGTTGGGGTCCAGCTCAGTCAGCAGCAACAGGAACTCGCAAGCCTGGAAGTCCAGAGTGTCGCCCTCCTCGGAGGCAGAGATGCAATGGAGGGCGTACTGAATGACTCCTCCAAGATGGGGTGCAATTTTCTCGGCGTTGGTTCGCAGGATTCCGGTGAAGGCATTGCAGATCTGGATTCGGGTCTCCACATCGGGCGTGTTGGCCAGACTAAACAAGATCTCCAGATACTCGTCCATTCGGCTAGCAATGGATCGGCTCTCAACCTCGACAATGTGGTTGAGACAGGTGAGCGCCTGCACTCGCTTCTGGTGCGACGAGTCGGGCGACCGGACAAACTCGAGAAACTTGGGCACCATGTACTCCAGTGGCCGCTGGCTGCCGTATGTCTGGTCCAGCTCCACGGGCATGTCTTCGCAGATCTTGGACAGGGCGTCCATTCCTCCGAGCTGGGCGTTCGCGTCCGAGCTCTCGGCCAGGCCCATGAGTGTAGTCAGCCCGTCGGGCCACCCGCTGATTCCCTCCCGCTGCATCAGCGACGCCACAATGGTTCCTGCCGTGTTTCGGATGATGTTGGCGGGCTCCACCAGGGCTGTGAAGACGTGGGCCTTGACGTACGTCTTGCCGGCATCGTTGAGATCCTTGAAGTCGAATCTAATCAGGTTTTTAAGCAACAGTCCGGCCGAGGACCGCACGTCGAGCGGGCCAGCCTTGTCGTCAATCAACACCGCCATGAGGTAGTTTGCAAAGTCAGGCTGGGCCTGGGCCTCTCTAAGCTGCTGGGTGGCCTGGCGCTGGGCGGCGTTATTGCCCCGCAGCGAGTTCTGCAGCACCTCCAGGAGCTGCGCGTGGACTTGGGGTTGCGGTTCCCAGGACATTTTTTCTCACAGTGTCGGTGTTAAATGCTGTTTGGGGTGTGGTGCACTGATCGTTGCAACTGTAGTGAAGAAGACAGATGGCAGCAATAAGGTTGAAAAGTTTCCCTGCACGTGCCATCAGGTTGGGACTTGTGTGGGAGGAGTGTTAAGGGGGTCGGGATGGGAACGGGTGGTCAATAAGAGGTGATACCAACAACTGGTGGTAAGGGGAGTGAAGGAGACTGTTTTATGTCATGTGTTTCTATTGATTCAGCCCTTAAAATCTTTAGTTTGTCTCATATTTTGCCACTTTTGTGGAACCTCTATTCCTGGGTGGTGGTGTATATCTTTCAATAATGCATACTCTTACTTGACTATTTACTTGGTGATTTGTTGAGCATTCCCTGTGTCCAGCGCATTTGATATTTACCCGTCTCCTTCACGTGCAAAGCCCTCTGGCCATCATACGAGTGCTATACACATGCGCGGCCCAAGGAGGGGAAATTGACAACAAGCTAGTCACAAAGACAAGCTGATGCGCAGTGACTTGGCCCCATGCCACAAGGACCTGTTATCACGACTTGATTGTTTCCTGTACTCGTACAAGGTACAGGCACTTTCACTTTCAAAAGAACCCTTTGATCGACACGGTGCATACATGCTGTGTGTGTGTGTGTGTGTGTGTGTGAGTGTCTTGTTGCTGGGGCGACTCCGAGTGGAGACCTCTATCATGTTGATGATTACGCCATCTGACACCTACGATTGTCCTGGTATGAAGATCTACGTTTCGCTTGTTTCATATCCACATGTCATTCAACGGTCAGCTACTGTACTTGTATTACTGTAATACGTACGACTTGTGCTTGTTCGAGTCGTTGACTTGTCTCACATGAGAGTCAAGTTACCCCCGGTTCTGTATTCAGCGTCGTCAGGAGAGGACAATTACGAGACGAGAGCTCGTTCAAGTACCGTATTAAGTGCTTGTAGACGGCTCAATGAGTAATCAATAAATTCACGTCACTGGTCTGTTTTCCAACCATGCCGGCACAATTTCACAGCACCCATACAAGTACTTCCATTATACGAGTACGATAGTTCTCACTCGCCATGGTCTTGGCAAGAACGCGGCAATACAATAACCACCTATGAACAAGTAGCTACAATACAGTAAAATGAAACAAGGCTGGTCTCAGAAACGACGGCGGTGCCCAATTAGACAACCCCACTCGTCTTCTTCTGTCTAACAAGCCCTTTTATTGTCTCAAGTTGCCTTTTCCAAGCCTACCTCGGTTCTCGGGACGGGTCGTACTTTCGCGTCTATGAGTTTATTTGAACAAACGAGATAAAGAGGTGCAACGTGATGACGGTGACATTATCACGTTGATTGAACCCATTAGGAAAGGAAGAGCTTGTTGAATTTGTCTAATGATCGGTCACTATGACTCAAATTGACCACCCAGGCCACAGACTCTCCAAACACTCTGGTCACGCTTTTACTTGTACTTGTACTTGTACATCCTATATCGGACCCTGATATCAAGATGAGCCAAATCAGTTGCAACCAGCGAGCCAAATCAATCACAAAAAATGGCGTTGTAAACAACTGTCACGCAAACGAAATCGCTGTAGATAAGAGCGGGGTAACAGCTGCAACACGAACGACTGTACATATGCCTTTGTGTTATCCCCAAGCCGTCTACTTGTACAAGCCCTGGATATAGTGATCACTGAATCAACCCCAACAACTCAACAAGGTTCTCATGAATGATACAAGGCAAAGATACAGTATATCGGAAAGCCTACTTGCAGCTACTGCATCGTAGAATACCGAATGAGACATCTCTGCCATAGGTGCGAGCTTCTATTGCGTCTAGGTTTGTCTTGCGGTGGTTTTGACTGTGTATTTATACTCTCAGCCATACAGCAGTTGACCCAGCACTGTAGCATCCACTACTTTGATCCTAACTAAAGTCAACAAAATGCTTAGACATGGTTTCACAAAGATAGCCCATACTACTTGTAGATGCAGGAAGAGGGCACTACTGCACTGATTTTCTGACCGCTTACATTCAAACTACAAGTACTGTAGACAGCACGATAATGTGTGTGTACCAACAAGTTCAAACTCGCATCAGCTCTTCTCTACAAGTACCATTGGTACACTGGTTAGTGGCAAAAATGCATAGCAACAGATCCTCCTCCTACACTCACGCAAAAAAACACTAATGGTGTATGTATATTATAAGTACTGTAGCCAATGTCATGATGTAATGTGTATGTGTATGTGTATGTGTGTGTTTTGTTTTAGTTACCCGCTGCTTACGACAAATGGCGAAGCAGCATGTCAACCTTGTCGTTGAGAGTATCCAGCCGGTCGTTGGTGCCCTTGTACACGTTGGCAATATCAGGATGCAGCGTGGTGGAATATCGCTTGGACTTGTTAATGGGGATTCGTCTGATGGTGCTGGTAGAGGCATCGCTGGCCGCTCGACCATGTCCAGAGTCGTTCAACGCCTTGGGCTCACCAAAGCCAGGCGCCTCAGCCATCTCGGACACAGGGGACTCATCCACAGTCTCCTCACTTCGCTGCTCGTAGCCGTCCAAGAGAGAAGATGTGGAGAACGACGACGCCAGAGAAGCAGAAGAGAAGCCATTGTGAGCCGTGGCAAACGACTGTACCGACTGCGTGGATACGTTTCCAGGCTGGATTCGATGATGAGCCAGGGGTGCCACAGGTGTAGGAGCACTAGGGGCATCAAGATTGGCCACAGGGGCACGAGTCAATGTACTGTTGCCAATCTCGCTCTCATTGGAATCATCACGGTCTCCAGCGCCAACATGAGGAGTGGTGTTTCCATTGTTATCGTCAGCATCATCAATATTCTCGAGCTGGGGAGTGCGGGCATCACTAGCATCAGGAGTAGACCGTCCCGCAAACTCGGAGGCCTCAAAACCAGCCAACTGCGGTGTCAGACTCATGTGTTTGGCCACAGCCACAGTGGGGGTCTCCAGCTCATCGTCAAACGAAGACACTATCGACACCACTGAGGGAGTCTGTTCCTTGGAAGGGATTCCATGGGGATGCAAGTGGTTGTCGTAGTTGCCGTCATGCGAGCTGGAGAGGTCGGAGCCGATCGACTCAATCTCCACATCGTCGCCCAGACCCTGGTTGTGGTGGCTGCTCGTGTCAATAGCCGAGGGCCATGGAGGCGCAGCTGTGTTTGTACGAGGATCATGGACTCCAAAGGGATCAGATTCCATAGGAGAGGTCACCGTGTCAGACATGCCACTGATGGGAGAAGTAACGTCAGACATACCGCCAACCGGAGACGTAACTGCATCCGAGTCAACAGCCCGAATCGACTCAGCTTCAACTACCTCACCATGCTCATTGTAGAAAGATGCTTGAGACGGGGTAGGGATCTGAGAAGTGGGAGTGACTCGTCCGCTGTTGACAGTCTTGATGGGCGACACTGGAGGAAGTCCCTGGCTAGATCCCAGAGTGGAGGATGAACCGTACTCGCGGTTGAAGGTCTTGAGGGGAGACAGATCGGCAAAAGGACCCGTGGGAGTCTGAGATTGCACCTGGGGACGAACAATATGCAAAGGACGCTCCTCCGGAGTCATTCGGCCAACTTGGCGTTCGGGAGAAAGAGCCCTGGGGAGGTCTGGATGTGCCAGCGGATGGTGGTGGTGATGATGAGACTCACCTTGAGGCTGTTGCATTTGCTGTCTGCTATCTCGTCTTTCCGGGAAAGGACTGCTGCTGGACTGTCGCTCAGGGAAGGGGTTGTTAGATTGCCGTTCGCTACCAGGCTGCCTATGACCATTATGCGCATCGTCAATGTTCTGAGGCAAGTCTCGAGAGTACATATCAGATCGCATATCAGACCGCATATCAGAACGCAGATGAGGAGCTGCTCCGTTGCCATTAATTCCATTGGGCTGGAAACTACCCATCGAAGTGTGCCCTCTACCTTGACCAGGAAACTGGCCAGGGGGATGCGAAGGCATAGGACCTAGACTGGCGTGCCCAGGAGCCTGGCCGGGGAAGTGTCCGTTACCATTACTGTTAGGACCATTGCCGTTGCCTCTGACAACTTGCTCATGCATGCCAGGGGCATACGAAGGCATGGGGCCTAAGCTCGAGTGGCCAGGAGCCTGCCCAGGAAGATGTTTTTGGAGATGATGAGGGTGCTGTCCCTGAGTGTGATGTAGTTGATGAGGCTGGCTATTCTGATGCGTTGGGTACTGAGGAGTAGCTGGAGAACTGCCGACAGAATGGCTGTGATGCAACTGAGGGCCCATGGGGGCTTGAACGACAGGCTGGGACATGGGCCGGTTGGGCCTCGGAGCCAAGGGAGCCACAGAGGAGGCAGGACCCGCGTGTCGGGCCTGCATGGGAGACTGTTGCTGCGAAGAGTGTTGAGACAGAAGAGATCCCTGGGATCGAACCGACGAAACGGACGAATACGAGCCTTTTCTATGCGACCCCGGTTTCACAGGGTATACTCCTGAAACCACTCCTCCTGCACTGTTAGGTGTACTTGCACTATCTCCTTCCTCGTCGATACTGGCTAGATCGCTCTGGTCAGCCGCTTGATGCACCGAAGATGATGCAGAGTGGACTGAGGATGCCGGTGAGCGCACAGGCTCCAGCTCCTTGGATCCCTTCTTCATTGTCTCCTTTGATTTTCGCTTGAAAAGTCCTACCAATCGGCCTGTAGCTGAACCTCCAGAACTGGCCCGCTGCAAATTGTCCACCGAAGACTTTGCACGTAACAACGAGAAACGCTTTTTGCCTGACGCTTGACTCACGGCTGAACTGTCCGAGTTCTGAGAAGATACAGACAGTCGATGATCCGAAGGAGGAGGCAGAATGGAAGATGCAACCGAGCCCTGAGATGCGGCCCTGGACCGTTCAACTGAACGATCTATAGAACGATCTGCCGAACGATCCGCCGAACGATCTGCCGCTACTACCGCTGCTGCTGCTGCTGCTGCTGCTGCTGCCGCTGATGCATTGGCAGGCCGTTGACTGGTGATGATGACGCTCTCTTCACTGATTCCACTCTCCTCGCCGACCTCCTTGGTCAGGTTTGAGTTGGATTCCTGCTCCTCCTCCTCACTCGATGCATTGGCATCCCAGGACGAATGCACCTGGGAGTTGGGGTGGTTGGGGTTGTTGGCCACGATGACGTTGGGTGTTCCTCCAGGTCTCAAGCTGGTGTCAACGGTGAGATTGGCAGGAGCCTTGCGCACCTTGTTAACCACCAGAGGAGTGGGCGCCTTGTCTAGATCGGGCGACAGAACCGGCTGTGGCGCATTGTGTGGAGAGTGAGCATTGGCGACCAGGGGGTTGATGTGTCCTGGTTTGTTGCGAGCATCAGTTTGTTTCTGCTGCAAATGCCGAACCACACGTTCTGTATCTTGGTCGTCTTCCTCCTCGACTTCCTCCTCTTCTTCCTCCTCGTTCTCTTCGTAGTCGTGTTCTTCGTCGTGTGTATCATCGTCCTCCTCTCCTTCATAACCGTCGCTGTACTCGTATTCGGAAGCCGACACATAGGTGGGGTTGCCGTTAAAGGCGACACTCTTGGCCTTTTCCTTCTTCTTGAAGATCTTATTGAACGGGTTGGAGCCCTTGCCCTCTTTTTCTGCGCCAAAAAAGGACGAAAAGCCATGTGAATCGTTGGCTGGAGACGCCAGCTCGCCGTTTCTGTGCTTGTTGAGACGTGCAAGCCGTTCCCAGGGTGTTTCCACATGCTCGGCCGGCAAGAAACCCACAGATGAGTCCTTGACTAGCCGCACGAGCCACCAGTACGAGTTGGAGTCGTTCAGCAGCACCATGGCGTCGCCCTTGACAGCGTTGGCCTGGCCCTTTTCCGTGGCCACAAACGTCTTAAAGGCGTAGACGTAGTCAAAGTCGATTTCGTCCTCGTGAATGGAGGGCGATGAGCTCTGGTGCTCGAAGGGATCATCATCCAAGTCCTCGTCCTCGTCCTCTTCTGCGCCCACGAGATGGTTGTTATGTGAGCTGCCGTGGGTGCCGTCTTCTTTGTCGTCGCGCGAGTAAATCTCCATTTCTCTGGAGGTGTCGATTTTCAGCGGAGCCACCATTGCTGGTGTATCTGAGTTAGCCAGTGGAAAGTGTCGTGGTGAGCTGTATTTACTCGTAGATGCCAGAGTAGCAAAACTAGTGCTACTGTGGTGTTGAAACAAGACCCTGAGAATAGCCGGACACGTCGTCTATCACGTGACGCACCATCTTCTCGCACCTCTCTCGCTCCTCCTCCAAATCACTCACCCTTGCGTTTCCCTAACATGAAGCTGCGTGTAGTTCAGGTAGAGGCTCCTCTTTGCGATGTTGACGTGTTGGGCCAAAAAGGACTGCATCCAGACTACAGGACGCATCTCCTGAACCCCACAACACCACACAAAGGTGGAAGACTCGGGCACATAATAAACGGTTGGAAGCGGATGGCAGGGCGTGCATAAATGTGGGCTTTTGATCACCGTGGCCACGCCCTTCTCCTTACTACTGGCGCTACCTATTGTACCAATTAGCTACTGGTATTCTCTATCACACTGCTTTTCAGCATTCTCGCTTACACACCTTTTCCCAATGTGCTTAACCAACTTAGAGTGCACGGATACACACGGCAAGCACCAACAGGCCTACGCGCCAAGATTGAATTGTGTACCATTGGTGTTCAGGGGTACCACGAGGCCAGCTGCACCGGTGCACCTGACAGATACGTGAGGTACGTACGTAGACAGGAACAAGAGGGTGCTTGCCCAGCCATGGACGGGTTGAAACATGTTGATGCTATATTAGAGCACCAATGGTACATTCTCTACTTACTGTAACACCCGCTCAGACCTGAAACGGGCCACGGGAAATTACACTATAAAAAACGTCAAACGCAAGGCAAAAATTAAAATAGTGGCATCCCACCCAATCCAGCCCAAGCTCGCCTCTTACCCCTATTCTCGTGCCACATGGTTAATCATAATACAAGCACATCCTGTACCTTAGCCAAGATGATTACAAGCAGGAGGTGAAAGAGATGCCAATGTTGGAGTGATAAGGAGCTCGATTAGATGCACAATACAGATCCGCAACCTCTCCTACCACCAGATCTCGTGTTCTCTGTACGGTACATATGGTACTGCAAGCTCTTCTGTCTATCTCACCCCTGTTTACCTCCAGACAAGGACTTATCATAGCGTCTTGTCAATGCCTTGCTCTGGACATATAAATAGCACACTTCAATCCGTCAACTGCTCAAATTTCAATCCCAAACCCACACAAGTCTTACAAACATAAGCTGCCTCGTCCATGTGCAATGACATGTGCTCTAACGTGCCGGAGATGGAAGATCGGCCCTGAGCTACTGTGGGCCAACTTTTTTGAGCTCCTGCAGCGACAACTTTCAAGTACTGTAGGCAACTATGCACTGACAGTATTGCTTCCGAGAGCAAGGACGATTACTAGATGTACAGCCATCGTATCAAGATAGACCCTGAAGCCAAGCCCTAATCAAGTTCAAACCAACCAAACCAAGTCAAACCCAACAGATCGCCGCTTCTATAAATATCCACGGGCGAACACGGCAAGCTCCATGCTGCTCCAAGTATAGTATAGTCCGATATGTACGCGTGCCAGTCTTGATTCTACAATACCGGTACGCCAAAAACGGGCTAATGGTCCGAATCCAGGACTCAAACGGAACACAATTACGACCGACGGAGCATTAAAAATAACCGGTCATTTATCCGGTGACCAGCAATGCAAATGTAACATGCACACTGTGCATCAGATTCGACAGAGCCAAATTTACTGTACAAGTAGCGCAGATGAGATTTGCTACAAATAGCTAACCTACAAGTACAGCCACATATAGATCAAGGAGTGTACCAATATGCTACAGTAGCAACCATGCGCCCTTTCATGGGACACACATCAACCAACCTCGTAAAGTACAATAAATCATTAGTATATGCATTCCTCTCTCAGGTAGTCTTGACAACCACCTTGCTATCGCCCTGGTTCCAACCACCAGCATTTTTGCACTGGGTAATGTCCAGCGTCTTGAGCTTCAGACACCCCGCAAGAATTGTATCCACTCCAACCGCAGTCACTCGAACACAACCTCGCACACTCAGATGCTCCAGGTCCAAAAGATGCATGGCCACCGCCCGAAGATTAGCATCGGACACGGCCGAGCCACAGAAGGACAGATTCAGACTCTTGAGTGACGGACATCCCAGAGAAAGAACCTCCACAGATACGTCTGACAGCGCACAGCAGAATGATAGGTCCAAGAACTCGAGATTCTTCGCAGCGCCAACAATAGAAATGATGGCCTTGTCGGACAGAAATGTGCAGTCCGCCAAAACCAGCTCCCTGAGTCGTGTAAAGGGCCTGATGTTCCAGTATCCGAACCCATGGTCGGTGATTGTAGTACATCGGGTGAGATTGAGCATCTCCAGCCGATCAGCTGCATACACAGCCATATGGTGCATGCTTCGGTCGGTGATGTGTTTGCAGTAGCTAATGGTGATGCGTTTCAGCTTGGGACATCCGACCACCGAAGACGAAGGTGACGTCTCTCTATCTCCGCTGTTTTCTCCGCCCTCTTCTTGAACCCATCCCACTAGTCGTGCTAGAGTCGAATCTCCCACTTTACGGCAGTTGGAAAGATCCACTTCTTCTAGATCAGCTCCAATTGAAGGCACAGTGAGATCCATGATGGCCATGCCTGACACCTCCCAAACTGAAGTCATTTTGAAGACCCGGATCTTTGCCAGTCCGATGCCGTTGACCAGGTAGGAGAAACCGTCATCAGTCAGGTGGAAACAGGAGCTAATGTCTACCAGCTTTGGTCGAGCGCCCACAAAGTTGACGATTGAAACGATGGATGTATCATCAATGGATCTATTGTAGGGCTTAAGATCCAGCTCAGGGAGAGGACACGTGAGAAGCAACTGCCGCCAGTGCTGACATACTCTCTGTAGCACCATCAGGTCAGGAAGATCAAGATATGCAAATATTTTAACCTGGATGGCATCGGAGAAGGGGCCGACGTTAAACAGCGACGACTTTCGTCGCTGAAATGTCTTTTGCTTCTTGAGCCGAGGATGCAAGAGGAACGACGAGTATCGCTGGGGGGAAATCGTCTTAACACTAGCTCCAGTAGACGAAGATCTAGCCAGAGGAGCTGCACCAGGTGAAGAGGGAGAAGAATCTCGAGGAGACATTTCCCGTTTATCTTTTCCAAGTGGTTCGTCATCTCGATTGTCAAAGGCAGGCCGTTTGGAAGGAGAGGTAGCACCACTGCTTCCTGCGGAAAGACATTTCCGAGGCTGAGCCATCTGATAATTGCCCAGAGACAAGGGTGCCTCTTCAGACACGCCCGAGTTAGATTCCCACGAGTTGGAAAAGACGACTCGACCATCACGGGAAATGACAGGCTCGAAAACCGTGCCTGTGCTGTATCGTCTAGTATGAGAATGGTTACTTGTCATAGGCGACACTGTCGTGTTTTCTGCTCCTGGAAGAGAAATATGGTAATCCTTGGGCTCACTAAAGAAGGTAGCTCCTCCTCGACTGACGGTGAACAAGCTGTAGTTCTTCTTACCGCCAAAATCAGCCACTGAGCGGCGTCTAGTCATATCGACAGGTAAAGCTGGTCCAGCTCCAGCTGATTGTGTATCTGTTGTAGTATTGTTAATAATGTCATGTGTTTTTGGGTCCCGGTGATATTGCTCTATTCGAGCCGAGGCTGTTTGCTCGATATGTTGTTGAATATCGGGGTACTGAGAACACAGCGACTCCAGCGTGTCTGTAGTCAGAACCAGACACTCCACCATGCTGATTGATCGAATGGACGCGGTTCGTACGGGATTAGAGCTCAGGAACGCCATTTCTCCAAAGTACGACCCCTTGGTCAACCGGGCAATGATGTGTGCCGCCGTGCCAATTTCCCGCTCGTCAATGACCTCCACGATGCCGCTGGTCAGAAAGTAAATCTCCTGGCCAATTGTGTCCTGCTTAATGATGTACTGGAACGGCTCATAAGTGCGAGGCTCTACTGCCAGCGCCAGCTTATGCACTATTGTTTCTGGAATGTGTCGGAACAACGGCATTTCGTGTAGGAGGTTTCGGATTGACGTAGTGGGCGACACCATTCCAGTCAAAAGGGACTTACGCTGGTTGATTTTCGTTTTTTCGATGATGGCCAGACGCTCCTGGGCCTCGTCTCTGATAGCTCGTTCCATTGCTGGAAATTTTGGCAGGATGTCATTGAGACTGTCGCCTTTGAGAACCGCCAACACGCACTTTGTCGATGCTAAAACCGTTGCCGTTCGCGGTCGATCAAACAGAATTCCAATCTCGCCGAAAAACGAGCCAGCCTCCAGCTCGGCATAAACACTCTCTCCATCTCTGCTCGTCACATTGACCTGGCCCTTGAGGATCCAGTACATGGCCTTGGCCTCGTCGCCCTGTGTGACAATGTACTCCTGTGGCGACACCTGCTGGATGCGCAGCTTGGCCGACACGGCAATAACAAAGGCGTTGGGGGCCATTTTGAACAGCGGGAACGTGCGGATCAGCGAGTACAGGTCACCTGGAGCACCCTGCGGGCCAGCAGAAGCCTCGGCCTCGGCCTTGGTCTCCTGGTACAGAGAGTCGCTCATTCGTGGAGGCATTGCGGCGGCTGGCGACGCTGGCGATCCGGAATCGGCGTTGTGTGTATCCTTGACCTCGGGCTGGTCCCACATCTCCACATCTTCACCCTCGCCGTCGTCGTCGTCCGAGTACACCTCCTGCAGCTGTGACGGCGTGCGGGCCACGTGGCCGGCTTCTGTGCGTTTTCCAAAGAACTTTTTGCGTCGATACGCCATGGTCGAATGGTCAAGGGGTTAGTTTAGGCGATATCAACAAGGTGTGTGCGTGTGTGCATGGAGTGCGGCAGGGTAGTACCTGCAGGCGCTAGCGCAAGCTAAGCTTGGATTTTTTCCTAGTTTGGGACTGTGGGGACATAGGATGGGAGGTGCTACTGTGATAAGGAAACGGATACTATAAGTGAACAATCAGGAAATAATGAATTATATCACAGAGCAGCTTGTAAACACCACTTCCTTGCCTCTCGTGACATGTGACCCGATGTTTAAATGACAGGTACCTACAGAAATCAAGCCACCTCCCAAAGTTACAGTATGTACGTATTGGAACTGTAGGCACTGGGTCTTTTATACACAGGGCACTCTCCCTTCTACAGTATGTACTTGTCGACAGTGAACATAAAAAACCGACCACTATCTTTCAAAGTGACTCAAAAAAAAGCAACTTTCCACAGCCTTCCATGAGGTCTCAGCACCAGGGCCATTTCTGTTCTTGTCGCATGCGACACACAAGCTTTGGGGTGGATACAGTTGCTGCACCACCTCCCACAATTTTTTTTAAGGCCCCAACGGTCCCCATTCTTTCTCGTTTAGAGCCTGACGGGGGGGGATCGGCGCTCTGACAGATGGAGTCCATAGTATGAACAAGCACTCGTAGAAACAGAGATAATACTCCGCTCTTGGGGATCATCACGTGACTACACACAATCGGGTCTAGTTGGAAAGAGTTAGACACTCGGCATTTAGCGTCTGACTTGTCTTTTCTTATAAGCCTTTCTTGGAGTTGCCGACTACCGAAATCGCAAGCTGAATCTAGACAGAAACAAGACTCAAAATCACCAGTAAAAAACACTCCACACGCAATTTCACTCCAGGTATAACGACAGTATCAACTTGTAGCTATATGTTGGCACTTAGCTACCAGACATTTACAAAACCATTCATAAATGTGAATACGTGGACACCGCGCACATGATTAAAATAGCGCAATAATGCACTGCGGTGCACAAAACGGTCGCTCGCTTCTCGTGCCAAGCATCTACGGGAATGCTGTGACATGAGGAGACATGTGGATGACACAGAAAAGTCTCCGCCACAATAGTGGTTTCCAAATCATGACAATTTGCTATATAAACACTCATAAAGCGCCGGCGTGCGCTACCCATTACTGAAATACCGTGGACGTAAACACTCGTATCCAGATTAGGTTCAAGGGTTATCGGCTTTATGCATACACCACGCAGGTGTAGAGGAAGAGGCGTGTCAGACAGTCTCTAACTGGGGAAAGCTCCGTCTTCAGGGTCTCCAAGATGAGGACCTAGGGGTCGATGCAGAGGCTGGGGCTCGGCAGGCTCCTCTCGTGGAGCGTTTACCGCAGTATCTCGAGGTGCCTCGTCCACATCAGGCAAATTGGCAATCTCGGGGTTGACAGCCTGGCGATTGGAAAGCAGGTAGACCACAAGAATGAAGGAACCAAGGAGAGCCAGATCAAGAACGCCGATTCGGTTGAACCGAATGACCATGTTGCGGAACCGCGCAAAGTTGGACTTGGCATTGTTGCTGGGGCCTCCAATGATGCTCACCTGCGTGTCAGTCTTCTTCTTATAGCCCAGGAAGCCGCCGATGGCACTAGCAATGATCTTGAATCGCAGCTTTGCCAGAGATAGATAGACGGCCAGATAGGCGTCAGGATTAGCCACCAGGGCCGAGTCGTAGTGCCGCTTGGCCAGATGATAATCCTGAGACACACCAATTCCGTGCTCATGCATCCATCCCAGGTTCCAACGAGCCAAACCGAGGTTGCCCCGCTCAGCAGCACCGGTGTAGCACTCATGAGCCTTCTCAGCATCAGGCTTGGTTCCAATACCATAAAGGTAGTAGTCACCCATTCGTAGAGTCGACTCAAAATTGGACTGGATGGAAGACCGAGTCCAGTAGGCCAAAGCGCTGAGCTTGTCACTCTCGGAAATAACTCCGTTGTCGTCATAGTTGAGACACTCGTCGACCACGTAGGCAGCGTTGAACTGACCATTCTCAGAGCCTTGTTCAGCCTCGATGACAAAGCCAACAAATGCATTATGGAAGGTGCCTAGGTTCCATTGCTGAAGTGCCCAGCGCCGAGGGAACTTATTACCGCAGATTCGCTCGTTGAACAGCTTGAAGTGCTTGTATGTCTTTGAGCAAGTCAGTTCGTCAGAGTAAGTACCCACTGTAGCAACAGCCTCAGCAATAGCAGGGTCCTCACGAACTCGGAAATAGTACTCGCCAGTCTCATACATTGCTGGCAGATTTACAGTGGCAGCCTCGGAAAAGTACCGCAGAGCTGCCTTGTGATCTCCCCGTTCTAGCTGGATTTCTCCCAGATTGTAATGGGCAGGCAAGCTTTGCAGCTCAGCGGCCTTGTGGAAGTACCGGATGGCCTTCTCTGTGTTCTGCTTGACCCCCAACCCGTGCCTGTAAATGTATCCGAGTCCATTTCCAGCTGTTCCAATCTGACCTCCAGATGCCTGCCATGCCTTGTGGAACCACTTGTGTGCGAGCTTGTAGTCTTGCTCCACTCCCTCGCCCCGCATGTACATCTGCCCGAGCCGCGTGGCACATCGCACCGAATACCATTGTGATTCTCGAGCCGGGGCCACCTCCTTGGCGTCAAGATCTGTGAAAAATAGCCCAGCACACTCGTGGGCGAGTCGAGCGGACTTAGTGAGGTCCGGCTCGACGTTCTGGGAGCCCCGATAGAAGAACTCACTGAGTGACCACTTGTACTCGGCCACCTTGCCCTCCAGCATGTGCTCAGCGTATTCTAGAATCTCCTCCGACGAGTCCTCAGCATACTCGTCGTACATGGACGTTTCCTTGCCCAGATTTCCGTAGAGCCCGTAGTTGGAGTCTGCCAGATGCCACGATGAGGGGCCCAGATGCTTGCCTCCAGGAGGTCCGTCCAGAAAGTAGTTGAGTGTCTGGTTAGCAGCCAGTCGCAGGTACTTGAGAGCAGCATCACAGTCCTGAGGCATTCCAATACCGTTGTTGATTCGGTTGCTCATTGCCATCTGCGCCCGGACATCGCCTCCCTTGGCTGCGAACGAGTAGTATAATGTAGCCCGTGCCTGATCTCTGGGCCATTGTCCAAACAAACCAGTGCTGTATAGCAAACCCACAAAGAACTGCGCTGCGGGGTCACCCGTGAGCTCGGCATACTGCTTGTAGGCCGCAAAGCCGGCTGCGTATTGTGGGCGAACGGAGTAGTGTCCAAACGTCAGCAGTTCAGCCAGCAACAAGAGCGCCTGTGGATCGTCGGAGGAGCACTCTCGAAGCTGTTCCAACAGCTGCTGGTATTCCTTGGGTGACAATCGCACCGAAACGGGATCCTTGTTGTCGTCTGTGAGATAATTTTTGTGTTTCGAGCTCAGGGTGTCCCACATGGCTTGTAGTTGGTTGTTGATGTCGGAGGCGCATTGAGAGGTGAACAGCGAGTTCAGAGGACCTTTGATGGGACTCTCGACCTTGGGCCACTCCTTCAGCTTGGACGCCAGAACACCTGACGCCACCGTTAGTATCGTCGCAAGATGTGGAAACAGCATTGATCTGGAGTTCTGTCTTGGGCTGCGAGGTTAGATAATGCGTGGCGTCACGTGATTGAGTTGGTGGGAGGAGAGAGGGAAGTGGTAATCGTAGTATTTTGATAAAAAAAACAAAAAACAAGATGATGAAGGGAAGAAAAAACTATGCCATAGAACAGGGAGGTTTCCTGCTAATGTTTCAATTCTCTTTTCTCTTCTCGATATACCGTTGTAGGGTATATTGTGTGTTGTTCTGTAAACTCCTTCTTTTATATGCCAGCATATAGTATCTCTCCAAGTTCACCATACATCGCCATGCATGCACACACCACCAATGATCCACTGTTGTAATGAATCAATAGTGGCAGAAAGCGGAAGCACAACGGTCTCGGACATTAGCGTGCCGCATTCTCTGGCCCAGAAATGGACGCTGTTTGAGCGCGAAAAGCTCTACTTTTGCAAGACCTGTCAACTGCTGCAGTCACCAGACATGACTACTGACATTGTCGAGTGTATCTACTGTCCCATGTGTCTAGTGGAGGTGCCCAAATCGTCGACTCAGCGCGTGTGCACGCGCAATTGTCTGCAATGCCCCGAATGCAAGAGTGCTTTGGATGTGATGAAGACCTCCAAAGAAGCATCCAATTACACTCTCAAGTGCACCTGGTGCGAGTACACTACCGACCAGTACGTGTCCGACAAGGCTCTGGCTGCCCAGATTCTGCAGCAACAAAACACCCTGGGGGACAATGCTCTCGCAGGAGCCACTCGGAAGTACATACGGCATTTGTTTGAGCCAGAAGACAAGGACGCCTCTAAAGCCATGGAAGCTCTGTCTGTGGGTTCTTCCAGAGGCTCTGATCTTTCAAAGAGCTTGAAAAACACAGGAAAGATTGTGATTGATGTGAATAAGAGGCAGAGCGAACGGACAGAGCTCAAACCCCCGATACTGCCTTCTCTGAGAGGCAAGAAAAGTCGGTTGTGCTACAAGTGTGAAAAGCCGCTGATTGTGCCCAGCAAGAAACCGTCGTCTATTTCGCTGAAGGCCTCCGAGCTGGCGATCCACTACATCCCCGAGGTGAAGCTGCTATCGTTTAATGCCCAGGGAGTTAAATTCCGAGCTCGCAATGTTCTCAGAGAAGAGGTCGTCTTCAGTGTTTCCACAGCTAATCTCGACTCTGAAGACTCGCCCCATCTCAAAGACTTATTCCCATCTGGAGCTACAGTTCTTACCCCTTCAACGACCTTGAATCCCTCTGTGGACCTCCTGACAGCCGATGATACTGCCTTCGCCTGTTCCTTCCCCGTGGAAACCATGAAGGATAGCATTTTCAAGACCAAACTAGTGATGAACGACACACACAAGGGCGTCAAACCATCATGGGATGATTTGGAGATTGAATTGGAGCAGCCCGAAGCTAAAAGATTGGCTGTATATATTCATTGCAAGTCCAAGACGTTAGATGTCGGATACTGGCTTGTTTTTGATAGGCCTGAGGAGAAGGAGCATACTGGGAAAGAGACAGAAAAAGACCAAGAGCAGGAAGGTGTTTAACAGTGTATGCGTTGCGAGAACATCTCTGCCGCAAATATATTTATTCGTTCGATTTCACTTCATTTTTCACGTTCTTGGAATAGTACAGTAGTCCAGCTGACCTCTTTTTTGTGGGATCTATAGGTGGGGTACACATAATTATCATAGATTTGTTATCTGGTCGTACTTGTTGCTGGTCTACATAAAAGATAGCCCATGGGCTAATCAGATGATTCAACTCCTTATTGTTCTATAGACCAATGGATACTGCTTGCAAATACTTGTGTACTCGGCTTCACATCTACCTGATAGCCGTCGCCGACGACAGGTACAACAAGTACCCTCTACTACATATACATAACCATTACTATTTCTAAATGCATTTTAAGTAGATGTTGTTATCTCTTTCGTCCAAAGGAGAACCGGCTCTTCTTGCCGGCCGACTCGGTGGACGTGTTGGACACAGACCGGTCTCGTCGCTGCCAGAACTTGTTGCCACTACTGGAAGGAGGCGCGCTGTCGGTCCCTGCAGAAGGAGGGGGAGCAGGTACACTCATTGAGGTGTTGGCCGTGGAGTGGTGGGACGACGACAGATCAGAGTGGATGGACGTGCTTCCAGGAATCGACGACGACATCATCGAATTGCCCACCACCGAAGAGCTCTGAGACGGAGCAGGAGAGGGCTGGGGGAATCCAACAGATGGCTGCTGGGGGAAACCAAACTGCTGCTGGGGCTGATGCTGCTGTTGATGTGGAGATGTGGCAAATGACTCTTGTAGGGAAGGCAAAGAGGCAGCCGGAAAGTTGGTTCCCACACTGGAGGGGAGGTTAGAGGAGCTGCCGGCCGCGCTGGAGACGCCACTCTGGATGCCACTACTCAGAGCAGTAGAAGAGTTGAAGCCTGTGGTGATTGTAGGCAGAGGACCGTCTTCGTCATCTTCTCGGACGTTGGGCAGCGACGATGAGGGAAGGGGAACACTCTCGGTGGACGAAACGTGCTCGATCAGCTCGCCATTGGCGTTAGTGGTGACGTTGAACACGTCATTGGACAGGTTATCCGACTCCATCTGGTCCACAGTAGTCTCCTGGTAGAAGAGAACGTAGGCCGAGGCCAGACCTCGGTTGTCTCCAAAGAAGTTGAACACATAGTGGGGGTCCACGGCCTCGACCATTTCATCGTCAAACAGCAGCCAGCCAGCATGCTCTGTCTTGACCACACTGACGTAATGACCATGGTAGGGGCCTCCTCCAATATGCACGACCACCGCGTACAGTTCGTAAAGCTTGTCGGGGTCGGGACAATCGAAGGTGGTCTCGAACATTCGCAGGTACTTGGGGTAGACCACACGGTGGAACAGCTTGGTGTTTCGCTGCATGTCCTCGGTGAACTTGAACCGCTTGAGATGCAGGGCCAGGACCTTGGGTAGCCGCTGGATCTTCATTCGCTTCTCGGCCTCCTGCAGTCCACAGCACGTGTCGCAGTGGAACTTGTTTCGTTCACAGAGCATTTCTGAGGCAGAGAACTGACGAAGACAGGCTGTGACCGAAGAGTTTCGTTCCAGATCGATCGACAGGTCCAGAAATGACTCATGTCGACGCGAGACCGACTCACAAGTAAGACACTTTGTTTCCGATGTCAGAGAGCCCTCAAACAGCTCGTGGATCCACTTGGAATCGTCTCGGGATGCCGACGAGCCGTCCACGCTCTCAATGACCTCGTTGAGCAAAAAGTTGAGAAACTCATGTGCATCCTGATGCATTGAGGATCTGAAGAGCTCGTTTTCGCGCTTGAGCACGGTGATGAGGTTGCTGGGAGACATGATACCAATTCGTGACGAGTTTTCGCTCATGCATTCGAAAATGTCCTTGAGCGCGGTGAACAGGGACTCCTTCATGCTGTAGTCCTGGGCAAACGAGTGGTCCAGGTTGATGATGGGGCCCGTGATCAGCGCCGCTCTTTTCTTATTTTCCGGCGTGGCAAACGGGTCTTCGGTGTAGCCCACTACAGGCACATTTGCGTTGGGCAGTCGGTGGCCCAGGGGGATTCCCTCCAGACCGGGGTAGTTGGGCTTGCTCTGTAGAATGTTCAGTGGCGGAGCGTTCTCACCAATGTAGCCTGGAGCTGGAGGAGCCGAGCTTGCCTGATTGTTGTTGTTGGAAGCAGGGGATGCAGAGATGCCTCCAACAAAGCCCGAGCCTCCCGCAGAGCTGGGGGGTCCTCCTGCAGATCCGGGCGGGCCCCCGTTTGTCGACTGATCCGCGTCCTTGTCCTTGTTTTTCTTGCCAAACATAGTCAGTCGCCTGGACAGCTTTCCATTACCGCTGCTACTGGGCGGGTTTCCGCTGGAATTGACAGACTCCTGCGATTTGAGGCCCAAAGACAGACTGCTGAGTCCGGAGGTGGCTGCTCCTGCCGAGTCTGGAGGAGCAGGGTTGGCTGCTTGAGGAGTTGAAGTCGACAAGATAGCCGACTCGGGGTTGACAGTGAATGGATGCGGCGTCTTTCCGGGTACGCTGCGTTTTTTGGGCCGCGAGTCGTCCTTGGCGAAGGCCAGTACCTGATCTCGGAACGGCTTTGTGTAGTAGAGACACTGCAGCACCGAGTTGCAGTAGCATGTGTTGCCAAAGTTTTCCATGCCGAAGAACCGGTTGGATGGAGCCGTCAAGGCTGATGTGGCGGGTGCCGAGGAGGGAGGCAGATCCTTGGGGGTAGTCGGCAAGTTGTTGGACGAGTTCACCTGCGACACACTATGGGTCGGGGTTGTGGAGAACTGGTATGGGTTGTGTTGTGGGGTCTGAGTGGCTGGAGGAGCCAGATGTCGTTGCATCATGACGCCACCACCATTGGCGTGGTCGTTCCTTGAGCCGTTGAGGGACATGGAGATGGTGGGTAGTCGTTGAAGATGTTATTGGACGTTGACGATGGCGGTTGGAGATGGAGATGTTGACGAGTTGATATGGAGATGAGCCTGTGGGTATGTAATTGCCGCCGTTGCTGCACTGGATGGGTCGTGGAGACGTGTGTATCGGAGTGCTCGTACTCGTATCTCGGTCGTTTGCCGCTTTCCGCTTTATCAACAGTTTACGTTACGGAGCTTTTCCAACAGTGCCGTATGCTAAGCTGGCAGATAAAACCCAACGTTCAACAAGCTCGGAAATGGCTGCAGCCAAAGGTAGAGGAGCATGCGGGGGCATAAAATTTGGACTTGTCCACCAAACATTATAGGTGCGGAAAAATGGTCAGATGGGAGTGAGAGTGGACGTGGTTCATGTCTGAAGACTTGACAAGGTGTCTCGAGGGAGCCGGGCCATTTGTACAGAGGTTTGGCCATCCATGTTGACACCCGATCTCGTTATCTGATATACCAAGCTCAACTTTTCACGCCAAGAAAAGTCGAGAAGGAAAAAGACCCTCGACCATCCCCATCACCAGCACCTCTAGCAAGTCCAGCTAGACTGCGTCAGTCGTATTGTGAGCCACGTCACACTGCAATTTTATTGATAGCAAGTGTAGCGCGTTAGAGTCCACGGCCTAGTGTTGCTGTTATAGCTACCAGTATCCGCTATAGCTGTAGTTGTAACCGCTACACGCCTGGTATCAACAGTCTCGTGATGTCACCAAGTTCAGCCCTGCCTTCTCCACACAACTTGAGCATGGTAGGATGCGCAGTGAACTAGAGTAGCTAGAGGAGTGCACAAGGGCTAATCGGATGCTACTTGTAGTACATGCTACATGTTACAAGTTCACTGGCACTTTCAAGTACGAATACTTCCATTGATATCTCTACTGCGAACGTCATGTACCAGTACATACGCTGCAAATCTTCCGTCTGTTGACAAAGTTCTGTCTGACACTCGATATAGCCGCTACTATGACGACACCATAAAACAGTGTGTCTCTTGAATGCGTCTTAGCAATGCCCCTATCCTCTATCGTAGCACACAGTAATGCACAACGTGGCTAAGGCAACTCAAAGAGAGGGTCATACGATCGAACAACGTTCGTGGACTCCGATCGGAGCCGACCCGTGCGCCACCTTGGTTCTGCTCATTTAACGCTCATCTCCACCCTCGCTCATTTCTCGGCTTCTTGGCATATCTCTCCCCCAATTTGCGGCTATCCCTGCTCGGCGAGCTGCCAACATATACTCGTGCGAGTATAAGCAAGTCTGAGACCTCCCAACAGTTGGAGGAAGGGGCTTTGGGGGGTAGCGGAGAGGGGTTGGGCGTCTACGAGACCCCGATGTGAGACCGTGATGAGGTGGTACCAGATGTACAAGTACTTGTACACCTTGTAATAGGACTCTTCATGTCCCTCCGTACAAGTATGGGTGCCAGTATCTGCAGTACGTACGTATAGCCTGGTTGTTCATGTTCATGCAACTCAATTAGGGCCGGAAAAAAAGGCCTGTGGTTTTTGCGGTTTCAGCCAAAAAAAGTAATTTCGCCTCATTCGTCACAACGCGACCCAACTCTCGTGGAAACCTCACAGTCGATTAGAAATTACATTAACATTACGGGCTCGCCAAAGATAGGGGGGCATTTCGCGGTCTTTGAGGAGTGCGGGTTCCCCAGCAAAAGAGAGACAGGGCGTCGTCTTCGCCCAGACCTACCGGTTAAGGTTCGAGATAGTGCAACCTCTTGGGCTGTGCACCGGGTAGGTGAGCGCATCAAATAAGAGCCCACGGTAGGGTAAAGCTGGGAGATAGACAGACAGACTGGGCTGCACAGACCAACAAGTGGTCACCACCGCCTCGAAATAATACTCGTTTATGTTGTCGTTATTGTCGTTAAAATAAATAAATTATCTGCTTCCAGTTGATTGAAAAGGGGTGAGCGGTTGGGGAAGTCATAGGTTGCGTTAGTCAGCTCCACCCTAATCGATCTGGGTGGCAAATTCCTACCTCACAACGGTCGTTTGGTGTCATGTCGGAGATGTAGTCACTCAATTGTCGTCATTTCGGGACTCGTTGGGCACGGGAAATGACGCCTCATCGTCTCCAACCTGGAAGGTGTTCATTCTAATCCAGCCTCGCTGAATCAGAATGGGCTGGAGGGCCCATTTGAACAGCAGATAGCAGGTGACGGCCGTGAAGAAGCCCAGAGAGCAGGTCTGAGTTAGAAAGAGTTTAGTCAGCAAGCGGATGCGCCCATACTCACAAGAATAATGTTGGCAAAGTTGGACAGCCCCATGTCGTCGTGTCTTGAGAGGGTCAGGGTTGCGATGGCTTGTGAGTGTTCTGAAGCCAGACTCAAGTGTGGAAGTCTGCAAGTGTGAAATGTAACTTTTTGAGTTTGCCGTTGTGAATTCTTGGGAGTTCTGTTTTTTTTTTCCAAAGTTACACACAGCACCCTCGTAACCATTCAACCAAGTCTGTTTTCTTTTTCCAACCTCCCCCCTCTTGTACTCTTGAGTTTATTTTTTTCGTGCTCAACATGACAGACCGCGACAGGCTATAAGTGAATGTTATGGCTACTCATACTCTACAATAGCGCCAAATAGTCCAACCCACAAGCCACATGTCTCCAGCGCGTTTCCAGGGGAACTCGCATGGGACCCCTGTACCAGAGGTCTGTTGTCACGGTAACGAGGGCACGCATATTGTACCGGTGGTACTCGCCGTACCGCTTCTTGCAGAAGGCACTGTTATATGGGCCACCGTTAGACCTCTCTGCTGCGCAAATTCATATCCTTCACGTTGCTATGGGGGATTTACATATTTACATATTTGGTCTATTTCAAGTTGCTGGAGCAAGGATCGGCCGCACCCTGTCCTGTCCTGTACCGAACATGCCGGGCGGTTTTCCGCTATCCCTTGTATCGTAGATCGTCTTTGGAAGCCACGTGATTTAAGGGTCAAAAAAAAATTAAAAAAATTACTTTGGGCAATAGTGTAATCAAACCAGGCTCCAGCAATGGAGCAGTGGAATGAACGGCGTTTTTGAGTTGGCAACCAAACCTCGGGGTTGCCAGTCTAAATGGCTTCGATTCGAGATGGAATGTGGAAGGAGCTACAGCCGTGAGGACCCTTTTTTGCCCTTTTCGGATCGGAATAGTAGTTCCTAGGCCGTGCCAGAGCAGCTGGCATGTGGGAGCAACTTTGGGGGGCTCCCTCTCCTGGAATACGCTACCGTTGCTATTAGTAGCGTGACTAATTGGTTACTGTAGGTGTGGGCTCCAAGTCAACCCTGTGCCCCCTATTTCGTCATACTGGTGTCGCATAACCCCTATATCGGCGTCTGTCATTTCTGGCCCAGCTTAGATTTTGAAAATTTACCGAACATAACTGCACAGGAACAATGAGAGAACAACAAACCAAGGTTTTTGCGCTTCGATGCACATTGTTGTAGGTTGACTAGATGAGCCGCTTGTGGTGGTATTGCCTGTGCCAAGACAAAAATATTGAGGATGAGGTGTCCTCCGTGGGAACCATCATCAGCTACAGCTAACTAGTGGCTTGGGCGTAATAATAGACGCCCATGCAGTGGGTCATCCGACGCTGCAGCAAAAGTCAGCTATATATAGGAGAAACGGCATAACGGCCATTGGCTCCTCCTTTTAGTACCACATCTGTTACTAACAATAGATGGGATGTTTCCTCCAGTATCCCAGAGCGAATCCGCTAAAAGCGATGTCATGTACCTCTTGTGGAGTCTAATACCCCGAGAGGTGTTGAATTTCCCTTGTTAGAAACAACAGGGTTTGCAATGCACAGGCGTTTTAAGCACACGGTTGTGCAGATGTGCAAAGGCAAAAATGCAAAACCATGGAGACAAGAAAGAGGGAGTGCAGTCTGGAGGAGGATTATGGCACGGAGATAGACGGTCGTTGACATGGAAGAGACCCCGATTGGTGCGCAAATGCGCCCGAAATATACATAAACCTTGCTGCACACGTCAGGATCGGCATCCATGGGCGCCATTAGGCTTTCGGAAACGTGCCTTTTTTGGCACATATGCTGTGACCATCAGTGCTACATGGGAAACTTCGAGCTGCGTCCATACCTTTGGGAACGGCTGAAATATATAAGTCATTTAGGAGCAGACTAATCGATGGAGAACAACCGAAAACAACTGACCAGTCACCTCGTTACGCGACCCTCGCCATTGTCTGTAACGGTGCACCCCACTTGTCCCTCCTTAGCCGCTTAGCAATTCTGTTTTTGCTGCGGAAGCCAAGATTGACTTTTTAGGTACGAGAGTCGGCAAGGTCGTGCACATCTGCCATATCCCACAAGCCTGCTGAGTGTTCAGTTGAGGTGGAAAATAAAGAGAAATTAATCAGACCCTTTTTCTTGTTGATCACGTCTTCTTCTGCACCACTACTCCATTTGAGCCCTCAACATGGCCATTGACAAACTGCGACACACGAACAAGAGAGAAAACCACCTGCAGCATGTCCCGTCACCGGACCTGGCCATCGAAGCTGACAGTGCAGGGGGTAGTATCCCCAGTCTACCATCTTCGTCCATCTCTCCCTCCAGCTCGTCAGCACGCACCTTCTCGCCAAAGTCATACTCGCACTCGCCAGCTGAACGGTCTCCCCTGGCCAATTCCTTCTCCTTCACCGAAGACCCCAACCCCGTGATCCAGGCCATTCCGCTGTCGCCCAAGGACCGCTTCTTGCACACGCCTCCGCACTACCCGCTGGGCCGTTTCCAACAGCAGCACCACTCTCCATCTTCGTCCACTCTGGCCTCGGACTACGAAGACGCGCCCGACTCGTTCGACCTGAACCTACACAACAAAGGTCCCAACTCTAACAAAAATTTAGACTCTGATCTGTCTTGTACTGGGACTAATTTTAGGGACCAACACCAGACTTGTCAGACTGAGCGGAAACCTCCAGTGCAAAAAAACTCCATCACCCAAGTGTCGCCCGCCAGAACCAAAGACGCCAAAACCATGTCCGACTCGTACCTCGTGGACTCCAACGGCCGAAAAATCGCCCTCAATGACCCCAACCACCCCGACTACCCCGAGGACCAGGTGTCTCAACCCCCTGTGGGCCAGGGAGGAGGCCCGGGAGGCTCGGGGGGCTCTCTGACCTCTTCGGACTCGGATTCCGGGGCCGTACACCACCCCCAGCCCCGAAACGCCCACCTATACGCCCCACAGAACGGCATCCAGGCCTCAACTTCCAACCCCGAGCTAGTGGTTCCCTCCCAACCTTCGCACCACAAACCCACCAACTCCAACTCCAACTTTAACAGTACACGGTCACTAACCCACAACTCGTCCTACTCTTCTCTTCGGCAGCAGCAGCGAGGCCCCTCCCGCTCCAACACCCCACACATGGAACCAGAGTTTAGCTACCCGCCAAAACAACACCAGGCGCCCCAGTCGCCCCGAACCATGGCCCAGTCCATGTCGGCCAGACACACCCCCACAGGCTCCGTGTCTTCCCAGCACCCGCTGTCCCACATGGCTTTTGGAGGCTCCGACCCCTACCTGAGCCAGCACTCCGGAGCTGAGGCTACGGCCGCACAAAACAACCTTCCCATGCCTCCCCGACGCCGAGAGAGACCCATGTCGGCTCGGTCCTCCATCTCCTCCATGGGAGACATTAACGGTGGCTCTTCTTCGGCCTCGCTGTCAGGCATGGGCCACCAGTCGTCGGCGTCCATGTTCGATCTCTCGCAGAGCTACCTGACCCAGCTTGGCGCCAACCAGGCCACCCTCATGCCCCGAATCAAAACCATCGAGCTCTACCGAAAGAACGCCAAGAAGAGCAACGACCCCGCAGTCCAGTACCAGTTTGCCCAGTACCTTCTGCAAACGGCGCTCATGGCAGGAGCAAACAAGCATTCCCCCACGTCGTCCATGTTGTCCAACGTGTCCAACACGAGCCCTCTCCCCTCCCCTGCCGGCCGAGACGAGTCGCCCCGAAGACCTGGACAGAAGATGGATGAGGACAAGGCCGCCGAGCAGCTCAAGAAGGACCTGCTCAAGGAGGCCATTGTCCATCTACGACGACTAGTTGATCGTGGCCACCCGGACGCCCAGTATCTACTGGGAGACGCCTACTTCTCCGGCGCATTTGGAAAGCCTGATCTCAAGGACGCTTACACCCTCTTCCAGATGGCGTCCAAGCATGGCCACCCCGAGGCCACATACCGAGCAGCTCTGTGTCTAGAGGAAGGCTGGGGATGCTCCAAAGATACCCGAAAGGCTGTGCAAATGTACCGAGCGGCCGCCTCCAAGCAGCACGTTGGAGCCATGTTCCGTCTGGGCATGGCCTGTTTCTACTCTCTCATGGGTATCCCCAACATTGATGCATCCAAGCTGGAAGGAGTCAAGTGGCTCAGTCGAGCGGCCGAAAACGCCAGCGAGCTGTACCCTCGAGGTCCCTTTGAGCTGGCCAAAATCTACGAGGTGGGCTACAAGGACCTCATCATCAAGGACAACGACTACGCCGTGCAGCTCTACGTGCGGTCTGCCGATCTCAACTTTGCTCCGGCCGCCTCTCTCATGGGCCATGCTTACGAGCATGGCACCCTTAACTGTCCCCAGGACCCTGCTCTGTCCATCCACTACTACACAGTCGGCGCCACTGCTGGCGACGAGGCCTCCATGCTGGCCATGTGCGCGTGGTACATGGTCGGTGCCGATCCCATTCTTCCTCAGGATGAGGATGAGGGCTTTGAGTGGGCCAAAAAGGCCGCTGATGCTGGCTATGCCAAGGCCCAGTTTGTTACCGGATACTTTTTGGAGCAGGGCATTGGTACTGACCGAGATATTTTGCAGTCGTCGGTCTACTACCGAAAGGCCGCTGCTGGAGGAGATGAGCGAGCCATTGAGCGTCTCAAGAAGGGAGAGGCTCGTCAAGTGTCTGGCCAGAGTGTTGAAAACCCTGCAGATAAGGCTGCTAACAAGGGCAAGAAGAAGAACGGCAAGGAAGGTAAGGAGGGTAAGGAAGGCAAGGATGACAAGGATTGTGTCATCATGTAACGCATTTAATTTATTGTGGCAGACATAATAATAGAGTCTAGAGAAAGAAAGTAATGAATGTACGAACATCTACTAGTTGTGGGTTTGTAATGTAACACTTCGAAGTGATCTGTTCAGCTATAGTGTGCCTTGCGTCATCGTGCAGGTGGTGTTATAAATAGGTAGGAGATCATGTCAGTCACTGGGCCAGATGAGCTAACGACTTTTTTTAGTATCATATTTTTGCATTATTAGCGCCATGTGTATATTTGTATCCGCATTCAGGGCTTGTTGCTTTACGCAGAAACGGCTGCGATGGATATGTCTCATATAATTAAGCATTCCCCAATAGCCGTTTTTATAAATAGCATAATAAGCACCGATGAGTGTTTGATGGGGAAACATGAGAAAGACAGGAAGGGCCACATTATGACGTCAACATAATCTGTATTTAGAAGTGGTCAGGCGGGGAAGATTGGATACGAGGAGGAAAAGGGTCGATACGATGCCAGGAGCAATGACATCATCTCTGCGCTTCTCAGAATATAGATCCATTTTTAGCGTGGATACATGACAGGAGCAGAGCTCTTCAAGTGCCGATGCCGGTACGAGTACGCTGGTCACGCTATAAGATAGTTGCAGTGTGCACTGTTGTACTCTCTATGAAGGTCTGTCTACATTGCCTGTAGTAGACACATCTACCAGGTAGACAAATCTACCAGGTAGACAAAATTGGTTCATTGGGTTCATTGCTGACCTTGGGTCAATCGTTCCCATAATGTCATTATAAGTTAGTTACTGTTTTGTCGTTCAGAACAACCGCTTCAGGCCGAAATGGCGGGCAAAGTCCTCGTCTGCGGACAGCCACTCGTCGTCAAAGTACTGATACAAAACGGATCTCAGGGGCTTGCCGGAGATTCGCTCAACAGCAGCAGTGATACTAGACACGGCTTGTAGCTGTTCGTCCTTGCCGGTCTTGGCGTTGCCGTTATCCGAACCAGCCGAGGGCCATCCCACCTCCAGGGCGAGCACAGGCTTGTTACACAGAAGCGAGGCAAGGTAGGCAGACTCCTCGACCTCGGCACCGGCATGGGCAGCGTCGACAGTAGGGTTGTTGAAGGGAGAGACAGACAAACCAATCACATCGACGGAGTCGCAAAACAGACCCGTGGGGCCTTCAATGTCGTCGGGAGTGACAGAGTGCACTCCGTCCTGTCGTGCAAGCATTTCCTGGACGTTGTCTCGTCGCTCCTTGGGTGTCAGCACGTCCCAGATGCCCAGAGGCTCGGAGGTGGTGACTGGGATTCGAATGTCGGAAGACAGAGTGTCGAGACGCTGTCGGATGTGAGCCAGGACCTCGACGAGCTCCTTGGGATGGTAATTTTGGTTGGCCAGGCCCTCGGAACCCAACACGATCAGATCCAGCTGTCGAAGAAAGGCCTCGGTGGCAGAAGAAGACTCGTCCAGAGAGTCGATGATGTCCATGAGCTGGGCGTCGACAGATCTGGTCAGCAGCTCGAGAGACGTGGCCTCGGAGTCCAGATCCGAAGTGGTTTCCAGTGCACTGGGCTCGATTCCAAGTACTAGCTTGAGAGCGGAGTCCACGCTTCGCTTCTTCGAGTCTCTATTCTTGAGGTAGTCCAGATAGGCCGGAATGACCTTGCAGTCGGTAGAAAAGAGCCGGATGGCCTCTACGCGGCCTGAAGCCTCCAGAGATGCAAAGTCGGCAGTGATCTGGCTCTGTCGGCGGCACTTGCTGTTCTTGTTGAGTGGCAGGTAGGCGATGGCGTAGCTGTGGAAGTTGGGTGTGGGTTCGGACCATACGAACGGCTGGGCGGGGATAAGCTGCTTGAGAGTCTCTGTTGACTGCGAGACCTTGTTCTTGAGGGCCACCAGAGCATCACTTCCAGTCTTTTCAGGCGCAGACATGGCCAGTATGTACATGAAGCAACATAGTGCTGCTGTGGCCAGAACAAGGACATATCGTTTGCTCTTGGATCCCTTCTGTGGTGGTTGGAGCTTCTCCGAAGGCGAGTGGTATGACGGCAGAGAAAAGTCCAGTGGGGTATTCGAAGACACTGACTCAAACGAGGATCGTACCGGCGACTTTGTAGGGGTCCGTCGAAAAGGCGGTGGGGCCTTGGTCGATTGGTAAGACATCATGAAGTGGGATATATGAAAGGTGGGGCACGGCTGCGGGTTGTGTCGTGATTAATTTTTCGGCTAGTAATTTCTCGAAGCGTTGTTGCACTGCTATATTAGTGAAAACCGCACTAGTGGGTTCGGGGCCAGTGTACTAAAATAGGCTGCTTGGTATGGGAGGATATCGGTGCAACACTACAATAGGGGTAATGAGGAACGCGAAAAGTTGAGGCGTTGAGGAGTTGCAGTTCGATTCTGTTGTTGTTCGATTAGGAGTCGAGTGATCGATTCGAATGAACTTCGTGTAAGTACGGGGTATGTGTGGCGAAGGTGTGTGCCTAGATGTTGTCAGTGTCGTCAGACGGCTGTTGTAAAGAAAGACTGGGGTGAGGAAAGGAGGGTAGAAGTTGGTTGTTGAGTGTCGACGAACAGCTGAGTGGGTGTGGTTTTCGCGAGATGAAGTTGGAGGAAGAAACAGCAGCTACGAGTACATGTATATGTAAGTACGTATTTAATGGACAGGCCTGGTAATAATGTAGGCGAACCTTAGGACGCGTTTAAAAGCATGTTTTCACCAGCACCTGCCTATTTGGGCTGGATGAGCTTTGTTAAAGTTGCACCTCAGACAAAGACCCAGATCCTGCTTGGGTATTAGACGTCAAACTAGGTTTAAGAGTGGTGAGCCAGTGGGGTCGGTTTGCCATCCCTTTGCGCAGCAAAAAATGTCTCAGTAGACCCTGTATAGTTGCTCCAAACGGGGTCTATGTGTTGTATCTCATGATTGGAGACTTCATTTATCAGAAATATCCCCGTTTAAGCAATCAGATCTGGCTGCTTACCCCCTACGCTGCAGATCGGGATGGATCGGCAAAGCTAAGCTACAAGGTAGGGGGCATTGGAATGAGCTAAGAGCGCGTGTGGATGGTCAGGACAGAAGAACCTGAAAGGCGATGGACTTGGCAGTGTGATATAAGGCGGTGTATATAAATGGGCGCCACCATGCACACATTTCAATCGTACAGCAAAATAACATTAATCCCTGTCTCTCTCTTGCTCAATTCCTTCTCTCGTAAAAAGGTCGTTTCCGCACACTGCTTCTTGCCTGTCATCGCCAGACAAGATTAGTTGTTTCAGATTGTCCCAGTCCAAAACACAATTTCAGCGACAGTCAAGCGACCATCCTCCCCAGATTCAGTTTGGCATAAATGATACATGGTCCCACTCGCACTGTTGATGGTACTGTACAGGTTTTGTAGCTCAGTCGAATACGACGGAGAAAGGACAGTCATGTGAGTCTTGCACGGCCCGTCATCATACCTGCGCATGTCTTAAAATATGGAGACATGAAAACACCCCTTTTGAGAGTAATGCACCGTGGTCAATAGAGTGAACCAACTCTTCCCCTTTTCTCCCTTTCATTCATCATGGTATTTCTTTTGAGTGCGTTAAATCGTATTATTTATGCATCTACAAGCTCTATACAATCGCATCTGTTTTCATTTGAGCTCGCTTCACTCTCTTTACACACTGTGCAGCCTTGCAAATAGGGGCTGTGGCTGTATGGAACTGTATCCACCCCCGTTGCTTTAGTGTGACAGCCAGTGACAAGAGTGACAGGTATGACCAGATGGAATGTGATACTTGTACTTGTATGCTGTATCAACAGCACTAAGACGCGCCTTCGTAAAATTTGCGCTGGTGTACTGGTACGAGATGTCGGTGCGATCGTGTATTATCTGTGAATGTATATTACAGTATCTAAAAGCGCCTACCCTATACGCGCGAGTACCCGCAACAGTTTCTTTTTATATAATCAAGTACCGCATGATTTGTGAAATTATTCCTGTACTCTACTTCAGGAAGGACCGGAAATCGGAGTTACTTTTAGGGGCGGATGCGCCCTCCGGTTTAGCTTCCGTCGAACGGTTGCCGCTCACACTCGAAGAGACAACCGTTGATTCAGAAGGAGAAGCACCACCTTGAGAACCCCTTGCATCCCTCGAAGCTCCCAAAACCTTCCTCTTACGTGGCACAAATCGGTCCTTGGAGACGGAGACCAGAGCAGGACGAGACCGCTTATTTCGTGGCTTGTCGGCGATCGACACCAAGAGATTCTTACCAAGGATATCGGAGCCATTAAGTATCAGACTCTCCTTTGCAGCTTCAACAGTGCTGAAGGAGAGGAAAGCAAAGCCCAGGTTCTTCTTGGTGCCCAGATCCTGACCCTTGTTGGGGATGGTCAGGTTGGTCACCTTGCCAAACTCCCCAAACGCTGCCTCAATCTCATCCGCAGACGTATCGTAATTGAGCCGGCTGATATATACAGTGCTCTCAGGGTTGGACTCCTTCTCCTTCTTCTCCTTCTTGGCTCGGGACGGATCCGAAATCTCCACCACTATACCGCTATCGTTATCTTTACCAAACTGCACAGCAGCCTCGGCAGCAGCAGAAGTAGTGAACTGGATGTAACAGAACCGGCGGTGTTTGTGCACACTAAGGGAAGGTAGCCGAACACTGGCAATCTCTCCAAACGCGCCAAACTGTTCTCGAAGCGTCTGTTCATTGTCGTCCACAGCAAAGTTGGTCACGTAAACTGTAGTATGGTAACCGTCAGTGACTCTGACTTCCTGGTCCCCAAGCTTCTTGTGGTCTCTGGTCAGAGCAGCCAGTTTCTCGTCATGGGATGAAAACTCAATCACTGCAAAGGGCAGGTTCAAGATGGAGTTCCGCGGTTCTCCACACTCGCTGAAGAATGTGTTGATTTGCTCTTCGGTTGTTCCTTCAGGCAGTTTGGCCATGATGACGGTCAGATGCTCGCGGTCTCGAGTAGGCTCGGCAACGGTAGACTTGACGGGAGCGTCCGTGTGCTCTGCAGGAGTAGCCACTGAATCAACCTCCATAGAGTGAGGTTCCTCCTTCTCAGCACGATCATCAACAAAGAAGCCAGCATTGAAATAGTTGCTGGAAAGACTGTGAACAGCTGTGGCTCCTTCTCCGCTAAGATAGTTCTGGTAAGACTCGACAATGGGTTTACCGTCTTCAAAATCACCATTAGACACCTGCTTGAGTGCCTGCTGATACACTTGCTGAATGGAGTTTGTATCTTTAGGATAACGACGTTCCCAATCGATCCACATGAGCCAGAGGTCAAGAGAATATGGCTTGAATCTCGTTAACTGCTTAAACTTATCACGAATGAACTCGACGCTCTGCCCCACTCTCAAATAGTATCCAATAATGGCCTTTTCGACTGAAACGTCACCTGACTGGGCTGTTTCCACTGTGGAAATGAACCCTTCCACGAGATCCACGCCTCCGCTGTCCAAATGCAACAATCTTGCTCGAACTAGCCATGACCAGTCAATGTATGTGTCGTTAGAAGGCTCCTCGTAGATGGGAGCTTGCAAAACAACCTCAACATCTGTGGACGGAGTCACTAGCGCTGCGTTAAACCACGACTTTCCATCTCTGGGGAAGAATCTGACGGCCAGCGTAGCCACCTCCTTCATAGCCATATGGATGTTAATACCCTTGAACAGCTTGAGTTTTCTGAGATCCACATGACCCAGATACTGCAAAACCTGTTCACATGCTCTGGGGTCAAAAGCCACATCCTCAGCACTTTCCATCATGCATCCTAGCACTAACTTGGCGTCGTTCTGGTTATTGTAGAACCTCTGAGACACCATGTACTCTCCTCCATCCTGTTCGATCTTTCCAATGAGCTTCACAGCTGCCTTATAAGCCTGGTTTTTGGGTGCAGTCTCATTGAACTGGTTGTGCAGAAAGTCCTTGTACTCTGAGAAAGTTAGTTCGTGCTGAAAGTGAGGTAGTCCCAGCACAAACTCATAGGCCTCTCTGAACAGCTGCTTGTCGGAGTCAACGTCCAGTCGCTTGGTGAAGTGGGCTGCCACTTCCTCCCACAACATTCGTGCGCCTCTAGGTCGGTAGTGCCATGTGAATAGACGCTTAAAGGCGTTCAACAGTGCTGTTGAGTCTCCTACTAGTGACAGCAGTTGGATATACTTGATATGCCACAGGAGACTGGTAGGAGGCGGACTAGCGAAAATTTGTTTCAATTGCTCAACAGACTCGTCGTCGGCTGACTCTGGGAGGCTTACAAACTTGGGATCCACATAGACGTTAGCATAGCTCTGGGCCAGTAGACCCAGCAGAGACTCCTGCTCTCCCAGCTCCTGGAGCTCTTTCAGAGCGCTGTTGTGTGCTTCAATATCGTAGACGTCCTTCTCGATGCGTTCTAGCGCCGTTTCTAGATCCATTATGCCGTTGATTTGGCGTTGTGTTCTTGTAGTTATCTGGTGATGATCGTATCTTACTTGAACGAGTGGTGCAGTGGTTCGAATAAATAATAAGGTTAAATGCACATGTATGCAGTACTAGAAAATAATTTCCAAAGAAGTGCGAATCTAATTATTTTTTTCCAACATCCTAACCAACGACCATGAACTCGACAGAATACCTCACGTCGTATGGGTGGAAGCAGGGAGAGGCTCTAAAGAAGGGCGGCCTCAAGAAGCCCATTCTGGTCAAGCACAAGCAGGACACCAAGGGTCTGGGTCATGATGCTGGAGCGCACGATGCGTGGTGGGAGAAGATGTTTGATGGTACTCTTCAGAACCTCGAGGTTGGAGGCAAAGGCAAGGATATCGCCTTCAAATACTCTGGGGATCATGTGGAGACTTCTGTTCAGGACGCCTCTCCGCTCTACCGCATGTTTGTGAAGGGCCAGGGTCTCAAGGGCACTATAGGTGTGGACGCTGAGGTCAAGTCTTCTACTGTCGTTCTTACAAAAGATAAGAGCAAGAAGGACAAAAAGGACAAGAAAAAGGAAAATGCATCTGTGAATGGAAAGGACAAGAAGGACAAGAAGGACAAGAAGGACAAGAAGGACAAGAAGGACAAGAAGGACAAGAAGAGCAAGTCTGACAAGAAGGATGAAAAGGACATGAAGGACGTGAAGGACAAGAAGGACAAGAAGGACAAGAAAGACAAGAAGGAAAAGAAGGAGAAGGAGAAGGAAAAGTCTGACAAGAAGGAAAAGAAGGAAAAGAAGGAAAAGAAGGATAAAAAGGATAAGTCCGACAAGAACAAGTCTGGCTCTACCTCTGAACCTGCATCTATCTCCAAGAAGAGAAAACGAGACGAGGGAGAACCCAAGAAGACCAAAAAGTCCAAGAAATAATACTGCCTGGACAGCAGACATACTAATTTATAGAATCACAATGATAGACTTATTTAGTGAATGATATCTAATAGACTAAAGCGGGTGTGCGGTGTTGTGTGGTGGAGCAGTTGGCGGCAGCTTACAGTACTACAGGTAAAGTGGGATGCTCAAGAACTGACTCTTCTTGGTTGGCGTCATCCTACAGTAATGGCTTGAACAGTGATTTGAACATTGGGGTACTTGTACTTGTACAAGTGAGTTCATTGAGGACGTTTCAATTTGCGCTGTTTTGCGACAAGAGCAGCGATGATACATACAGTACATACATGATCTTCAACTACTTGTACATACTGTATGTAAGAACTAACCTACTTACTGTAGGTTTCAACCGGCAATACTTACTTCCGACTGCTATGTTAAGAAAGTAAAAAATAAATAGATCCCCATCCATTAAGCATCACTAAGATTCTAAATTTACCCTACCAGCAACCCTCCAGGCTTGAGTTTTTTAGTTGAGAGGTGTGATGTCGTAGATCACTTACAGCATCACTTACAACGGAACCCCCTACTCATCTTGATCTTCCTCTTCGTTGCTTGTCAATTAATGCCAACTAAACGAAGAAACTGCTCTAATCGAGAGTATCAGACATGAAGTTACGAAATGGACCCCTTTGGCGAGATTTTGTACATTAATTATCTTGTCGTCACTCATTTTTATGGTGGTTGTGGTCTCGTTTTTAAATTTTCGGAGTCTCCACTTTTTGTCCCAGACCATATTAGAAGGCCCAAGAGATGGCTATCAGGGTTTGAGTATGCATGCATGTCTAAGCAGCCATTTATTCAAAGAGTGGAGGTATATTAGGAGAAAGAAAATCGCCACTTGTACTCAATTGTTTCTTTCGCCACCCTGCCATTACCAGCAATGACATTCAACAAAATCACACCCACTTCCAAGGGTTTCGGACTCATGGGCTTCACATGGAGAGAAACCGAGACCCCCGATGAGATTGCCTTCCCCACCATGAAGCGAGCCATTGAAAAGGGCATTCTTGTGTGGAATAGCGCCGAGTTCTATGGTACCAAGGACCCACTAGGCAACCTCAAGTTGATTCGACGATACTTTGAGAAGTACCCCGAAGACGCCGACAAGGTGTGTCTGATGGTCAAGGGAGGTCTGGGACCCAACTTGGTGCCCAATGGCTCCAAGGAGTTTGTGCAGAAGTCCATTGACACTGTTCTGGAGACTCTGGGAGGCTCTGTTCCTGTGAGCATCTTCCAGTGTGCCCGTGTGGACCCCAATACCCCCATTGAGGAGACGGTCGCTGCCATCAAGGAGTATGTTGATGCTGGCAAAATTGGAGCTCTGGGTTTATCTGAGGTCGGGGCTGCCACCATTGAGAAGGTCCACTCTCTCAGTCCCATTGCTGCTGTTGAGAATGAGCTATCTCTGTGGGCCACCGATATCTTCACCAACGGTGTTGCTGAAGTCTGTGCCAAGTACAACATTCCCATCACTGCCTATGCTCCTCTGGGCTCTGGCGTGCTTACTGGCCGGTTCAAGAGCACCCAGGATGTGCCTGAGGGAGACGCCCGAAAGCACATGGTCAAGTACCAGGAGGAAAACTTGAAACAGAATCTCGTTCTCGTTGACCGACTTAAGGAGGTGGCCACCAAGGCCGGTATTCCTCTTCCTCAGATGGCCATTGCATGGGTCAAGGCTCAATCTAACCACAATGGCCATGGAACCATCATCCCTATCCCAGGTAACACCACTGTTGCTCGGCTCGAGGAGAACCACAATGATCTCACTCTGTCGGCCGAGACTCTCAAGGAGATTGATGATGTTCTGAAGAGTACTAAGATTGTTGGAGATCGAGGATTTACTCTTGGTGGAGAGTTTATGAATGGTTAAATCACTTGGTTAGCAGTGATGAGATTGTTACGAGTAGACATTGTTCTTTTCCACCCTTTTCGACCCCCACCCCACTGATCTGTATAGATGTTATTTGATTGATTGAAGCGAGTAACTGGCACATGACACCTCTCTAGTTCCTAGTAATGACGGATAAGCATACAACCTGTGCAAGTCCCCGCCAATTACCCTCACAATGGTATTTCCAGCTGTATTGTAACTACACTATTTCCTTCCGGATAATTACAGCTGTCAACCCTATTTTGGTGAGGTTCATATATCCGGTGGATGATACAGTATGTAAGTATTTCCCCACATAGCCATGCCTCCTATTCTAGCATGTGATTGAGTCGGAGTTTGGCGCGATTTTTTTTTCTTACTTAATGCTTCCCACCAAGCACAAGTAATTGTATATGTGGGTCTGTATACAAGTACGATAAGTGTCTTGATCACCCGCCAGCCTCAAGGTTGCACTCGATGGTTGTTCACCGTGACGTTTGCCATTCTGCAGGTTTATTCCGAGACGCGCAGAGTAGTGAGCCAATACAAATTCGGGAGGTCATACGTGGTGGTTCAGTTACGTAATTAGGAAAATGAAGCAGTAACAAGGAATAATGAGAGGTTATGGCTACACACGTGTCTTTCTCTTGTCTTCAAGGCCCCTTACAAACTCATCTACACACAGTCACCGCCTCCAGTCTGATGCGCGCATAACAAAGTTATCCATGTATGGAAGATGCACCCCCTTTCATCTACCTGTACCATGAAATGAGCGATTCAATCGAGCCCCGACCTCAGCAAAAAGGGCAGTTTTTGTGGATTTTGGGCGGACTGGTGCTAGTGGTGGCACTCCGGGGAATTCTCTTCAGCTCGCTGGCTCTCGGAGTGCTCCTGGGCTTCCTCTCGGCTGTCGTCCTGGTGCTGGCCCTGCTCTATGTGCATAACGGCAACTCGACCAATGGAGCCTACTCGACAGGCATAGAACACCCCTCGGGTTCGTTCAAGCCCATCGGGTTCACGCTGCCCGAGGTATGGGAGCGCCACGTGACAGAGCTCACCACAGAGCCCGCAGAACTACCTCCCATCGAACCGAACTCCTTCATCATCAGCGACTCACTCGACACGTTGATCGAGTACATTGTGCGGGACTTTGTCATGGCATGGTTCGGCAACGTGTGCAAGACAGACCACATGTTTGGCTATGAGATCGATACTGCCTTGAGATCCATTACCAAGGAGTTGTCTCTGAGACTCAAACGAATAGATCTGGCCGTCTTTCTCATTCTCAAGCTGCTGCCTATTGTCAAGACACATTTCACCGACTTTGTGACCGCCGACAAGACTGTGCGTGAAAGAGCTGGAACTAAACTCACCGAGTCCCATGAGTTCAATGCTGCTGTGGCTACAGAGTTCCTCCAGAACGTCTCTGAGCATCCACATCCAGCTGTAGCCGTGAAGGACATGGACAATGAAGCCCGTGGGAAAGAATGGCTTCGTGGAGTCAGTCAGCGACTGTTGCTGCGTACTCTGCCTGTGGAGGAACGCAACGTGAAACTGGTTGTTTTGCTGTTGCGAGAGATTCTGGCTTGTACAGTTCTCTTTCCAGTCGTCAGTGGAACGCTTTCAGACCCCGACACGTGGAACCAGCTGCTGGTCAAGTTCGTCGAGCCGTCTCTGGAGGATAAAAGGAATGTGCAGCAGGTGAGAGACGCTTTGGATAAACATTCTGCAGCTCAGACCACAAGCCCCGCCCCTTCAGAAGGATCCGCCACTCCCAAAAAACGGCCAATCAAGCTGTCGCCGTCAGCTTCACAGCAAGACTTTGAAAGGTTTATACGCAAAATCAAGGCTATCGATACAGCCCAAGAAGCCAAACAGCTCCGATACAACATTTCTGTCCAGCTTCAACGGCTCGATAAGGAGGCTTCTGGCTCGTACGAATCCGGCCTGTATTCTGGGCGCCTTCGAGAAGCCCAATCCATTCTGGATGCTAAGCTGCAGGACTTTGGTATCGCTAGCAGTGCCAGCGCTCCTTCTTCGGCACCTTCCTCTGCGTCCATCTCAGAGAAGCCTCATAACCTCAACGCTTTCGAAAAATTTCTTAGGAACACCACTGCAACTGCGTCGTCTACCATCTCTTCATCTTCTTCGATGTCTGAAGAGCATATTGTGGCGGCTCTTCGACATGATAAGCTCAAGTATGGTCTTTCAGACGTGCTCAATGATCCTTCGTGTCTGCAGTGGTTCATGGAGTTTGCCGACCAGCGGTCTAGAATGGTTCTTTTGCAGTTCTGGCTGACGGTCAACTCTATCAAGGATCCCCTTGAGGAATTTGCGGGTAAGACACAGGAGGGTCTGGATCTCGACAATGAGGACCAGTCCGATGACGAAGACATTCCTGTTGGCGTGACTGCCTCCCAATTGAAGCAGTCTCGAGATGACGTGGAGACAATCTACGAGATGTACTTCCAGGGCCATATGGAGGGTCCTCAGCTGGTGGTTGATCCTCGAAGCTTCAACGATGTTAGAACGTTTGTTGAATCCAAGCACCCCACCATGGACCAGTACAGACAGGCACGAAAGGGTATTTTGCGAACCCAGCATGCTGCTTTCCAGAAGCTTGAAAAGTGCGATTTGGAGGATTTCAAAAAGTCAGATTTGTTCTCCAAGTTCCTGGCTATTCAACCCACGGAGCAACAGATTGCAGCTTACCACAAGAAAAAGAAGAAGTGGGGTGTTACTGATATGTTCAAGAAGCTCGATACTCCAAAGAGGAAGCCTGTTTCGTCTTCGGCTTCGTCTTCGCATCATGACACCAAGAGTTCACCTGAGAAGCGTGACAGATCGTCTCACAACGACCACCAAGACAAGCGGAACTCCCATCATCAATTTGACGGCGCTAATACCAGTCTGCTGGATGGGGTTGATGTGGAGGCAAATGACGACTTCAACTCCCATTACTCGTCTTTAGATCAGTCTCAAAAGCCTGCTGCTGACAAATCGCTGATTGATCTCAATGATACACAATCTCAGTCTGAAAAGGTTGCTCCACAATCAGCACCTCTGATTTCTTTGGATGATGAGGCTACTTCAAGACCTGTTACACCTCCTCCACAGCAACCTACTAGTGCTGGAGAGTCCCAGCTTTCGCAATCTGAAGCTGTTCAGGCCGCCCTCAAGTCTATCATGGACTCTCCATCTGGCACCAGAGATCCTCTTTTTGATGATGACGACGACTTTGGTATCTTTGGCAGCAAACGATCCGGTTCAAAGCTGTTGGAAGAAGGAAGTAGGCCCGGATCTAAACTGTTTGAGGGCAGTCGACCGGCTTCTAAGCTGTTTGATGACTCGGATTACGATGAAAGTGATGTGGAGAAGGTCCAGTCTTCTGTGGTGGCATCGCTTTCACAAAGCTTGGATGAAGATCAGATCAAGGCATTGGACACAGCTGACGCAATTCCTCCAGAAGAAGAGTCATTCTCTTTGCATTTTGCCTCTCCCGGTGATCTCGGATTGACGGAGGCTATCAAGACTCTCACTATCGATATTGAAAAGCTGAAGGGTCAGGTTAAGGTGCTGGAGCCACTGTTGCGTAAGGCCGAGCTTACAAACAACACCAACGAGATTCGCATTCTGTCCAAGTCGGTCTCATCGCTCCAGCGGGAGATCAACAATAAGGAGATGCAGCGACAGCAGTACATTGTGCAGGAGACAGACAACAGCCTCTATGGACGATCTGCTATTGCAATTCAAAACGCCGTGTCCAGTCACGACAAGATGGGTAATGAGTTTGTAGTCTACCTTGTGGAGGTGACTCGGCACGGTGACGACTCGGACAAGGAAGGGGCGTCTTCTGCCACTTGGATTGTGGCCCGAAGATACTCGCACTTCCTCCAGCTTCATCAGCATCTCATTCGTTCCTTCCCCTACATTTCTCGCATTCCCTTCCCCAAGAAAAAGGTGGTCATCAAGTTCAATCAGAAGTCGTTTGTCGATTCGCGCAAGGTCCAGCTAGAGGCATATCTTCGGGAGTTGCTCAAAATGCCTGAAATTTGCAACTCGGTGGCCTACAGAGCCTTTTTGTCGTCTCACAATTTCGTGACCAAGTACAAGTCTGTGGCAGAAGAGGGTCTTCGGGCTGATGCTGACAACCGGGTTTCTCTCAGAGACGAGCTCCGAGTCGCTACCAACTTCTTTGCCAACGACGGGCTTCTGTCTGACTCTCTCAACAGCAACATGATTGGAGCCAATGGAAGCAACAACAGTTCTGCATCGTTGGCTTCGGAGTCGACTCAAACTGCGACTGCCTCAGCTGTTTCTGGAACCTCTAACAGCACCGCCACCACTGCGGCGCCCAAGAAGGAGTCCAAGATCTCCAATGCTACATTTGTGAAACCCATTTCTGATCTGTTTGTAAAGCTGTTCAGACTGGATCGGGGAGACGGTCTCATTCTACGAGGGCGGGCCATTGTCATTGTCATCCAACAGCTCCTTGGAGGAACCATCGAGCGACGGGTTCGAGATTCGCTAAACTCTCATGTGGCTAACGAGCAGAGTGTCAGCAACTATCTGCAGCTGCTTCTCAACAATGTGTGGCCAGATGGCAAGTTCAGGAGTGCAGGAGAAGTTCGAAGTGTCCATGAAAAGACGTCTACGCGGCACCATGCCAAGACACTGTTGGAGGCCGCCATTGTGGACTTTTCGTCCAAGGTTGTGGGCACTTCGAATTCCAAGTACGCCGCTCATAACCTGTTCATGATGTTGCAGAACCCCATCCTCAACCGACAACTGGTTCTGTTGATTCTGGATGAGCTGGTCAACGAGCTGCTCTCGGAGCATTAAATTATGGCGAATGTATATGAATTATTTAAATAAGGAAGAGTATTGGGTTGTACTAGGGGGAATGTAATTGTTCAATTTATGAGAATGATTGGACGATGTAATTTCGACTATTGTATATACTTGTACAAGAGTACATAGCTCTATTCTTTATGCAGCCCCACGATAACATCGCGATAATCACAGCGCATACAGTCACGATAACTCATGCAAGGTGACATATTATATCGAAGGGATTTAGAACTGGTATGACACGATATTGCTATTGATGTGGATACGCCGCTGTCACATTTTAATTGCCATCTTACTTCAGACCCCTGCGTGCTGTATTGACAGTGACAGTCGACAATGTACAGTAAATAGCTTGTACCAGTTCTTGGATGCACTGGAATCGTAATTGCTGATTTGTGATCAGTAATTTCAGTGCGGCTCCCACCTCTGATCGGATGTTTTCCCCGGTGTTAAACTGGTTCGGCTATTGTTGCTTGTTTGGCTGCCAACTCTGCTATGTCCGTCAACTATTGTCTGCCAGTCGCCAATATTTGCCACCCATTTCTCGCGACCATTTGTAAGCTGCTGTTTGTATGGTAGTGCGGCAAACTCAATTCGGCACTCCTGGCTGATGCAATCACATGTCTCTTGGCAGTCTTTGAACCGAGATATTGACAGACACGTCTCACAAATATTATCCAGACTGACACAACGAAATGTTTACGACCAGTAGTCGGAGTTATGGAGATACAACCGCTGCGAGACGCACTGCGAGAGGAGAATTGAAGGATAATTTGTGGGGTGATCTGTAGGGAAACCCACACAAGCTAGTCTGAACAAGGGAACCCCTTTGGGACCAATAGCAGACGCGCAGCGTGTGGGGTGTGGTGAATTGAGGTTGCGGTCCAGTTGACTTGTCAATTGAGGACATGCTTAGTTCAGATACAGTAACTATTGCACTATAAAACTGTTAGTAGCAGGATTATAATTCCGAGTGGGGGATAGTCAGGGTGGGGGTACCACGAGCGGTTGAAGAGGTGGAGGGGGGGCTTGAAGGCACCACTGTTGACGCTTCTCGGGGTACCTGGAAGAGTATGGTACTTGTGGTCGCCGCCCCTCACGATTCAGAAGCAAGTCTTATCTGACCCTCTCAAACGATTCGCTCCCAACTCCACCGCATTTTCACCTAAGCTATGAGACAAAACATTGAGCTTAAGGTTGTCCCCGCCTCATGTGGGACAACGGTATCAGGCTACTGGACATGTGCCACATCACGTCATCTTCACGGTTTGTGACAAGTTGAACCTGAAGATCGGTCATGTCACAGCAATGTCAAGAGCAGGGTTGCAGAGACCGTCAGAGAGTGTTTTAGACAGGCTGTCGAAGTCAATTGAGTTGTATGACGTGATTTTCGACTCCCCACGTTAGCATCCTAACGTCGTACAGTAGCATCACATGTCCATCGACCAAGACAACAAAGCACTGAGTTGATGTTGCAAGTAGCTACTGTAGAAGTAATGTGATCAAATGTTGCACTGTGATCCGCGTGAAGGAATAGTTTTTTACAGAGTCGTGAACAGATAGGAACTCTCGCTCTCGGATACTCGGATACTCGGTTAATCGGTGAATCGGTTAATCGCTACTCGCTTAGTTATAGTTTTGTAATAAATACAGATACATTTCGTATATGGGCGGAATCCGCAGATGTGTTGTGAGTGTGAGTCGTTAGTCGTGAGCAATAAATAAAAGTCGGTGTTCGTGAGAATCATATCAAATGATTGTGTATCACGTACCTGTTTTACTTAGGCAGATGCTCCAGTGGACTCGACAACCTCAAACTCCTTGTTCTCAGAGGCGGACTCGGCAACGCCGTTCTGAGTGTTGTTCTTCTTCTCGCCAGTGACATCGTAGGTCTCGGCAAAAAGAGATCGGGGGTAGGCCAGTCGCACCTGAGCGAGAGGACCGTTCTGGACAGCCAGCTTTCGGTACTCAGAGAAAGAGGAGACGGTGGACTGGTTTCGGACCTGAGAAGGAACTCGGGCAGAGAGTCGGGCAATTCGGGCAATTCGAAGCATTGTGTGTGTGTTGGTTAGGGGGTGGGAGAGTGGTTGTAGTGGTTGTAGTGGTTGTGTAGTGACTTGAGTGTGAAGAAAGAAGACACACTGGGGAGGAAGCACGCTATATATAATCCAGTTCCATATACTGATGCTAGGAGTATTGGGTGATTTGCATCTCAAAAACACAAAGTGCAAAGCAGCTAGTCCACTTGGAAATAGAGTATTTTTCACCCATCTCTGAAACCCAAAATTCTTTGTGCCATGTCTTGCTGGCACGGTTCTCAGTACTGCCTGTGGAGAAAGAATTTATCCGATACCTCCGAGGAAACTAGTGTGAGGACTATCTATAATACTCCGTCGGAAAATCGACTCTAAACGGTGGATTCTCCTTACCAAAGAGGTCAAACTCCTCTTCTCCTGGGTCCACTTTGCTTCAAAACACGCCATCTCTCATGCACCAAGAAATATCCACCTGCTTACAATCCGCCATGGCTTACGTCACGGCTCCCTTGTGTCTGTTAATATTTCCTCATGGACACGAACTCTATCAACTCTTATCATCGGATGCCGCTATCTGGTTGGCTAATGGGATATGCAGTGCACGTCTAAACAGCCTGAGGCATGCCACTGACGTAGTCCACCGTTGATGGAGAGATATAGGGAAAACAATGTCAACTGACGTAAGCCTGGATCGTCCCAGCCCCTTACTTGGCTGTGTAGATTTTTTCTGACAACGTGATTATACGATCGAGAGAGAAAGAGTGGGATTAAACTACGACACTTCACTGTCAATCATTGAGTGACTCGTGCCCTCCTGTGTCATACTTGCCTTAACTCCCAACAGCTGGCCTGGCCCTCTCTCACTTCACCCGCTCTCCCCACTCTTGCTCTCGCAATGTCTTTCCTTCCATAAACCCATGCTCTCTCTCTCCTCCCTTTTAGCCGCACACCGTCGTTTCCACACCGAAGACGAGAGAGGGGTTGTGCTACAGGAGTGCGTGTGTACTGCGCGAGATTGAAAAAAATCCGCATCATGCTCCCACAATGCACTCAGTGCCAACGTGGTGAAAGTCTATAGGGCGTTGCAACCAGCAATCTCTGGGATTCTGGCCTGTCAGATTAACGTGCAGCTCTCTCCTGATGATAGACATGACCGCCGAGCCTATGAACGTTGTATAATCGAGAGGAAAAAGCCATACTTAAAAATTATGGCTTCCAAACACGAGGAATGAGAGACAGAGACAAGACTGAAATATCATGCGTAAAAGATATCTGGTACGATAACAATGGGAACCGAGGCAAGCGAGATTCGTTTCCCCTCAACTCTCGCTTGTGCTCCCCGGATTCATCTTGTTTATGCTGCCACTCTACAGTTATTTCTACTTGTAGCTATTTACCTACAATAAACAGAAATAACCGGGCCACCGACTGCACACCTCTTGGATCGATTACCATCGATACCCACCGACTCAGTGCTCTGCGTCTCCTCACTTAGACCCGGAAAACCGCCGCACCAGGGCAAACTCTCCACAGGCATACTTCGATGCGAATCGTATAAAGTAGCCGCTGCAAATTTTGTAGCTAATAACCGCGGACCGACCGTTGGAACTCCCCGGGAAGAGGGAATAGGGACGAGAGCGAGGAGCGAATAATTGTGCCATGAATAACGAACCACAGCGGATATATTTGCCTAAACGAGAAGAAATGACAAATCCGTCACTCTGATACAATCCATACAGCCGCAGACTGCGCAGACTGCAACCTCGGTCATCTGTTTGCCACTTTCTACGTAGCACTGAGTACACTTTTCCCGTTGCAATTAATACACCATGGTGTTGTTTTCGTCATTGCGGTTGGCCCTTCGGACTTCACGTCGGATTACCAATCGGGACCATGGGGAAATCTACCCTAATCAGCCACTTGCCCAAACAGTGGATCTCCCAAGAAAATCCCCAAATCATAAAGTCTTCGCCACCATTAATGCACAGGTGAAAAGTTTTCCCAATTAAGTCACGTGACGCTTCCAACTCTGTCGAGCCCATCAGTGGAAACTACGACTGTCGCCACCGAAAATTTTTGTGCAACCCGCTTCGCTGAAAAGCTGTTAATTTTCCGATTCAATTGAGCCCCATTACATACACTACGAAGTCACGTGATTTCCATGCACACCTTAAATATGTTTGTTGGGAGTTTGTTGATTCTGTAGTTAGACCTGTTGTTCCCCTGACCTATGGTTCTAACAGAGTCTATATATCCTATAATAACACCCCGAATCGATATTTATCGAGATATATTCCGTATTCCGGGAAATATTTCGTGGCAAGGATCCCAATATGTCTTTCTCGATTACTCCGTCACCATTAATTAGTCCGTATTTTCGGCACTAGTTGAGTATCTGTGACACTTCATACAGTGTAGAGTAGCTCAACTACGAGCATTACTGTACCAGTAGGACCACGCCAATTTAGAACCACTGTGATCTCGAAAAGATCGCAAAAATAGCGCGTCTTCACGCTTCCAAACGTTTAGCTACAGATTCCCATGCATTGACTCCCGGTGACGTGCCGAATTGCTACCCCAGTGGTACATTCACAGTCCGCCAATCCGAGTATGGAACTACAACTGGTGCTACTTTAGCCGTCCCACTAACGAATAGTGTGTGACATGTCAAACTGACGACCTCGTGTTCACAGAAAATAATGACATTGGCTAGCAGACATGAAACTCGCTCCCCAAGCCGCTCCTTAATTGCCCTTATAGCTACTATAGTTTAGTTGTAGTGGAAAGTGACGTGTGGAGTACCTGTAAGTGTATCCATAATATTGTTCTTTATCAACAGCTTTGCTTTGAGACACTGTGGAAATACAGCTTGGAATCCAAGAGGTACTTAGATTCAGAATAGCATACATCGGGTGTTCTAGTTATCCATACATTCTTCGCTACTCGCTTTCGTCGTTGTGTGTGTGTACCATTCTATACCTAAATAAATTAACTAGCGAGCAACATTATGAAGCTCGTTTTGAGGCTGTCCCTGGGCCTGAGCCGCCTGCGCCTTTTCCTGCAATTGCCGCTTGTCAATCAGAGCTCTCCAAGAGTCGTGAATCTGACGGCCGTTCTTCTGAATCTCGTCGATCTGGCTCTGATCGTACCATCCAGACTCAGCCAGGCGCTTTCGAGTAGACTCAAACAGTTCCTGAGAGGCAATCATCCGACAAGTCATTTCGTCCGAAGACATGTTGCAGCACTCTTCCTCGGTGGGAGCCAGTTCGTAGGGAAGGATTCCTCCTTCGCCAGTGGCAACTCCGTCGTGCGTAGAAGATACGGATGAGCCCAGTCGAGGGGACATGGTGCCCTCTCCTTCGGTGGAGCTCTGGCTGGTCGACGCGTGGTGCTTTCGGATAGTTAGGTCGGCGTACTCGTTGGTTGGGACGCCGTCATAGATCTCCTTTCGGAGAGCTGACAATGAGTTGGGCGTGCAGGGGGTGCAGGGGGTGGCCCCGGGGGCCGATGCAGTAGAGTTGACGGGGCAAACAGCAGCAGGAGTCGACATGACCGAGGTGGGATTAGAAGAAGATGCATCTGCACCCTCAATGCCAAAGTAGTCGCCTCGGTACTGTCGTCGGAAATGCGAGTGAGTAGACTCTGAGAGAGAGTCGTCATGGGTATCCGAGTCGGGAGAATGAGAAGACTTCACGCCCTGTTGTTGCTGTTGCTGCTGTCGCTTGTTGCCCCGCGAGCTTCGCTTTCGCTTGACGGCTTCAATCACCTCCATTGCCTTGTCAAAGTAGTCGCTCAGCTCCTTGTCGTTGTCGTCGTCACCATGGCCTCCCCACACCGACGGAGCGGTGGAGTAGGAGATGGAGGATCTCTCACTATGGGGCGGCACGTCCGGAACGGTGGCCAGGCCTGCGGTAGCAGACTGGCTTCGCTTGGGAGGTTTGGGAGTGTTGGAAACCTTTCTCTTGAGCGTTGATCCAAAGTTCTTGAGGAGCTTGGATGACGAGAGAGACGAAAGAGGGGTCGAGTTGGGCGAAATTGTGAATCCCAGACCCACATTGCTATTGTTGTTGTTGTTGTTGTTGTTGTTGCTTTCATAGTCAGGTGCGGCAGGTGCTGAACTGACGGAAGTTGACGAACTGCCGTTGAGGAAAGGACTTCCCAGACCACTCAGCTGGAGATGCAGCTTCTTGTGGCCTCTCTTCTTTCGAAAAGATCGCCGTTCCTTGATGCTGGGCACCTCAGGAGCGGCAGGACAGCTCTCAGCTCCGGACTCCCACAGGTCATTTGAATCTGCGGTCGAATGCATTGAGAAGGCCTGCATGTCGATTTCGGACTCGTCGTCGTTGTCACCTTCGTCATCGTTCTCGTCAAAGTCCTCGTTGTCACCGTCACCGCCGTCATTGTCGTGATAGTCCGACTCGGAGTTGTAAGTGGTGTAGGTGTCACATCTCTGGATCCACGAGGGGATGGAAGTAGACCGCTGGCGGTTGGACCGCTGGTCAACGGAGAGCTCGTCGAAGTCGGATGCCAGAGACGCTGACTCGATGGATGCATGACGAGTCTGGGCTGGCGACACTGGCAGCGATGCAGAGACCTTGTTGAACCCGTAGTCGTCTGATGGCGAGTTGGGGAAGGACGAGTCTTGGGGTGTGGGCAGAGGAGGCAGCAAGTTTCGTGCCTCGTCGACCTCTTCGGGAAAGCTGGTAGAGGGACCAGCCTGGACGGGCGACTGATAGATTGATGAAGATGCAAAAGATAATCTGTCAGCTGCCCTGGCGTCGACAGCGCTGTAAGAAGAGGATCGGTCCAAGGCTGATCGGGCGTCTGTTCCTGCTCTCAACAGCTCTGGTCGCTGCTGCGGAGCAGTATTGTAAGTGGGCACGATAGGTACAGTGTCAGCCTTGTTTGTATCCCTGAGAAACTTGGGCGACGGCTGCAGTTGTGGCGTGGAGGACACCGAGTTGGGATGCGAGCGAGGGGTTAGACGGGGCGGGTGACTAACGGCAGGGGGTATGTTGTGAAGAAGCATACTTCTGTGTGAGGGAGGTGGGATACCGGGAGAGGGTTTGAACTCGCCTGAGGACCGCAGAGAGTCAATCGATCGGATTGAGTCCGCTGGCGACCGCATCTCTGCAGCCTTCATGTCGAAGGGTCGGAACTCCATTTCGTTTGCCACAGGTGATCTAGGTGGCGTCGCTGTGCCTCCAACCACACTTGGGGTGTGTTTGTGGAAAGCCTTGGACAAGGAGGGAATGGAGTCGCTGTGTTTGAGCTGCAGAGACCGCTGTCGCGACAGTCGTGGCGGCTCCAGAGGCTCAAGTGGCGGCCCGTATGTCGAGGAGCCGTTTCCTACGGTGTTACTGCGTGCCCGGAACATGTTGGACAAGCTGCGACTGCGACTTCGGGTGTCTGCTGTGACTGGTGGCGGCGTTGAAGTCATGGCTTGTGTTGTGTGATGCTCGTGGACAAGAGAACGCAAGAGAACGAGTTATAAACGGAGGGAAAGTGTCGATGTTTATGCCAGTGTCGAAAAAGTCGGTCTATCGGTCTATGGGGTCGAAATGGGGCTTTGGCGTTTGAATCGAGTAATCGAGTTGGTCGAGTGGTTCTGTGTTGACCTTGTTCAGAGAGGCAAAAGATGGTGGTGATCTCAATGAGAGGGTCGAGAGGTATCGCGGAGAAGGAGAGGTTGGTGTGACACGGGTGTCAGCTGAAGCGTGGGGGCGAGGATATACGGGTCTAGGACCTCTTCAGAAGTGTCACCTGGAGGTGAAAGGTGAGGGCTCGGTAATGCTAATAAGACTCTTCACCAAGGCCCTATCCAAAACTCTAATGGTTATTATCAAGAGGTTGAATTGGTAACTCAAAATCCGGGAGATAATCTCAGTACGCTAAGCAACAGGGTGCAACAAGCGAGTGGCTAGGGCAAAAGTGGAAAAGTGAAAGGCAAGAAAGCGCACCCGACCTGATTGGGACGAAGTACCAAAGAGCGGAATCATACATGGGTTTCCCTCCCTTGTTGTTGGCCCAATAGTTAATGTTTGGTTGGGGGACTAGTATCGCAGTCTACTCGTCTGGCCCGACCACGGCAAAAGGACGCCAGTAGGCGCCGTGACTACATTGCAAGTGGTCTCAGATTGCCGCAAAGAGCTGAAACGTGTGCTTGGAGGGTGAGACCTCGGTTGCCACACCACTCACGGTGGTCGGGTGGCCCTCTACAACTCTCTCCTTCTCTGTCCTTCCAATTGTCGCTTTTTCATTTTTAACACTTTTCAGTTTTGCTTTTACGACTCTCCCACACCGCATTTTTTCGCACCCGCAGTCCATCTGCACCTGGACGACGGTGAACAAGACTAATATCCAAACCCAATACCTTAATGGGTGGATTTTCAGGCTCTGAAAAGCGGAATCCTCCACGAAGCCGAAGCCCTTGTCTCAGATGGTTGAACGTGAATCGTGTGTTAGTGGTGTTTGCGGCCGGCATCCGAGGGCTAACAGGGTAGCCCTGGAGGTCTTTGGGCCCTGAGTTATCGCCTATTAACGTCATAGATACAAGGACATGGGTGATAACCACTTGACATGAATGCGGATGCCGACACTGATTTTTTACCTACTTGAGCGGGAATACCGTTTCGTGTGCATGATGTACAAGAAGGTTGGGTCCGGTCTGGATCGAGCACAAGTGGTTACTGGATTGAGAAGCAGTGGTGAAACAAGAGACTCGTTGTTTAGCCAGTACCATTGAGCCCATCCGGTCGACTGCCTGCGGGGCCAGGGCATGGCACAGCCCATCGCAATTACCTATCATACGTATAAATGTGGATGAGCAATCATACGTCAGCTTCTGTCCCTTTCTCTCTCCCTCCCCCAAAGACCCAACCCTCAGTTAAATCCCGTTCTCATGTTTACTCTTGAGCGGACGAGGGTGGGACTGCAGGGCCAGCAGGCGGCATATGTGAAGCGGCCTCTCTAAGGTGGTTCCTTCGTTTCAAACGGCGTGTCCGAGAACAAGGTCAGGGGACAAGAGGCGCGCCGAAGTCGACGGCAACTTGTCGTCGCACAAGCACAATGCCAACCAGGTAAACATTATGGGCACTTGGGAAAAGTCCCATCTTGGCTACCAGTAGCACTACTTCTAGTTATTTATAGAACACTGCCATCTGGCCGTTCGGTGCACTAAATCCGCAGCTGAAGGCCCCCGTTCAGCTGGGTGCAGCATACGGACCGCCTTGGCGCTGCTATTTGGTTTTTATTATTTTGTTTCTTTTTTTTATTTTGTTTTCAATTTGCCATCGTAAATTGGCTGAGGGGCATCGGCGTAGGTAGCACTCTCTCCTCTCCGTCGTCCAGACGGCCATGTCAGTCTGTCTGTCAGAGAGAGCACTTTCTAGGTAGGGTAAGCTCCATCTGAATCCCCAAGAAAAGTCACACATGGACAGCCTTTGGATTTAGCAGACATAAGCTTCAATTCTCCAAAGTGCCAACTCTGAGGGACGTCAAGTTCTTGTTAAGAAGCCCCAACTCAACAGTTTGGACCACGGAAACAGGAGAACGATTGGATAAAAAGAAATGTTTTGGTTGCAGCATCAGATATCGTAGGTACCTGACACTCGAGCTTTCTTCAGCCCGTCTATTCCATGACTAGAGCGTCTCCAATGTCCCTACACCCAACTCTGTTTATACCTCAAAAAGGCCCGACTCCACGCAAAAACTGGCAAGTACGACAACAAAGTTCTCACGGGTAAGCAGCTTTGCCAGATCGCTCGGGGATTTTTTTTCCGTGTAAGCTCCACGGTGTCTTCAGAGTCTGACAGAGTGCCAGCGAGCCACCGATTGTCCGAAAAAATGGCCCCAATAGGCAAATCACTAATCGCTATTCACGTGGGTGCTAACCAGCTGGTATCTTGTGTACAGCAACCGGCTGTTTCGGCGTGGAGGGGGTACCTTTGGCAAAGGAAGCTACAGTACAAGGAACGCACATTAGTCCTGTCCACTGGTGTGTATTGGTTGGGGGAGGTCTGTCCCCCACTGTCTATTCCTCTCTCAGAAGCTTCCCCACAATTGCAGAACACTATGATCGCTATTATAATACTCGTATGGTTGCTTGCTGTGAGAAGCCTATCGTGGGTTGTGGTAGAAACGAGTATCGTGCCGTGTGCACGCTAACCCCACTGCAGTACTCGTACTTGTATGTTGCTCTTCTGGTGTCTCACCATTATTTCTATGATCGGCCTCCACGTAACTGAGTGCCGAAGAGCTGCGCCAAAGGTCTAAGTAACTCGGCTCGACGTCTCACTGCGGAAGGTGGCATGAAAATCTAGAAGCGGTGATCTGAAAATCGGGCTATCCATGATGGGAGCAAGGCGGACGCTGGACAGCGCTTCATGTGAAGAAGCACCCATGCTCGCAACTCCACGGGTTCAATGCAACCGAACCTGTCAACCAGCCAATCGAACTGTGTTACTTTTCCAATGTCGCAAAGAGACGAGCGAAAGCGAGTCTCAAAACGGCCTTCAAAGCTACAGTAGCCTCTGCCATCGACGACATCGACGACATTGCATGTACACTATGTATCGACCACCTACGATACTGCAATACAGTAGCATATCATCATCCGCCGAATAAGTCACTGGTCAAAATATCTCCGTCTTAAACCACTGTCTACCTTGTATATACGCCGTATTCGCATACTCCGCCCCTTCCCGGAGCCCGGCTCTTAGAGCATAACCATTAGCTTGGAGTCTGTGGCTGAAAGATTACCAATTTGGTCCAAATTGGACCTGGAAGAAGACTGACTATCGCCTCGTACCGGGCCCACACGCTACCGATAGTTGAACTATGATCTCGGATCTAAAAGAAAAGTATCCGTGGTATTGAACGGACAGGTGCTGCTTCACGTGCAATTTGCTGTACCTCGTGCTTGATGCATCGCGCCCACATGTTCCGTTATCTCCCTCCTTCTATCGTGGTCCATGCAAGTACGAGCACCCTATACGTACAGGAATTTCTTTTGAGGCAGTCGTGGGACGTTGGGTGCTCTGTTTCCACGTGCAGTCCCTCCAAGTGCACTCGCCTACCGACCACTGCTCTTGGCTGTCCTGTCGATCTCTGAGCGTAAAAAGCAACGATAAAATATAAAAGCTCTGCAGAACAAAACATAATAGACTCGCGGATGGTGCATTAGTCCGCACAGTATATGTGGGTACCGTCAATCGTCGAAATGACGACTTCGGGCTAACGAGCCCGTGTGCCCTTATGCTGCTTGTTCAAGCCTCGAGCCTTATCCAACAGTACATGCGCAGATACAATAGATACGATTTCACTGCTATCTGAAACGTTTCCGATAGCGTTGCGGGATGCAAAAGTATTGTGACAGCAGTCAGAAAGCTGGCTTCCCCAGGAAAAACAAATTCCTTGCGACCAGGGCCTTCTTACCCGCGCAGTGTGTCTTAACTAAAACCTGCACAGGGGGCATGGCACATACAGACATTACACCCATGTAGAAGAGCAGCCAGACTCATATCGCGAGAGTCGTATCATGAGGAAAAACAAGGAATTATTGTGCACATATTGACACTGTGTGGGTCTTAGAATTTGAAAATATGTAATATATTTCGAACTTTCGCACGTACGACAAAGACATGCTCTCCCATGGCCTGATGCTCCACCACCCTCGAAGCCATTGCCAACACCTTTTACCATTTCCAGGAACAAGCGGGAAAAACAAATACTGACACATGTACAAAGGCTGCAAAGCACCAATAAATCAATGTTCAGAAAAACAAATGCCCCTTATATTGCTGATGAGTTGCTCTAATAACCAAGTAGCCATTCCATAGATATCGGCGATGAGTGATGTCGGAACCTACTCGTTTGGAGCCGTGCATTGAGCAGCTGTTTAGCAGCCATTCAAGTCCAGCCACCGCATTTGCTTTTAAACAACTGCTAGCGGTAGTGACTGTTTACTGTATACGGGATGGACGGAGGAAATGCGTCGTGAAAGGCCCCCACTCAACACGTGTATTTATCATCCACTTGCTATGACGTCTCGAACTGCGTATGTCAATATACGGGCATCGTGCATTATCGCATACCTAAGGTAGTCTCCCGTTCCCTTGGCTAACAATAAATTGAAACTAGCTGTATTTTATCACTCATCCTCACCGAAACGCTTTCCAGTATGCCGGAATAGCAGACGCTGGTTTCGCGAAACACACTTTTCCACCTCGTTCTGAAGCTGGAACACCTCCTCAGCTAGATTCTGACGATACGGCAGCTCGTCGTCGTCCACCTGGTTCAAGTCGTCGATATGGACTGCAACCTCCTGCCACTTTGGGTCAATCAAATGTGAATGCTTGGCAATCAGATCTCGGGCAAACTCGGGAAGGGAACCCATGGGGTCGTCGTCACTTTCCTCGAGATCCAGATCATCAATAAACACATCCTCATCAATCTCCTTACTCAGGTGCAGCAGCGAGTCGGAAGGATCAGTAATGAACTTCTCGATATCCTCCAAGACGAAATCATTGATGTCGGGACACACAGGTTCAGTCAGAAGTTGGTCTGCGATGGCGTTCTCAAACACATCCACAGGTTCTCCACACTCAGCCATGACATCAATTGTAGCATCGTGGAAGAGATCAGGGTTCCGAACATCAAATAGAGGATGCTCGGCCAGGTCCATCTCTTCAACAATAGATCGGAGAAGATCACCAACGGAAAACTGAGAAGCTCCAGCAGCGACATGAGACTTGGCGGTGCTCGCAGTGCTAGTAGCACTCACCACAGGCTCAAGTTCAGGAGTACTACTGGCAACAGAAGGCGAGCTGGGCTTGGGACTAGGTGAAGCCAGATAGTCTGCCAGGTGGCCTCCAATTTGACCACTGGCACCTCTCCGACTGCTGCCGCTGTTGAAACTGTTGTACTTGTAGTCATCTCCGCTGTTGCTGGGCTTGTTGTAGTTGAGAGAAGATGAGTCATCTTCGTCCCATGTAGACGTTGACATGTTGGAGGCGAGCTTGGGCTGGGGTGCCACGATTGGCTTGGAAGCAGACTCCTTCTCTTCAAGCTCCTTCTTGGCTGCCAGTTCCTTGGCCGCCTTCTCGAGACGCCTCTTCTCGTTTCGCTCTTTCTCAAGTCGTTCCTTCTCAGCTTTCTCCCGCTTGACCTTTTCGGCTTTCTCCTTCTTCATGGCCAGCAAGGACTTCTCGTAGCGCTCCTTTTCGGCCTTCTCAACCTGCTCTTTCTCAGCCTTTTCTTTCTCCAGTCGCTCGGCCTCGATTCGCTCCTTCTCCATCCGTTCTTCAGCAAGTTTGAAGCGCTCAGCATCCCGTTTTTCTTTCTCCTCCTTGTGCTTGAGAGCCTTCTCAGCCTTGATACGAGCCTTCTCTTCCTTGATTTTCTGTTTCTCCTCCCTGAGACGTTGCTTTTCAGCTCTGGCTTCCTCGTCAGCTACAGCCTCCTTAGCCTTCTTTTCTGCCTCGGCCGCTTCCAACGCCTTCTTGAGGGTCTCAGCCGCATGCTCCACCTCCTCGCATGCCTTTAGTGCTAGCGCCTTCTTAGTCTGAGCTTCTTCCTCCTCAATGGTGGTCAGAGCAGCTCTCTCGGCCCGCTCAGCATCCTCCTGCTCCTTTTTGTAGTTCTTGATTGCAAGCTTCTTCTCCCTCTCATAGGCCTTAAGCGAGTTTCTGTACTTTCGCTTCTCGTTCTTGGATAGTACAGAGATGTGCTCAGAAGACAGGATTCGAGGAGGTTCAGGAAGGTCGAGATCAGGAGTGGCAGGTCGACTGCCAGTAAAATCAATTTCGCTGGGTGCACCATCAGTGGTAACAGATCGTAGATCGTCGGCATGCATGTCGCTGTCGTCATCCTGAGGAGGTCCCACGACTCTGTTGATAGCCAGGTTTTCGTAATCACCTGTGTCCTCGTTAAAGTCGTCATCCAACTCATTGTCATAAAGATGGTCACTACTGAATCCTACACCAGGGGTCACAGGCACATGAGCATGGAAGGGCTCAGGTCGCACCATGGCAGGTCTGTTGACATCCAGAGGAGACTTGTCGAATCCTTCAACCTCTAAAGAGTTGTACATTGAAGTCTCAGGACGGGGTCCAGCCAAACCGGGAGGTCCAGACAGTCCAGGAGGTCCACTGAGACCTGGGGGAGCAGAAAGCCCTGGAGAAGCAGAAAGTCCAGGAGGAAGGCCGAAAGGCTGAGTAGTAGTCGGTCCCCACTGGTCGGGGTTGAAATCTCTCGTCAGCGTCATGGGACCCTGACTAATAGCCCTGAGAGTCTCTTCGGGGATTCTGTCGTCAACAGACAGCACAGGGGCTCTTCTGGAGGGAGATGTAGAAGGGCTCAGGCTGGAGTCCTCGTAGCCTGCGGCCAGCACAGACTTTACGTTATGGGGCTGGTTTCTCGATGTTTCTGTGTTAGTTGGTTGTACTTTATGGTAAAATCTACGCTCAGGCTCCACGTATGCAATCACAGCGCGCCTTTAATTTCATTAACTGCATTTTGTCTACATGGTCAACATACATAAAATCAAATTGTTGGGCCGCTGTAGGGGTTTCCTGAGTTTTAACAATGTTCAAAAGAGCTTAGTTCTCACCTTTCTTGCCGCCGTTCATTAGATGTGCCAGAAGCTCTTGGCTGTGATGCTGTTTCTGGTTGCTGTCCCCCATGAGACCAGGAGGTGGGGTGGCGGCCTGCTCGGGCACTTTGTCGGTGGGGCCTCCTTTCATGAGTTGTTGGAAGCTCTGGGTCTCGTCGCTGGCCAGAGGAAGAGCCGCGGCTTTACCACCAGAAAAGATGGCAAAGGGTGTGAACTGGCCCTCCAGAAACTCGGACGATTCGTGCTTGCTGGGGTCCATGATGTTGTCCTTAGAGAAGGCAAATAGATTAGGCAGCGAGTTCTTGTCGTCGTCCAGATCCAAAGACTTGAGAATGGCCGATGAGAACACAAAGTCAAACTTGTTCTTTGATAGCGACTTGAGTGTGTTCTTGAACAAGGGCAGAGTGAAGTCCATCTGACGCTTGGGATCCGGATCCGGCATAGGGTAGTTCACAGCAGGCTCTACTGGAGTGGGCTTGACAGGAGAGGCCTGGGCGGGAGTATGCAGCTTTCCAGCAGGGGTTGTGGGGCTCTGCTTGGCCCAAGAGGCAGTGGCAGGAAGAGCGTTTCCATGGATGTCTTCAGTGGCATGTTGAGCCACTGCAGCGTGGCCACTCTGGTGTCTAATAGGAGTGTTGGGCTGCACGGGCGATGGTTGGGAGTGCTGCTGGAAGTCGCCGTACCGTTGTTGCTGCTGCTGCTGTCGCTGTTGCTTTTGAATGCCCTGTCGAGCCGCATGCTGAATTGTGGAGAGATCCTGCCGGGTGTACGAGTCTGCCTCCTCCCCAGGTTCGTGCAGGAACATGCAATTGGGGTTGGGGCAGGGTTGGCCCCGCAGGTATGACGAGCAGTACTTTGTGGTGCCGTACGCTGCCCTCAAGTACTTGCCGTCGTTCATGGAGCCGTCCACGGCAGCGATACATCGAGCGGCGTCCTCCTTTTTGGAGAACGTCACATAGACGCCAAGGCCGGGGGTGCCGTTGACGTTGTTGCGCCGGTTGATGACAATCTTCTGGATGCGGCCATACTGTCCAAAGAACTGCTCGCCACGAAGAGTGTTGTGCAGATCTTCGGTGGGTATGTCTGGGTTGAGGCCGATGACATAAACGAGGTTCTTCTGGATAACTCGCATGCCCGACAGATGCTTGCGTGAGCTCTGTTCCATCTCCTTCTTTTCCCGCTCCTTTTGCTTTCGCTCCCGCTCCTGCTTGGTCTGCTTGACATGATGCTTCTTCCACTCCTCGGGCGAGATGACCTTGTACTCAACACTCTCGTCGTCGTAGGGCCGTCGACATCCGGGGCATCTGCCATTTAGCTGCGGGTTCTGACGAATGTTGTTGTAACAGAACTGGCAGATCTGGTAGCCGCACGGACAGGGCTTGAAGTTTCGGTCACTGATGTCCATCTCTTCGACGCAGAGAGGACACACCTCTTCTTCCTCATCGGAGATGAAAGAGTCTGCCTGAAATGCCATTATTGTGTGTGTCTGTCTTGGTGATGATGAAGATGCGGTTTTGTGGTGTCGTATTGTATGTGTGACGTGGTGTATGGGTCAGATCAGGTTGGTAGTGTGGCAACGCTATCTGTGTGTGGTGTAAAGAGAGTTGTATCGCCAAGTTGTCTGTTTAGTGCCGGGTAAGTTCACAATTTGGCGTGTTTTGTGCCTGCTGGGAGCTTGCCCAATTCGGCTGACTAAGTTCCACTTGTATGGAGTCTAATGACATGTGAGGACAGGACAGAAATGTGCCTAATACGGTGTTTTACTATCAAAATGCCTGTGGGAAAAAACATAAATACTTATCTGACCCCCCTAAATTCCATCTCCGACCAACCCCTACCCCATCACCGCTTCATACACCCACTTATTCAATACCTCCCACTTTTTGGTCACGTGCAGGGTTTCTCCCAACGTCTCGCCCAATCAAACTCGCCAAAATTCAATTGTCAAACCCAACTCTTGTCTGGTGCAAAAGCCTGTAATACTGGTTACGCAGGAGCCGTCGTGACACACAACACACAACTAACACAATGCTCTCTCGATTCGCCAGAATTGGCAGCATGGGCATCCGCCCCGTCGCAGCAGCCCGTGCTACCTTTGTGACCTCCGCCCGAGCCGCCCAGGCCGCCCCCTCTTGGGAGAACATCAAGGACATCCGACTCGACCCCAAGGTCCATGTTGACGAGGTTTACGAGCCCATCGTCAACCCCGCAGACCGATACCTCCAGCACGTGTCGGACCTCCACCAGTACGCCAAATACATCATGGCTGCTCTGCCCAAGTACATCCAGGGCTTTTCTGTGTGGAAGGACGAGCTGACTCTGCACGTTGCACCAAGCGCTGTCATTCCCGTCACTACCTTCCTGCGAGACAACACCTCGACTCAGTACAAGTCCATCATCGATATTACCGCCGTGGACTACCCCTCTCGAGAAAACCGGTTCGAGGTGGTCTACAACTTTCTGTCTGTGCGACACAACTCGCGAATCCGACTTAAGACATACGCTACCGAGGTGACCCCCGTCCCCAGTATCACCTGCCTGTACGAGGGCGCCAACTGGTTCGAGCGAGAGGCCTACGATATGTACGGAGTCTTCTTTGAGGGCCACCCCGATCTGCGACGAATCATGACCGACTACGGTTTTGAGGGCCACCCTCTGCGAAAGGACTTCCCTCTCACCGGATACACTGAGGTCCGATGGGACGAGGAGAAGCGACGAGTGGTTTACGAGCCCCTGGAGCTTACCCAGGCCTTCCGAAACTTCTCTGCCGGCTCCACCGCTTGGGAGCCTGTTGGACCCGGTCGAGACGACCGACCCGACTCTTTCAAGCTCCCCACCCCCAAGCCCGAGGAGAAGGAAGGCGACAAGAAGTAGATGCATAAATGACAATTTAGTTGAGATAGAGCGATGCTGGTTACATGGGAATGTAGGGTGAGATTCGGAATGAGTGCTATTGAAAAGTCCAGAGTAGGAAGATGGCTTTTCACGGAAGTACAACCCGTGATGGCATTGGATGGAGTACTTGTAGTTCAATGGTTGATGCATTAGGGTACAACCTGGGTCGATTCAGAAGGACGGCTTTTGCATGCAACATCTTCTTTGGCAGATCAAAGAGTGGGTTTCATGGGATTCGAGCTCGCAATAAGTAACATGATAAGTAGGTTACTTAGATTTTAAAGTAATATCAACACTCATCTATCTCCTAGCCATTGAGAAGTGTCGTGCACTTTCCCATTCTAAGGCAAAAGCAACAGTTACGAGTAGTTACAATATCTACAAGTACTTGTAGTGCTTCCAGACTGAGATTACCTACTGTCACCGGCACAGATTGAGAGAGCATAAGTCGACACATTGTACATACTGTACAAAGAGAATACTCTTAACTGGGGGCTTATATATAACGGTGACTACTATGCATAGATTTGTATCATGAGATCTCTCGAGCTGTATGTTTGCTTCACTTTTAGAAAAGCGGCTGGCAATCTCTGTCTTCGCACATGCACGTCCTGTTCCAGTCATTCATTGGCTATGCTTTCCAGCATTTTTCAGACATTTCTTCATTGCTCGTCAAATTTGTCATTAAATATACAGCTCAGTTGTGCACCTTCTACTAGAAAATGGTGCTCTACTTACTTTCTCAGAGAAGCCAACTCTGCCTCCAGCTGGTCCAATTCCTGCTGCTTTCTCTGCTGGTGAACCTCCAGCTCGTTCACCTGCATCTCCAGCAGATTGACCTCCTCTTCACTTTCCTTGAGGTTGGTCTCCCCCACCGACGCGGGAGCGCCGCTCTTAGCCTTCCGAAGCTGTTCCTCCTTGTAATCAAGCAATTGCTCCAGCTCTCGTTTGATTAATGCAGTGTGCGACGTGGAGTACGAGTTGCCGTGCTGTTTTGAGTCGGCGGCCGCACGTTCAGCCTTTTCCACCAGGTTCTCCAGATCCGTCAGTTCCCGCTTTAGCCGCACCTCCTCCCAGTCGGTGTCCTTGGTGGCCGAAAAGTCCGTGCCCGATGTTGAGTACGAATTTCCTCCAATACCCAGCTTCTGCAGGTAGCCGTTGGCAAACGCCTCCTTCTTGGAGGCAGGGGCGTTGCTCTTCTGGGGCTTGAGCTCGGCCTGGCTCGAGTTTATGCTGAACTCAGGGGTGGCCTTCTCAAAGGTGGCTCGCAGCGACGCAGGCACTCCTCGGGGGATACGCACTCCCTTTTCTCGATAGTTAAGCATGTGCAGAAACACCAGACACTGCTCCTTCTCGATCCGCTCGTCGGACTTGGGGTTGACCAGGTTCCAGGCCATGGCAATGTCGCCTTCGGGCACCCGGCTCAGAGTCTGGTAGAGCTCCGTCAGAGCATCATAGGAGACCCGGCCATGACGGTCACAATTGGCTGTGAAGATGGCCGAGTAGGAATCTCGATCGGCAGGCGAAATGTACCAGTCGAAATCTGTAGAGAGACCGAGGTTCTCGAGATCCTCGTCGTCGGAATCATCCAGCTTGGAGTGGGGCTGGCTGATGGCTTTGTTGGCTTCTATTAAGTGGGCCTTGGACTGTGGGACCAGCCATTGGGGTAGCGTGGAGGGCACGTCGTTGATGTTGTTGTTGAGAAGGTCGAAGATGAGTCGCATGGTAATACAGAACTCCTCAAAGTCGAGACAGCCGTCACTGTCCACGTCGGCCAGATCCCAAATCTTGGCCAACTTGTCCTCCGACAGATTGGAGTTTTTGAGCACGGGGGAAACCTGGTCGCCGGTGAGCACATTGTTGACGGGTTTGAGCCCGCTGAAAATGTCCCAGTACTTGTTGATTTCCCACTCCTCCAGCTTACCTTGAGCACTCATGATGTGGCACCGATAGTGTCTGTTAGTGAGCGATTAGCTGCATGTGGTGTTGCGGTAGGGTAACTTACTTGTTGCTGATGGGATGGGAGGGAGGTGGCTGGTTATAGGAAGTGTAGTGTCCAAGTAAGTATCGTATCGTACTTGAGTGGAAAAGCAACTACAGCTACCCCATATATATATTCGAATGGCCGTAATACATCAACTCTGTCACTGTCAGAAAGTCCAACTTCTCTATACACGTTCCAAATGACGTACACCTCATGTTTCACTGCAACCACACGGTTATCACTCGTGTGTGGCATATTAATTTCGAGGCCTTTTTTTTTGACAAAGAGGAGAACGAAGAACAACACAAGACATCCAATTACCAGTAGAACCATACTGTAGAGGGAAATGGCCACAATTAGCGCCTTATGGCGATTATCCACTACAAGAATATGACTCATTAGCTGGTCATCGTTTTACATCGTCCACCAACTATCGTACAAGTAATTAGGAGTGTATCGAACACTTCGCACCAGGTGCAACCACATGGCATCCAATCCAATCCAAAGATGGCAGTGCAAGAGGTTGGCAAATGACACGACAAGAAACACACCAGTGGAAGAATACAAGATCCCGACCATCCGGACACGTAAAAAGAAGATAAAACACCCTAAAACTCTGGGAACATCATATTAGTCACTCTAGTGTAGTTTTACCAAACTCCCCGGGCTAACTCCGTCAAATTCACAACCCCCCTGGTTGGAGGTGAGAGAGCCAATTGGGTGCTATTTTAAGTGCTCCTTCTGAAATGAAATTTTCACCCTCACAAACGGAAACACCCTCGAAAGGTAATACTAGGGACTGGATCGAAGCAGAAATCCCATAGGTGTATTTGTACAACAAATATACAGCGCTGACACGACTGTGCAGATGGTTTGATTAGCCCCAGTAAAGGCCAGCTGGCATCTACGAGTACATATTGATAAGATAACAGTGCGTCGCAAAGGTGCAACGTAAACGACCACGTCCACGGGTACAATTGTACATGGCTTCGATACGAGGCTACGATTTCTGATGCACTTTGTACTCATTCTTTTCAGTATACTCATTACATCTAGCTTTATTGAACGATGAAATTCCTTGATATAAAGCTCCACCTGAGCTTCCACAATCCAGATACTACCGATACAGTATTAACTACAGTTACTAAACATGGCTCTTAAGTAGTGTTCTTGAGGTTGGTGACCAACCACTCAAGACCCTCGTAGATACCGTCACCAGAGGTGGCACAAGTAGCCTGGATGTACCAGGGTCGTTGTCTTAATGAAGACAGACCAAGCTTCTCAGTGATCTCGGCAGCATCCATGGCGTTGGGCAGATCCTGCTTGTTGGCAAAGACAAGGAGAAGGGCGTCTCGGAGCTCGTCGTCGTTGAGGAGTCGCTGGAGCTCTTCTCGAGCATCGGGAATTCGATCTCGATCGTTGGAGTCAACAACGTAGATAACACCCTGGGTGTTCTGGTAGTAGTATCGCCAGAGAGGTCGGATTCGGTCCTGTCCACCGATATCCCAAACTGTGAAAGTGACGTTCTTGTATTCGACAGTCTCCACGTTGAAACCAATTGTGGGGATGGTGGTGACAATCTCACCGAGCTTGAGCTTGTAGAGAATGGTGGTCTTACCAGCGGCATCGAGACCAACCATCAGAATTCGCATCTCCTTTCGGCCAATGAGGCCCTGGAAGAGCTTGGAAACGTAAAGACCCATCTTGTTGTTAGTATGTGTGTGTTGTTGTAAAAGGTTGAAAATTTCTTCTCGAAAAGTCTAAGGGTGACGCGACGACTTGACACAACACCCCCCATGCAGCACCATGAAAAATAAAGAAAGCCACGCGAGCAATCAGACAGCGACAGCACAGGCGTGGAGAGTATGAAGTGTCAAACACGACGCCATCCGTGTACTGCTTGGCTTCCATCCATCCTCGCTTGCCTTTGATTGCCCCGAACCCCCCCCCTGTTGTTGTGCCCTATCATACATGATGATACGCATGTGCATAGCCATAAGATAAACGTGTCGTTTTGTCACGGTGGCGTTGTGGGAGGTCGGCAAATAAAAATGGCACAAGTGTATGCCTCGGTGTCGGAATGGATGGCGGCTGTTTGATCATGTTGATTGCTGGTCGATGGCGTTGGGGACACCTCTGTTCATCGTATCTTGTCATGTGTTTCGGGGCTCACACCCCTAGGTGCTGGGAAATGATTAATGGAGGAGCTCCAGGGGCCCATCCATCGTCGAGAGATACTCACTCTAGTTCACGCAATCGATAAAATGCAATAAGTTAATGACAAAGTCTTGATTATTCAAAATCGAATGAATAAGACTGTCTGGGTTGAGTGCTGCAATTAGTCCAGAAAGGAGTTTGTGTTGGTTGTGGGACGAAAAAGGCCAAATCATCATCAGAGTCAGGGAGGGTAACGCTTGTCGGGTCACGTGGCTTGGAAATGCACAACATTAAATGCAACAATGACCCAAGCTTGATGAGTAGGGGGGGGGAAGATAATGAGCTATACACGTGTCTTCGAGCATTTGGAAGATAATAATCCACCAACCCGCCTGGCCCCACTCTTTATGTACTAGTTTCAACCGACTTTCCTCACTTACAATACCATCTCTAGTCTCGCTGTCGTTTCCCTGCTTGTTTTTTCTGGCTCCGGAGATTCGCGTGCATCGGATTTAGTCTTAGGTTCGATGGACCAGCGTGTCAAAACAATGGAGGGGAATGAGCGTGAAACTACGGTACAACTAAGATGCGATACACTGTCAAGTATCGTACTGGTGTAGGAGTGGGAGAGAGTGATTGTGAAGGCAAAGACGGGCTTTTTCCTAACAAGGAGACGGACGCGTTACAGTAGCTACTTGAGACCGTTGTAGGATCCCAACTAAGTCTCGGTTAGTAATACTTCCACACTGATCAGTCTTGCTCACTATAGACCTCGGACAGTGTATACGGCAGTATACAACAGTATTCAACTGAGAGTCACGTCGCTTCGGTGCACGTACAATTGCCATCTGCATCAAGTCAAATACCCCATTTAGACCCCTACCGGCCTCATGCTCTCGTAGCACATGCCCATCTGCCCCATATGGCCTCACTTTACCCCATTCGAAGCCATTCTCTTTCACACCTCCCGTGTGCACGCAGTGCAGCCAGCTGGCCTTCAGATGCCACGTCATTGTTTGACCCGGCTAAAAAAGGTTTGGGGACGTGCGTGAAAAGTGAAACCGTGAGGTGGAAAAAGGGACGCTGTATTGCGAGAGACACAACCGATAGAGTAGACGATCTGGGGTACCCGTACTGTACTTATATTGTTTGATTCAATTGAATTATTTATTAACGTGTGTTTTACTGCGTATACAAGCCCTTTCCTATCACTTGAGCCCGTAAGTCAATCTAGCCCTACATATGAGTCGTAGACCCATGCTCGCGTCCCTCAGCCATTATACAGTAGCTTACGCCAGGCCTGCTCTACAGTAATAAACATCCTTTCCCCCCCAACCCCACCAAATACAGTAGCTTGCCGCCGCATGACGTGGACTGTAGCTAATACTGTAGTTTGAGATGACCTAATTAATTAACCGAAGAGAACAGCAAGATGGGAGATGTCATCGCCGTAAAAGTGGCCAATCTGTATAAGAGGACACGCAATGGCGGAATAACGGAGATATATTAGCCCTCCAACGTCCACTTACAACTACCCTGCCTAGTCCCAGCTTCCCACCCTTCCCATTCCACACATCTGTTTTTGGCTACTGCAGCGAAGTGGGCATGCTGATCTGAACAAACTCTCGAAAGACCACCTGGCACACACAAGATTACATATTCTACCTTTCACAATCTTCCTGTGTTAACACCACACCATACAACAATGTCGATCCGAGGCACCGCCAAATACCACCAGATACCCGTCCAGAGCGACGCGCCGCAATTCGCAGCCCCCCAGGGTCAACAGTTTTCGTCCTACTCCCAGAACCGCGACTTCAACCTCAAATCCACAATCACAGAGGGCGACTTTGCCGACAAGGTCAAGGCCGTGACCCAGAAGATTGAGGTCTTCCTGGACAAGTACTCGGGCCCGGTCAAGCCCCATCTTCCCACCCTCGGCCGGTTCCTCATTGTCGTCACTTTCCTGGAGGACGCGCTCCGAATCCTCACACAGTGGTCTGACCAGGTCTACTACATCACCAACTTCAAGCACATCCCCAAGTTTATCACCGTCATCTTTCTGCTGCTCAACGTGGTTGCCATGATCGCCGGATCCTTCATGGTCACCGCCAAGAAGCGAATTGAGGTCGGTTGCGGTCTGCTGGTCGGAGTCATTGTCACCCAGGCTCTGGCCTACGGCCTCATCTTTGACTTTGGCTTCATTCTGCGAAACCTGTCCGTCATTGGCGGTCTTTTCATCGCTCTTAACGACGCCTTTGTCAAGGACAAGTCCAAGCGAGGTCTCCCTGGTCTCCCCTCTATTGACGACAAGGACCGGTCCAAGTACGTGCTCCTGGCAGGCCGAATCCTCCTGGTTGTCATGTTCACCTCCTTCATCCTCAATATGACCTGGACTATGTCTCGAGTTCTGGTGTCCATTGTCGGAATTGCTGCTTGCTCCATGGTCGTTGTTGGCTTCAAGGCCCGAGTTTCCGCGTTCCTCCTGTGCATCATCCTCTTCATCTTTAACATCACCGCCAACTCCTACTGGGCCTTCCCCGCCTCTTCTCCCGTCCGAGACTACCTCAAGTACGAGCACTTCCAGACCCTGTCCATCATTGGCGGTCTTCTGCTGGTTGTCAACACCGGAGCCGGCAAAATCTCCATTGACGAGAAGAAGAAGGTCTACTAAGCTATTACTAGTCAGCAACAACACTTTGGTAGAGTTTGATACAGACATTGACATCTACCGCGATGTAAAAATAATGTATACTAGGAGAGTCTGTCGTTCGCGAGTGGCAATGTCATGAGTTACACCTGATTCAAATAGTGAATAATAATATAACAGCCACAAATGAAAGATGTATCCACGGGTAGATATGGCTTTAATTACTGATGATTGAATGATTATCTGAGTGCTACAGTTGTAACGAGTACGAGTTATTACCTGCTACTATTGTACTCCTAAATCAAAGTACTCGTACATGCAATGAATTACTTGTACTTGCGCCAATCAGATCTATCGATTGTATTGTATATAATACTAGTCTATTCTTTTGCTTACCAGATGGTGTAACCTCCATCGACAATGAGATCGTGGCCGGTCATGTAGCTGGAGGCGTCGGAAGCCATGAAGACAATAGGGCCTCCAAACTCCTCGGGCTCAGCCATTCGTCGGAAAGGAATTCGTCGCTCCCAGTCGTTTCGGAGCTCTCCGTCAGTCTCGATGATGTGACGGGTCAGAGGAGTAAGAATGTAGCCGGGAGACAGAGTGTTGACTCGGATGTTGTACTGGGCCCACTCGGCAGCCAGAGACTTGGCCATGTGGATGACACCTGCCTTGGACATGTTGTAGGGGGTCTGGGGCTGGGGGTCGTTGACAATGGAGCCACTCATGGATGCAACCAGAATCAGAGATCCAGGAGACTCGTCCAGGACAAGCGACTTGGCCACCTCGGTAGCGAAGTTGTAGGATCCCATGAGGTTGACGTCCAGCAGTCGCTTGACCTGGGGGTTGGGATAATCAAAGGCAGTCATATTCTCGCAGAATCCGGCACAGTTGACCAAAATATCGAGGGGGCTCTTGTGGTGCTCTCGAATGGCCTTGACGGTATCGGAGACCTGGTGGACGTCAGATACATCGCATGCCCAGGCAGAGATTCGTTGCTGGGGAAAGTTCTTGCCCTTTCCAGGAGGTATTCCTGCAGCTTCGTGGGCTCGAGCAGCGTCGTGGGCAACAGACGACTGACTGGAGTCTGCAGAAGCATCCAGAGAGATGTCAGGCTTGGTGATATCGTGTGGAGAGTGCTCGTTCAAGCCCCCAGTTGTTGATTCTGTTTCTGTTTCAGAAACCTTGTGTGTGCCAGTAGGAGAGGCATAGATGGGGGTTGGTCGGACGTTATGATGAGCCTCGTTGGCGGTCTTGTACCACTCTAGAAGCTGCTCGGCAGCAGGCTGGATTCGAGGCAGGTTGTTGTCGACCAGAGCAACAGAGGCTCCGGCTCGAAGAAGCTGCTTGGCAGCTGCGATACCCAGACCACCACTTCCTCCGGTGATGACGGCGGTTTTCTTGGCGAGTGAAAAGAGAGACATTTGGTAATAGCAATTGCGTATGAGACTATAATTTCAAAGAGAGGGAGCGCGCTATCCAGCTTATTAGTAGAGTGACACCTAGCAGCCAAACTATTTCAGAAATGGATTGGATTGTCCAATGCAGCTGGTATGCGATGTGTATGCTTAACAGATATATACATACGCCTGGGTTGCTGTTCGAGGGATTTCAGGAGTGTAAGTTGGGTTTCTGCTGGGGGGTGTGACGAATTGGCAGTGTCAGTACTTGTACTGGTACGACTGATGTGTATGTAAGCTCAATGAGCAGCGTGCTCCTCGGTCTACTATATGGCGACATATCTCTTCGCTTCTGTTTACCCTTTACATACGGTACAGCTCTTACAATGACATTTATCCACTGGCGTCGATCCATAAACCACACGAACCCTGTTTTGTTAGTCACCATGACCGGGGCGTGTCGTGTTACGTTCCACCGTTTCACCTCAGCCGGTTACGATTCAACTTGCCGCGTCATTCTGCGTTGCTAGCGGAGCGAGTACGAGTAACTAGACTTTCGATAAGCTGAATGACTTCAGGGTGCATGAGAGGCGCAGATCGATATTTTCGGACTTGTTCTTCTAGAAGACTGGTTTGAGAGCAATCGCGGAAGAGTTGGGAACCGCTGGAGAGCAGAATGGGTTAGTACAGAGACTATCTGATCTCCCCCGCTTGTGTCTAGCCCCACTTTATACTCTATTTGGCAGTTGTTGCTTGTTATTCAAGCACAGCATGTCTGCTCGTATCACTTTGGAGACATCCCTAACCTCTAAACCTTTATAGATGCCTTACCTTCTGAGCTTGCAGAGAGCATTCCACAGCGAACCCAGTTGACATTATCAGTTGACATCTTACGCTCACACCACATTACGCATCTCACACACAATCACACGCACAAGTACACACGCAAGCACATCATACAATGGTCAAGGGAATTCTGAAACATAAGACGCCGGAGGCCGAGGTTGCCCCCAACCCTGAAATCGACCGACAGAAGGTCCTGGAAAACACACGAGCGAACGCCCAGTTGTATAGCCAAAACTCGGAAAAAATCAGACGAGCTAGCACGGGCAAGGTCCGAGTCGACGAGGCGTCGTCGGGCACCACGGAGTTCCCTTCCAACGTCAATGGCCCCAACGGAGGTCAGCCCAGCGACATTTCGTGGGACGAGGCTGGAATCTACCTCCATGAGCAGGATAAGGGAACATACATGAAGATTGACGAGCCCAAGACTCCGTATGCCGGCACTCTGGGAGACAACGAGTACTACGCTGAGGACGATGAAGAGGCGACGGGATTTTCTCTTGGAGAGCCCGAGTTTGACGAAGACGGAACACTGGAGAAGGAACGAATCATCAAGGACTCCTCGGTGGAGGAAGACGACGACGACCACGAGATTGACGAGCGGGAACAGCTGAGAGAAGAGGATCAACAGCAACATGAAGAGTTTCTCAAGAAACGAAACCAGCACTACAACATGAAGATTGACTTGGCGGCTGCACGAAAGCTTGCCGAGCAGGAGGACGACGAAGACGATGAGTGATGGATAACGTCACCTGATATCGCTGTTTTCCTCGGAATATGTATATATATAAGACCATTATATTTAACGAAATTGAATACTGGATACGTAAAAGCGATTGTTTCGCGATTCGCCACCCTTTTTAAACGCGTCTTGTGGAGAAATGTGCATATTTACATTATGTAATTAGGATGGATATAAGACTCCGTGGAGAGTTCTCTCTGAAGAGTGACGTACAAGTACCTATATGACGAAACACACAAGGGGCAAAAAGACACCAATCACGCGACCACATCTTCCAAACTACAGTAGATTCATCCTTCTTAAGGCCTCATTTTTATACGGATGGTGCTGTCTCTCCACATACGATAACGATAAGGGAACCTAAAATCTGGTGATTCAGTATGAGAATAAATTGCTATGTTAAAATGTCCAGTAAATGGACAGAACTATTTACTAAAAGAAGACCTCAATGTCTACTTGCCAATAGGATCCCGAGACTCCTTGACGATCTCGGACTCGGTGCCGTTGTTGTAGAACTTTCGAATGGTGTCCTGCTTGACCCACTCTCGGCTAGCGTGGTCGTAGTACATCTCAGTCTGGTGAGAATGTCGGGTGACGGTCAGACCCTGATCCTTGGCCTCCTTCTCGGTGATCATTCTCGACTTTCGGTCCTCCTCCCACTTGCTTCGGGCGGCACGCAGCTTGTCGCGTCGCTCCTTGTCCGAGGCCACCTCCTTCTCTCGGATCTGGTCAATCATCTGCTTTCGCCAGTCGATGAAGTCGTCGTACTTGAGGAACATCTTCTCGTTCTGGCTGTGCTGGGGGTCCTGCTTCTTCATGAACAGACATCGCCACACTCCACCAACGTCCCAGGCACCAGTTCCACCGACATCGGCACACTCGTCGTTCATCTCCTTGGTGGGGATAGCTCCAGCAAGGTTGGGGTTGGTGTTGACAAGTCGGTCAAGAACTCGGTAACCATTAAAGTACCGGGCAAGAACGGGGGTCTGGGGGATCAGATCCTTGTATACGTTATCTCGGTTGTTGAGAGTGGTCAGAATGGTGGACCACAGGTCGCCACGCCCAGTACCGGACTCCTGGATATCGTGGGTCAACTGGGAGTCGTTCCACGGAGGCAGCCGCTTGAGCCAGCCGGTCCAGTCTGTATCCTTGGCCTTCTCCCATTCGGCGCTAAAGTTGGGGATCTGGTCAGCCAGGTCCTTGGTGTAGTCAGCCACAGAGGTGGTATGACTGTGGATCTGGTCGAGGTGCTTCTTGCACTGCTCAAAGAAGTCGTCGATAGACTGGTGGTCCGATCGGCCGGTCTTATCGTCGTTGCTCCACAGAGACCCCAGGAAGCCCTTCTTGTCGTCGTTGTCGTCTTTTCCCATTGTAATTGAGTTGGTTATTCGTTTCCTTCAATGTGGTGCGGCCACTTTATATATGAAGCTTCAGTACATGATGGAACATGCTCCGGTTATACTTCGCCACCCGCCTGCATGTATGGTAAGGCGGGTGTGCATGCGTGGGGATTAATGGGCAACTTGGATTGGATGCTGTTGGACAGGTTACAGTTATTAGCTCTCGAGAACGACAGCAATCGAGCCATTGTGCTGGTGGGTCTGCTACAGCTTGATGCACCATCTGTGGGCCTCGACGAAGATTCTAGCATGCTCTCGATCGGGCATAAGGTGGGTTTCTGAAAGGTGTAAGGCTCGGCGTACGGTTGAGGGGGAGCAAGTGTACAGTCTATTCAGTCTATTATCGTAGTGTGATTAGTCCTGTATGGCAACGTGATGTAGCGGCAGTGAGACACTGTATTAAAGGTCAGACACGATCGCTTTCAGGGTGCTATCGTGCAATATAACTAACTGCCGCTACAGTACACAATTGAATGTGATAAAGCTGCTGTTACAGTTCAGCTGCTACTCATACAGTGTACCTTCTCGTATCATGTCATAATTCATTCAATTGTTTCGTGGCTCTCACCAATGCTATAAATATGCTCTAGAACTCCTCGGGCTCATAGAAGAATGCGCCAAAGGTAATGATAGTTGCGTAGATGAGAAGACCGCCCGACAGCGACATCCACATGGCCGCAGTGTTGATGATGCTGTTGTGTGCGAGCATGACGGGAATTGACAGTCCAGACACGACCATGAAGCCGGTGGAGAAGCGACCAAAGTCGACCACGGTGCTGCTACTCTCGCTCATGAAGTCGTCCTGGCCAGCCCAGCTCTGGCAGATTGCGTTGGGTGCAGGGGCCAGACAGAAGACGGCAACGACAATCAATGGCAGCCAGTTGTTCCACAATGCACATGACAGGATGATGAGCAGAAAGCCCGTGGCCAGGACTGTGGACAATGTGATGATTTTCGATAGTGGCGAGATTTGGACCATTGTTGATGTATGTGTTTTAGTAGTGGTGTCGGTTGGTGATGATGACAATGTGTAATGTGGTGGTGTCAAAAAGAGTTTGGATGCAGGAGGGGAGTTGATGGTGGTAGTGGTGGTGGTGGGGGCGGTAGTGGGTGTTGGACCGTTAGTGGTAATGCAACTTGCGGTTGTTTGTGTTGGGTTAGCTCGATAGAAATATAAATATACGACGAGTCGCTCCAGTTGTATATATACTACGACACGTAAGTTTGACTCTCTGTGTCTGGACGGGTCAGAGCGCATATCAAGAGAGTTCAACCCTCGCGGGAGGTCATAAGACCGACAATCGGTTAAATGGCGCAGAGCATGACTCAACTAAGAGTAAAGTAAGGTGGTACACTACAGAGTTACTAAGGGGGTGGTGACCCTGGATGAGAGAGTGGACCAAAAAAAACAGGTGACAATCCGAAACGGTTTAGATCTGTCTATCCATTGACAAAACCCCTCACTTGTGGGTTCAAACAGTATTGTCAGCTCCAACTAATGAAATTTTCATTCATGACCTCGTCTCTCGCTTCTTGCACGGGCACAATCGCACCCTGGAGAGATTGCTCTTTTCACGCCCCAGAGAAAACCGTTGAAGACCACGAGAACGGCTGACAAGCTTAAACGGCTGGAATCGGACATACCGAGCGGCGTCGAATATCCCTCTTTTTTCTTAGACTTCTCGGATTTAAGGCAAGCAAGGGAGCGATGTGGATCGTGTAGGGTTAAAGGTAATAAAAAGTGAGGATAGGCAAGCGAGGTGGATCAAAGCGAGAACGTGAAAAGGGCATGGATGTGTTTACTATGTACATTGAAAATATTATTTACAGAGCGAGTGGAGAACACCGACCTAATAGGCCCGGTTATACCACAAGCGAAATGACATTGCCCTTCTTGGGGATGATCACCTTTCGAACAGGCTTGTCTCCAAGCTTGTCGGAAATTGTGCGCAACTGAGCCAGAATTTCAGCCTCGCTTTGAGAGCCAAAGTCGTGAGGCTTATTGGCAGTGAACTGAAATTTGCCATTGATCATCACCTTGAACGGAACCGTGGCTGACTGGATTTCAGCCTGAGCCTCAGGAAACGCGTTTCGAAACACGGAGCTCCACTCAGCACCCTTGGACTTGCAAATCAACTCCCAGCACTCCTCGGCCATGGCAGGAGCAACAGGAGACATAATTTTGAGAAGAGTCTCAAGAGCATAAAGCTGCACCTCGGGAGAGGCCCCGGACTCCTTTTGCAAGGTGTTGGTGAGCTTCATGTAATCACTAATGACAGTGTTGAGCTGGAGTGACTCATGGAAGGAGTCGCTGGCAGACTTCACGTAGTGTTGGGTTTCGTTCCAAAGTGTACGGTCAGCGTCGGAAAAGCTAGACTTGTCAAGCCCCTTGCTGGAAGGGTTTAGCTTGACCACACTTTCGGTGATAGACTTGACCTTGAGAAGCCATCGCTTGATGCCGACAATCTTGCCTTCGTCCCAGTCAAGCACGTCGTTGACAGCAGCCTGGAACAGCACATGGGCTCGCACAGCGTCGGCTCCATGCTGCTGGATGCATGTGCTGGGGTCGGCTCCGTTGTACTTGGACTTGGACATCTTCTCCCAGGACACAGCACATTCCACGTCGGTGCCTTGAACCTTGGCCACGGGGCCAGACCGGTCAATCTCCTCAGGCTTGAGGAACCGGCCGGTGGTGGGCTCCTTGAAAGTCTGGCCATGAACCATACCCTGCGTCACCAAACGCTTAATAGGCTCACCGTTAAGGTCTGCGCCAGACCAGTAGCCCTTATCGGCGAGGAACTTGGCCACAAATCGCGCGTAGAGAAGATGCAGAATGGCATGCTCAATTCCACCAATGTACATGTCCACGGGCATCAGGTTGGAGGCCGCCTGATAGCTGAAGGGAAGCTCCTTGTTCTGGGGGTCCGTGTACCGGAAAAAGTACCACGACGAGTCCATGAAGGTGTCCATGGTGTCGGTCTCACGTCGGGCGGGGCCTCCACACTTGGGACAGTTACACTTCTTAAACTCCTCGTTGTGAGCCAAAGCCAGAGATGCGGCGGTAGCAGGCTTTTCACCCTTTTGGAGAACAGTCTCAGGCAACAAGACAGGCAGCTGCTCGTCGGGAACAGGTACGGTACCGCAGGAGTCACAATAAACAATGGGGATGGGGGCTCCCCAGAATCGTTGTCGAGAAACAAGCCAGTCTCTCAGCTTGTAGTTGGTCTTGAGAGAGGCCTGCTCGTCAGGAAGCTCGTTGACGATAGACTTTCCTCCCTCCAAAGAAGGAGAGCCAGCGTACTTTCCACAGTGCTTGTTGAGAACTCCTCGGCTGGTAAGAGGCACACTGACCTCTTCTCCCTCTACAGGGTCAATGACGGTCTTGACGGGTCCAGAACCGTTCTTGCCCCAGAACTCAAAGTCTCGTTCGTCGTGACCAGGACAGCCCATGACACATCCACTGCCGTAGTCGCCAATAACGTATGGTGCGGCGAATACAGGAAGCTTTTCACCAGTCACGGGAGAGATAGCAGAAAGGTTCTTCATGAGGTAGCCCTCCTTGGTATCGTCAGGAAGGTCCTTCGCTCGTTCCAAAAAGGCAGCAAGCTCAGAATCAGTCTTGGCGGCTTCTCGGACATCAGCATGGTCCAGAGCAAGAGCCACAAACTGCACACCAAACAGAGTGTCAGGTCTGGTTGTGAAAACGGGGAAGTTTCCCTCGGATGTACTGTCGAAAACAACAGTAGCTCCCTCAGATCGGCCCAGCCAGTGCTCTTGCATGGTCTTCACCTTGGCAGGCCATTGGTCCAGCAGCTTGAGGTCATCCAACAGAGCGTCTGAGTAGTCAGTGATCTTGAGGAACCACTGTCGAAGCATTTTCTTCTCGACAATGGCGCCGGATCGCCACGACCGGCCCTCAGAGTCAACCTGCTCGTTGGCAAGCACTGTCTGGTCCACAGGGTCCCAGTTAACAGGCGAAAGAGCCTGATATGCCTTGCCATGCTCGTACATCATCAGAAACAGCTTCTGGGTCCACTTGTAGTAGTCCGGGAAACACGACGAGAACTCCCGCTCCCAGTCAAACTCCGCCAGCATTTCGTCCATTTGGCTCTTCATCTTGGCCATATTGGACACCGTCCATTCTGCGGGATGGATTTGTCGCTCGATAGCAGCATTTTCAGCAGGTAGACCGAACGAATCCCAGCCCATGGCGTGAACGGTGTCGTAGCCTGCCATTCTTCGGTACCGGGCAAGAACATCGGAAATGGTATACACTCGAAGATGGCCCATATGCAGCACTCCAGAAGGGTAGGGAATCATGGAGAGCACAAAGTGTTGCTGGTCTCGAGTCGGGTTCTCAATCAGGTGCTTTCTGGCCAGTCGCGGAGGGTCCTCCTTCCATTTCTCTCTCCATTTGGCGTCCAACTGAGTGAACGGGTTGCTACCAGATTGTTGCACGTTAGCAGCAGCAGCAGCAGCAGCATTGGCATAATGACGAATCGCCAGTCGACACTGCAGCGAGGGTCGAGCTATCTGGATCCGAGACAATCTCAGAATGTTCATATCTTGTAGTTAGTGTCTGGTGTATCGCTCCAACTGCCGTTGTGTGATCTGCATAGAGTTTTGGAAATGCTGTCCGATACAAATAGTCCTTTTATCCTGGTTGGGAGTTCACATAATCTTTTTTCAAGAAAAAATGACGGCGAGACAACCCTGCAGGCAGGGTAACTCGGCTCTCGCTTATCACCAGGAAATATGCACCTGTTGCGAGTATTAAAGTCACTATTTCGTGTAGTGGCATATCGAACGAAAATGGGCATATCGGAGCTTGGAACACAACTGGCGTACGCTGGATTGAATCAGCTGTTGAGTGAGTATGGTTGGGGGAGATTGGACATTTGATTCGGGTTACGGCTTCTCCGTTAATCTCCGGACCTATAGGACATGCTCTACATATGATGCTTCGACATTTTGAACACGACTAACAAAGAACGAGACTCTACAGATGCCGACCCAGATATCCCGGATGATGATGTCAACAACCCCGTGGAGAACGAAATCTTCTCGTCGTGGGCACTATTCATTCTCATCATGCTGCTCATTGGTTCTCTATGGACCTCATACTACCTACAGCAGAAACGGATCCAGGCCATTCACGAGACTGTCGTGTCCATTTTTGCAGGAATGATTGTGGGACTGATTATTCGAATCTCCCCCGGCCATTACATTCAGGACGTGGTCACCTTCAAGTATTCGTGGTTCTTCAACCTGCTGCTACCCCCCATCATCCTCAACTCGGGGTATGAGCTGAACCAGGCCAACTTCTTCAGAAACATCGGATCCATCTTGACGTTTGCAATTGCGGGCACATTTTTTTCGGCGCTGGTACTTGGCCTGATCCTCTACATCTGGACAGCTATTGGTCTCGAGGGTCTCAACATGTCTCTGGTGGACGCCATCTCCGTGGGCGCCACCCTGTCAGCAACGGACCCCGTCACCATTCTGTCCATCTTCAACACATATAAGGTCGACCCCAAGCTTTACACCATTATTTTCGGTGAATCTCTGTTGAACGACGCCATTTGCATTGTCATGTTTGAGACGGCTCAAAAGTTCCACGGTCAAAAGGTCTACTTCTCCTCTCTGTTCAAGGGTATGGGTATGTTCTTCATGACCTTCACAATCTCTCTTATGATCGGTGCCCTTGTGGGTGTAATGACCGCTCTGGTGCTCAAACACTCCCATGTTCGACGATTTCCCCAAATCGAGTCCTGCCTGGTTCTCCTCTTTGCATACGGATCCTACTTTTTCTCCACGGGCTGCCACATGTCTGGAATTGTCTCGCTGCTCTTTTGCGGTATCACTCTCAAACACTACGCTTACTACAACATGAGCCGACGAACCCAGATTGCCACCAAGTACATTTTCCAGCTCCTGGCCCAGCTGTCGGAAAACTTCATCTTCATCTACCTGGGCCTGTCTCTCTTCACTGAGGTCGAACTGGTCTATAAGCCCATGCTGATTCTCGTCACCACAGCCGGTATCTGTGTATCTCGATGGGCTGCAGTCTTCCCCTTCTCTAGACTCATCAACTTTGTCAGCAGAGCACGAACCAGCCATCTAGGACTCCACCAGACCACAGAGGAGATTCCTCCTCCATACCAGATGATGCTATTCTGGGCTGGCTTGCGAGGAGCCGTCGGCGTTGCCCTTGCTGCTGGTCTCGAGGGTGAGCACTCCAACGCGCTGCGAGCCACTGTGCTCGTTGTGGTGGTGCTGACCGTCATTGTCTTTGGAGGCACCACTGCTCGAATGCTTGAGATTCTCGGAATTAGAACTGGTGTCATTGAGGAAACAGAGAGCGACGATGAGTTTGACATTGAGTCCCGTGGAGCAGCTGCTGCCATTCCTCTAAGCAATAGCAGTGGCTCCATGCCTGCTGGAAGAATGCGAAGAAGTACCTCTTACCACGATGATGACAGCGAGTTTGGCTCTGGTGACGATGATGGTCTCCCCCCCATGCACCCCAGTCAACAAGACCAAGCCCGAGCCTCGTCTACTTCTCTATCTAACATTCTTTCGCGCACGGTGGATAACCCTGGTCAGTGGTTCAAGGAGTTTGATGACCAGGTTCTGAAACCTGTTTTCCTGGACAACCCCAGTAATGATCGGCATTAACTGTAATCACGATCATTGAGGGGTTGTTTGTCTCAAGTGGATCTTCAGATTGCAAATGGGTAGAGGAAGCGTTCGTAATGCAGGTTAGTGATCGGTGCATGACGCGGCTCACTTAGCCAACAAGACCCACTTCTCTTGTATAATATTAACACCCTGAAGTGACCATTACCCAAACGCTGTGTCATGGTTTGTCGTGTATAATGAGGGTGGCTCCTTCTGACACAAGACATTGACCATTCAGTCTACGAGAACTTGTATAAGTACACAAGCACTCGTCGCAGGTCACGCACAAAATGTGACAAACCCTTGGCACGTACCAACACTATCGTTACCCCTAGATGTGGGCCTATAAACAATATTATTAATCTCTCTGTCCTATCGTATAAGTATGATTGTTCCATCTCTTTTCTCCTCAGCGGTTAATGTTCATTCTCAACGCTCTTTGTATTAGACTAACATTTGGGTTTGTCGCGTACAGCGCGCGCCAGCAGTAGCGTTGTTTGGATACGGACATGGTTCATGGTAGACAATGCAGCTAGCACGCAAAACCATTATACGAGAGACGCCGTTGTTTGGTTGCCTGCCACACCCCATCAAAACAAACCTGCACCAACGCACTTGTTTCTCTCATTTCTTTGTGGCAAAATTAGTGCCACCTCCCCCCTCATGTTTTGTGCTTCTTACTATACGAATATACCAATGAAATTTGCGTTGTTTGGTAGACCAAAATAAGGTGGAGCGAGTTGGGGAATGAGGACGAAAATGCAACCAAAGAAAACCCCCTCATATAACTGACTCTAAGACACCCCAAACAACGGCGTCATCGAGCTCTGCAATTCCGATTTCTGTACGAGTACTTCCGATACGAGTCCGGGATGCGCACTGCTGCCAATGTGCGCAAGATAGACTTTCTTGAGTCTGGAATGTGACGCTTAGCACCAGCGACATCTGTGACGCTTGGCTGACAGTCTGACAGCAGACTGGTGTGATCTCAGATGTAGGTCATGCTCTGAATGTACGGATATGGTTAGCGGATTATACTGGAATGTGACAATTGCGTCTACACTACTCGTACGTACTCTTGCGTACTCGTACGTGGCCGTTGTAACCATCTTTAATGGAGATCTCAGTATATTCACTGATCATCTATCAATGGACAAAATAGGGGGGAATCTGACTCCTTAATCTTAAATGAAAAATGAGACTCATAGGCGAGAAGAGCTCACAAACGAATAATTAGTATATACATTTATTGAGTGAGAAGATAGGAGAAAAAAAAAATTGAGGAGAAAATTAAAAATTAAGGAGGAGCAAAAAAATAAAAAATGCCACGGATTATTATTATTAATAAAAATATAATCAATAATTGGTCTTATATTACTTACGAGAGATCGATTTGGTTTCATTAAATCATGATTAAATTATATACACTATGGAAAGTCCTGTTTTTTGATGCAGTTGAGAACTGAAAAAGCCCTCGGAGAAAACCCACGGAGGGAAGCCTTCTAAGCAGAAGGTGAGAGAAATAAATAGAAGCTGAAAAACAATAAATAGCTTTTTGTGGTTGCAGTTTAAACAGCGTCAGACTTACATCATCAGGGCAGCGATACCAGCAGCGACGCCGACAAGACCCAGGTTCTGGGAGTTGACGACACCGGCGTTGGTGGGAGCACGCGAAGCAGTAGCTCCAGCGGATCCAGTGGCGGAGGCGGCAGATGCGGATCCAGAGGATCGAGAGGTGGAACCGGAGGGTCGACCAGAGGTGGACAGGGTGGTTCGGGATGCAGCGCCAGAAGAAGATCGAGAGTTGGGGACAGAGCCGTTGGTGGAACCGGTACCGTTGGAAACACCGGCACCAACAATGTTGGTGGTGACAGCGGAGGCGGTGGAGGAAGTGGACTCAGCCTCGGTGGAGGAGACCTCGGTGGTGGTGTTGGCAACGGTGGAAGCAACGGGGACTGTGGTAGAAGAGTTGGCACCGGAGGTGACGGGGATGACGGCTGAGGTGGTAGAGTCAGCGGCAGAAGAAGAGGAGTTGGCAGCAGAAGAGGTGGCCTCGGCGGCAGCCTCGGAGGAGGTGTTGGCAACCTGGCCGCCGGTGATCTTGAACTGGCCGGTGTAGTTGACGTCGTCGGCATTTTCCACGGGGTTAATTCGCAGAGCGTAGTTGTCTCCGTCAGGGAGGTCGGAGGGCACGAGCCATCGGACAGCTCCTCGGTTGTCGAGACCCTCGGAGATGGTCAGAACGGGAGAAAGGTTGTCGGACTTGCCCTGGAGCAGCACCAGAGCGACCTGGCCGTCAGTGGTGGCGTTCCATCGGATGACAAAGGCGTCTCCGGCGTGGAGCTCATCGCCAGGCTGGGGCTGAGAGAAGGAGTTGTCCTGAGCAGCGACGATGGCGGCAGCCAGAAGAGGGATGACAGAGAAGAACTTCATTGTTTGCGAGTGGATAGTGTTCCGATTGGTTTGAGTCCGGTGTGTTGAGGCTTGATGCTTGAAGGGTACAATGGGGCATTCGGAGGGCTTTATATATCCAAGCTTCTACAGGCCCATTGTCACCGCTCTTCTCACTTTCTCTCCAGCTTAGGGAGCCCAGGTGTCATGTCATGCACGGTTATTGGGCAACACGGTTTTACACTTTTCTTAAAATAGGACCAGACAAGGACCAGGCGGGGGAGCTAAGTGAAGTTAGAAAAGCACAAAAAAGTCTGCTGGAGTCCCAAAAAGGCCCGGGCCTGTTGGGAAACAACATAAGCCACACACGACAGCATTATACGGTTATTGCGAGTGGAATAAGAAGCAAGTAGCCTAACTAACCAGCTAAATAGCACTCAATTAATTGGTCTGGTGAAAATTCCCTCATCCACTACGGCAGATAGGGCTGGCTAACCCAAGGGCAGCACTGTACGGTTTGGGGTGTACAGTGTGGTGTGCCCTTTCTCTCTCCCTCTCTTTTTTCGCTCTTTTTTCGTTTCACTCCGTTCACTTTGCTTTTTCTACTAGTCTGCTTCAAACTGTGACTCTCCAGTGAGAACTCTGCCACCACTAAAGGGGGGGTCATAGACGCCTACAACAATACAAGAGCTGACAATGAGACATGCTGAAACAATGTCAGACAAGCAGTTTGTCAGCACTGCAGAAGCACTTTCCGAGCCCACTTAGCTGAAGCGTTTCAATGGGGCGTATTGCTTGCAATCTCCGGCGTGGTGGTTATTCACTCACTCAATGGCTCTCCCTGAATCTTCAGGATCTTCGCCTTTGGCTTCCCATAGACACCTCCCAGAGGCACCCCGTTTGTAGCGTTTGCGGCTGCCATGCACGTGGAGAGCGACAAGATTTGATGGCAATTATGTTTCCTATTTCGGAAACGCGACTAGAGCGCAAAAATTGGCCCTCTAGAGTCTCCCGTGGCTGTGTCAGGTTCCCAGCTACGCCTTGTTTCGTGCTACGCCCTGTTGTGTATCTGTCAGGGTGGGTGCAAGGCTACCACGGTTTTCGCAGGCTAAATTAGCACAGTCTAAAAATAGCTGTTGTGGCATAATGGCAATATTCTCAGTATCACCTGGGCCCATGTGAGACAGCCACAGCTCCGAGGCAGATAGACGCCCCCGGAATAACGGAAATAGACACTATGAAACCATCCCACAGCTGACATTGTGCAGCAGGGCTGGTTTGCACTTGCCTATCGCAACCATATCACCAAAGGTCAAGTGTACATATGCTAGCCACCCGAAACCCTATTGATACCCAGCCAGCACTTTTCGTGATATGATGTTACCCGATTGGGACTTAATTGGAACCTTAACACGCGTAACTAGCCTGACGCAGCTCTGTCACGCGGAATAAGGCGCCAATCAGCCCGTTGAGCTGTCTAGCGAATTTAATCGGATTGGAGATGGGCTCTATCGCGACGGGGAAGATCCATGGAGGTTCTTTTGTCGGAGTTTGCGTGCGGTGGTGTGATCTCCTGTAGATGAGTTATCCTCACCTTATTATTTCCTGCCCTCAATTAGATGCAATGTCAGCTAGCCACACCTGTACCCACTCCCTCACTAATTAATGTCTCAGATTGCCGCTATCTTAGAACGAGACGTCTCGGTTACATGTAGCACATTGCTGACGCATTTGTCAGTGGTTATTGTCGCTTTGTCAGACGGCTTGTCTGTGGTAGCATGGTTGAGAGGACCCGACACGGTGCGACACTTGCCCTTCATATTAGCACTAGCGCGCATATACATACCGAATGTACTGGTGTTTACAGCTACAAGTGGAAGCCATTGTCTCTGAGAAGGTCCTCTTTGGTTTTCAATTGCACTCAGCAACCAACTCCTCAGACATCGCCTCCATTAACTCCTCATTCAGACGCACGATGGCTGTTAGGTTCGACCTGGCAGAGGTAATGTGCCTGTGACACCTGCGTCATGCTGCTGGTTCGGAAGTGTGCCAAACTATTGTCGATGCAACAGAAAGCGTTATCCCTGTGTGGCTGGGTTCCCGAAACGAGAGCTTCCAGCCCTAGAAGACGTTATAGATTTCCCAAAATCGGCATTGGTAAACACTTACAGAGTCCTGTCCTGTGATGTGGTGATGTTCGTGATGGAGTCCATATGACACTGTGTGTACTGTAGTTACGTGTGGCAGTAGGTGTTACTTACGATGGGACTTGGTCGAGGGAATTAAAAGGAGATAGAATAATGATCAATACCCAGCCATAAAGATCACAGGGCCGTGTAGAGATGTCACTTCAGTTGAGGCAACTCCTGCCGCACCATGACTTATACTAGTATTTTAATGGCTTATTGACACTGGCTCACACACCTTGATACCAAGCACCCTTTGAGTATGGCTTGGTTAGAAGTGACAATATCGACCACCTCACGTCCTTACTTCTGCAAAGACGCAGACCTCATATATATGACACAATTTTACCCAATTGTCTCAGTGTCCATCAGTCAACAGGTATCCCTTGACACTTGCAATAATTAGCACTGGGAGTAGGTTGATACGACTTGTAACTCTTTTTTTTCTGTAACTCATATTGCATCTCAGATCGTATCTTACAATGGCAGTATGTCTCATCGAACGCGTCGTCAGAATCATTGCCAGGCGGTAGCCGTTGAATTTTTAAGGGCCAAGAAGAAAAAAAAGAATTTAAAAAAGAATTTAAAATAATAATATAAAATAATAATATAAATAAATAAAACAGACTTGTTACACGTTAACTACTTAGAGATTACGCGCACAGTTCTCAACAGAGTTCACACAGGGAATATACGTCAGAAAGAATAAAAACTACTTGTACAAACAAGGCTTTCTGACGCCACCTAGTGAATAAATTCAGTTTTAGTGAAAGTCGCTTAGAGGTCTCGAGCCTTTTATTTTTTTCCTAACTTCGTCCCCAACCCGGCTCGAGTCACTCATATTTTTCCTCCGGTCTCGTTTTCACCATCGCCATATTTCAAAACGGGTTTTACCTTCCCGAATTCAATTTGACGCGTTGCTTAACTGATCTTGTGTCACCACCATTACAACCAAACACACAACACCCAACTCACCACCGCAAACGTGTCACAATGAGTCGACCCCGCGACGACGACGCGAGCGATGATGGCCAGCAGCGGCCTCGTAAGCGCCAGAACACCCAAGACTTCTTCAGGTACCACCATCCAGGTTTCATTCGGTCTGTGGAGTGCATCAACTTCATGTGCCACGAAAACCTGAAGATCGATGTTGGCCCCGGAATCACGTTTGTTTCCGGCCAGAACGGCCACGGCAAATCTGCTATTCTTAACGCTTTGATCCAGGTCTTTTCAACTGACCGTAAGATGAAGGGTGAGCGAGGTACAGGTGCTGCTCTGCGACGAAACATTGAGGACAACAAGAAGGCCAAGTCTGCCAAGATCATTGTCAAGATCAACAACAAGGAGGCTGACGAAGATCTGGATTTCACTGATGGAGGAGTAAAGGGATATACTATGTCTCCATTTGAGCCTGAGACGTATGGCGATATCATCATCATCGAGAGAGAAATCTTCGAGAAGTCCAGAAAGCTCAAAATTATGACCAAGAAGAAGGAGTTGATTTCTGAGAAGACAGAAGTCCTTCTGCAAATCATGAAACACTTCTCCTACCAGTTCGACAACCGTCTTGTGATCCAGACCCAGGAGAACGCCAAGAAGAGAGGAGACCCTAAGAGTCTGTTTGACTTCTTTTACAACGGATCTGGTTTCGAGAGCATCGAGAACGACCTTGCCGCGATGAAAAGAGAAGTCGGACAGCAGCATGAGTGCCTCGAGTCTTCTTTGTTGCAAACCACCCTCGCCAAGAAGGAGCGCAGAGACGAACTTAAGGCCGAATGCGAGCTTACCGCCCACACCAAGGAGCTCTACGACAATCTTCAACGGTACAAGGCCATGTATCAATGGTTGGATTACTCCACTTTCCAGCTGGCTCTTAACAATGCTCTCAGTGTAAAGATGAAGCTTGAGGACAAGTGCAAGCAACTCAAGGAGGTGGGTGCAAAGCGTCGAGCCCAACTGGAGGAACACAAGCTGGCTTTGGAGCAGTGTGAAAAAGAAGACCCTGAGCTTGATGCGCAGATTGCTGAGGCCAACAGAAAAAAGACACTGCTAAAAAATGAGAAAGACGACATCAATAGACAGCTCCGGTCTTCAGAAAGAGATGTCGAGGATCTCGAGGACCAAATAAGGCTGTTAAACCATGCCATTGCTAAGCTTCGAGCGGAGCGAGATCAGTCGAACTCCAACGCCGAACACAAACGACTGGATGCAAAGATCAAAGCGTGTGAAGAGAAAGTCACCACTGCTGAGACGCAAATCAGAGCATTCAAGCTCAAGCTGGAGGAGAAGAGAAATATCTGGAGGGATGCAAGATCCAAGTCTCAGGATGCTTCATCGCCGAGAACCCAGAAGGAGGCTCAATTGCGCGATGCCAGGGACGAGGCAAGTCGGCTGGAGGCAATGTCAAGAGATAAGGGTAACCCCATTGCTGGTTTTGGTCACCAGTTCGTCGAGGCCGATCGTATCATTCAGACCAACATGGGCAGGTTCAGACAGCCACCACTTGGCCCTATAGGCCAGTACATCAAGGTCAAGCCTGGTACTAGCCAACAAGAGCTAACGCTGATCAATAGTCATCAACCTCTCACAAGATTGCTCAGATCGTATGTCGTTGCGACTCCTGAGGATGAACGAACGCTGAGAAGCATATTGCCACGCAACCATAACCCTACGATCTATTATGTCAAACCCGACAATTACGATGTGGATCGTATTTCACCCTCTTCCCAGTTCAAAACTATTTTGCGGTGCCTTGACGTTTCGGAGGCTCGTGTTATCCAGGCCTTGGTCGAGTGGGCAGCGGTGCATAGTACCGCTATCGCTGGTAGTACCGAAGAGGCTGTTAGAGCTCTGAAGCAGGGGTCGCAAAACTTGGAATCAGCGATTGCCCCTCATAAAACGTCGGATAGGTTTATTGTTACTGCAACGCAGAGAGGCTCTCAGCTTTCTTCTTCTGGGGTTGTGCAGTCGGGCCTTCTGCGGGTAGGAAAGGCGATTGTGACTGCTGAAGACGTTTCTGAGGCCAAGAAACGAGTCGCTGTATGCGAGCGGGAGCTGCAGCCGCTGAAGGAGGAACTCAGACGCCTGGAGCAAGAGGAGCAGATGGCTCTACGAGAGTTCAGATCCCTCGAAGATAAAGAATCAGTGTTCGAACAGAAGCTCCAGTCGCTTAGAAGAGAACATGCTTTAGCTGTGGCAGAGAGGGACTCGATTCCTGATGCACCCAGCACAGACGAGACTGACCAGGCTATCGAGACCAAGACTCAGGAGCTGGATAACAGCAAGCAGCAGCTGTCTGAGGCACGCGAGGCTCTGGAAGCGGCAAAGGTACGTTCGCGTGAGATCGCCAATTCTGAGATGGAAGCTGAAGTGGAGCTCGACAAGCTCAACGCGAAAGTACACGAAAAGTTTTTGGCTACCGAAGAAGCCAACTTGAGGTACACGGCACATCAGGACGTCGTGACCAGCACACTGCAGAAGTTCGAGCTGGCCAAGAAGAAGCTCGCGGAGAAGGAGGTTGAGCTAGTTGATATACAGGCCAACATGGAGACCCAGCTTGCTGCTGCACAGGCTCTCAGCGAGGAGCACGTTCCTTTAGATGAAGGCGTCGACTTAGAGAATGGTTTTGACTACTGTACCAAGCGTACTGGTGAGTTGCAGGCCAAGATCGATGCTGCAAAGAAGCGAAACCTCCGAGACTACCGTATAGTCTATGCAGAATTTCAGGAGGCGGAGGAGGCATACCGACTTGCTAAGGAGGAGTTTGAGGCGCAGAAGAAGGACGTTAGAGCTCTAGGAGAGACGGAGGCAGACCGTGTTCTGGCTAAGGGGCAGGCTCTTTCTCTTGGTATTATGCAGACCAGTGCTTACTTTAGTAACATCATGAAGTCTAGGGCAGCCTCAGCTGATATCGTTTTCGATCTGAAAACCAGAAAGCTAGAAGTGAAGAACTACAAGCTCGCTTCTACTTCCGATACTTCGTCCAAGGGAGGTGCTCGAGATGTGGCTACCACTTCTGGTGGAGAGCACTCTTTCCTTCAGTCAGCTCTCATGGCCGCTCTATGGCAGATGGTAGATGCTCCTATCATCTGTCTGGATGAGTACGAGGTGTTCATGGACGACACCACTCGAGTCACGGCACAAAAGAACCTGATCAATACTCTCGGAGGCTTGAAGCAGCGCGCCCAGGCTATTCTGATTTCCCCCACGGTGGTGAAGAACAGCGCCGTGGACGATGCTAGATTCACGTATGTGGAGGTTCGAGATCCCAGTTTTGCTTCTCGAAATCGGTAATCAATATATGTAATATTGGGATGTATTGATTGTTTGTAGTTTGTAGTTTGTAGTTTGCAGTGTTATCACAAGCATTTTTAAACTGACACATACACAATCCCATGCCACCTCTGCCCATTAGTCAGTCTTCAGTATCATTCAAAATGATAGGTGAGATTGCGGGCTCCCATTTTCCATACTTCGCTATTTTGTGACTATGAAGAGAAGGGTACACTTGAATACAGCGAACCCAGCCATACATACACAAAACAGTACATACAGAAACTATCTCTACGCTACAACTCAATTAATATTGATCGATTAATATGTAATTATTCATCATCCTCATCATCATCGTCGTCGTCGTCGTCGTCATCATCGTCGTCCGAGATCTCCACCCCATGCTCCTCCAGCTTCTCCTTGTATTTTTCGACCTTCTCATCCAAATCGGTGATCATCAGCATCAGCTCCTCGTACTCGGACTTGGGCACCATGTCCTTAGTGGCTGCAGACTTGGCCTTGTTGGTCTTGAGCAACTCGTCGTACTTGCTCTGGAGCTCGGCGAGAGCCTTTTCAGTGGCGCTCTGCGTGTCAGACACAGTCTTGAGCTCTGTAGACTTGGACTCGAGTTCCGTAGTCTTTGTCTTGAGCTCACTGGTTCTGTCCTTAAGCTCAGTGTTGATAGTCTTGAGCTCGGTGGTCTTGGATTCAAGCTCACTAGTCTTAGACTTCAGTTCCGAAGATGCAGACTCGAGCTCCGTAGCCTTAGACTTCAGCTCTTTAGAGGCTGCCTCAAGTGCAGAAGACGCAGACTCGAGATTTGAAGCCTTCGTCTGCAGCTCAGTCTCCTTTGTCTTCAGCTCCACTTCCAACTTCTCAATCTTACCCTTGAACTCGCCAGCAGAAGAAGCATTGGAAGTCTGCTCATCCCTAAGACTCTTGATCTCCATCTTCAGAGAAGCAACCTCCTCATCGTGCTGGGTCTGAGAAGCCTTCAACTCAGTTTCAAAATCAGCAGACACCTTAGTCTTGGCCTCCAGATCAGAAGACAGCTTGGTCTTCGCAGCCTGCTCCTCCTCCAACTTAGCCGAAGCGTTCTTGAGTTCAGTCTCAAGCTTGGTATTAGCAGTAGCAACCTCTTCCAACTTGGTTTTGAGCTCATTCAGCTCGGAAGCTTGCTTCTTGGAGCCGTCAGCATGAGTGGACTTCACATTGTCGAGCTCCTTCTTGGCATCAGCAAGCTGGGTCTCCAGCTCAGTCACCTTGGACATCAGCTCGGTTCTTTCGGAGCTCGTGTCGGCAGCTGCGGTCTCGGCACTCTTCTTGAGCTCGTCGATAGTAGCCTTGTGGGTCGATATTTCGCTCTTGAGAGTCTTGACCGACGCCTCAAGCTCAGAAGCGGCCTTGCCATGCTTACCTTGGTTGTCAGCGACTTCCTTCTCCAACTCCGTCACCTTGGTCTCAAGCTTGGACTTCGCAGAAGACGCTTCCTCGAGCTTCTCCTCTAGGGCAGTCTTGACAGCCTCCGTCTCAGAAGTCTTGGTCTCAAGGGACTCCGTCAGCTCGGAAACCTGCTTCTCGAGACCCTTGATATCCGTCTGGCTGGCCTCGTACTTGGCTTTTACCTCTTCTAGAGTCTTGATTTCAGCCTGGGCAGCCTTGATCTCCTTCTTGAGACCCTTTGCCTCGGTCTCAGAGTCGCCCAGTGCCTTCTTGTGGGAAGCAGTAAGCTCGTCAAGCTTGGTCTGAAGCATGGAGACCTTGTTGGTGAGCTCCTTGGTGGCAGAATCAGCATCCTTGGTCAGTGAAGTTCGCTCATTCTCCATCTCCTTGATACTAGTGTCCAGCTCGGTTCGCAAAGCATCTCGCTCCTTCTCGGCCTGAGCAAGATCGTCCTTGAGAGAAGAAATATCATGCTCGAAGTTTTCAGCCTTCAGAGTGCTCTCCCGGACTTGCTCAGTGAGTTTGGAGACCTCGGTTGAATGATCATCCTTGCTGGTCTGAAGCTTCTCCTTGAAAGAAGACAGCAGCTTGTTGACCTTGTCAAGCTCAGCCTTGCTGGACTCGGAGGCCTTGGTCAGCTTCGCCTCCAAAGCAGAGACCTTAGAAGAGGCCTCGGTCTCGGCTGCCTGAGAAGACTTCTTCAATTCAACAGCTTCTGCAGTGGCATCACTGAGTTTCTTCGTCAGAACATCAACTTCCTCCTTGGAAGAGGTATTGGAGGACTCAAGCTCGGATTTGGCAGCAACCAGCTCCTTGGTCTTCTCAGCGAGGTCCTTTGTCAGGTTGTCAGCCATGGCCTTGAGAGTCGTCTGTTTCTTTTCGAGAGCAGCAGAGGATGTCTCCAACTCCTTGACCTTGGCGGAGTAGGTGGTGGCTTCGTCGGACTTGGCGGTGAGCTCCTTAGACTTGGTAGTGAGCTCCGCAGTCTTGGTCTCCAGCTCCGAAGTCTTGGTCTCCAGCTCCTTTTCCTTGGCAGACAGCTCCTCTGTCTTGGTGGCTAACTCCTTGTCCTTGGACTCCAGCTTCGCAGTAAGAGACTCCACCAGAGCCACCTTCTCAGCAAGCTCAGCAGCGCCAGACTCAACACTAGAAGACTTTGCAGCCAGCTCGGCATTCAGGTGCTCGACCTTGGACTTCTGCTCAACAAGCTCTGATTCGACAGCCTTGATCTTGGTTTCGCTGTCACAAGCATCAGACTTTGCGGCCTTGAGCTCAGAGGTCAGAATCTCAACCTCCTTGGCAGTAGAAGCAAGTTTGGAGTTTGCGGTCTCTAACTCAGACTTGAGCTTCTCAATCTCGGTGTCTTTGGCAGATACATCCTTGGTCTTGGAAGCCAGATCTTTCTCCGAGGAGGCAAGATCACTCTTCAACTTATCAAGCTCAGCAGTTCTCTCAGAGAGTTCCTCCTTGAGGCGCTTGATAGTCTCCTCGTGAGTAGCAATCTGGCCAGACACCTTCTCCTTCTCGGCAGCAACAGACTTGCTCTGAGCCTCGGCAGCTGAAAGTGACTTCTCAAGCTCAGAAACTTTGTCGGCTCGCGAAGAGCTCTCCGTCTCAATTTTTGAAAGCTTGGTCTTGAGCTCGGCCAACTCAGAAGCAAGACTCTCATTGTCCTTTCCAACAGAAGACAGCTGCTCATGCGACTTCTGAAGCTCATCGTAACTGTTTTGCAAAGCTTCATGAGAACCCTGAAGCTCTCGAATCTGGCCCTCAAGATTAGCACCTCGAGACTTGTGGTCTTCCAATTGAGTAGCGGCACTCTTGAGCTTCTCAATCAACTTGTCTTTGAGAGTTTCGGTTTCGGAGTGTTCACTCTGTAAACCCTTAAGTCTGTTCTCAAAATCACTTCGCGCAGCAGTCACCTGTTTGAGGTTGGCAGCAAGGGCTGTGAGTTCAGTTCGTCTGCTGGAGTCCTGCTTCTTTAGCTCCGCCAGCTCCTTCTGAAGCCCCTTCTTCTCCTTGTCAGATCCGTCTCGTTCTCGTGTCAGCTGGAAAAGCTCCTTGCTCATCTTGTTGATGCCAGACTCGGCCTTGTCCTTGGCAGCAGTCAGAGTCTCGACCTGAGTGGTGAGCTGGGTCTTTTGCTGCGTCAGAGTCTGTAGTTTCTTCTTCAGATCTGCAAGCTCGGTCTGCAGACCACTGCCGCTCTTTCTCTCGGCCTCCAGAGAAGTCTGGAGCTGTTTCTCGGCAGCAACTTTCGTGTGGAATTTGCCCTCGAGAGATTCAAGTGCACCACGGGCCTCCTTGAGTCGGGTATCAGTCTCCTGGAGATCCCGCTCGAGATCATCACGAATAGCCTTGAGATCCTTGATTTCAGCGGAAGTAGCAGACTTGGTCTCTGACAGAGCAGTGGAAACCTCCTCAAGCTCGTCTGTGAGAGACTTGACATTGTCCTCGAGACTCTGAACAAGCTCGTAAGAGATCTTTCCGCCGGCAGAGTGACTAGGATCCTTCAACAGTGCTCTGGAAAGACGAGTGAAGTTCTCTTTGACAAGCTCGACGAAAATTTCGTCAAAGTAAACCTTTGGCAGACCAGCCACGTCATCTTTCTCGGCGTTGAGAATATCCTCAGAGTCGAAATCCTTGAAGTAGGAACTGTCCTTGAGTCGCTTTGTCTTGAGAAGATATTGGTCAGCACCTAGAGAACCTCGCAGCAAGGAGTAGAGATCAGCACGGCTCATCGCAGAGTCGACGTCGGAAAACTCGTAGCAAGTACCTAGAATCAAACAACACATAGACTCCATCAGAGGAGTGCACTGTGATCTACTGACGACTGCAAGAAGAGCCTCGACGGTAGAAGACTCGCCGAGAAAGTCTGAAACCGCTCCGACATTCTCATACAGGATAGTAATGAGAAGCATGGCATAACCAAAGACGATTCGAGGCTCCTGAAGAGGCAGACAAGTAACCATCACACCAGCAATGGCCTGGATGAAGCTGACAGGGTCCTCTCCAATATCTTCATCTCCAACAACAACGTTTTGCAACTCCACTTGGGCCTCGTGGCAGTCAATGATGATGTGGAGAAGCAACACAGCTGCAAACCACGGTCTGTAGGGGTTCAGCTTCATGTCAGGATCATAGTTGACAAGGGCCTCAATAATGTTATCAGATACTGAGTCATACTGAGAGTAATCAGACTCGTGGTGGGCAGTCTCTTTTTCCTCCTTAGTGTCCTCTTCAGTCTCCTCCTTTATTCCATTCTTCTTGTCCTCCTCGTAACCGCTCTTGTTTCGGCGGTTGTAAGCGTCAATCTGCTGCTTGATGAACTCCAGTTTAGCATGATGGTTACCCTGGAAGTACGCTTGCAGACAGTACGCTGCACCGACTCGCAGATCAAAGAAATGCACACTTTGAGTAGACAGGGTCCATTTCAAGAGCGCCAGAATAACGGGCATAACCACAGGCACGCGAACAGCAGGAGGCTGAGAGACGTCCACATAGGGCACATCGACCGCTGCGAAATCGGCCTGAATGGCGTGGTTGCCTCGAAGCAGGTTTCCAGACGTGATGAGAGCAAAAGACCGAATGGGAGTGGAAGAGTTTGCTCCAAATGCGAGTCTTAGGATTGAGAACAGAACACCGGCTTTGAGGAAGGCGTCCTGGTTGGCTCGAGTGACACTGCCATGTTCAGGAACAAACAGAGAACAGGTTTCGAGAGCGAGAGTGCAGTTTCGGGTCGTCTGCTCGTTCCACTCCATATCCGGAGGCAGTTCCAGCAGCTGGGCCAGACGGCTGACACAGGAGGTTTCTCGGAAAGCTACCTGGTTGGACACGTTGTATCTGAGCAGGTGGGTGAGGAGAGTCAGACAATCTCCTACCACATATCCACCCTGCAGACCCCCCTCATCGTCCATAATTGAGAACAGTCTGTGGAAGGCGTTCTCAAATACAACCAGTTTCTGGACATCGGCATTACCGAGTACCAGAGAAGAGAGTACAATGATACATTCACTTCTGACAAACTCGGTGGGGTCGTCCAGACCAGCCACCAGGTTCATGAGACCGTCAGGCACCTCCAGAATGCATTCCTGGACTCGTTCGGATCGGTTTTGGACCACTGCGGCGAGCAATTTGAGCGTGTAGAGTCGAATGTATGTGTCGTGGCTCGAAAGTAGACCGATCAGGGTCGCAAAGTTCTCGTTGTTCTATGTTAGCATAGATCCCGTGAAGCGATCCGTGTCCTCGCAATTCCGCTCTCTTTACTTACCTGACTGAACTCGTCTGTAAGCCAGAGAGCAATAAAGTCTATGGAAGAGGTGTCTCTTAGTAGCGGCGAAATGTACTTGAGACCTCTTCGGGTCAGTGATCCACGGGTAGATCTGTCGTCCGAGTCGTTTCCGAGAAACAGAATGAGCAGCGTCTCGAGTGACGCTCGCACCGTCTCGTCGTCGTCATTGTCCTTGGTAAGAGCCGAAATAAGGCCTCTCATACCTCCAGCAGCAACAGCCTCTCGGTACTCCTTGGACAGACCCTTGAGAGCCAGCACGGCGGACCGTCGGTCCTCCAGAAGTGTGGCATGCGTGAGTCGATCACAGAGCGTCGGAATGGCGTGATCTGCCGACTGTGTCTTGGGCTGGGAGTCCCTTATGAACCCCGATAGCGCGTTCATGGTGGTAAGATGACGTGTATGTAGTGACACAACTTTATTGGCATCTCGAGTCTATGAGGTGTACGAGTATCGTAGCATGCACGACATGATCCACCTGCATGAGACACACGTATAGAGGACAACTGTATAAGGTGGTACGAGTAGAGAACACGAGGTATATATATCGTGAATAGTTTGCAGGTAAATGAAGGTATGTAACGACCGTCATTAGTGCGATAGTCAGAGACATTATCCCAACCACCTCTCTTGATAATGCCGTTTAGAGTTAGAAGCCGCACAGAAGTTGAATTTATTGTTTTCAACCAAGAGTGACATTGCAAGCACGGGTATAGTAGCTACAGTGCGAGGACGGTACTTTTACGGTCTACGTCGGCCTTGGTTGCATTAATTTATGACTCGATGTGTCTATGTATGTTTGACCGCCCTATTCAAAAAGTCCCTTATTCCACCTGTCCTTAGACATGTCCTCCTTCGACTGCTGTATGTACAGTTCGACTACAGTAGCTACAAGCAGCACTCCTCCAGCTACTCGTACCGTAGTTACAGCCTAGCTATAAAGCTTGCGGATCTCTCGCTGGACAAGAGGAGTCAGATCCATACCCTCGATCCACTGCTCGAACCGGAACACGATTCGAGAAAATGCCGTTTGGGCCGAAGACCGAATGAAAACGATATCGGACATTTCCTCGTCGATATCGTCAGGGTTGAACTTGACGTCGGTCCAGCTCACAGGGGGCTTTCGCAGCAGCTCGTCTAGAGCAACCATGGACTGGCACAAAGTGTCCAGAATCTCGGGAATGGTTCTCTGCACGCTTCCATACCGGTCCTCGTCGATGGAGTGGAAGACTAGGAATGACAGAGCCATGATGGCGTTGCAAGTGAGTAATGGCTCAGGCACAATTCGCTTACATCGTCTCTGGATGGTCTGTCTGAAAGGAGCGCCAATTGGAAGTCTGAGGAGCTGAATCATCTGGGTCTGGTAGCCGCCCAGAAGCTCGGTGAACGTCTTGAAGAGCTCAGACACAGACTCGGAAAATTGGTTGGAAGTAGTAGCCTCCTTGTCTTGGAACACCTGAACCACCTTGGGGAAATCCGGTTTGGGGTTCTTGAAGATGTTGTCCCTTCTGATGACGATTTGGGGAGCCTCGGGACGGGCCGTAGACACCAGGTCGGCCTGCTGCTTGCCCTTGTAGTCAAAGGGGTTGGGCTTCGGCTTGGACTTGACTTTACCAATGGACGAATTGGCTGCCTCGGTCACAGCTACAATCTGTTTCTTGCACTCGGCGTATACCTCGACCCACATGCTCTGATCTCTGCTGAGATCTTCAAACATTTGGACTCGTCCCTGTGGAGAGAAGAGGGCCACGTAGAGCAGCTCCTGGAATGCCACCGATTGCGGGTAAACGTGCTTGGAGTCTCGCAGTCCCGATACCAAAGTTCCGTTTCTGTCGGGAGACGATTCACTGATTCCTTCGCCCTTGCGTAGAGGTCCCAGAGACATGTAGATGGAGAAGGTGGTGTTGACGAGATTCCACAGAAGCAACAGGATTGCTGAGGCGATGAAAGTGTCCATGACCAGCGAGAATCGTAGACCGGGATACACCTCGGGGGTCTGTGCCTTGTTGAGTCCGTACCAGTAGCCCGACAGTGACATAGTGATGTTCCAGATCTTGGTGCGGAAGCTGGGGTAGAACATGATGGGGTAGACGACCAGAGAGAAGCCCGCCGACAGAGTGCCTGCATTTTTGACAATGTCGGTCATCTGGTGCTTGAGTCTCTCCATGGGTCGAGCGGGTTCTTCGGTCACAGGCTGTACAATGAGCTTGTCAATGTCCTTGGCGATGTGGAGCACCGACTGGGCCAGAGACAGAGCAATTGGGAACACCATCAGGTAAAGGGCATTCTCGTTTAGCATAGGCTGGGTCAACGGGGTAGCTCGGGTGGTGAAGGCCGAGTTCTCTGTCGACATGGCCTTGGTGTAGTAACCGAAGAACATGGATGCTGACAGCATGTATGCTGCGAAGGTGACGACAAACGTGGTTGAGAAGATACGATCACAGATCTCAGCAGCCAGTGACAGGTACGGCAGCTCCCGTATGTGCAGGTCGGCCTTTCTCATGATGACGACCGGCAACAGACCCAGTAGTAGCCAAGAGGCTCGTAGAGGTAACAGGCACCACCACCATGAGGAGTCATCTGACGACGCCAACACCCGTCGTAGCACCTCAATCACAATTCCAATCAGATAGCAAAGCGTGAACAGCAGCCGATACATGTTGCCAAATCTGTATTTCATCACCAGCGTCATGAGACTGTGGTATGGGATGGGTTCCGACCGGGCACTAGGCACCGGCATCATTCGCGATACGCTGACCATGTGGTGTGTGTATTGTGAGTTGTGTGTGTGAGTATGTGTCGGTAATCGTTTCTTCTAGTTTGGATGATGCAGATTCGTTAGTAGTAGCGGTGGTTGCGGCGGTTATGTGGTTGTTTTGGTTCACTTCTTGATCTCGCAAGCTTCCAGAATCTTTTTCAGAGGCTATCCAAACATGCAGAAACAACAATGCAGAAAGCTTGAGTAACAATCAGTGGATGGAGACAGGTTAGAGGAGAATACTTGGTGGGCGGGAGGGGGAGGGAGTGGGAAGGTGAATGGAGTAATTGCAGTTGATTTATATTGGTCGGTTGATTCATTGTCTTATTAGTTTTCTCGGCGACCCTGAAACTGCCACCTCCCACAATTTATTTATATATAGTTTCGGCAACCTCTCACACGTTATTTACAGTACTTGTATATTCAGACTACCAACTAAATCACAACTAATATCCCAACAGCGCTTACTTATCCCTTGCCCCCTCCAACGCCGCCAACTCCACTTATTGACGCTGAAGAGATACATTTTTTGCTTTATATGAAACATCGCTCCTTTATCTATCCAATTATATCCTTCTTTTTGTTACACCATTTCGGGAAGATCGAAATAGCTACCCCTAGCTGACTTCTTCTCTCAACAAATTTACATCTAAAGCTAAGTAACTAAAGTTGGTGACTAAGAAGTGGAAGTCCTTATATAGGCAAGTAGGTGCTGTACGTAAGCAGATTCTTCACTGGTGATGTTACCGCATTGTGAAGAGCAATATCTACGTCTCCCGGTCACGTGCCATGTTGTAGGGGCAATCTACGCCCGCCGCGTTCTCACAGCAAGCTTGAATTTGTAATCGAGAGAGCGTTTCGCGTGTGGACGTGTTGACACTAAAACTGTAAAATTCAAGACTGAACCAGGAACACCTCAAGAGTATTATTTAGAAGATTATAAGGGCGGTGACAAAGCTGAAGCAATGCTAATGCTCATTATTCATGTCTAACTTGCTCTTGTTTTCTCCTCACCCACCATCTTCACGCCCTCCGTACCATATCTTGCTCTCCTCTAAGACTGCATTTTTAGCTGCTTACTCTGATCATAACATTGCAGGTATTTTTCCTGCATCGACATAGACGCGTCACACCAGAGAAGTTCACCTGCAAGGATACCTGCTTTTTCGTTGTAAGAAAAAAGTGCCTGACAAAAACTACTTCCTCAGTGACAAGCATCTGATCGTAACGAAACGACTTCGTTTCCGCCGGTACCACAACACTAACCACCTTGTTTCCTAATTGCATCAAAAAACGCCACCCGCTCTACTAGCAATGCCACAGTTCGGAGACCACTACGCGCTGCCTGATCCACCCAAAGCCATCACCACGGGCTCTGGGGGCGCCCCCAACATTCCTTACTCGCGCAGCGAGGAGCGACAGGTGTCTGATCTGCTCAAACACAACCTGGGCCCCGAATTTGTCTCCAAACGGCCCAGTCCGGGAGGTCGAAGCGTGCACTACTTGGAGGGCTGGAAGGTGTTCAATCTGGCCAACGAGATCTTCGGCTTCAACGGTTGGCGGTCGCAGATCATCAAGCTGGAGGTCGACTACTGCGACCAGAACCCCGACACAAAGCGATGGGACGTGGGCGTCTATGCTATTGTTCGTGTCCATCTCAAGGACGGCACCTATCGGGAAGACACGGGGTCCGGCAATGTCGAGAACTGCCCCAAGCGAGACATGGCGCTCAACAAGTCGCGCAAGGAGGCTGTGACGGATGCATTTAAGCGAGCCATGCGTCAGTTTGGCCCCTCTCTGGGCAACTGTCTGTACGACTCGGAATACCTGAGCAAGCTCAAGACGGTGCGATCTGCCAAGTACACGTTTGATGAGAATAATCTGATTCGAAAGCCAGAATTTGTCATCAAGCGTGATATCAAGCAGGAGCAGGCCACTGCTGCCAACATTACTGCATCTACATCCACATCCACCACCTCGCATAATCAGGATCCTCCTGCTCCAGCCCCTGCCCCTGCCCCTCCTGCGCCTTCCGTCAGCCTCCACGGTCATTCAAACACATCCAGCAACCGCAGCAAGGCCGTGTCCATAGAGGCCATGTGCGAGGGCATCGACTACTCATTTGACGACGACGATCTCGACCTCGACTCCCTAGTGCCCCAGCTCAAGGCCGGACGCAACCCTTCGCCCTCCATCTCCGCTGAGGACTTTGACGAAGACCTGCCCATTTCGGCTGAGGCAATGGAGGAGGACGGATCGCCTATCCCCGTGGGCTTCTTCAAGGCCAGCGTTGCGGCAGATATCAACAAGGGCAGTCCCATTTCACAGAATGCCGCGTTTGACATCAACATCCAAAGTCCTTCCATTAAGCGCACCTTGGAGCATAATAGGAGTGTGCCTATTGCCAAACCACGTCCTCCCATGCACCCCAAGTCCACCAACATTCCCCCCAGCCCATTGTCCAAGCCGTTAGTGAATCCTGTGAAGCCCGAGTTTACCACCCCTGTTGCCAAAAAGCACAAAATTAACGAAAATGATGAATAGAAAACGAGGGATGGACAGATGGAGGGTGTATATTAGCTTCTATCAATTTGCATATGAATGGTGTACAGTCAGAGTAGCAAGTGAATTTCAAGTGTGCTGTATGTAGTCGTCCTGTACCGCTGTAGGCGACTGGACCAATAGGGATGGTGTTGTTCTGATGTCCAGAGCTACAGTAAGCGTCGTAGTTAGTTTTATTGGCCTCCAATTAATGTGTCGCGTTTTACTGTACAGATACTGGTGACTGTACTTGGCCTTCCAGTGTGCTGTGATTTACTTGCTCATTGTTTTGTTGTCATTGTCACCATCCGTTGTATTAATTTACCAGTGTTGTGGCAAGGCACTATCAACTATTTCACCTAATAATAACCCATCCATAATCTATAATCGGAGAGTCACGTCGTTCATCCAGTCTCTCTCCACTATAATTTTGTTACGTAACATTTTTGTGATGCACATTAGTCTCTTAGTCGTCGTAGTACTCGTCGTCAGACTCCTCCACGAGCTGCTCAAAGTTGACCTTGTACCGGAGCAGAGCGCCGATACCACCAAAGCCCTGGACGAACTGGGCACCCTCGGAGGACCGGTCTGTGACAAACTCCAGCTGGGCGCCAAAGTCCTTGTAGTGCTCGGCTAGCCACTCGAGCAGAGGAATCTCGTCGACCACCTCCAGCTCGTTACCCTCCTTGTCGATCAGGTATTCCTCGGTGGGAGTTCCCTTCTTGATGTGCACAATGGTCTCCTCGCCATCGTTGTTCTTGAGAGTCATTCGCTGGATGTCAAGGTTCTCGTAGACAATGACAGTCTCGCAGGCTCCGAGATCCAGGGCCTTGAGAGTCTCGTCGTAGCCGTAACAGAACTTTCCAGAGTCCATGGAGATCTCGTCGAAGTACTGGGTCAGCAGCTTCTTCTCCTGAACGAACTTGACGTTGGACAGAGTCTCGGCAGACAGCTCGATGGCCTGGTTGAAGCCGTTCTCTCCTCCGTACGACACATCGACAGTCTTGATGACCTTAGCGTGCAGACGGTTGTCAAAGAGATCAGAGCCGTTCAGCTCGGTCTTGAAGTCGGCAGAACCGGCCAGAATCAGACCGTTGACGTTGACCTTGTCGTTTGTGATGAAGTTCTGGACAGCCACCTCGGCCACCTTTCGCACGTAGTTGTGTCGCTTTTCCTCTCGCAGTCGGGAGAATCGCAGCGCGGACTGACCACCACGACCATGCTTCTTGGGCAGATCAACGGTGAACTTGTGCAGAACCTCTCGGGTGTTTCCGGACAGAGTACCGAACAGGGCTCCGTTACCGTCCATGACAATGAAGCCAAACTTGGAGTCGGACTCCAGCAGCTCTGACAGAGCCTCGGTATGGAACTTGTTGTCACACAGGTAAAGAGAGGTGTTGATGGGCTTGAAGGGCTCGAAGTCAATGGACATCTTCTTCTCCTTGCCGTCGGCAGTAATCACGTCTCCACAGTAGATAACCAGACCGTTGGTGGGCACTCGGTTGTACAGCTTGAGACGCTGCTGAGTGGATGTGATAGCGGAGAGCACCGACTGTCGGTTGACTCGAGACTTGATGTTAGAGGCGGTTCCGTACTCATCGGTCAACATCTTGGAGTACTGTGGAATCTGGGTCTTGGGGGGCATGATGAGCGAGATCATGGAGGTTCCGTTACCTCGAGCGGCCTCGAGGTTCTTGATCAGCTTTCGCACCTTCCAGATCTCGATGTTCTTCTCGGCGTCGCTTGGTTCCACTTCCTTGGCCATTTTGTCGTCCCTTTTGTGTGTTGCAGAAAAAAAACTTGCACGCACGCGGTGAAAAATTAGAAGACGCTTGTTTGGGAAGTTGGATGATAGGGTTAGCAAGGACAGTACGAGCGCTGTAGATGTGGGTGCTATGGGTGCCACGTGTCTATTGTATGGTATTCTTGCGACTAAAATATCACACTTTGGCCGTTTATCCACTACTAACACCCATCTACGGTATCACCATCTTCACCTTTTCATCCCACTATTTAGAAACTCTGGTGGTGGGAGATACAGGAGGTACGGCGGCGGAGTAGGCTACTGTACAGTATAAGCTTGAGTGTTTCGATGAGATGAAAGCGGATGTCAAGAGTGAAGCTGTGTGAGTGTGGGACATAGATGGGTGTGAGCATTTGTGTTACGTCCCCTTTGTGGATACACTGCTGCTGATTCCATGTATATAAACCGCCACTTCCCCCCGCCATACTAGCACTCTTCAACGGCTATTTTTTTAGCCTTCTCGACTCGGTTTTTTCTCTCTCTCTCTCTCTCTCTCTCTCTATCAGTTTGTCTCACCCAAACACTGGATTCATGGCTGCCCGTTACCCTGCAGTGGCTGGTGAGCCCTTCCCCTTGCATGACGTGTCCTTGTAGGATACTGCACTGAATAGTGGGAGGCAGCTGGGTCACGTGTTCGGAAGTGTAGGGGTGCGGCTCAACGTTCTCTGACAGTTTGGCGTTGTATGGTAAAGCCGTGGTTTACAGTGATGATTATCCGTGGTTACAGTGATGATTGAGCATGACAGATATAGATTGACGAACACACTATGACCTGACGAAGCGCTCGGTCACGTGATGAGTATACAAGATATGTACTTGTACATTCACGAGTAAAATGTACTGTTCTTGTCCAATACTCACACATTCCACAGTTATATTGGGAACAGTTGCCAATGTTTTATACCTGACGAAAGGGCTGTGCATAGCATTCCTTAGGTTAGGTTGGTGTGGAAGCACAGCCGCCACGCCGCTGACGGAGTGGTCTGGGACGTGGCGATGGACACGTATCACATTGCTTAAAAGGCAACTAACAACACAGCAACCATAACTACGTCTCACACGGCCGGCAATGTCGCCACATTTACCACCCCTTCCATTTCTCGGATTATCTCCTTTCTCCTACACAGCTTGTAAACCCTGTTGCCAAAATTTGGGACCAAAGGTGCGCCCTTTGTATTGACTCTATCCAAAGCTGCACCACTCACCAGCAGGACAAATTCACTCACCACACATTTTTTTCACAGATGGACTCGGACAGTGAAAACGAACGGCCCACGCATCAGGAGCCCAAGGAGAAGTCGCGACGACCCCCCAACACGGCCTTCCGGCAGCAGCGGCTCAAGGCATGGCAGCCCATCTTCACTCCCAAGACGGTGCTGCCCCTGCTCCTGTGTATCACCGTCATTTTTGCGCCTCTTGGAGGAGCGCTGATTTACGGCAGTGACCAGGTCCAGGAGATCATCATCGACTACAGCCACTGCCATGAACAGGCGTCGACCACAGAGCCTAGAACCATGGATGACAAGTACATCACCACACACTTCAACGCCAAGGACGCCACCTCCAAGGTCCAGTGGCAGCTTCTGGACGGCACCGACGAGCAAAAGTCGCGTCGTTCATACAACGGAACCTGCAGACTCACGTTTGATGTGCCCCATGATATGGGTGCCCCCATTTACATGTACTACCGACTGACCAACTTCTACCAGAACCATCGACGATATGTGACGTCCTACAATGAGGACCAGCTGAACGGAAAGAACAAGAGTGCACATGATCTCAAAGACAAGAACGATTGCAAACCCCTGGTTTTAGACCGGGATGGAAAGCCATACTACCCCTGTGGACTGATCGCCAACTCCATGTTCAACGACACCTTCCATACTCCTGTGGCTCTTAACCCCTCTGGAAACCAGGGTAACGTGACTTACGACATGACCACCGATGGGATTGCCTGGGGAACCGACAAGAACCGATTCAAAAAGACTACATACAACGCCTCCCAGGTGACACCCCCTCCGTTCTGGGTCGAGAAGTTCCCCGACGGATACACCGAGGAGAACCTGCCCAACATTGCTGAATGGCAGGAGTTCCAGAACTGGATGCGAACTGCTGCCCTGCCCACCTTCTCAAAGCTCGTCATGCGACAGGATCACAACACTCTGACAGTCGGAACCTACTCTGTGGATGTGGACTTGTACTTCCCCGTTCTCCAGTATGACGGCACCAAGTCGCTTGTGCTGACCACACGAAGTGCCGTGGGAGGCCGAAACCCCTTCCTGGGCATTGCTTATGTTGTCGTTGCCGGTATTTGTGCCGTCGTCGGTCTGCTGTTCCTGGGTAAGCATCTGGTCAAGCCCCGAAGACTGGGTGACCATTCTTACCTGAGCTGGAACAACGAGAACTAAGGTATGGGGGATGAGATGACTTGGTGATCAGATTGGTAATCAGAACAATATGATTTGTATCAAGTCGCGAATGATGAGGAATGAGACTCTGTTCAACAGCCAAGACTCAGGGGCTGAGTCAGAGGACTCGTACGAGTACCACCCACTCAGCAACATTGCCTGTATGGAGGACTGACTGACAAGTGCTACAAGTATGAGCTCGGAGACATCCTGCCGACGCGGACTTGCTCCCAACTCGAGATATATAATATGTAAATGGATATTTTTGATAGTGTGATGGACGTTTGAAGGAGGGGTATGGGAGGCTATTGACGTGCCTGTAATGCGCATACTTGTACGATACTACTTGTAGGATAGAGCAATTTCAATCCAATCCAATACGAGTAATTAGTTTCTTCTTCGAAGTACAAGTATGCTGAGTTGTTGCGATACGATAGCAGTGACACGCGTAGTGTAGTCGGATGCGCCGCTATGAAGCTATATAAACACGTAGTTGCCCTATTTCTACTCGCGCGCCTCTCATCCGGGGTCGGTTGGTTTCATCCGGACTTTTATCCGGACAATGCGATACCCGTCACAGCTGTCGAGGACAAGAAACACATGCAGTCGTACCGTGCAAACAGCGTTTTGGGTTGGGGGACGTGCATGGCGACCGGGGCCGAGTCGGCCGCAGTGGTCTGCCGCGTCGGGTTTGTACACGCCTGAGAGGCACTAGGCGGCCCGTGGATTGGACCAAACGTCCTAGCAGGCAATTGAATCCGGGGACAAGAGCGGTATCTCCAGGTATGTATGTGTGTGTGACTCACTCAGCCACGACCGAAAATCATACTGCTCTCAATGAAAAAGGCTAATCCAACGTGTTTGTCCAGTGCAACAGCTATGGGCCGGCGTGGAGTCGGAAGATGTGCGAGCAAACTGAAATTGGGGAAGGGTTGGAATTAACTCTGGCCTGTGGAGATCGAACACGTCGGAGGGGGGGGAAACGCTTGAGGGTCTGTAGGCAGGAGGGGCGTTGGCGGTCACGTGACCCGGGGTGTTGTATATCATTCAATGCATCTCATTGAATTGAGTGTTTTAACACGACTTACTGCTGCTCGATCCGCCGCCGCCTCCATTCTAACAGGCTAGACCTGTTGTGCTGTTGTTGACTACCCCAGATGTATGTGCTGTGCTGTAGGTTGAGTTTTGGCTTTACAAGTGCCCCCTTTGTTTGGCAAAGGTTAAGCTCTTGTCTGCTGTAGGCTGTCTAACCGGTGGTTTGGTTTTTCACAAGGGAAAAAGGGAAAGTGAAAAGCAGCGGGTTCACCGGGGCCTCTCTCTTCCTCTCTTCTATATATATACCTAGGTGAGTACCCGTTTATTCTTCCTTTTCTTGTTTCCCCAGCCCAATTGAGAGGATCAAGACACACAATGCGAGCTTTCAGATCTGCCGCCAACTTCGGAGCTGCTTCTAACATCTACCGAAAGTCCTTCACCCCCGCTTCTATTGCCTCTAACCGATTTGTCTCTGCCAGAATGAGCTCCATCATGACCGACAACGCCCGACCTAACACCGACAAGGTTGTTCAGGACATTGCCGACTACATCCATGACTACAAGATCGACTCCTCCGTCGCCATGGAGACTGCTCGACTCTGTTTCCTTGACACTCTCGGCTGTGGTCTTGAGGGTCTCAAGTACCAGCAGTGTGCCAACATTGTTGGCCCCGTTGTTCCCGGCACCATTGTGCCCAACGGAACCAAGGTCCCCGGTACCGACTACCAGGTTGACCCCGTCCGAGGTGCCTTCAACATTGGTACCATCATCCGATGGCTCGATTTCAACGACTGCTGGCTCGCCGCCGAGTGGGGACACCCCTCCGATAACCTTGGCGGTATCCTTGCCGTTGCCGACTGGCAGACTCGATCCGCCAAGGCCGGTCTTGAGGGCAAGGTCTTCAAGGTCAAGGATGTCCTCGAGGGCATGATCAAGGCCCACGAGATTCAGGGAGGTCTCGCCATCGAGAACTCTTTCAACCGAGTCGGTCTCGACCACGTTGTTCTCGTTAAGATCGCCTCTACTGCCGTTGTCTCCGGCATGCTCGGCCTCTCTCGAGAGCAGACCGCTGATGCCATCTCTCAGGCCTTTGTCGACGGTCAGTCTCTCCGAACCTACCGACACGCCCCCAACACCATGTCTCGAAAGTCTTGGGCTGCCGGTGATGCCACCTCTCGAGCCGTTAACCTGGCTCTGCTCGTCAAGAAGGGTGAGGGAGGTATGCCCTCTATCCTGACCGCCAAGACCTGGGGTTTCTACGATGTCCTCTTTGGCGGCAAGGAGTTCAAGTTCCAGCGACCTTACGGCTCCTACGTCATGGAGAACGTTCTCTTCAAGATCTCTTTCCCCGCTGAGTTCCACGCCCAGACCGCCTGCGAGTCTGCCATGCTGCTCCACGAGGAGCTCAAGAAGCTTGGCAAGACCTCCGATGACATTGCCTCCATCAAGATCCGAACCCAGGAGGCCGCCATGCGAATCATCGACAAGAAGGGTCCCCTGCACAACTACGCTGACCGAGACCACTGCATCCAGTACATGGTTGCTATTCCTCTCATCCACGGCCGACTTACCGCTGACGACTACACTGACGAGATCGCCTCCGACCCCCGAATTGACGCCCTCCGAGAGAAGATGGAGTGTGTTGAGGACAAGCGATTCTCCGAGGAGTACCACGCCCCCGACAAGCGATACATCGGTAACGCCATCGAGATCACTCTCAAGGACGGCACCGTGCTCGACGAGATCGAGGTCAACTACCCCATTGGCCACCGACAGCGACGAGAGGAGGGTACCCCCGTTCTCCTTGAGAAGTTTGCTCGACATCTCCGTGGACGATTCCCTGAGGGACAGGTTGAGAAGATTCTCGCTGCCTCTAACCAGGATATTGTCAACATGGACATTGACGAGTACGTTGACCTTTACGTCAAGAAGGACTAATTTAGTCATGTGTTGAATTAGTTAATGATTATGAGTTGTTATTTAATGAGGTGCGAGACACTGTCGAGCATCAAGTGTACGAGATACAGGAACGTAGTCGGGATGTCTTTGTATTATACATGTGCTGTAGTCACATCCTTATGTATAGAACACAAGTAGGAGTAATAGATATACACTATGAAGACACAATTCTCCCAGAATTGAAGTGCCCTTCCACATGTGAGTACGTCTCGCAACATGATCATTCCTTGCTGATGATTCAGCTCAGCCCTACACTTCAAACTGTAACAGAGTCCAACAAAAACCAACTATACTCCTAATAAATTGCACTCAAGGCTGGAGCAGTGATTTGAGAGAAACTGAGACTTAACACTATAGCCTGTTTTTGATACAGCATATTTCCTTTCTACAGGGCTCAGGATATCCCCTGATGTTTCTCTCATCTCCCTGACATGTCTTTAGAGCACTGAACTAAGATCCCCAGGTGAAGATTTTCCCCCTTATAAACAAACTCCTAACTAAAGTACAAGCAGTAGCTAAACAGTACAGTAAGTCGAAAATATGAAATTTGACGATCACAAGGAATCCAGCCATAGTAACCACCATGGCAATAATTATGTGCAAACACGAGTGAATTGCCATTGATATACCGTAGTTAGGATCACATATAGCCCCGCTCAGTTCAACATGTGCAAAGTAAACGCATGGAGTGGTATCTCTAGCTCATTCATGAGCATCTGGTTATTGTAAACTGCTGGCTTCGTTGCTGGCAACTGTATCGATAAACTCCTCCAGGCCAATCACAAAGTCATGGGAATTATCCCATCAGAAGAAAAGGGTCAGCGACTAGCTGTGGCTTTCTCCGAGGCTATCAAGTCCGGACAACTGGTTTTTGAGACGGTTTCCGACGTTCGATCTGAAGAGGGTTCAAGACTCGGCTTCAAAAGCATCAAATACGTGCTCCATACCGCCTCTCCTTCACCTTTCAATGTCGAGGACCCCGTCAAGGATCTACTGAGCCTTCCGTCAACAGAACTCTGACTGTTCTCAAGGTCGTCATCGTCAAGCAATACCTACGCTCCCCACGTGGAAATCACCTCATCGTTCGCAGCCATGCTCAACAAGAACGAGGCTAACGATTATTCCTCCTTGGTAACCGAGGAGTCGTGGATTCCCGTGGCATGGGGAGAAGCTTCTCATAAGGACAACGCTTTTGTATCCTACATGGGCTCCAAGAAGTATGCAGGGAAGGTGGCCTGGGGATTCATAAAGTCTGAGAAGCCCTCGTTTGGCCTTACCACCGTCAACCCCGGCTACGTGTTTGGTAGTGGTATTGCTCTAGACGCGAAGTCTCCCAACTCCACCACTAATGGGACCATCATTCAGGGTCACTTGTCTACCACACCCGGGCAAGATACGTCCGAGGGTCAGAGCTCATGTGTCTGCCATCCCCAGAACCTCGACAACCAGCGACTTATGCCGTGTGTCTCCAAGTTGTGCAACCAGGATTTGCGGGATACAGTAAACAAAGAGGTTCCCGATCTCAAGGGCAAGACAATGAGTAAACCCGAAAGGTGCTAGACAATGATTGGGTTAGTTTAGACAAGACTGTGAAGGATTTTGTCGAGGATTTTGTCGAGCAGTGGCTGTTGTTTCAGGTCTGAGTGGTCCCGAAGCTTTGAGAGTAGAGCTCGAAGAACCAGACCCATCGCCGCATACAAGTATGAGCAGAAGCACAGAACATTCACAGTAGTAGCTGAGTTTTAGTGAAGTAATCATATGGAAATGGGGCTTGTAATATATCAAGTATGTCGTTAATAGCAACTTTCTGCAATAATCTAAGCAAGTAGTACTTGAGTATTCAAGAGATCAACTACTGTGCGTGCGACTGGTAGTTGGAGAGGCTTTTATTCCAGTGCTTAATTTAGATCAGTTTTATTTCACTGTATTTCACTCCCTCAACCCACGTCGTATCTGTCATATAAAGTTTTCGACAGTCCGTTACAGTAATTGCGATGGAGAGACTCTTCTGAGCAACCATCTTTTGGCACAGCAACAGGAGCTGTAGTATGTAGCAATAGCCGTGAGATAAGTGCGCCAAATACCTTCAAATGCGCCAGGCAACCTTCCATCTTTATACATACACTACACAGCATTGCTTCAAAGTCTCACCTCACGTGCCCCGCAACACCACCCGCTGCAACCTAACCACTTTTGAGGTTGGGACCTATTATCGCAGGCGCAGCATTATGAGACTCCCTCTCTCCTCCTCATCAACAGGAAAAGAAATACAACAAAGACAATGTCACGAGCCCGACGAGTAGCCAGAGAGATGGAGGATGTGCGGTCCGACTCCGAAGCCGGCATCACCATCCAGGCCATCAACGATGCCGACATCTCCCATCTGAAGGGCACCTTCCACGGGCCTCCCGGCACTCCCTACCAGGGCGGCACTTTTGTGGTCGATATCCAGATCCCCAATGATTGTGAGTAAAGAGAGCCACACAGACAATGTGGCCATGTCTGCCGCTGCCGAACTAACACAGACCCCTTCAAGCCTCCTCGAATGAAGTTTGACACTCGCATTTACCACCCCAACATTTCGTCGCAGACCGGCGCCATCTGTCTCGACATTCTCAAGGACGCATGGTCGCCTGTCTTCACGCTCAAATCGTCGCTTATCTCGCTGCAGTCGCTGCTGCAATCTGCCGAGCCCAACGACCCCCAGGATGCTGAGGTGGCCAAGATCTATCTCACCGACAAGGCCGCTTTTGAGCGTACTGCAGCAGAATGGACAGCCCAGTACGCCGGTGGCAACGCTGGAGGAGATCAAGACGAGATCGCACGCCTTGGCCTGGATCGAGACGCCGTTGAGGGATTCGCCAGCATGGGTTTTGGCAAAGACAAGATCATCGCCGTGTTCAAAAAGCTGCAAATCAAGAAGCCTCAGTCTCAAGAGGACGAGCAGAGAGTGGTCGAGGAGCTTCTGAACTAGGCTGTTAATTTATATGCATAAGTCTTGATATCAGTGGGCGTATGAGTAGCACACAGTACAAGTAGATTTATTTGTAGATGTGGCGTCATGGCGTCATGGTTGCAATGTATTGAAGGGTGTGATTTAGTAATGGGTAAGTAACGACTGTTAGTCACTACAAATTTGCTTCTATTAGTACTGTAGCAGTAACCAGGTCTCATAACCTCAGCGTTAACTTCTATTGGTATAGTAGCTTGCTCGCTTAATGCTTACTCATCTCTACCATGGTGCCTAGAACATTCCATGGGACATTTTGCACAATAATGTATGAATCGACAAAAAAAGGGGTCACGTGGTGGTAGTAGCAAAGGGTGGCAAACACACCTCACCCGAAAAATCGTCTGGATCCGTACTCTGATTACTTGTACGCACGTCTGATCGTGTACTCACTTGCAGTACTTATCACAGTTACCCGGCACTGAATTGTGTGTGCCTAAGGGAACACACAACTCAAAACCACAGTGGCCAAGCCAGAGAGGTTCCAGCACTTACAAACTCATACAACACAACACATTCATCATGGTGAGTATAGCGCGGTTTCTGCGCTTGGAGGGCAATGGATGGTGGCCAAACGGTTGCCACGACACGCCGATTGTCACAAAATCCGGTTTTGATCCAATTCTCGCAAGGTGGCGAATGACCACTACAATCAGTACTAACCCCAGGGTAACCGACCATCACTCCCCGGAGACAAGAAGAAGGACGACAAGAAGAACGAGAAGCCCAAGTATGAGCCTCCCGTGAACACACGATCGCATCGAAAGAAGAAGAAGGGCCCCGAAAACGCCAACAAACTGCCCGGCGTGTACCCCACGACACGATGCAAGCTCAAGCTGCTCAAGATGGAGCGAATCAAGGATCATCTGCTGCTGGAGGAAGAGTTTGTGCAGAATCAGGAGCGTCTCAACCCGCTGGACGACAAGGTTGCCGAGGAGCGATCAAAGGTTGACACTCTGAGAGGTTCTCCCATGGGCGTGGGCACTCTGGAGGAGATCATCGACGACGATCATGCCATTGTCTCGTCCACTTCTGGCCCCGAGTACTACGTTTCGATCATGTCTTTTGTTGATAAGGATCTTCTAGAACCCGGCTGTTCTGTTTTGCTGCACCACAAGACTGTGTCTGTCGTTGGAGTGCTGCAAGACGATGCCGACCCCATGGTCTCGGTAATGAAGTTGGACAAGGCCCCCACAGAGTCGTATGCCGATATTGGAGGTCTGGAGTCGCAGATTCAGGAAATTAAGGAGTCCGTGGAGCTGCCACTCACACATCCAGAGCTCTATGAAGAGATGGGTATCAAACCCCCCAAGGGAGTCATTCTTTACGGCGCTCCCGGAACCGGAAAGACACTGCTGGCCAAGGCCGTCGCCAACCAGACTTCTGCTACATTTTTGCGAATCGTTGGATCCGAGCTGATCCAAAAGTACTTGGGAGACGGTCCCCGACTGTGTCGACAGATTTTCCAGATTGCCGCAGAACACGCACCGTCCATTGTTTTCATCGATGAGATTGACGCTATTGGAACCAAACGATACGAGTCGACGTCTGGCGGAGAGCGAGAGGTGCAGCGGACCATGCTGGAGCTTCTGAACCAGCTGGATGGATTCGACGACCGAGGAGACGTCAAGGTAATTATGGCTACAAACAAGATTGAGTCGCTGGACCCTGCACTGATTCGACCTGGTCGAATCGACCGAAAGATTCTGTTTGAGAATCCCGACTCCACCACCAAGCGAAAGATTATGGGCATCCACACCTCCAAGATGAACCTCAACGACGATGTTGATCTCGAGGAGTTTGTGTCTTCCAAGGATGAACTTTCTGGAGCCGACATCAAGGCCATGTGCACCGAGGCAGGTCTGCTTGCTCTGCGAGAGAGACGAATGCGGGTCACTGCTGAGGATTTCCGAACCGCTAAAGAGCGGGTCATGAAGAACAAGGTGGAGGAGAACCTTGAGGGTCTCTACCTGTAAGCATAGAAGCATTAACGTATGACTATAATAAATACATCAATGAGGTGGAGGTTGACGGGGACTTCTTCGTATACATACTAACATCTAACATCTACAGTAGATCGAATAACTTGCAACGGTACATGCCGTCATAGAAAGACGTTTGGTAGAAAATGCCTAATAGAGACAACACACATTCCAATACACAGACAGTTACAACCAGCAGCCACATTGTTATATAAATGTTTACCAAGTGAGCCTAACCAGTGGGTGTAAGTCATACATCATCATTCATTATTTAGTCATGATCCATGAAATGTTTATGCAATACGTTTCACAGTTCATTGGGTCAGCTTAAAACTTGTATTTGTTTTATTGATCCTGATCCTGGAGGAACTTGTAGATAACAGACATGTCCTTGCCCTGGTAGTTGTCTCCCTTCTCAATGTTTTGATAGACCTCGTAAGTCTTGTCAGCCACAAGCATGGAGGATCCAGACTGCTTGGCCACATCGATGGCCAGACCCAGGTCCTTTCGCATCAGGTTGATACCAAAGCCTCCAACGTAGTCTCGAGAAGAAGGAGTAGCGGGGTTGACACCTGGGACGGGGTTGTTCACCTCGGAGGACCAAGATCGACCGGAAGAGGAGTTGACAATGTCTGAGAAGAGCTTGAGGTCGCATCCAAGCTTCTCAGCAAGATGGAAAGCCTCAGCAGTGGCAACGTTAGTCACAGCCAACAGGTAGTTGTTGGCAAGCTTGGCAGCCAGACCCTGGCCCTGGGTGCCGCAGTTGACGATTCGGCCACCCATGAGCTTGAGCAGCTCCTCCACCTGCTTGTACACCTGCTGCTTGTCCTTGTTGCACCCGACCATGAAGGTGAGGGTGCCCTTCTCGGCTCCCACGACACCTCCGGAGACGGGGGCGTCCACAAAGGCAGCAGAGGCGTCCTTGTCGGTCACAAGCTTACCGCACTCAATTGACGTCTGAGTGTCAATGGTGGAGCAGTCGACAAAGATCTTGGAGGTCTTGTCTCCGAGGTTGTTGACCAGGTCGGTGTAGACTCCTCGGACATGGACGGGCTCAGGGAGCATTGTGAAGATGACATCGGACTTGCTGGCCACGTCCACGGCAGAGCCCAGCACCTCCAGCTGGGCGCCCTTGGGATCCTTGTCCTTGGCAATCTGTTCTAGAGCAGCCTTGTTCATGTCGAACACGTTGACCTTGGAGTCAGCGTCGACACCGGGCAGCTTCTTCTGCAAATTGAGGGCCATGGGCAGACCCATTCGACCCAGACCAATGAAGCCGTAGGACAGGTCCCGGGAGGCCCGCAGCGGTCGCAGGGCCTTGACGGAGCTTCTGAGAGTGGATGAGAGCATGCTGTGTATGTGTTAGGGTGGGTTTTGGTGTGTTGGAAAGGAGTGCCAGAAAAGAGATCGGTCTAGCTTTATCCTCTGGCCTGCGGCTCACCCCAGATTTGAACTTTGGGTTTGTCGGGCTAGTCTCGGGGCGCGTGTGGGGGAGATGCATCAATAACCGCATAATAGTGGTCCCACTGCAGGTGTTTGGAGGTGGAGCTGAAACTTTTATTTCCTAATATCGTATTCAAGCTGTCTCCAAAGGAGCATTCATCCTCGCAACTCCTCGGACTAGCTCCAAAAGGCATTTTTAGCCGCGTCTGCGTACAGGTAAGGGATCCCCCCCACATTATCCACCCAGCATTAGTCTTGCGTTATGTACACTCAACAGAGTTCGTCGATTGCCGCCGAAGCGGACATCTTCGTTGGGTGAGGGACCAGGCTTGTGGTATATTAATTGGAGAGGAGGGCCGAGAGGGTTGGCGAGAAGTTACAAATTGAACTAGGAGTACACATAGAATGATATACCTTCTACTTCTACTGACGGTCGTAGTCACAATACGTGCGTGTGCACAATACGTGCGTGTGTACATCTGAGTTATAACTTGCACTGGGTTGTCAGTGATGAACCCACAGTGTGATTATGTCCTGCCCAGTGTACAAGTACAGCACTATTATGGGTGTTGCACCCTATCCATCTATATACCCACCATGTTAGCCCCGTAAGTGAGATTGATTCCCTTCATGCGCTCCACAAGTACAGTACATAGTCATCGGCATGCATATTATATACCTACAGCATGTACAGTATGTACTGTAATAGTGGGAGATCCTACAGTATTTGTAGTGCTTTCTTGGTGGACATGCATACTTTGCACCAGTGTCGAAAATATCGTACTTGTACTTAACCACTTTTTGTACTTTTATAACGTGCGTCAAAGCCTCTTAATTGATGACGCTCCAGCTATTATTGGTGCACCTGAAGGTCACCAGGTTCAAGAACTACTCATTCACACCGTGATCAGAAGGTGATAGACATTGCCAAGGCTCTTGAATCTTCTCATTTCTCTCACCGACTCCAAAGGATCTCTTATCTGCAAGTGTACAATGCAACAGACTAGCGCCTGTTGTAGCCTGAAGCTTCTCAAACCATGCCAGCTACGCCAGCTTCAATTAATTACTCTAAACATGTGGCACCAATTACTTCTTGGCGGCCTGCTTCTGAGAAGTGGAGTTCTTGGGGAGCTCAGCGGTGTAGGGGATGAACTCGGGCTCGCCAGGAATGAACCGTCGCAGAACCTCGGGGACTCGCAGACCATCGTCGGTCTGGTAGTTCTCCAGAATGCAGCACAGGGCTCGCTCGGTGGCGCAAAGAGTGGAGTTGAGGCAGTGGACGTACTTCTTCTCTCGCTCGTTCTGCTTCTTGATGCCGCATCGGATCTCAAGGTTTCGGGACTGGTAATCGGTACAGTTGGAGCAAGAAACAAGCTCCTTGTACTCCTGCTGGAAGGGGAACCAAGCCTCGAGATCATACTTCTTGGCGGCGGCGTTGTTCAGCTCGCCGGAGACAATGGACACAACTCGGTAGGGAAGACCCAGAGACTTGTAGAACTCCTCGGAGGCATCAATCATTCGGTCAAACTCCTCCCACGACTTTTCGGGGTCGGTGATGCAGAACTGCTCAATCTTCTCAAACTGGTGGACTCGGAAGATTCCCCAGGCGTCCTTGCCGTGAGAGCCAGCCTCACGTCGGAAACAGGTGGAGTAGCCAGCGTATCGTCGGGGTAGCTGCTCCTCGGGTCGCTCGAACCACTCATTGGCGTGGTAGGCAGAAATGGGCTGCTCGGAGGTGGCAATCAGGTACTTTTCGTCCTGGCCATCCATGACCTTGTACAGCTCCTCGTCGAACTGCGACAGCTGGGCGGTTCGGGCCATGACGTCCTTGTTCATCATCATGGGAGCCTGCAGAGGCACGTAGCCTCGCTTAGTAAGGAAGTCCAGACCGTAGTTGATCAGAGCCTGGTTGAGGAAGACTCCGTAAGACTTGAGGAAGTAGCCTCGGTGGCCGACAATCTTGGTTCCTCGCTCGGGATCGTAACCATCGAGTCGGGTAAGAACCTCGTGGTGAGAAAGCTTGCCCTTGACAGCGGGGTCGAAGCCGTCGTTGGCAAAGGTTCGAATGATGGCATTGTTGTCCTCGTTATCGGAAACAACAACAGACTCATGGACAAGGTTACCAACGGTGTTGACCTTGGCCCGGAGGGCAGAATCCTGCTCCTGCTCCTGCTTAGTGAGCTCGGCTTTCTTGGCGACGACATTGTCCTTCTCCTTGAGCAGCTCGCTGGCGTCCTCCTTAGCCTTGAACTTGAGACCGATGGCCTTCTGGATCTTGTTCTGCTCCTTGTTGAGCTCGTCCAGGTCGAATCGGGTCTTGGTCCAGGCCTTGTAGTCGGCGATGATCTCGTCGACAATCTCGACGGGGTCGCCTCGCGCCTTCTGCGACACTCGGATGGCCTCGGGGTTGCCGCCCTTCTCCTCAAGGAACTGGATGATGTCGAGCATTTTTCAAAAGATGTGTGTTTAACGTGACGTGGAGTGTCAAGCTTTCAAAAAGGGTGTACCAACTGAACTTACATATTTTCACTTTGACTTTTTTCAGCTGGGAGTTGTTCCAGAGTGAGAGTGTGAGTGAGTGTGCCCATGCACCTCCTTCATGCAAGTGGTTTTGATGGAGATGAACTTACAGTGATACTTGTACACCACAAATACCACACTACAATGGGCACACCCAGTCAATTATCGCAGCCCTACTTTGTAGTGGCTAACGACAAGTCCACACATACGGTAAGAGACACAAATACCGGCAACCCCGAATCGGAACACTTTCCAAACGTCAAGTATATCTTTGCAGACGACGAGCCCATAGACGACGCAGGACCAGCCGTATACGTGGACTTTGACGAGACAGGCACGCGGGTGACCAAGTTCCACTCGGAGATTCCTGACTGGCAAGTGACCGATGTGAAAGTTGACTCGCTGGGGGACGTGATCGACGACAAGAACAGCGAATTGAGTAAAGCCATGCGCCTGACTATCCAGGGTATCCAGTCGAAACCTGTATATCTGGACATGGACGGGGGTCCTTCTGCGGCAGAACTGGATACCATGGATCTCAGAACGCTTAAAGACTTCTTCAAGTCCAGAAATGATCTGCTCCATCAGATTGTTAGCAAGATGCCTATCAGAGAGGGGGATTTCAAAGTGGAGGACTCCCAAGAGTGACCCCAAACATTGACCATAAAGGCTCTATTTATCCCATCTTATTTATTATACAGCATTGAGAAGTATGCGCGTTTTAGTAGCGACAATTCGACTTGTATGGACAGACCACGGTTTCCACGTTGTAGAAACAGCACAGGCATATCAGACGCCGTACAATGCCTTGGGCCGGTACACTCGATACCTGTGCTTGTTATCGAAATACTCTGCAGTAGAAGCAGAATAAGAACAGTCGCCCCGCTCATATGGCGGTGCTTGGATCGCGCTGCTCGCAGTTGATGATAAGATAAATAATATTAATGACTAATGTAACATCTACTGCTTTCTATACTTCCTCGGAGGCACCAACCTGGGAATGCTTTTCTGCCTCTGACCTTGCGGCGGCTCGGTTGGGCCCAGTTGCAACGACGCAGTCTTCTGAGCCAGACCCTTCTCTGGCAGCTCGTTCTCCTTGTCGTCCAACTGGCCATACGATCGTTTTCTTCGAGGAGATTCGTTGACAGATGCAGGCACAATAATAGCAGGAACTGAGGTTGATCTGGTGGCTTTGACTGGTGGTGGCTGTGTGTATTGCATAAGAGGTAATGCTGTTGGCTGATCAGACGATAACGTCTCAGGAACACTCTCTCCACACGTCGTCAACATCTCTCTCACGCAAGTCTCCAGCTCATTATCAGACTGCTGAATAGACCGCTTGAAGGGGTCCACCACATGCAAAACACCATCAATGTCCTTAGCTTGAGAACTAGGAGTGACAAGAGTAGCCAACAGACCGTTCAGACTAGCTTGAGTCGAAGTCTGCAAGTTGGCCAGGGCATCTGGAACAGCACTCTGGGCATGATCGGTTTCGAGTCGGGCCTTGGCCACGGCCTCAGACAGAGCACTCAGCTGGCCAACAAGAGCCTGCTGTCGCTCTTCAAGAGCCATCTTGGCCTCCGCTGTCAACTCAGACGCACTGTGAGAGAGCCCACTGCTATCGGAAGCAGTCTTGGCAGCAGCACAAGAAGCCAAAAGAGACCGTCGAGCAGAGCCCATAGTATCTTTAAAGGCATTGTAGTTGGAACTGACGGTGCATCGGCTATCGTACAATGCGGAGCCCACAGCAGCTGCCTGTTTCTTCTCCAGTTGCACCTTTTGGTCAAGCAATCCAAACAGCTCTGATGAAGAGTGGTCCTGAGTTTGTCCCCAGGATATGATCAATCTGGAAACATCATTGACCAGTTCCTGACGCGACTGCTTCTCATGGTGTTGATGGGCCTTGAGTTTTTCAGAGAGTTTTTGGTTCTCAGATGCCAGAAGTCGAACCAGAGAAGCCAGCTCGGACTCGGCAATAGACTGCTTGTCGTCAAACGCCGTGACCTGTCGATCAACTCCTCCATTGAGCTCCTTGAACGCGTCTTCCAAATACATGGAGATCTTGCCCGTGCTGTCACTCACTTGCTTTGAGAAGCCCCTCATTTCGTTTTGCAGACCCACCATACCCTTCTCCCAACTCTTTGCGGCCTCCTCCAGGCCAGCAGCAACCCTGCCTGCAAGCTCCTCTTTGACCTTCTCGATTCCAGCCACAATTTCACCTGTCGTCGTCGCACTCTGGTTCTGAGTAACGAGAACACTCTTAAACTGGTCGCCCAAGTTGGCCAACGAGTGCTTTATCGACGAAGAAACACTCTCCAGACTGCTCACCTGGATCTTGGAAGAAGACGCGAGCTTCTCCATCAGCGCGTTCTCAAACTGCTGCTGGGAAGACCGCATGGAAGAGACATGTCCATATGTCTGATTGGCCATAAGCGCCATACTGCTCTTGAGGGTCTCATGGGCACTCTGGGCCTGTTTGGTTTTGGACTTTTCGCTGTCCAGCTCCCGTTTAGCCTCGAGATAACACACCTGCGACTTTTCCGCGTCGTCACGCGTGCGTTTCATCTGGCCGTCAAAAACATCCAGCTTTCGCTGCTGTTCGGCTGTCTGAGTGCGTAACGAAGCTAATTCAGCCTCCATGGCCCGGTAGTTTGCCTCTGCTATCTGGAATCCATTGTTCTTCTGAGCAGCCAGCAGATCCGAGCGCAGCTTTTCGTTGAGCACCGTGAACTCCTTGAGTAAGATGCGCTTTTGAATGTGGTTCATCTGGGGCTTGTTTTTGATGTTTTTGGCTCTAGAAGCGTACTCCAGAGTGTTGACAGTCTCCTCAAGATTCACACGCGCGGGAGAAACGGTCGCAATAATGTATGTGCGCGTCCCTCCTCCAAGAGAGTCGTAAAGAAGACGAGTGAGGTTAGAATCTCGATAAGGAACATGCTGGGCTTTGTCAACAAGAGCGTTGATGACTCTTCCAAGGGTCAACAGGCTCTTGTTGATCTTTCCAGCCTCCACGGCCTGTTTGTTGACTGCCCCTGAGTTTTTGATACTTTCCGAACCTGCAAGGTCCACGAGATTGATTTTAGCAGTTCGAGCAACCTCCATAGATCCCGGCACCATGATACTCAGAGTGAGTGTGAAAACCATATGTGACCGACTGGAATGATCGTTCATTTGCGTGGCAGCAACGTGTCTTCGTCTGAGACCTTCTCTGAGAACGTGGAGACCCTGTGCACTGGAATTGAGATACACCTCGTCCAAACCATCCACCTTGACTCCATCACGTTCCACAAATAGCTTCACCGTCTTGGGTTTCTCCGTGGTATCGTTCAAGTCTCTGATATCTTCATTGTAGAGCTCCAGAAAGGTGCATTTGACGGCGTAGTCCAGCCCCTCAATCTCCAGACGTCTGAATAATGAATGAATAACACGGGGAATGATTCCGGCCTCATGCGACAATCCGCCCACGTCACTCTGGCCCTCCACATCTCCCACCATGGTGTATGTTTTGCCTGTTCCTGTCTGACCGTAGGCGAATATCGTACAGTTGATACCGTCCATCACATGTTGCAGCACCGGGGCCACCACTCCATCATACACCATGTTCTGGTCCGACTCGGGGCCATAAACCTGGTCCACTGTGAACGTCTTTTGGCGCTGGTTATCGTTCACAGTGACTGTAGCATCCGCTTCACACGCGTCCACCACCACCTCCGAGTTCTGGTTCTTTTCCCGCTCGTTTCGCGTCCGACTTCGAACCACCACTTTGATGTTCTCGCCCGAAATTGATTTCTGTAGCTGGCTCGACGCTGTAGCTGATGTGGACGTTGTTATCGCATCTGGAGCAGGCGACTCTGTAGCGGTCCTCTGACGCCGTAATGAAGCTGTACTTGTAGCTTGATGTTTAGCCGCTCCGTGGGAACGAGACCTCATTCCCAAACTGTTGTGGCGCGAAGACATGACGATGGTCGCGAAGTACTAATTGGTTGTATCGTAGTGATGAAAGGTGTTGTAGAGATCTGACAATTATTAGAGTAATTAGGCTGCTGGGTCGTGCATGAGGTAAACATTACCTGGGTCAGAACAGAGAGCCTTCTGAATGAAATCCAGACTAGATTTATGCAGGGTAGAAACGCAGTGAGTTTGTCGTAATTTAAATGAAGACAGAAAAACTCCGTCCAACAATAACAAATCACATGACGGTCACAACTACCATATTTACCCGCATTGCACCTCACTCCTCCGCGTTGCCATGACAACAGCCCCAGTGCATGTCAGACGCTACCTTCGAACCTTACGTCTTGTTTGGGACTAAACGAACCTCTTTTCGGTTCCTAGTATTAGTAAACAAACAGCTGGGCCTCGTTTATGTGGAATAATTATCTGAGCGAGCTCTGGTACAGATTGTGTCGTACTCGTAACTGCTGCACCATCAAGTATGTGAGCCACTGGGCTAGGGTATCACAGAGGCATGGCTGTGCTTGTAGCAAGACCATGTATACTTCCGGTAGGCGCGCCCTTACCAGGGCCGTTACGAGTACGAGTACGATTACGAGTACAAGTACTACGAGAACAGGTACTGGTAAACTTCTATCTGTTGAATCAATGTCCAGTAAATACTTGTACATACATACTATTGTACTACTCATGAACGCCTTCTATCATAGAGGAGACTCAGAGTCTTATCTTTGGATCTTATCATCCTGGGAAGTGTTGAGCTACAGTATGTACTCTCGTATTTGTATAGTTCTTAGATATGACTAGAAAGAAACTCATATTTGTACTCGTACCGGTACTTGTACTTGTACTTGTATATCTTGCGAGAACAATCCTGACATACTCTGCTACAATGAAGAATACCGCCTATACAAGTACACCATACAGTACATACTGTAGGTATACAAGTCGTCTCGGTTCAATTCTACTGTACATATGTCATTCAATTATTGAGCTGTTGTGGTTGCTACTCATTCAGCAAGTATATATCGCCTGTTGATACAGGGCAGTCATGCTGATACAACATCCTCTCAGAGCAAGCAAGCTCTTCGATTCTGGTATATATGGATGGTGTTGGCCATCCTCTCGGAGCAAGAAATTTGATATGGCAGCTCCTCGATGTCGGTGGGTTGGCACTTACATCATATCCGTCACGTTCACCGGCATCTCATCGATCTGAGTACTATAATACTGCTCGATATCTCTCAGAGTGGTGATATCATCGTTAGTAGCAAAGTTGATCGCCACACCCTTTCGGCCAAATCGACCGGATCGACCGATTCGATGGATGTAATTCTCTCGGTTGGGAGGCAGGTCATAATTGATGACCAGCGACACCTGCTGAACATCGATACCTCGGGCCCAAACGTCAGTGGAGATGAGTACCCGGCTCCTGCCGCTTCGGAACTCGTTCATGATCGAGTCTCGGTCCTTCTGAGCCATATCTCCGTGCATCGAACACACGGTGAAGTTGTTGTCTTTCATCTGCTGTGTCAGCCAGTCCACCTTCTTTTTCGTGTTGCAGAAGATGACGGCCTGAGTAATAGTCAGTGTGTCGTACAGGTCGCACAGCGTGTCAAACTTCCACTCTTCTTGCTCAACAGCAATAAAGTACTGCTTGAGTCCCTCCAGCGTCAGCTCGTCTCGCTTAACCAGAATTCGGACCGGATCAGTCATGAACTTGGAGGTCATCTCGAGAACAGAGTGAGGCAAAGTAGCACTGACAACCACTACCTGAGTGGCTGCAGGCAGGTATCTGTAAATGTCGTAGATCTGCTCCTGAAAGCCCTTGTTTAGTAGCTCGTCGGCCTCATCGAGAATCAACATCTTGAGGTTCTTGGTTCGAAGACAGCCCTTCTTGATCATATCCAGACACCGTCCGGGGGTTCCAGAAACCACCTGCTGACCAGCCTCCAGCTTCTTCATGTCCACCGACAACGACGTTCCACCAATGCAAGCATGGCACTGGACATTCATGTAGTCGCCCAGAGCCAGAATGACGCTCTGGATCTGGGTGGCCAGTTCTCGTGTCGGAGAAAGAACCATGGCCTGTGTTTCCCGATGCTTGGTGTCAATCACCTCCAACATCGAAATAGAGAAAGTGGCTGTCTTTCCCGTTCCGGACTGTGCCTGTGCAATGGTATCTCGACCCTTGATGATCTGTGTGATGGCTCGAGACTGGATGGCAGAGGGAGCCTCGAAGCCGTACGCGTAGATTCCCCGCAGAAGGTCGTCCTTGAGATCCATCGACTCGAAGGTGGGCGTCACGTCCACGTCCTTGGACGTCTTGAACTCCAGCTCGTCATCGAGATCTCTATCAAACTCGGCCATAGTAGTTAGTGTGCGTGTTGCAGTTGTAACCTGAATCCTTCTTCCCTGCAGTGGTACATTTTTTTCTTCATAAACTTCGTGCATATCAAATCTGCACTGTGGAAGCACCTTATCTGAACTTTTGATACTCACAACGACAATGAACCACCAGGACCTCAACCAGCTCAGAAGTCTTGTCGTGCTTGTTGGCGGCGGTCTTTGTGCCGGAAAGGTGAGTATTACGGGTCTAAAAGGGGGAAATGGATTGTGAAAAGTAGCAAATCAGGATTTGAGATGCACGTTGTCGTCGGTGGTCTTGCAAACAGGCCATCGAGGAAATGATAAAGACAAGTCGTTGTTGCTGATCTGTATCACTCAGTTGTTGACTGTGATCTCCATTGCGGCAGTCACGTCTTCAGCTCATATACATCTAGCCTATAAGCCGATGTGGATGCTTGTCTCGAAGACTACCGGTCCAGCTCAATCCGGCCCAGCTGTGTGCCGATTGTTTACAACTTGTCGTCTGAGTGACTTTAAAGCTGCTGCCTCAACTCATGTCATACGGCCATTCACTACCGTTACTAATCTAGAAAGAGGTATGCAAAGCCGTCGAAGAACGCATCGGCGAGCTAGGCAAGCTCCGAAAACCAAAGGTGCACACCATCCACATGAACGACTACATATACCCCGGCCACGATCCCAAATACAACGATCATCCTCGTCGATTTGACATTGCTCGTCTGAAGAAGGATGTTGATGAGCTTAGTGTGCTCAACATTGAGGCTGGTGCCCTGGAGTTCTCAAAGACAGCCACCTACAACGAGTCACGACACAATCTCAGCAACTATGTCGACACATACCACCCCAACTGGCCCCATGTGGTGCTGATCGAGGGCTACTACGCTCTGTACGACGAGGATCTGCGCAGGCTGAGCAGCATGATGATTTTTGTCGATAGTGACGCTGACATTCGTCTGTGCCGGCTCGTGGAGAAGAAGGCTGATCCTTCTGGTTCCAATTTGGCCGAGGTGCTGGATGACTACTTTACTCACTCGCGAGTCGAGATGTCCAACTTCATCCTGAGCACCAAGGAACACGCTGATGTGGTGCTCCCTAGAGGAGCCGAGCCCATGGGCGTCAAACTTGTCAGTGTGGGACTGTTCAATCGGCTGAACCAGGAGGTGATGAGCATTATTGAGGGCGAGCCTGTGGAAAAACAAGAACGTTTGAGGATCCAGAGTAAGTGGGATTTGAGAGAAGAGCATTTGGATCAGACGCGGTATGTGGATCTCACGTAACACGTCTCAATCACATGTCCTAACACACAAGTCCGAACACCCAAGTCCGAACACACAAGTCCAAGCGTAGCCATTGTTTCTACAACACACTGCTTCAAGGCAATATACAAGAACTACTTGCACCAAATAACCAATATCGCATTAACAAGATATATTATCATGTTGCTGTAGCAACTACTTGTACATACTGTACGCGGCTCTGATATGTCATCAGCCGATATACAACTGTTAACACGTGAAGACAGGTGAGACTTGGTGGGGTAGTTCTATAACGGTGTCTCTGCTTTAGCTTGGGTTTCATTAGACTAACTTGGACTACAAGTGTGTAAACCTATGGAGATATTGTAACGGCTTTAGTCTAACTTGGAGACATGTGACGGCGTGATCTAAGGAGTACAAGTATTGAATATCTATACAAGCAGGAGATGTATGTGAAAACCGCATAGATGACGACATTGTAAAAGTGCCGTAGTTTCATTACCCATCCATAACTATATCACACTCTATATCTATATCTTTTTGTACTGTCCCCCACATTTCGCTTATTTCGTTCCATCTCAGACCCTACCCCGCTGTCTCAGCTTTCATGTGCCCCTCGGAATGCGTGGATGCAGCCGTTAGGTCCGTGCTCCAAACCATATTTAATATGGGGAAGAGGAAGTTGCTCGAGTTGGAAGAGCTCTTGTTGCCACCTCCCTGCACATGAACTCGCTCGCCAAAGTCGCCCTGGCAGCGTATCTCGGCGTGAATGCCAAAAACCTGCTTTTCGCCTGGCACGTCCGTTTCTTCTACTACTTTTTCCGGTACCTGTTTCTACCGGAAAACCTGCTGGGGTACCCCGAAGCCGAGCTGCCGAAGACGCCGTTCGAGGAATGCCGCTACGACTCGCGATGCAACCTCCTGGAGCTGGACATCAACATCCACAAAAGTAACGCCACGTACTTTGAGGATCTCGATAGCGCCCGAACCAAGCTCATTGTGTGGGTGCTCAACCGGTTCCTCAAGGACTCCAAGAAGAACGATGGCTCGTGGGCCTTCATTCCGATCGGATCCGTCTACTGCAACTTCAAAAACGAAATTGCCCCGTTCCAGAAATACACCATGGTGTCGCGAGTCATTGGATGGGACCACAAGTGGTTTTTTGTCGAGAGCCAGTTTGAAATGAACGACCCCAAGAACCCCACCATCGCGGCGACAGCCATCACAAAGTACGTCATCAAGGACGGACGGAGAACTGTGCCTCCGGGCGAGGCGTTTCGACGGGCCGGATACAGCGAGGAGGATCTGGTCAAGGGCATTTCGGAGTTTAAGCGTCTGGGTCTCCAGCGGTTTATTGATATTGAGGAGATTGGGGCTACTCCTAGAGCCAAGTTGTGATGCGATAGATGATGGTAGAGTCTTCAGTGGATTTGAGTAGACATTTATCAATTCCAAGTACTACAAATTTTCAAGTAGGGTGAGACAAATCAATTGCTGTTGGTGTAGTTATAATAGCTCCTTCCTTTTTTTTTCTTTTTTTTTTTTCTTCTTTTTTTTTTGTTGTGCCTTTAATATATCGTCTCACAATGCACAGTAATGCACGATACATCTCAAACTGAAACACAACATCATCACCATCAAGAGTCACGACGAGTCTCCAAAATGGTCAAAAAACTCTCGTTCAAAGGCGACAAGAAGACAAAGAAGCCCAAGGCAAGCTCGTCCAAGGGCAGCGACAAAAAACGACCCAGAATCGACCCAGTTGAAGACGATCAGGCAGCGGGATGGATCTCGGCCAAATCGTCAGAAGAATTCCATGGACCCACTTTGTTGGTGACTACCAGTGAAGGCAAGCCATGCTGTTTTGTGTATGAAAATAGCGGCGACGCAGAAGACAAAACCCACTCTCCTACAATGGCAGTATCATTCGACCTCGATACAGTTGACAAGAGTCTCGACACAGCTGAACCGACATCTACACAGCAAGTTCTCCTTCTCTCGCCGTTGGAATTCGACACAAATAAACGGACAATTGATATCGACGAGACGGTGGCGAGGTTTGCTCTCAAAGTTCCGTCTCTGGGCGTCTTTCTGGGCGTGGATAAGGCTGGAGTAGTCTCGCTGGACAGTGTTGCCATCGGTACTCCGCAGCAGTTTACTTTCAAAAGAGAAAAAGGCGACGCGGGGGTTTCGTGGACGATAAAAACGTCCTATGATGCTTATATTGAGATCAAGAACGGTAAGATCAACCTTACTGAAGATGGAGCAAAAGCATCAAAGTTCACAGTAAGACTTCAATCGTCTCACAGAAAGAAGACCACGGCCGAAAAACAGGCGGTGACATACTATGCCATGAGTACAAAGGCCCTGGAGGAGCGTGCTGGAAGATCTCTTGATCCTGATGAGGTTGTCAAGTTGAAGAAGTCTAACAAGGAGGGTAATCTGAACGAGGCCTTGTTGGACCTGAGACAGAAAGGCAAGAGTGATACGTATTGCTAGAAATCTGGTTATGCGAGTGCCAAAAACTACCAAAAACTCCAAACTCCCTATCTATAAGCCATATTGTGTTCCGTCCTGTCTCCCACGAGCTTCTGGTCCTCACTACCCTCGACTTCTACCGTGAACACCTATCCTCCAATACTTGTACTCGTTTCTGTGGTTTGGTTTGGACATATGCATATAAATAAAAACTAACTAATCATCTCCTTACGCCGTCACAATAGCCCATTCACCTTCGGAACTAAGTACCTTCTCCACATCTTCCTTGGGCAGCTGTAAAGCTGTAGAAATAGCGTCAAAGTTTTTTGGCTGCTTTACGAGCTTGGCCAGGACTCCATCTACCTCCTCTTTCTTGATTCGCTCCTGATCAGGGCCCAGACCCACTCGTCGTCTTCCTCCCCGAGGAGTTGCGGAAACGTCCTGCACGTGTCTGTTTCTGTTGAAAGGAGTGATGCCTTCCAAAATGGGATATGAATGAGCTCTGTAAATAATACCCTTGATAACGCCAAAGGTGATGAAGCGCCGAATATCAATGTTGACGAGCTCCTTTTGGTTCTCTGCATACCAGTCGCCGAGAGTTTGGCCCTGATGCAACGACTTGTACAACTTGAACAGTTGTACAACGGAGGGAACAGTTCCTGACATGGAGTGAGAAGAAGAGAACGAGTTGGACCGCTGAGAAAGAGACGATGATGATGAGGTAGACAATGCAGATGTGGCCGACGAAGACAAAGGAGGAATACTCAAGTGCCCACTTTGATCTCTCATCTGGCGCTCATATCGTTGTCTGAAAGAAGTTGAGAGTTCATTCGAAAACAAGCTGGTTCGTGACATGTGTCGTTTTCTATTGAGTCCTGGAGCAGGCATCATGCCCCCGAGGGTTCCTGCAGGTGAAAAGACATAAGCCTGGCATTCTCGACCCATATCTGCGTCTTCAATGAAATCTCCAATGTCTGAGGTGGGAGCGTAAATGTTGGAGAACTGGAACAGGTCCACGATGATGATACATCTGTAGTACATGAGCTGCTGAATGCAATCCTTGGTGAGGTTGTAGTCTGCATCTGCGAGGTCTGCAATCCGACGAATGGAGTTGATCCCATTGATAAACGGCACAATCTTCTCCATGGTGGGATCCCAGTTTTCGTCCACCATTTGTTCCAGACGTACAGTTGCTATGGGAACGTACGACGCTCTGAGGTCTGGAGGCGACGGGAAAATGGGAAACAGTTTAATGTTGATGGCGTTGGAGTCGTTGATGGCCACGAGGCATTCCGAGTAGTTGTTTAGGTCCTGGAACAGCTGCTGGATGATATTGTCGATGAAGACAATGTCTGGTCGGGCCGACAGAAGTTTGCTCTGGATCTCCAGCGCCTCGAACATCTTGCCTATCCGTCTGATGGCTGCATCGTAGGCTCCCGAGGCTGACTCGTAGCTGAAGACGAATGCAAAGTTGAAAATGAACGAGTTTCGCGCGTACTCGTTGGAGTAGATGTGAACCGGGTACGAAGAGACTCGGTAGGCGTTACTTTTAATGGTTACGACGCGGTTGCACAGAGGCGGCTTGGGGATGACGTAGTTTTTCACCGCGTTGAAGGCCACCAGAGCTCCGGGCTGATCCAGAGATTCGGCATCAGGCACAATCGAGTCGCGGGGCACCTGAACCTCGACTCGTGGACCCTCGGTGGGATGGAACGTGGAGTAGAAAATGGCCAGAATCGGCGCAAAGCCGTAAAAGTCCATGTCGTGTGTTTGAGGTGAGGCTTAACGTGGTGAGGGTGATATGATATGTGGTGATGTCCCACCTGCATGATAACGATAGGCATTGTTGTGGGAGGGAGATGAGAGCAGTACAGGGAGTGATGGAGAGACGGTAGATAGAAGGGGGACACGACGCTTCAGTAAAATGAGGAAAAGAATTGAGCCTTCTATTTATTTTTTCAGAGAATGATAGGTGGAAGGTGCTGTTCAAGCAATCTAATCCATGCATTTGTTTGTTCACTATAGTTGAGTTAGTTCATGTGTAGTTGAATGTGACAAGTAGTTGAGCTACCTATAGTTGAGGAAGACAAGGCACCTGTAGTAGGACATATCCATGATATTACGTCACAGAGCCACAAGATATTTCTCAATTGATAGATACAGATCTAGAAGAAGCAATTGTATGTAATTAGATGTCCTAATACCATCTTACTATGCTGAGATGAGCCTTTTATTGATTTTTGAGGACTTGTTATTTTTGTCGGAAGTTTAGTTGAAGGAGGAAAATTCCAGTTCTGTAGCCGCGTACAATACACTCGCCTTCCAAAGAAAGCCGGTAAAAGTAATCACTATACTGTATAAGTTATGCCCGCATTCCAAGTTGTGCAATTGCACACTACCGTGTACATTCAGTATACGTTTTACTTTTTTCCTTTTTCTCCAACTACGTCATTTCACTGCGATAATACTCCAAGTATCTCTCGTGCTGTAGATTTTACTTGCAGCCTTACAAGCGAAGACATTCAGTGCATTCAGTGCGAGCTGATAAAAGACTCACCAGCACGAGTTGTTGCTATGACCGTTCCACGTTCATCATGCTGCGGCTTTCACGATTTATCGAGTGCTGATTTGCCACAGTGCACTATTTATTGCTCCTATAACACGAGCCTAGCACCCATCAACTGAGCTTCTTTCTCTTCCGCCTGAACTTGTCTTGCATCTGAGCTTCGAGCATCGCACTCGTAGCTCTCACGAACCACTTTACCGCCCACTGCCGCCGACATACCCCGCTCAATACGGATCAATTGGTGCGTGTGCAGGAGAGCAGCAGTAGCTCACAGCGACAGACAGCGACAGACAGCGACAGGCAGCGACAGGCATGCGTCTCATATGATATGACTAATTTACTCTGTACGTGCGGTGGATGTTCTGTATCGTATGAACAACCAGCGGTGAGACTTGGATTCAACGCCTTCAAGTTAGACTCAAAACAGTGTGCGGTTGTCGGATGTTGATCTGGGGTGTCAATTGGTCAATTGATGGCGTACGGAAACTGAGCGGCCAGACCACCGTCTCTTCCCAGCGCCAACACCTCGAATACTCCCGATCTGCTCTTGCACTCCTTGTGGCACCTTTGGCCCCGTCTTCTTCTGCGGGCAAAAAAACAAGCTTTACAACCCCAGACTTCGGATACTCTTCGGCCGAAGACTAGAGAGACCTGAAAAAGAGAGGTAATTGAGGCAGCAATGAACATGGGTCGGAACAGGCGGATTGCTCCCACAAGTGAAGGAATCGGAACCGTCACATAATACAGCACGAAACCAAGTCTTTGATTTGCCACCCGCCGCCACACATAGCCAATACAGCCAGTAATCCCTGGGGTGAGCCCTAACCCCAGCAGAGAACTCTAAGGAACTTTCCACCGCGAACCTTGGCCTGGGTATAAATTTTCGCCTTGTCCCAACCGCACATAGGTCGATTGATTCAAACCACCAAATTTCTCTCTACTACAAAAATGCAGCGAGTCATTGCACGATCCAGCCGTCTGCGACCCCAGCAGATCCGAGGCTTTGCTCACAAGGAGCTCAAGTTTGGCGTCGAGGGCCGAGCCGCTCTGCTCAAGGGTGTCGACACTCTGGCCAAGGCCGTCTCCGTCACTCTGGGCCCCAAGGGCCGAAACGTGCTCATTGAGCAGTCGTTTGGCTCCCCCAAGATCACTAAGGATGGTGTCACTGTTGCCCGATCCATCACTCTCGAGGACAAATTTGAGAACATGGGCGCTCGTCTTCTGCAGGAGGTTGCCTCCAAGACCAACGAGACCGCCGGAGACGGAACCACCTCCGCCACCGTTCTCGGCCGATCCATCTTCACCGAGTCCGTCAAGAACGTGGCTGCCGGCTGCAACCCCATGGATCTGCGACGAGGCTCCCAGGCCGCTGTCGACGCCGTCGTCGAGTTCCTCCAGAAGAACAAGCGGGAGATCACCACTTCTGAGGAGATTGCCCAGGTCGCTACCATCTCTGCTAACGGCGACACTCACATTGGCCAGCTGATTGCCAACGCCATGGAGAAGGTCGGCAAGGAGGGTGTCATCACTGTCAAGGAGGGCAAGACCATTGAGGACGAGCTCGAGATCACCGAGGGTATGCGATTCGACCGAGGCTACATCTCCCCTTACTTTGTCACCGACGTTAAGTCCGGCAAGGTTGAGTTTGAGAACCCTCTGATTCTCATCTCCGAGAAGAAGATCTCTTCTATCCAGGACATTCTTCCCTCTCTCGAGCTGTCCAACAAGCAGCGACGACCCTTGCTGATCCTGGCTGAGGACGTTGACGGCGAGGCCCTGGCTGCTTGTATCCTCAACAAGCTGCGAGGCCAGGTCCAGGTTGCAGCTGTCAAGGCCCCTGGCTTTGGTGACAACCGAAAGTCTATCCTCGGCGACATCTCCATCCTCACTGGTGGTACCGTCTTCACTGAGGACCTCGATGTCAAGCCTGAGAACGCCACCGCCGACATGCTCGGTTCTTGTGGCGCCATCACCATCACCAAGGAGGACACCATCATCCTCAACGGTGAGGGCTCCAAGGACTCTATTGCCCAGCGATGCGAGCAGATCCGAGCCTTCATGGCTGACTCCACCACCTCCGAGTACGAGAAGGAGAAGCTGCAGGAGCGACTGGCCAAGCTGTCTGGCGGTGTTGCCGTCATCAAGGTCGGAGGCTCCTCCGAGGTTGAGGTTGGCGAGAAGAAGGACCGTTTCGTCGACGCTCTCAACGCCACCCGAGCCGCCGTCGAGGAGGGTATTCTCCCCGGAGGAGGAACCGCTCTGCTCAAGGCCTCTCGAAACCTGGACTCCGTGCCTACCGCTAACTTTGACCAGAAGCTCGGTGTTAACATTATTCGAACTGCCATCACCAAGCCTGCTCGAACCATCGTTGAGAACGCCGGTGGCGAGGGCTCCGTCGTTGTCGGCAAGCTCACTGACGAGTTTGGCGAGGACTTCAACATGGGTTACAACGCCGCCAAGGGCGAGTACACCGACATGATTGCTGCCGGTATCATCGACCCCTTCAAGGTTGTGCGAACCGGTCTGGTTGACGCTTCTGGTGTCGCCTCTCTGCTCGCCACCACCGAGTGCGCCATTGTCGATGCTCCTGAGCCTAAGGGACCTGCTGCTGCTCCTGCTGGCGGCATGCCCGGTATGGGTGGTATGGGAGGCATGGGAGGCATGGGCTTCTAATGTGCTAGATGTAAATATGTAAATATGATTTATGAACGAGTTAAACGAGCTCAGCGAGTTTGGCTCGTGTATTTGAGAACCTCTGGCTGTATCTACGATGTAAGTACATATTGCACTTGGTCAACAGCGCATTCGAACCAGAAGTTTTACGACAAGCTGTGTCAAAATCCCCTTCAATCATCTCAGAATATTATGCTGGTTCTTATAGCGGTAAAATGTTTGTCCCTAGTAATACAGAAGAACCAGATGTGGGCACTCTTTCACCGTTTGTGATGTTTCCTCGCTGTGTCTTGCATCATATTAGCTTGGCGATGGCTGCGAAGTATCGCTAGGCTTGGTATGTGTCCAAATTCCCTCATTTTTGATCAATTGGAACTAAAAAAAAACAACAGGAGATTTAGATAGACCACATCTCCCTTTTTAATCACTTCCAATATGATCAAACCACTAAAAAAACCAGTTTGAGCGACCGTTTTTTTCTGAGGTCAACCGAAGCTTAAATCCAATAAACTATTTAACCGGTAATATGTACGAGAAGGTACATCCTTGAGAGTCTGTTGAAAGCTACGAGAACGGTGGTATCGTGGTAGGAGGTGCTTTTGGTGGCAACCGTATCGATTATATTTTGTCTCATTAACACATTGCCGTTCACGTGATCTGAAAGAAATACAAACAGACGCTCCAGACCACCCGATGTTGTCTTCTTCTTCAACGACAGGCCCATCATCATTCCAACGGTTGTAATTAAGCCGCATGGAGGTCATCAGACAAGGATGATTGCAAGTGGATACCGGCATTGGTAAAAGAGGCTAAAGGTCACATGAGAAAAAAATGGACTCTGGTAGTTTGAGAGCAAAGACGCCATCTTGTAACTCGCCACCGACAATGGCTAACGTCTTCGCCTTGGTTGGTGGTTGTCCACAGTGCAGAATCGAACCTTGGAGCTTATCCGGTAGGCTAAAGTTTGGGCTGGCGGGCCGGGTAACCGCATGTTTACATCAGCAAAGTATAAGAAAGGCCCAAGTCCCAATTACGCGCAGACGCGTTTATTTCTGCTGCAACACCACCTCACAACACCACCCTTTACACCAACCATCACAACTACACAACATGTCTGGCGGAAAAGGAAAAGGCGGCAAGGGCAAGGGCGGCAAGGGAAAGGGCGGAAAGGCATCAGCCGCTGTCGAGGGCGCCCAGCAGTCACATTCGAGCCGAGCAGGCCTGCAATTCCCCGTGGGCCGTATCAAGCGATACATGAAGAAGAGCGTACAGAACAAGGTGCGTGTGGGAGCCAAGGCGGCCATCTACATTGCGGCGGTGCTGGAGTATCTGACTGCTGAGGTTCTGGAGTTGGCGGGTAACGCTGCACGTGATCTCAAGGTCAAGCGAATCACTCCTCGACACTTGCAGCTTGCCATTCGAGGAGACGAGGAGCTGGACACCCTCATCCAGGCCACCATTGCCTATGGAGGAGTCATGCCCCACATTAACAAGGCTCTGCTGCTCAAGGTGGAGCAGCACAAGAAGAAGTAATATTGGTGGAGGATGGAGAACCACGGCTTATTGTATTTTTATAATCCTAGGATAAATGTATTTGTATATTGTTGTGTCGTGAGGAATGTAGGGGGCTGGCTGGTCGACTTCTATAATACAAAAAAACAAAACATTTGCATGATGGACAAGGGTGAGTGAATGACTTAAGACGGTGTCAGACAGGCAGCTCATCAGACTTGGCATGTCACGGGTCCTACATGTCGTGTCGTTAACGTAAATATATATATATATCTCTACACGTCCGCTCGGTGCTTCGTCTTGTATCCCACCATTTTCTGTTCTCACTTTTTCTTGTCATTTTCCGCTTTTTGTTTTGGGCTCCCTGAATCCTCCCAACCAACCCTCGCCGCGATAACGCTACGGCTCCCCAGGTCCCCAGGCTTTAGAGCAAACCTTACTCGGTGCTTGCCTTATTTTTGACTCAGTGAAACCTTGCGCAGATCGTATATCTTGGCCGTGAGAACCGTAGCCTCTCAAACACACACTCCATACACTCCACACATACAATGCTTCGAGTTGCACACTTTTCCCGAGCTGCTGTTTCTGCGCGAGCAGCCATTCCCACCACACGAGTCGCCTTGCAGCGAGTTGCTCGATACTCCGTGGACGCTAACCTCAAGAAGACCCCCCTTTTCCCTCTCCATGAGAAGCTGGACGCCCAGTTTGTCGACTACGCCGGCTTTGCCATGCCCGTGCTTTACAAGGGTACTACACACATCCAGTCGCATAATTGGGTGCGGGAGAAGGCCGGTCTGTTCGACGTGTCGCATATGCTGCAGCACCGGTTCTCTGGCCCCGCTGCTACCGAGTTCCTGGAGAAGATCACCCCCGCAGACCTCCAAGCGCTGCAGCCCTTCACCTCGACTCTGTCTGTGCTCCTCACCCCCGAGGGAGGCATTGTCGACGATCTGATCATCTCCAAGCACGGTGAGAACGACTTCTACGTGGTGACCAACGCCGGCTGCAGAGATAAGGATCTAGCCTTCCTGGCCAAGGAGAGCGAGCCGTTTGGCGACAAGCTGGTCCACGACACAATTGGTGGCGGCCTGATCGCTCTACAGGGTCCCGAGGCTGCCGCTGCGCTCCAGAAGTTCACCAACTATGATCTGTCCCAGATCAAGTTTGGCCAGTCCGCCTGGGTCGACTTTGGAGGCAACAAGTACCACGTGGCCCGAGGAGGATACACTGGTGAGGACGGCTTCGAGGTGTCCATCCCTGACGATGCAGCCTCTGTTGCCTTTGCCGAGGCTCTCCTTGAGAACGACAACGTCATTGCTGTCGGCCTGGCTGCCCGAGACTCTCTGCGACTCGAGGCCGGAATGTGTCTCTATGGCCACGAGCTGAGCGAGGAGCTGACTCCTGTCGAGGCTGGCCTCACCTGGGTTGTTGGCAAGGCCCGACGATCTGGTGACCGAACTGGATTCAACGGCTCTGACAAGATTCTGGCCCAGATCAAGGACAAGTCCGCCACGAAGGCCCGAGTGGGTCTGTTCAACGACGGCCCTGCTCCCCGAGAGGGCGTTGCCATTCTCAACGAGGCGGGCGAGAAGGTCGGAGTCGTCACTTCCGGCTGCAAGTCTCCTTCTCTCAACAAGAACATCGGTATGGGCTACGTCAACAAGCCATTCAACAAGAGCGGCACCAAGCTGACTCTTGATATCCGAAACAAGAAGCGACCCGCCGAGGTGGTCAAGATGCCCTTTGTTCCCCACAAGTACTTCAAGTAGACGCAGAGAGGACAAGCAAGGGAAGAACTAAATTATACGTATTAATACATCATTGCAGAAGGAATCACGAATGTCAAGTAGACTGAATAGGTGTCTGACTGTGTAATGTAAGATTCGAATTGATTGTCATTGACTCGTATGTACTATGCCTTCTGTTGATAGGACCTCTATCAAGCGTAGTTGTAGGGTATGTACTGTGGCTCTATATACAATATTTGTAAATTGAACTGTCCTGAAATAATCCATCTTAGCGAGTCACAGAGAAACAATGCAATGGACTCAGAAACAATGCAACGGACTCAATTGAGCGCTCTTATATCTACAAGTAGCAAAGTCCTTCTCTACTATTACAATAGATGCCGACAAGACTGTGTTCCTTCTATGGCAAACAATCAACTAACTGTCTGTACACCCAGATATCTTCGTTTTCTATATTACATGCTATTTACAATGTTAGTTTGTTCAGTCAAAACAATACTCGTTCAGTTCTCCTTAGCTGACACAGCATTCTTGGGAACAGGTGACTCGGGGTGAATCACCTTGCTCTCATGACCAGGCTTGTTATGGTTCTCCACAAGTTTCTGAATATTATCCATAGTTGACAGTTTTGGAACGGTAGGGGATGGAGTGGCCTCACCTGCGGTCTCAGCCACCTCCCTCACCCGCTTGGACACCTTGTTTGTATCTTTGTCCACTACCAGATGCTGAGGATTGAGACCCTCGGGGGCCTTATAATCATCTTCCAGCAGCTTTCGCTTGACGAGTTTCTCCTTGAGCCACTCAATCTCGTCCTGAAGAGTCTCGATATCGTCAGCCACCGTCTCTCGTCGATTCAACTCTTTCCTTCGAGCCCGGAATGATTCGTACAGAATAAGACCTCCCGCCACGGAGAAAATAAACCCCTCAGCCACAAACGTAGCACCCGATTCAATGGCCTTGGCCTCATTGAGCGGCCGCACCTTGAAGGTCGACTTGCCCATCAGACGCATCTTCAGATTGGTGTCTGTCTGATGGAGTCGCTGGGCCAGCGAGATGCAGATTTGCTTGAATCGAGGGTGCTGTTTGGCCTGTCCCTTGATGGCCGTCGCCATGGGTTTGGCTATGGTTCTGACCAGCAGGGACGTGAGCTTGAGCGCGATTCCACTCATGTTAGATGTGTCGAAAGTGTGAGATGAATGCCTGTCTCGAACTCAGCTCCGAAACTCAGTGGCGACATATCCATCATGGTGGTGCGGCTCATAAATTAATTCAGGTGGGATTCGAACATGGGCGTGTTGGGAAGATAGGGTTAGGGGAGCAACCAGGAAGCTCCCCGTTTCTCCCGGGACTTAAGGTTCCGGCGACAACGAAAATTGCTCCGGCGCAGATTCCAGCACCGCGTAAACTGTATACTTCCCAGCAGGTGCGCTGATTGGCCCAAATACTGACAACACCTTGAATTTTCCCACACCGTAAACTCCTCCCTTTGGAAGTGTCGCATCACCGCTAAACGACAACCACAATCAACTGGCAAGATGTTTGCTCTTCGAACTGCTGCTCGACCCGCTGCCCGAAGCGTGGGCGCTACCCGGTGAGTAGGAAAAAATAATGGTGCTGATTGCGTTGGATAATGAAACGGGTGCCTGGACCCCACGACATTGGACATGATACCCTCGGGCTCAGAAAGAAAGACAATTGGACGACTCAATCGACAAGGAGACTGCGGCGGGCGATTGCGGACACGTTAAAGTGGAGTTGTCTTCCATGACCGCGATTAATTGCGCCTAGTTGACCGCTCATAACACGCTCGGGTGGTGTGACGTGGACATCCGAGAAATAGCCGTTATGAGGGCAATGGATGGTTTTGTATGGGTTGTGTGTGGTTGTGGGTGCTATGCGGAGCGGCAATGGCTGTGGCAATGGTGTTGGCCGTTTGTTTGGTGCGATTGGGGTAATATTCGTTGACTTTGTGTTACCTCTAAGGTATCACGTTTCCAGCCAATGCCCTTATGCATACACCACACAACGCAACATAGTATGGCACAGCACACGAAACGCAACACCACACTACAATACACGACTCACTGCATTCCAGCACTAAATACAGTCCAGCATCTAATTCCGAACAGCACAGCACAGCACAGCACAGCTCAATTATATTCCGCCACCGACCTATGGCCAGTCGCTTCTGTGATCTAAAACTAACCCAGAAACTATGCCACTCTTCGAGAGATCGAGATGCGACTCAAGTCCATTAAGAACATTGAGAAGATTACCAACACCATGAAGATTGTTGCCTCCACCAAGCTCGGTAAGGCCCAGCGAGCCATGGCCACCTCCAAGGTCTACAACGAGGCCTCCGAGAAGGTTTTCGAGAACTCCGAGACCGCTGTGCCTGAGAACATCGAGAAGCGATTGTGGGTTGTTGTCTCCTCCGATAAGGGTCTGTGTGGTTCCATCCACTCCCAGCTTGCCCGAACCGTTCGACGAAAGCTGCTCGACTTTGAGTCCGGCGAGAAGCTCATTGACATTGTTGCTGTCGGTGAGAAGATCAAGGCCCAGCTCGGCCGATCTAACCCCGAGCAGATGCGTCTGTCTTTCGGTGGAACCGGTAAGGAGGCCCCCACCTTCGAGGAGGCTGCCCACATTGCTGACGAGATTCTTGCTCTCGACACCCAGTACGACGACATTGAGATTGTCTACAACAAGGTCCTGTCCGGTATCTCTTTTGAGCCCATCATGAAGGAGTCCTACTCCGCCAAGGCCATTGAGGACGCCCCCAAGTTCGGCCAGTACGAGCTCGAGGACGACGTTGTCAAGAACCTTGCCGACTTCTCTCTGGCCAACACCATCTACGCCGCCATGGCCGAGGGCCACGCTGCTGAGATCTCTGCTCGACGAAACGCTATGGACAACGCTTCCAAGAACGCTTCCGATATGATCAACAAGTACTCCATTCTGTACAACCGAACTCGACAGGCTGTCATTACCAACGAGCTGGTCGACATTATTACCGGTGCCTCTTCTCTTGAGTAAGCCTCTATATAAAACTCTAATGAGCATGACTAGATGATTATCACATTTACAGGTACGTAGACAAGAGATATTTAAATGACGAGTACACCACGAGAGCAGTGTATGAGTTTCTGGAAAGAGGTGAGCTGTGTTGTGGGGTAATCGTGTTCATACAGTAACTGTGTTTATGTATGCACTGTACCTTTACTTTATACTATTACAGTATCTCGTAATATCATACTATTGCCGGTGATGATGTATATAAGTAGAAGTACAGTATCGCCGGTTTTATTCACCGTCTGAACCGTCTTTTTGTCTTCTTCACATGGCGTAATTATTTGTCTTGTCGTGGCCCTGTAATTATGTACAGTGATTAGCTACTTGCACCGTATTCATTGTTCATTGTATTGTACGCCTCCTCACTTTAGCTCTATATATATATCACGTCTGAAACAGACTGTATCAGTTTGCATATAAGCATCAACACGCTTTTTTCTACACTAACCAGACTTCTCCCGAGATACTACAATACGAGTACGCCATGACGGATGACAAAATGGAAGACATTCATCTTGGAGATGACAGTGACGATGAGAACACGGAGGCTGTGACTTCGGCCGATACGGGGGAAACGAAGAAGGTGGATGCTGACGCCTCAAAGACAGTTGGTACTGAAGAAACTACTGAGGAAACACACGAACCCGAGACTGCGAAGAACCCAGAGCCCAAAGACGAATGTGCCAGTGGCAAAGACTCTGACGACAAGGCCGCCAAAGACAAAAAACCGGAGACTCCAGACTCTTCCTCTGAGGCTCCCCAACTACACAAGACTTCTACGTCTATCCCCCCAAAAGGTGCCACTTCCACGGTTAACGATATCACATTCTACACCGTTGGAGAGGCAAAAAACTGTGACACGCTCATTGTCGTGCTCACAAACTACCTGGGTTTCCAGTCCAACAACAACCTGTTGTGTGCCGACTCCATTCATGAAACCACCGGCCTGCCTGTCGTACTGATTGACTCCACCGGCAACAACCCGGCCATGCATGTCATGAGACTCAAGGGCGACGAGGAATTGCCCCACCTGCCTCCTCCTCAGACCAAGCCCAAGTCACAGTCGGGGCCGTCGTTCTTGGGCAAGTTCAAGAGTTGGTTTGCCGGATCAGTCTCGGGATTTTTTGACGACATGTGGCTGGCCGCACACTCGTACGAAAAGACAATTGGCATTGTGCAATCTTCCATCGAACAAGTGTACCAGGTATACACCCCTGGACAAATCATTGTGGTTGGCTATGGCTTTGGAGCCCGGTACGTGCTTCCGCTGTTGAAGAGAAGTTCACTTTTCAACCCTCATGAAGAGGACGACGAAGACTCCAGCCCCTGGGAAGTCAGAGATAAGGCCAACGCGGAAGACCACATTTTGTCCGGAGTGGCCGTCAACCCATCATTGACCACCCTGGACGATTTCAAGCACGTCCATAAGCCTCTCCTGTTCATCTATAGTGACGACAACGAGATGCTTCCTCGAACGACCGTTGAGCAAGGTTTCCGACTCATCCCCGGAAAAGATGCCGAGCGGAAGGCCATTTCTCAGAATCCTCCTTTGCCCCATGGGTTTGCCATTCCTGGCGATTACTCTGAGGACGTGGTTGGAAACAACCCCCAGGAGGTGTTTGAGATGATTGACAAGTGGGTCAAGGCGCAGCTCACTAAGGAGTAACTACGATAGCCGTGTAATCAACAATGTATATTATATTCAATGTGACATCACATCATCTTCTATTATTTCACAGTACGTAGACAGCTCTACATGACCATGTCGCTTTAGAGACTCACATTGCGCCGAAAGTATCTGCCAGTTCATAATGAGAACTTGACAGGTTATACTGTAACAGTCGTCAGAGTAGACCACGCTAATCCGTTCAGCTTAGCTTATGAATCAGGATTCTTGGGCTTCTTGGGCTTCGCCTTACTAACAACTTCAGATCGTCTGCCAATACTTCCATCCCAATCTCAAAATCAATGCAGCAGCAGCAGGAATGACAAAGACCTGCAATCCCTGCAAAGGGTGGGCCAGCTGCAACTTGGCAATCTTCTCAGACTCCTCGTTATCAGGGAAAAACTTTCCAGTCTCAATGAAGTTGTCCATCATCTGGTCCTTGTCGTACCACAGATCATACAGCCACTTTTCAAACTTCTTTTCGTCCTTGTAGGGAATTTCCTTGATGACAAACTTGGTCCAGTGAGCTTTGACATAGACAGGGCCCTGGCCTCTCAGAAACACGTTTCCAAGCGTGTAAAAGTCCTGTCCGTACTCTCCTCGGCCCACACCTTCGTAGGCAAGAGTACAATCGTACAGGTAGTCTACAGTTTGAGCCAGATTCTCAATGGCAAACCGCAGACCTGTAGTTCGGGGCAACAAGACATGCTTCATGGGCTTGACTCCGATCTTAGCAGCAAACTTGTTGGAGTTGTTAGTACCATTGTGGGAGGTATTTGTTCCCTCGGGGAACATTGTGAGCCAGACGGGGGCCTGCAGCTTGTTGAGACCCTGGAAGTGCTCCTTCATGTTCTGCTCGTCGTCGGCCCATTTCCGAGACAGGAAGATGAAGTTGTAATTGGCCATTCCCGAGCCCAAAATGGGAATGCTTCGAAGAGACTTTTTGAGCAGGATGTAGATGCAACCGCCAAATCCGCTGGTGAGAGCAAACCACCACAGATAGATCCAGTCTGTATAGAGCTGGTGGTTGGCGATGACAATGGCTCTTTCTTCGAATCTGGAAGACAGGTAGCCGTTTCCGTCGACGGAGAAGACACCCTTCATAGTCTCGTCACCTGAAACTCGCATTTCTGTGCTAGTGAGTGCCTGAACAAGACACAGCATCACCACGATGAACTGTTGTTTGGTGTACTCTACCCAGACCACCCAGGCCATTTTGGACTGGTATTTGAGTGGGTAGCCGATCCATTGAGTCAGTACAATCGATAAGCAGGCGCACAGAAAGTAAAAAACAGCAATGACACCTCGAAGCACCTGGGAAGGCTTGGAGTGTCGAGGAGGAGGGAGCTCCTTGTTGGTGGTGGGGACTGCCAGAGGAATATCGACAGGAATGACGGGGTCCGTGGACGGGGCGGATTTTGCTACTCGCTGGGAGGCAGAAGAGGACTCTCCAGCCACACCGGAGGCCTTGACAGCCTCTGCAGTAGCCATTGAAGTGGTAGTGTTGCTGTGAGTGTTTTTTTTAAAGATGGAGGTTTAGATATCCCTCGGTAAGAGAGGCTATATATTATTTAGCTTATTGACGCAGGTGATTGTGCATGGGTAAGGGTAGGAGCGGGACAGTCTTTGAAAGCTGCAATTGTGGTTGATATAGCGCCACAAAAAGCGTCAGGATGAACGAGAAGGGGTTGATATATGTACTGAGCTGCTTTATTCTTTATTTCCCCGATCTATGATATTCTTTGACCGACCCAATGTCGTTTCAATTACAGTATCATTGTCTATGTAGAGGGTACAACGTTGTCATGTGGACAAAGGGACATGTGAAGAGAGTATGAGGCCAGTCAAATGTGGGGCCAAGGAGAGGAAATGTGAAAAAAAGGACAAAATGGATACTACGAGGGGAAGATTTTACGTAGAATACACTCTTCAGATTTCTTTCAAATTCTCTATAACGTCCCGGATCTGGGGTTGCTATTTCCTGTGGCCAATGTAAACATGATTTGCATTGTGATATCGCATGCTCAACATACTCAACAGATGACATCACCGTGAAACCTGTACTTGTACTTGGACTAGCAGAAAGGGCAATGAAGAGGAGGGGGTCATATGGGGGATATAAATAGTCAGATATGAGCTCTGTGAGCTTTTTTAGATGTCTATTTTCCGTCTTTCACCAATATTGGCATTTGTTTCACGTCAGTCCTCAGTTCTACGATTATTGTAGTATGAACTGTTTGCACTGCTGAAGTCTCAAGCACACAGCACACCCCTCCCCCACCTTGCATCCCTTTGAAAGACCTTATGGGTCATTGGCACGTGATGAAGGAGGTATAGTAAGGAGATTTTTTGTGCGTTACGTTCATGAACTCGTTCCCATCGCAGTCTTTGAAGGCTTTTTTCCCTTTTCCGTCGAGGTTTTTTATTTTTTATTTTTGGTCACACACAGTACATACGCGTATTTTGTTGAGAATTAGTTAGCATAACATGCGTGCTGCTGGGTGTTCCGGTATTCGCTGAATTGTAGGTCAGTGAGACCAATGTATATGATAGAACAGACTCCTGCAGTATTTACGAGGCTTCTATAGGATATTTCTATCCTAAAATAGAGAAATTCAGTATATAAATGGAGATTGTCTTCAGGGGCTGTTCAGATAGTACAAATTATAACTATCAGAGTACATACTGTTCTCGTACTTTGAAAGCTGGTTTTGACATACAGAAGCAGCATCGCTCTCATTACACCATCCATATCCTGGTACAAGTGCTGTGAGCAGTCAACATGCTTTATAGTAATCTCACTCTGTTCGAGGGAATTGTACTCCATAGCAATGCAAGAGGTGACTTGCCATCTGACAATTGACAATCGACACTCAACGTCGGTCAACGTTGGTGATATCATATATACCAACATAGTATGTACATACCAGTACGTACAGTCCGTACACACTTTAGCCTGTCGTATTTGCACGTCTGGGCACCCATGGGGTCTGCACTCCTCGAGGGTTACTGGTGCCTCACGGCGCCAAATACAGGTAAGACAACCACGCCGTGGGGAACGGAAATATTATACCCTGGTATGAACATGGTTGACGTGACAGCGCGACCGGAACTCATATTCTTGCCGAGAGCGATCTTGAGCTTGCTTCACGTCGGAGTCGTAAGTTTGAGAGTCTGTTGCCAAGACACACTTCGTATCTGCTGTACGGCAGTTACTTGAGAGAAGAGCGAGGAGGGGAATTGCGAGGCATACGAGTACTTAGGGTCCAACGTGTCTCTGTTTCAACAGTGCTGAGCTTTGATTAGTGCGTTTTCTGTCTCAGCAGTAGCCCGTGCAAGTACGAATACATACTGATCAACCTTCACCTCAAGTGGTACCGGCGGCAAGTAACAAACCCCGAATGCCGGTCTACAGTGCCTCTTGACGTCGGGACAGGTCGGAGACGTGGACGTTGGAGCCTTGTTCAATATAGTTGGCACTTTCTTAGGGTCCGTTGTTGCAGATGACAAAGAGAGTTTGGGTGAGCTTTAGGACTTAAGGATGGGAACAAGCAACTTGAGGTTGAGGTAGAGTGGGCTTGAGACATGTGGCGGGCAATTGACGGGTTGGTGGGGGGTTCTGAACCTCTCTATACCAGATACTCATAACCTGTATACTTGTTATTGTGTCACATTTGGGCGTGTATTCTCCACCCCATCCACTATCCATGGTCTGGCTTCGCTTAAGAGACTCCAAAAAAGTAGCTTGTGTGGGGGCGGAGGGCTTTTAAGCTTTCCGTGCGTGCTTGCATTTCAGTGTATGAGCGGACCCTGACGAGCGGAAATTCTGTCACTCAGCTATATATACTGACTGGTCTCTCTGACGTGCGCGCAAGCAATTTGTGAGTATTTTTTTGCGATTAAACCGTGGGTTTGGGGACGGGTTTCTGGTGCTAGACAGTCCCTGAGTCACCTGTTATCAGCCTCGTTCGGCTGACAGTAAGGCTGAAGGCACGCGCGTGAAAAATGAAATCGAAGCGAGTGGGAAAGAACCATGCAGTGTCTGGACGGTGAACCAAGGTAGATTTTGGCAAGGAAGAAATAGATATCCGAGTAAAATGGGCTGAACTATCGAATGAAACAAAGCCCCAGTCTCTGTCGGATTCCGTTGGCGTTCTACAGACCACTTCTACTCTCCTCCACCATACTAATTTAGCTTCGTAATCAGTTTATGACCCCTCGTCCGAGCAGTCATAAACCATAAAGCAGGTGTAAAAAAAACACGAAAAACTGTTTCAGGCCGATCTCAAACCCGATTTCTGCGGAAATCGAAACATCTCATTTACCTCTTTAACTCCAAAATGAAGGAGGACCGCCAACCCGACCTTCAACCGGTGCATACGCACACTTCTATTGCATCCAACGAGTCCCACCCTTCGCTAATGCCCTATCATGCCGACTCGGACCACAGTCAACACCACCCCAGTCCAACCAAATTGCAACATAGCGAGTCTTACTCGTCGCGAGAAACCAACTCGCCGTCGCCAGAAGCCGGCTCTGTAGTTGCAGATGGCATAGCATCAGAAAAAGAAGAAACAAGCTCGATAAAGGACCCCAAGGCTTGGAGGAAATTCATCGTGCCGAAAAACGAACGAAGAGGACTACTGGCTTCAGTATGCGTGGTTCCAGAAGTTACAGACCCCCGAGATTACCCCAGTAACATCAAATGGTTCCTCACGGGAGTAGTGTCGCTGGCTGCCATGGCTGCCCCTCTAGGTACGTCTATCATGCTTCCTGGTATCGATGATGTAGCCGAGGGACTGAATACCACCAAGAACCTGGTCAACATCTCCTTTGGTATCTACTTGCTGTCTCTAGGAGTGTTCCCCATTTACTGGTCATCTCTTTCCGAGCACTTTGGACGAAGATCCATCTATCTCATTTCTTTTGCTCTATTCACAGCATTTTCCATCGGATGTGCTTTGTCGACATCTATTGGAATGCTCATTGGCTTCCGAGTGCTGTCTGGAGGCGCTGCTGGCTCGGTCCAGAGCGTGGGGGCAGGCACCATCTCCGAGCTCTTTGAAGCAAGAGTCAGAGGCAAGGGCTTGGGTATCTACTACGTGGGAATTCTGGTTTCACCTCTGGTAGCTCCCGTTATCGGAGGAGCTCTGGTGGAGAGTCTGGGCTGGAGAGCTCCCCAATATCTGCTGCTTATTCTTGGCGGAGTTCTCACTGTTGCCATGCTGTTTTGCATTCCAGAAACGCTTCGAATCTCAGCTGAAGACAGAGAGATGTGGATTAGACCCAAGAGCAAGACCAAGGGCCAGAAAATCAACTGGTGGAGGAAAAAGAAGGATCTCGAGAGCGAGATTGAGGCTTCTGGAGAAGCAGAGGATCAAGAACCCGAGCTCAAAAACCACCATATGCTCAGTACAGTTATCGGAGACGACCCTGAGCCGGTTCTAGTTGAAGACGACGAAGACCACCACTTGCATCCCATAATCTCCCACATTTCGCAAATGTCGTTTGGAGCCGATGTAAGTGAGACTCAGTCTCGATCTAGACGAGGCTCAGTGGCTAGCTCCAGAAGAAAGGCAGTGGGCGGTCTTGAGCTTTCTAGAGTGGCTTCTACCGAATCTGAAAAGTACAGACGAATGGAAATGCCCAAGCGGATCAATTTGGACGAGCTGTCTCTGGGTCAAAAGATGTACATGTTTGGAGTGGCTCCTCTCAAGACTCTGCTCTTTCTCAGATACCCTCCTGTGGCTCTGGCCATCGTGTATGCCTCCTACGTCTTTTTCTCATTGTACATTCTTAACATGGCCATTCAGATTGTCTACTCCGAGGCTCCCTACAACTTCAAGACCATCATCGTCGGTCTTCTTTACCTGCCCAACTCGGTAGGATACATTGCTGCATCTGTTGGAGGAGGAATGTGGAGTGATTACATTGTGAAACGGGCCAAGGACAAGAACGGTGGGGTCATGATTCCCGAGGAGAGAATTGCAGAAAATATTCTGTTGGCTGCAATCCTTTTCCCTGTGTCTCTACTTATCTTTGGGTGGTGTGCTCAATACAAGACCTTTTGGCTGTGTCCTTTGATCGGTACCTTCATCTTTGGATTTGCCTCCATGATGATATTTGGAACAAACACAACCTATCTTGTGGACGCACTTCCGGGCAAGGGCTCTTCCGGCGTGGCTCTCAACAACTTTGTGCGAATGATTCTTGCTGCTGTGGCGACCTTTGTGGCCGATCCCATGATCAGAGGGCTCACTGTCGGCTGGTGTTTTACTCTGTGGGCTCTGCTGAGTATCGTTGTGGCCTTTTCTCTTGTGGCCATCAAGATCTGGGGAGCCCATTGGCGTCAGACTTTTGACCTCTCTAAGATTTACTAGCTGGGCAGTCCGCTGAGTCTGCTGTTTCTGCATTGAGCGGATATATAACTATTGCATTAATATATTTATGGAACGAACGAGTTGGAGTATTAATAAGTACTTAATAATAATAGAAATGAAATTCTGAGTATAAGTACGTACGTACTTGCTCTAATAAAGAACGCTTTCGGCATCGAACACTTTTTATGATAACGCACATCCTTCTATCCAGTCAGTTTAACTAAATGTTCAACTACTTTAGTAACTTTACTTAAACCATTGGTTTAACGCCTTCTCGTTAATTTGGTCACTTTTGTCTCTGGATCTTCTCCAAAACGACAAAACACAACTTTCCAACCATTTCTGAGGTTTTCAACCCCTTTTCTGTCACCATTATTTTGTCACCAAACCCACACATCACTGCCTCTCCGCCTTGATGATAGAGTTAAAGACAGCACTTCATGCATATGGCGATAATACAAGTTCCAACAACGATACATCAGTGGCACCCCAACTAACTAAAGTCGCTACATCCAACCCTGCCACAAAATGAGCTCGTGGCGATTAATACTCGCGCTGGTGATATCGACGCTGGTCACGTGCCTTATGTTTGCCGAGGCGCTGGTGGTGCGTCCCAACTTCTACTCGGCCTGCATTTCACTCACCCAGTCCAACTCCAAGAAGTCCGTCTTGCTGGCCACCATTCTCACACACATCTTTTGTGCGCGCAAGCTGCTAATGCGCATCTTCTACGGAGAGCTGCGGGCCGTCGAGGAGCAACACACTGGCGAAAAGCTGTGGTACTCGGGCACAGAGATTCTGTTTGCCATTGCTGTGTTCCACAAGGAGCTGTCCCAAGTCCACTACGCCTCCATCTTCACATTTGTGTGGCTGGTTAAGTCGCTGCACTGGGTGGCCGAGGACCGGGTTGATCTACTGTTCACCACAGGCGAGTCCGACTGGGCCCATGTCCGGTATCTCAGCACCCTGACGGTGTTGTGTGCCACCGACGTGTACCTGCTCAACTCCTTCTACCCGCACATTGACTTTGACTTCAGCAAGTTTTCCACCGGCGTGGAACAAGGCATCTGGGTGATTTTGGCACTGGAGATCGGCCTGGTGCTCAACTCCATTGCCCTGTGCCACAACAAGTACCTCATTTCCATGCGGGAACGGTACTTTTTGCGCCAGAACCCCAACGACGAGACCTGGACCCACAAGAAGGACTGGCTGTTTGCCGCCGAGGCTGCGTCAGACCTCATCCAGATCGCCATGTTCTGTATCTTCTTTGTTCTCATCTCGTCGTCCCACGGCATGCCCATCTTCAAGTTCCGAGACGCCGTGGTCTCCGTGCTCAATCTTGTTTCACGTGTCAAGGGCTACTACAACTACCGAGTTCTTACCCGGCAAGTCGACTCCTTCACCACTACGCCCAGTGAAGACGATTTGGCCCGAAACCAGACGTGCATCATCTGCTTTGAAGACATGGAGCTCGTGGAGGAGCCCAAGCAACTGGTGCCTAAAAAGCTGTCGTGCGGTCACGTGCTCCACAACGGCTGTTTGAAGCACTGGCTCGAGAGGTCCAAGCTCTGTCCTACATGCCGACGAAACGTCTTCACTGCTCCAGAGGTGGTGGCCACCACTACCGTGGCCCAGGTTACACAAGTCACAGTTCCCGTGGCTCCGCAGGTTGCAGATCACCCCGCGTGGGTGGAGCAGGCTGTGCAGTCACAAAGCAGCTCTACCTCTGAGTCGTCATCAAACGACGCTCATGCCCACCACAAGCTCAAGCTCCGACAAAGTGCCATTGAGGCGGGTGTGCATGACTCGTGGGAAGTCTTTCCGACCCGGCGAAACAACAAAAACCAGGTGGAGCTGTGTTTGGGAGAGGGAAGATGGGCCGTTCTTGAAACTGTCTATTAGTATATAGTATTTATTGAGTGAGTGTTTGAGAGCGGAGCTCTACAACACGTTCAGCACGGATCCAGTAGTTATAAAATGATAAAACTGCTCAGATTTCTTTGATAGTGACAAGAGTCACAAGTACACGTGATCAAGTGGCGTTTAAGTGTTTTTATGGTCATTGTTGTATGTAGCGAGTAGGACCAAGACCGTTATTTCACTGTAGCATCTGCCGAACATTGATATTCACCCTCTTTGTGTCCAGCCAGTCCTGGTACGGACTATTCAAATCGGGAGAAGTGTTTGAAAACACCTTTCCAATGCCATGGTACGCATGTCTCGACTTGCCGCCCATAACAATGACATCTCCAGACCTCAGCATGAGACAGAGAGGAGGAGCCAGACTGTTTTCGCTGTCATCGTATCGGTTGAGACCCACGTAAAAAATTGCGTCCAAGCCTATTGACACACTGACCAGGTCGTCTTGAGACAGTTCAGCTACGTCTTGGTGAGGAGAGAGAATGTCTCCGGGACTGTAGAAGTTGATGATAGCAGCTTCGGGGTTTATAGAGAACAAAGGACGGCTCAGAAGCTCGTAGAGGTTCTTGGGAAAATATGGGAACCCTTCTGTGCCGGGAATAAAGCTCGGGTACGCTTTTGTAGTCCAGTTGTACTGTCCTCCGAGGGTGACCCATCGTAACTGTTTGTTCTTGATCTTGTCTCTTGATGTGGGCTTTCCTCCTTCTCTATGTAGTATTTTGGCGTGAGGATTTTCGTTGTTGAATAGGTTGAAAGGCCGCGGAATGTCGTAGAACAAGTCCAGGTTATTGAGATGTTCTTTTGGTGGTAGGTACTGCTCGATAGTCTCTGTCACCAGGCGTGACTGGACTGCTGGAGGCATCAGGTTGGGGTATATGAGTAGCCCTGGAAGTTCTTCGACTGTGTAGTAATGTTTGGGTGGAGCGAAGTCAACTTGCGTCTGTGCAAAGGTCTCGAATCTGTTTTTTAGACCCACTGATTCGGCATCAAACTGCTCTTGTTGTATCGTGTAGTGTGGAGATGAGTATGATTTGTAGGATGAAAACACGTCTGGGCTGTGTAGTGCGTCTTCATGGCTGATGTGTCGGTGTGATTTGTAGTATGGTCTAAAGAGATCGTTTGCTGGCGCTGGCGACGGGGATAGCGACGGCCGTGGTGTTTCCAGGGTCATTCTAGTGTTTGTACTAGCTCGAGATAATCATCCGACTTCTTCTACTCCACCACCTGCATGAATGGTGCACTTTATTTTTCACTGCATGATATCTGGAAGTATTATCTAAAAGTTTGGATCGATCCTTTCAAACTCAACATATCACCATGGACTGGCTCAGTGAAGTGCAAAAGCTCAACGACCAGAACTCGCAGAACGTCACCCGGCTGAACGAAGAGATCGACAAGCTAGATCTGACGCTCAAGAAGGCTCAGATTGTAGTAGGACGAGCTCACACTGTGGCCCCCACCAAGTTTTATCTCCAGCCTCTGCTTGAAGACCCCATCTACGCAGAGATTGCAGAAAAGTGTCAGGAGCTGGCGACTACCGCGTCTCAATGGCAGTTTTACAGATACAACAACATGTACGGCGGCTGTTTCCAGCGGGCTGTGTTTGTGACTCTGCTACGACACTTTCTGGCCAACTGGGTGGACACTGACATGGCTATTGTGGTCTCCAACCCCTCCAATTGGCAGTCACTGGTGGCCGCCACCCCCCTAGGACCTGATCTAGTGTCCAAGCAGCTTGGAGTGCCGTTTTTGACCGAGCTGGAGGCTGGAAATGAAAACACGTGCCATCTGACCGACTACGACTACCTGCTGGGTATCGTGACCATGATCAACGAGCTTTCTCGACTTGCATTCAACTCCGTTACGGCCATTGCCTCGTATAACGAGAGCCACGACACCAAGTTGCCATTTGTGTTCCCTCAGTACCTTCTTGCATTCATTAAGAACACTCATGCTGGCCTCATGGTGCTGAATCTGAAGAATGATAAACTGCGAAGAAGTTATGATTCTATCAAATATGATGTGAAGAAGGTGGAGGAGATTATCTATGATTTGACCGTGAGACGGTTGGTCTAAAGACGGTTTCTCCAGGATGTGATTGCTGAAGAGCGTCTGAAAGAAAGAAGAAAAGATAACACGAGAAAACACCAACGCTACAGCCGTTTTTAGAGAGCTGACTATGAAAGACTGGTAACTAATGACTACCGTGCATATTTCAATCAATAATATCAAGAAAACCTATTGGTCTTTAGTCATACACATCTATCATAATGATAACCAGGTTATGTATATTTCTCGTACAGTGCCATATGCAACTACAGTTCAAGTACACTCATAGTGGCCCCCTTATAAAAGCTAGGAAGCTACAAGTAGTCAGATACTGGGATCTTAAAGGAGCTCTTCGAACTTGGATACTCTCCGCGAAACATCAGTATAAGAGCTCTGACCACTCGTACATGGTAGGAGATCTGTTACCCCCTAACAAGGAAAGCACACAGTAGTATCTGTTTCTAAGTAGAAGCAGCCTCCATAAAGTGTTGAAATTGAAAGGACGGGATCATCCGTATCTTAACCTGCTGCAAGTATCGTACTGTTTCGTCTCTTCTGGCGTACAGTAGCTTCCTTACAGTACAGTATGTAGCACCTGATAGGACAGAACTATCGAGAGAAAATAAGCAGCAACGTGCCACAGAATAATGAGCACACCAGGGGCCTATATACGAGTATAGTCTACTTGTTTTTGTACTCTCCTTCGATCGGCCCTTTCAAATGTATAGCTATGGTATGTGCTGAACTGCATAGACTGCTTGGTTCCCCATTACTGCTCGGTTTCTTCCTATGTCACCACTGCGTAGTTCACCAAAGAGTCCGCTCCTGATTTACTTTCATTCTATCCGGTTACGGTTCCGTATCATCATCTCGTTATGCTATTTACAAAACACTTTTACTCACACCGAGTTTGTGCCGATCTGTCCCTATCTCTCTCATTATTTTTTCTCCTCTTCCTTCTTCTTGGGTTCCTCGATCTCGGGCTTGGGCAGCGGGTCCAGCTCCAGCTCGCCCCGGATTCGCTCCATGGCTCGGTACACCTTGGATTGCAGGTAGAAGGAGCCCGACTTGTGCTCCGAGTTGACAGTGTACAGATGAGTGAACTTCTTGTCGATTTGAGCCAGCACTGACTCGGACTCTGCAATGTCCTCCAGCTTGTGTTTCTTGTTGAGCTCGGCAACCACCTTGTCGAGGGCGGTCTCGTCCACGTCGAGAATCTTACAGGCCTCGTCCAGCTGGAGTCCTCCAAACTTGGATGCTGCCGACTTGGAGGTCTTGGAGGCGGCCTGGGCGGTAGCAGCCTGCTTGTAGGCCTGGGTGAAAGCCTTGGCGAAAACCTGGGTGCCGGTCACGACAACTTGATAGATGAGTCTGTGGGCCATGGTGAAATGTGTGTGGTGGTTCTTAGCGGTGTGGAGAAAAGATTTCAGGTTTTTGCCAGAGTTTATTGTTTTGGGAGGTTCGAGGTTGGGAACTCTAAAAGTAAGTCGCAAGACTTGTAGTCGTGCGGATGGACTAGATGAAGGAGTTTCGGTATGAAAATGTGATGGGATTTTTCGCGTTAATCAACTCTTTACACTCTTATTTTTTCCACTTTACGACTTTACTTTACCACCCCAATCGGTCTTTTAATCCTACCCCTTGTCTTAGCTTGTCATACACTCTGCTGCACATGCACTCAGCCTAAACCTCCAAACTTCATCACCACCAGACACACACTCATCCAAGGTGAACAAACAACGAGCATCCCGCAAACAGTACAACACATATACGATATTAAACGACACAGTTCGAATCTACAACAATACCCATCCGTTTGTCGCTGACTAATCACTCCCCTCCACTATGAAATACGCTGTGGACGCGGGTATCATCAAATGCATATGCGGGTTTGACGAGGACGACGGTTTCACCATCCAGTGCGAATCCTGTAACGTGTGGCAACACGCCGTGTGTGTGGGAATCGGCTCCGAGGCGGAGGTTCCAGACGTGTATCTCTGTGACCAGTGTGGACCTCGAGAACTGGATGTCAAAGCTGCCCATGAGAAACAAAAGACTCGCCTGGAGACTATCAAACAGATGCAGGAAAAGAAACGAAGGAAAGAATCGGAAGAGAAGGAGGGCCAGTCAAATGGTGACGCGTCTGCAACTACCCAGGCCACGCAGACTCCTCCAGTGGCCCCCTCTAGAGAATCAACGGAACAGCCCAACAATGAGGAAAACGACTACCATTTCGATTACACTGTGATCCCCAGAAATACCGTGGACCCGGAAGTCAAGGATTATCTTGCCAAGTTGGCCAATGAGGAAATTATTGACAAGGACATCAGTTACATGTCTCTATCGGAGTATTCAAAGATTGTCAAGCCTAAGATGACCTTAAAGCTGTTCCAAGACAATCCAAAGTCCAAGTTCTGTGGCTTTTCTAAGCATGGACTTGTGGCCAATCAGCCTATTCAGAAAGACCGCTTCATCATCGAGTACGTGGGTCATGTTTCACATAAGGACCAGTACAAGGCAGACCCAATCAACCAGTATCGCATCCATCCAGTGCCCAAATCGTCAGTCTTGTTCCATCCAACGCTTCCTCTAGTGATAGATGGTCGTCTTGTAGGCAATGATGCGCGGTTCATGCGCCGTTCGTGCAATCCAAACTGCAGAGTGGCGACTGTCGTGGTTAACAACACCGATATCATTTTTGTCGTGTTTGCAACTGAACCAATCAAGCCAGGTACGGAGTTGACACTCGCATGGGAATGGGACACTCATCACCCCGTGCAAAAGATGCTTCATGGCACTGAAATCGACCAGCTCACCCCCCAAGAGAAACTGTGCCTGGGCAACATGGTAGAGACAATTCTGCAACGAACAGAGTGCTCCGACCCCACAAATTCTCAGTGCATTTTGCAGAAAATGAAGAAATGCGTGTCTGCAAACCCCCGATCTGTGCGAGGCTCGAAAACAAGAGCTCTTAACCTTCTTAAAGAGACGAATGGCGAGGGAGGCTCTTCGTACGAAGATTCGGGCAAGTCGTCATCAGCATCACCCAACCCGGAGCTCCTTCCTGGCTCTCAGGAGCTCAGTGTGGGTTTTGGAATTGGCTCGTCGTACAAAGGTTATGGAGGTTACGGAGGCATTCAGTTCCCGTCTCCTGTGCCTCCCACTTGCATGGACTATCTCGATAAGTTGGACGACGAGCATCGCACCATTGCTCTGGATTACATTGAGGCGTTTGCATACGTGGACCCGCCTTACTACGAAAGAGTACAGGAGCCGGTGTCTGTGCCCAGAACTCCCAAGTCACCGTTCCTTTCGCCATCACTGAAACGAAAAGAAGCTCCTGAGCGAGATGATCAGATCTCTAAAGAGACCCAGACCGTACCCATTGACAAACGACTACGATCTGGAGAGTCATCATCCATCAAACTCGAGTTTCAAGATGAACGAAGCGCCGCTACTTCAGAAGAGGATCCCATCCAGCCAAGAACCATCCCGTTTAAAACCAACCTTTACCGAATGTATCAAGTTCGATCTGCTTGCCCAGAGCCTGCTCCGCCCTCGCCGGTCGTTACAACGTCTTTCAAACGTCTCACTATGAAGGAATACTTTGATCATCCTACAGGCACTCCCTCAAAAGAAATCAAGCCAAAGGTGGAAGAGAAGGGCTCTGAATCGCCTGTCGACGATCGTCGAAACAGTGGAGCCAAGAAGGGCAAGCTTTCCTTTGCTGACTACATGAAACAGAAGAAGAGGGGGGCATAAGACTGCTGCTCTACTATGGTAGCCCGAGTGGTGTACTTTTACTGTATATAGCTGTTATTGTATTTATTCAATGTAAGATGTAAGATGACGACTACCCTGGAGATGAACTGTTCTAGCATGAGCAAAAATACGTTGAAGTGAAAAAAAAAAAATTTACTGCCTTCGACCAGATTTGAACTGATGATCTCAGCATTACTAGTGCTGCGCCTTACCACTTGGCCACGAAGGCAAGGATGTTAGCTCTGAACCTTAAATATTCAATCTACCGAGATATACAAATCACATGACAAAAACCCTAAAAAATGGGGGAAAAACGGGAGAAAAACCAGTAAACAAAAAGAATCAATTGAAAATAAAATTGAAAAAAACCAATTGAATTCTATAATTCTAGTTTGAGAGAAGAGAGATCAAACTTACAAGCTTCTGTAAAGCCATAAGCATCTTACTACAAGTACCATAGCTTTCCTCTCCGCTGTGAGTTGTTGTTCGCACTTCAAAGCTCCATTTCGACTTGTATGTACAGGACTCCTACTTAACATGTTGTGTTGTATTGTTTCTACACGCCAACTAATTAGGAAGGCACAACACGCAGTTCGAGTCTTGGCTACAGCCCTACGACATCTCGATAGCTCCATGATATGCTTTAAATAAATAGATGAATTCAGTTTAGCAAATGTAGACTCTCCACTCTCCAGGGACCAAGTCTAGCGCAAAAAATCTAATGGTGCAGTCAGCTCAGCTACTCTACCTCTATGTTGTTGCTGCTAATCGCACCTGCACCAATCTTGCGGTCGCGGAAGCTGTTGGTTTGGAGACCGGGGTATACGGGGCACTCCAGCTCTTCTGACCTGACCCAAACGTTGCCCTTGTCGAGGTCGGGAGTCAAGAACGAAGTCGTCTCGATGCGGATATCGCTGGACGAGCCGCCAAACTGGTCAACCAGAGGAGAATCATTGACTGATGGCGACTCGGATGCGCCCTCCAGAGAAGTACACGACTCCTGAGAGGATGGCGGCAGAGTGAAACTCATCAGCAGCACCGAATCTCGGACGGAGCGCTCGTAAGCGGTGAGCTGGCTGTCGGAGTGCTCGTCCAGACACGCGGGCGGCTCGTAATGAGACGACGCCGGGCTCGGGGGCTTGATGCATGGCTGAGGCGACAGAGATACTTGTACCTGCGTGGGACTCTCAGGCTTTATGGCGTTGAGAGGCTTGGCCGTCACTCTCACCTTTGGAAGAGGGAGGGGGGGAGGAGGCATCTGGTCGTATGATGAGGCGCTGTCCGGGGTTTGGGGGAGTGTCTTGACAGTCACTCGGGCCTCGGTACTCTCCATTAAGGCCTCAACTTCGAAATTAGTTGTTCCAGTACTCCCCTTGTCCACAGCACCACTGCTCCCAGCCCCACTGTCGTGGCCCACGCTTTCGGAGATGCTAGCGTTGGTGGTGCTCCACTCGCTGTCGCTAGTCCCTCCTGTTGGCGGTCCCGATGTCATCCGCTCAGTCAGTGTGGTGTTTGTAGACCTGGCCTCGATGGATAGGCTCTCGATGGATGCAGCAATGGTTTCAAGAGGCGGCAGCTGAGGCAGTGGGATCTTGGGCACGATACCTACCCCGCCAGCTCCTCTGTTGGGGGTCTGCGTCGGAACAATGCTCGGAACGTTCTCCTTGTTGGGACCTACCCGCTCCAGTTCAGAGGAAGCCACATCGGAGTCTCTTTTAAAAATGTTGGCCCAATGGCCAAACTTCTTCTTGGCAGGGGCTGCACCGGCCAGGAAGCCTGCACCTCCAGAATTGACAGAAGAGTTCTTGGATGCAAGGGACAAGGACATGGACATGGCGGCAGCGGCAGCAGCCCCAGACAGGCTGTTCCTCTTGGTGCTTCCATTGACACCAGAGAGATGCGACTTGTTCATCTGGAGACCCTGGTTCTGTTTGAGGGAAGAAGCCAAAGTAGGAACGATGGCACTGTTGTTAGCATTGCTGTTATTGTGGCGGAGACTGGGGTCCATCAGAATGGGTGGGTCGCCATGGGGGTTCATGGCTGCCTGTTTGGTGATGCGGAGGGGGCTGCGCTTGAGAGTGCGGGGCACCTCGATTGATGACTCTTGGGCAAAGTACCGGTGGTACATAATGTCACGAGCGGAGCACCGAGCGTCTGGGTCCCACGTGAGGCACATGAGCACCACATCGGTTAGCGAAGCGTGTTCAGGATTGCACATGATGCTGTTGGAGCTTTGGCCAGTTTGGGCGTCAATATTAATGTTGAGCTTGGAACATAACTCTGGGTGTCGACTCCATCGACCTCCGAGAGAGTTTTGGCCGGGGGTGCCCAACAATGCCACCTGGAGGCTGAACTGGTCCAGCTCGTTGGTGCCGGGGAACAGCGGCTTTAGATTTGCCACCTCGGCAGCCATGGCTCCAAAGGCCCAGATGTCCACGGGAGCAGAGTAGTACTCGCACCGGAGGAGAATCTCGGGGGCGCGGTACCATCTGGTGGACACGTAAGCTGTGTAAGGGTCTCTGTCTTCAATGTGACGGGACAGTCCAAAGTCGGCAATTTTGATCCGGAATCCCGAGTGTGGGGAAGAGGAGTTCTCGTTGTGGTAGGGGAGATAACGAGACACCAGGATGTTTTCAGGCTTGATGTCTCGATGGAAGAAGTTATGGCGATGGATGTGGTCAATACCGCAGATGATTTGCCACAGCATGGACCGTACGGCGTGGGGCTGGAACGGCACCTTCTCCTGTGCCTTCATGAGGTTGTAGAGGTTCATTTCCATGACCTCCATTGACATATGAAAGTGGTGGTTGACCGAGTCCACAAACATGTCGTGCACATTGACCAGGAAGCGGTGGGGGCGCACTTCACGGATGAACTCGACCTCTCGCAGGAGGTTGTAGTCGTCGATGGCCGCGAGTTTCTTCTTCATGGTTTTGATGGCAACCATGGAGCCTGCGCGCATGTCCTCGTTCTCCATGGCGGCCTTTGATCTGACCCGTGCGAGCGACACATGGCCAAATGAGCCTTTGCCGATGTTCTTGAGCAGCACATACCGGTCATCCAGCGACTTGACTGTGAGAGACCTCCTGTCTTCTGTGACAGGTTGGATGTCTGGATGTGTTTGTGTTTTCGTGGGTGGCATTGTGTTTGTGTACAACCGATGAAAGAGGGAGGTGTCACTGGGGCGGGGAGGGGGCTGAGATGACTCTGGCTATGTGACTCTGTGTGCGACTGTCTGTGTCTGTATATCAGTGGATGATAGACGGACACAGAGGACGTTCACTTGTGGTGAGTGAAGAAGAGAGTGCAGTCTATTGTAAACAACAAAGAAGAGTGTGTCGACACAGAGGGAGTGTACGTACGGAAGAATAAGGGTGCAGTCCTTATTTGGTGGGTTTGGCGTTCCGAGAGTCCCGTCTCGAAAATCAGGGGAAAGTGACACTAATGCAGAGAAGAGGGAAGGGATCAAGTGGACATGCCCCTGTGGGTTAACAGCTGGCTGGAGGGTTGGCTGGAAGTGGAGCGTTCGCTGGTGTTGGTCTGTGGGCTACCTCTTAAAGACCGCTTGTGTGTGTGTGTGTGTTTGTATGTCTCTGGAAATCAGGTGATGAGTCGGCGATGGGAAATGAGGCTGTCCAAAAGACGAGGGGGTCTGGGTCTTGGTTGCAGGAGGACTGTATGGATGAAATGAGCGTGTGGATGCGGGTGACCAGCGTGGGTGTCACACAAGCGCCAATGTTCCGGTTATTGCTGGTGGTTTTGATGCCTCACTGTAATATAAGTCTTACTTGCACAAGCCCGGGAAGCAACACCTATTATTAACCGGCTGATTTGACTCACCAGCTTAGGCGCGCACACTGTACTGTATGTCCGCAGTAAGCTGATATTATCAGACCGAGACTTGAGTGTGATGAATCAGGTTCTGAGAGAGTTGGTATTGGTGATGTCGGCTTGGACCTGGTTGTCTGGTGATACACAAATGCGGCCGGTAGCTGGTGGAACTGTTGCTGTCGCGAGGCACGCCGTGTCTCTCTGTGGTCGCTTGCCGCTGTCGCTTGCGTGGATCACTTGTGTGTCGTTGTAGCAAAGTGTTCAATCTCAGCTTCTTTCTTTTGGACTTTTTGATAATGCGGCTTTCTCTTGGCTCCACACACGTGCAGTTCCCCTGGCGGAACAAACTGACACTTTTTTGGAGGTGGTGGTGCGTGTGGCAGGATAGGGGGGGTTCCAATATATTATGCGACTGTATCTGAGCAAAAAGGAAACACAAGAGAAGCCTTGGAGTGGGAGCTGCAAAAATAAAAAAAAATAAAAAAAGCATGCTACTCGCTGGCTCCCCAAGACGGCACATGGCCTGGTCCGGCCCAACCACCACCTGGTCAAGTGTGCATGGAATTTCAGGAGGTGACTTTGGAGGGAACTTTGTTGGAAGTTAATTCAACTTTAACGGAAAGGGGAGAGAGGCTGATAAACGGCTCTGAGACGGCGTTGAACGGTAATATATTGGTATTAACCTGACCCTCTGGAGTTTGAGATTCTATCAAAATCACAATCTCCCCGGAATCCCTCCTCCACGCTCATATTCGGTCTTTAGCCTCCAGCTCTCCCCTATCTAATTAAACGCGACACACATGCGTTAGGCAGACGGATGCATAGGGTTACTGAAAAGTGCGAGTCTAAGAGGAACAGCGGGAACGTAAACTCCAGGGGGTGAAACCGGTGAAACTGGGGTGGTTTTTCATCCTGAAACAGAAGGGAGTGAAGAAAACAATCCACAGATGTTATGCGTCGCGATTTTGAAGCGCTCCCGTGACTTTCCACGTCCACTCTGTAGGATTACACACCTCATTGTTACGCGCACAGTACAAGTACATACATAGAATACACCATGTACGATAGCACCTCAAGACGCGCTACCAGTACCACCGGTACTCGTTCCTGTATCGTGGCTCTACACACATGGGGACCTGGGAGCTCCAATGGGGCTTATAGCATATGTATGTGCCATAAGAGTACTTGTACAACTGAGTAAATGTATCTCCTCATACCGGTACTGGTACGTTCTTGTGCAATCCTGTACGACATAATGTACATGACATGATTACATACTGCTCGGATAATACTGGAGTCGGTGAGGTCAGACAAATCAAAGCCACAGTGGACACTGTCCTTGAGGGGTGGAGATATGGCTTGAAAATGTGCGCCAAAAATAAATCCATCAGTACATACACCACTTACCTGGCTGACTGGGAACTTGTCCGCTATCGCACAGAACGTCCCAGTATCGAACTCGCAGCGCTACACGGGATAGCGTTTCAGCAAGCTGCAAAAAAACAGCCACTTTCAAAATGCTTTAGGGTCATTTGGCCGGTTGGGGAATGGGCCCATTAATGGAGAGAGGAATGTGATTTTGAGGGAAGGGAGACGCACAATAAAATGCTGACTAAAGTGGAAGTGGGGATACTGAAAACGTGACGGATTGATTAATTACAGTAATTACAATACTTGTACTTGTACTTGTACGTAACTCCTTCACAGTCCATTTGTTTATACTCCAATGAGAGTATATATGTACAGTAATTGCGATACGAATATCATACCGATACTGGTAACGTGTTTTACAGTGGACAATGTCAACTCAGCCGTTCATGTTAAATTGGGCCACCCAATAATCCCAACAATGCCTTACCAGTCACACGCTGTAGAGAAGGCGGCAACTATACTGCAAAAGCAGGCGTCGACTGTACTGCTATAGGAGTACGTACTAGACCATGTAATCCGCTCGTTTTGTGCGCATTTATCACATTTTGTTACTCAGCCTGCTCACTGACAGGACATTACAAATAGCCCCGTAATTGTACCAAAAATTGTGGTGTGCCATCTTTTTTGACTGCACTTTGGCTGCACTTTTGGGTCTAGTCATGTATCTATTGGAGAGCTCTGCCAGCAGCTGTAAGGACCCGCTACCGCCCAAACACAAACTGGTGGAACGAAAACCCCCAATCCACCAGGTCATGTGTCTCACAATTACCTCCTCTCTCACTCATGCAATCATCGGTAACCTCCATCTTCTCTCTCAAGTGTAGATATGTCTCGGTTTCGGAACCCTAAGCTATGGTTTACATATACACCCACCACTTCGGTTAGTGCACCTCTAAAGCCGTATAGCCGCATGACTGGCGACACTCCCAACCCTCCGACCTTCCATCTCCGCTGTTGGCCATGAAACGCACCCGAAACCGCCTGCCCGTGAGCTGCACTTTTTGCCATGCCCGCAAGTTGCGCTGCGACCGCAAGACCCCCTGCTCCAACTGCGTCACTCACCAACGCCAAAACTGCAACTATCTCAAGAAGCACGACAGCAAGAAACATACCGCAACGGTCAACACGCTGGCGCCGGAATCTCTGACCCATATCGGCGATGCGCAGATCTACACGTCGTCAATCAGTGTAGCGGCTCTGGCTGGGTCGGGATCACACAGCAACGTGGAGGGAGTAAAGCCGACGCCAAGAGAACAGGACCCGCCCTTCTTGCACAATGTGTTTCGACTGCTGCATCAGAGCGCACGCGAGAAAATCGACACTAACCCGCATCTATGGGCCCGCTTGCTACCCTCGAGAGCCCTGTGTGAACAACTGTGTCAACGGTACATGGACACCATCAACGTGTTTCATTTCGCAGTCGGACCAGCCCAACCGCAGCTCTGGATCAACACCGTCTACTCCAAGGACCCCAGTAAACCGCACACAAACGCTGAATTGAGAGCCATGGCCCTGGTGCTGCTCATGATGCGTCTGGGACACATTGCTACCCATGACGACTGTCCAGACTACTGCGCAGACACATACCTCGGCCCAAGACTGCAACACATTGCCGAGTCGTTCCTACAGGCCACAGTGACGCACAATTCCATGGCATTGGAAGGGTTTCAGGCCCTAATTCTACTCAGATGCCATGCCGTCTTCTCACCCCAAAACATTGACACCGACCAACGAGATAATGGAATCGTGCACTCGTCCATGTCTCTGGTATCTACAGCAGTCACCATGGGCTTGCATCGAGACCCGTCCGTGTTCAAACTGCCAGACTCGACCGCGGCGCTTTGGAGAGGTCTGTGGTGTCACGTGCTAGTCTGTGATACGTTCCATTCACTCAACACAGGAACGCCCCTTTCCAACGTGATTGACACTTCTGATGTGCGTATCCAACAGCTAGATCTGTCTGCTCTAGCAACCACAGATGCCGAAAAAACGTACCTGACCCAGTGTGCTCATTCTCTGTCGCTCTATACTCGCATGTGTCGACTGATGCGCAAAGGTCTGTCCTTCATCTTCACCCCCTCGGGCCTCACAGACGCAAACTACCAGATCATAATCTCAGACATTCAGGACTTCCGCTCCAGTCTCAATCTGCATATGGAACAATGGGTTGTGACGGACGAAATCAACGCAGCCAATCGGTTGGTGCTGCTTCTGGGAGCTCTACAACTGCAGTCTCTTATCAATAGAGCATGTCAGGTGCCAGCGAACGAGGCACCCAAGTCGCACCGACGCCTGCTCTTCACATGCCTGGAAATCGGCTCGGTATGCGACTACTTGTCCTCCAACATGGGCCACTTTAAGTCCTTCTCGTGGCCAATCAAGGCCATCTTTCTGCGAGTCTCCACGCTCACTTGTCTTAATCTGTGCTCCTTGGCATGGCAAGCCACCAAGATGAATGCCACGGACTCATTGCCGGAGATCTTTGCCACCTGCGACACTCTTCTTGCCTGGATTTCGTCCGTTGGCGCTGTCTACGTGACTGCTCACCAGGCACATGTTCATTTGACGAGACTCCTGGACATTGTCAAGAGAGAGCACAATGTCAGTGTGGACATGATGGGTTGGTATATGGGAGATGTGGACTCGCCACTGATGGAATGGTTGATTCAGGCGCCTAGCTTCTAGTAGGCTATTTTCACTATAGAACAATAGATATTTATTTACGATTAACAATCGTCTAAAAATACAGTGCAGAGGGTAAAACAGATCTAAACTGTATACCGTATTCAAGTGACAAAAGCAAGTAGATATTATTTCCTTTTGTGGATGAGCTGGAGATGGTGAGAATCACTAGTCTACGCCACTGGGATGCAATTTGTCTGTATCTTGAAAAGTTCATCCAAACAAGACGGAGTTCTTGTTTTCCCTTTCTTTAGATAGACTTCTGTCTTATCTAGCCGCGTCTACAACTAAGACATTGGGGCCAATCACGCTTCTGGGGTATTCTGGTCAGAAGACGAGTTTTGAATCTAATCCCATTGTTCAGTCTTAGAACGGTATGGCGTCGTTATCACTCTCAATCTCTACAAGCCACAGATATTCTCTTTTACAGTAGGTAACTTGGACCCATTTTTCGTCCCGCATCTCCAAATCATGCACACACCATGCATCCTGCATCGCCATGCCTCTGGCAGGCATGATACACCTATTACCTATGTCGAAATATATACAATAAATAGAGCTTTTGCGACGGTCACTCGTCTTAAGAACTGTCGTCTTCGTCGTAGTCGTGTCGTCGCTTCTTTTTGCCTCTCTCACAGGCGTTGGCCGCCAAATGGCGTTTGAGAGCGTCCTTCCGGCTGAACGACCTCGAACAAGTGGTACAGGGGAAAGGACGGACGGGTAGATGGCTTCGTTTGTGGCGGCGGAGATCGTGGTTTCGTCGAAAAGAGCATTCGCACTGGTCGCACTTGAACTGCTTATCTGCTGAACCCATTCCGTTGACATCATAGCCCGTGGCTCCCCCTACTCCAGCCCCAACTCCTACACCAGCTGCGACTCCGGGAGATAGGTTTTCGGCCTGCGTTTGGTGCTGCTGCTGCTGCTGCTGTTGTTGCTGTTGCTGGGTATCCTGGATGTTATAATATGAGTATCGTCGTTCGCCCAGCGGATTACTATGCATGCCGTTGATACCCCCCATTCCATTGATTCCGTTGATTCCGTTTATACCGTTGATCCCGTTAGTAGTATGGCCATTTTCGTACTGCGTGATGAGTGGCAGCGACTGTTGCCCGTGATGCTGCTGTTGCTGATGCTGTGGGTGTTGTTGTTGCTGTTGCTGCGACGATGGAGCATGATGCGCATGTTGAGTCAGACTCAGGGTATGTTGAGGAACGATACCTGCACTGGTGGACTGGCCCGCCGACTGCATGTGTATCGCCTGGGGAATCGTCGTGGAAGACGCTACCATGGGTTTGTCACGCTCGACCTTTGGGGGAGGCATGAAGCTCTCAAACTCCAGCACGCCCTCGGGTTCCTCTGGCAGCTCCAGGTACGCCGATATCCTCAGATCTAAGTCGAAGTTGATGCCCTCGTCGTTGGTCTGTGTCTGTTTGTCGCGTCGCGGGTACACCCGGCGCAAATGCGGCGACGAGTCCGTGTAGTTCATGCCTCCGGCCTGGGTCTGTTTGGTATTGAAGAAGAAGTCGTGCGGATACAGGTCTGGCAGGGGATCCAGGGGGTCGCCGGGGTCGTGCTGGGTCAGAGTGTGATTCTGATGGGGCGCCAGCAGCTGCTGGGCCTGTCTGATTTGGTACTCCATGGGGTAACGATGAGAGCCCTCTATGTAGTAGCGTTTTTCCATGGTTGTCATGAGGGCTTGGTTGTGTGCGGTTGGTGGGGGTTGATATTGAAGCACGGAAAGCAAAGAGAAGGGGAAAAGTCAGCGTTCAAGCACTTGGAATATCGTTGGTTTTGTAATCTGATGGTTGGTAGGGAGGTTAGAGGTGCATGGTACGGTTTACACCCGAGAGCACCTGTTAATTTGACTATCGACGGCGTAATATGCAAGCTGTAAGCCACAGAACTATATTACGTCATGGATAGGCTTTTTTGGCCTTTTCCCTTTATGCGGCCAGGCTGCTAATATAGCCAAATAATGTCGAGCCTAACCTACAGCGTTCCGTATGAGGTTTGGTATGGGTTTGGACATGGACGAGGAGAAGGAAGACAGAAGAAAAAGGGCTGGTGATGAGATGGTGGTTGGAAGTCGATGTTTTTTCGTCGCAAAAAATGGCAAAATCAGACTACCACTCTCTGCTATACATGGAACACTCTTCTCTAACCTCACTGACCAGAGTCAGAGTCAATGTCAACAACTTGCTTGAATATACCATACTCGTTCAAGTAGCGCGCTAAGGTTGCTTTTTTGTCAAGAGGCTGAAGACGGAAGGAGCACCACGTTTGACTGAGCCCGCTACGGAAAACTCAGGCCTTCTGCCAAGGCCAAGGGCACAATATGAACTCAATGGAGATGGTTAAAGTCACAGATGGGAGAAGTTGGTTTTCGTGCATGTCTTTTTTTTTCCCCCCCCTTTTTTTTTCCTTTTTATTTCCTTTTTATCTTGTGGTGCATCATCGACTCTGACTTCATTGTCCGATCTTGTACTTTTTACATACGTAGCCCCCACTGAGATCTGCAGATTGAACATCATTTGGATGTATTTGTGTGCAGCAAGAGGTACTCAAGGATGCTGCGATTATCCATGTGCAGATTGGTGTTTGGTCGTGCGACCGTACTCATACCAGTGTATACCTTGGATGCGTTCCGTTTATACATGTGCAGGCCCCTCTTATTCTTATCAAACGACGATGATGACATGTGATAAAAAAAGACACTAAACACGCTGCGCTGCTCCACTCTCCCCCACTAATGGTCCCTTTTCAATTCCGCACGCCAATACGATGCTCAATCTGATATATGCCGGGTTTTCTTTGTATTGTACATTCTGCCCAGTGCATTTGACACGCGCTTCGCAAGGAAGCGAAAATCTTAGTCTCAGCCACATGTCTCCCGCACACGAGGTGGACCCCGGAAAAACGTAGTCCAGGTGCACATGTCGAGGGCCAACTCGTGGATATCTCGAGTCACCGGTCCCGGGACCTTGTAAACGCAGAGATATGAAGACGGGAAGAGTTTCAGGGAAGTGTCTCGCACGAAATCTAATCCGATATTAAATGCAAGCACAAGCAACAAAGACGAGAGCCGAAACTATACCACCGAGATGAATCGCACCTCCCCGAAGCATAGAGACGGCGGGCGCTTGTCTTCTTTTGGCCCCTTTGGCACCCTGCACCAAAAAGACACGCTTCGCTTCCGAGCCATGCAAAACATAAGCCTCTATGGGTAAACACTGCGGCAAGACGTATCTTTACACCTTGGGATAGGCCTTGTGGCTGAACTTTGAGGATATATATCCAGATCTGAAACCGCTCCTTTTTAAGTGTTTTTTTTTCGACAATCAAGATAATGACTCGGGTGTTCAAAGACGGGAATTCTGTCTATTGTCTATTGTCTATTGTGTCTTGTGTTTGCCCTTGCACCAATACATGCTTGGTTGCCCTATCTATGCACCAGGGACATGTTATCATCATAACCCCAGATGGTACACAATGGAGACACCCAGGTCAGGGCTACAAGAAACGGTCTCTGAGAAAAGGCTACACGTGGATAGTCCGCTTTGATAATACCCCGGTAAGCTCCCGAGAGTGCAGCTGCTGGAGAAGACGAGCTCATGTACTTCGTAGGGAAGGCAGCAGCAGCAAGCGTCGTCGTCTTAGGCTCAAGGATGCGCACAAAGAGCTGCCATGAGGGCTCGGACTTAACCATGGCGGAAAAGCCCGATCTCGGAATACGTTGATCAACTGTAGGCGTCTCCAGCTTTTACCCTAAGGGGTGTTTGGACACGAAAGGTTGGGCGAGATAACGAACCTTGGCTATCCGCTACAAGAGTGGTAGTGGGTTGTAGAGATGGCCCTGGACTTGGCGTAAGCGGCTCTATGTTCCAGCTCAGTAAGGTAACCCTCACAAGTGTGTTCTCTTAGTGCGCACGTGCCAGGGCAATCTGTTGGCGCCAACTCTTGTCAAAAAGCTGTGGCGTTTCTTGGCGGCCCACCCTAAGGACGAGTTTAACATGAAAAATGAAATGAAAGTTGGGGTCCAACAACTACTGTAGCTACTAAAAGCCCCGATTCATTGTCTATTCAGATCTAGTTTCATGTTCTAATTCGCCAATGAGACGTCGGCCATTGTTTGATTGTCCCCTCAAACTTCGTTACCCATGGTGACAAATGTGAGGACCACTGTTGGCAACATTGGGTAGGTTTGTATGGGGTTCTGGAGAGGGTACGCGTACGAGCCTTGAGTATGCACGAGAAACCACCTCGTGGTTGTTGCTAGAGGTCTTGGTATTATCCACTGTCCCTACAAGTAGCAACTGCTAGACTTGTAGCTACATTAGCCCCGTCTTAGCGGTACTGCCACACCAGCCTCCATCTATTCTCTATCTCTGCATCCGGCACAGCCTGTATTTCGAGATATGATCTTCACAAATGTTACAAGTAGACGTGGAGTGGGATGTCTAAGATTCAATATATATATATATATATATATATTCAAGCATTGAACAGAGAAATGTCGCTCCTGAACAAGTGCCAAACAAGCATTCAGCAGATCGGATGTTAGGCTGCGTATCGTAAACCGGACGATCCCTCTGCACAGTGAAAAGTGCACATTGCATCAACATCGCAGCCGGTACAAGTCGCGAGACAACAACAGCCCATTCCATAAGTGTTCGCCAGACACGATTAATAAGACGCACCATAAAAACATATATCTGACTCTCTCAAGCTGATCTCCACACTCCCTCGGCATGGTTTACAATAGATACACACACAAACTTTGAGTCACATCGTCATTAGCCTGATGTCTTGCGTCATTCTCGTGATCTACTGAATGTTCAAGTCATATATGAAAAGACCGATACACCGGACAGAGATGAAAAAAAGCCGCCAATGAATGGAAATTCGGTGCAACGGCTCAAATACGATACTGCAAGTGGTCTTGTTTCTCCACTACAAATACAACAGCTAGAGGTAGACACTACAACTCACAGACCCGAGTCATGCCTGACTCAGAATCTCCGACTGGCCTCCGACAAAACCAAGAGGAAGACAAAACCAAAACCAAGAGGGAGACAAAAAAGAGCTGTAGTCATAATCTCTCAGTCGAGCTGGAAAAAAGAGAAAGAGATCCAGTACGTAATCAATAGAAGACGTACACTATCACGTGATACCCAATTAACAGCTTCTCCTAGGCACAGTGCTCCTCCAAAACTTCCACCAAGGTACACAGTATGTACAACCAAAACAGTCCAACCACAACAGCCAAAAAAGCATCCAAAGAATGTGGGAGATTCCAAGACTTGATATTGTTCAACAGAAAAATATTGGCCGACAAAATCCATCTTTATCTTCTTTGAGTAGTTGTATTACCAGTTGAAATACTGTAGTTGTGTCTTCTGGTGTCTCGTTCAGTTGCACACACACTGGCCTGGACATCTAACATACTCAGCTTCCTCTCAGACAGCCACGTGTCTTGTATACTCACCACCTTCCTACTTGTATTGTGCTTGTACTCCTCAATCCTTTTCATACACTCAGAGTCTCTTCACAGATCTCCCTATACATATTCGTCGTACGACTTAATCAATTGTCTACTTCGTATATTCATAAGTTTTGGGTCATAACCACTTATTTGGCAAAGGAGCCGACAAAGTTCTCGGTGATGCTCTTGAGCTTCTCGAGGTTCTCCTTGGACAGCTCACCGGTGGCGGCGATGTCCTTGAGGAGGTCGGACTCGTTAGCATGCAGGTAAGAAACGAACTCAGCCTCGAACTTCTCGACCTGCTTGACAGGGATGTTATCGATGTAACCGTTGACACCAGCGTAGATGAGGGGGACCATCTCCTCGGAAGACATGGGGGAAGCCTGCTTCTGCTTGAGGAGGAGAGTAAGTCGCTCACCTCGGGTAAGAGTCTGCTTGGTGGAAGCATCAAGATCGGAACCGAACTGGGCAAAGGCAGCAACTTCTCGGTACTGGGCCAAGAAGAGCTTGAGGGAACCGGCAACCTGCTTCATGGCCTTGACCTGGGCAGCGGAACCGACTCGAGAGACGGAAAGACCGACGTTAATGGCGGGTCGGATACCCTTGTAGAAGAGCTCGGCCTCGAGGAAAATCTGACCATCGGTAATAGAAATAACGTTGGTAGGAATGTAGGCGGACACATCACCACCCTGGGTCTCAATGATGGGCAGGGCAGTAAGGGATCCTCCACCCTCTCGCTCGTTCATCTTGGCGGCTCGCTCAAGAAGTCGGGAATGGAGGTAGAAAACATCACCGGGGTAAGCCTCTCGTCCGGGAGGTCGTCGCAGAAGCAGAGACATCTGTCGGTAGGCAACGGCCTGCTTGGAAAGATCGTCGAAGACAATCAGGGCACCCTTGCCGTTGTCTCGGAACCACTCACCCATGGCGGTACCAGTGAAGGGAGCAAGGTACTGGAGAGGGGCAGCCTCGGAGGCGGTAGCAGCAACAATGATAGAGTACTTGAGGGCATCGTGGTGCTCAAGAGTCTGGACAAGCTGGGCGACGGTAGATCGCTTCTGGCCAACGGCAACGTAGACACAGTAGAGCTTCTTCTTCTCGTCCTGGCCGTAGTTCCATCGCTTCTGGTTAAGAATGGTATCGATGGCAATCTGGGTCTTACCGGTCTGTCGGTCACCGATAATCAGCTCTCGCTGGCCTCGGCCAATGGGGACAAGGGCATCGACGGCCTTAAGACCGGTCTGCATGGGCTCGTTGACGGAGGTTCGGGGGAGAATACCGGGGGCCTTAACCTGGGCTCGGATTCGGAACTCAGTCTCGATGGGTCCCTTACCATCGATGGGGTTACCGAGGGCATCGACGACTCGACCGAGAAGGGCGGGTCCGACGGGGACGTCGACAATGGAACCGGATCGCTTGACGGTCTCACCCTCCTTGACGAGTCGATCAGAACCGAACAGCACAATACCGACCTGGCCGGCCTCCAGGTTAAGGGCCATACCCTTGACACCAGAAGCGAACTCGACGAGCTCCTCAGCCTGGATGTTGTTGAGGCCGAAAACTCGGGCGATACCATCACTGGGTTAGTCTTGTCATTGCACAGAGTGTGTGTCGTTATCGTGTGTTGTGTCGTGTTGAATGGTGTTTTGCTGTCCACTGGCTATGCAACGTGTTTGCTCCCAACCGGCCAATGAGAGAGCTGCATGCATCAAAGTGTATGCAAATCGCCCAAAAACCAGCGGGAAAAAGGCACGGTGGAACCCAGTGATTCCGACCTTGCAATCCACCCATCCAATCATCCATCAATCAATCAATAGTAATAATACTCACCCAACGGAGAGGACTCGACCAGTCTCGTTCAGGTTGGCCTCACCAGAGACACCTCGGATTCGCTCCTCAAGGATGGAAGTGACCTCGGTGGGGGTAGCCTTGGCCTCGGCGTAGCCTCGCTGGGCAACTCGGGACTGTGGTTAGCTAGTGTCATTGGAGGCATTGGCGGTATTGCTGTTGCCATTGCTGCTGTAGGTGGGTCGTGGTCGTGTTGGTCGGGTCACCACTTTGGTTCGGGCCCTCCACGAGAGTCGTGTGTCAATCCTCCATTATTCGTCGATACTCACAATTCGGGGGGCGGCAACGCCAGCACGACGAAGAGCGTTCTTAAACATTTCGACTAGTAGACGCTGTTTTGATGAGCAGGCTGAAAATAGCGTATCTGTCTGCGCAAGACGTAGTGAAGAGGAAAAGAGAAGAGGTGAGAGAGAGAAATTTGTGTTTGTACTCTTAGAGTTTGGACTTTTGCAACGAGTGCCAAATCCAGCCAACCAGAGGACGCCAGGCCACTGTGGGAGGTTAGGGTTGGGAGGTTTGGTGCGTGGATTCCCGTGCAGGGTAACGTTGTGGGAGAGCGGAAGGGGTGGGAAGAAGTGGAGATGAGGGGGTTGCGGTAGCCATTTTTGGTTGCTGAAAAACGGAAAATATTGTCAGCACCAAATCATCCATTTCGGCCGCCTCCGTTTCTCAATTGCTACTCGGGAGCTCCCACAATTGACATTCCCATTCGTCGTCACGGCCTTAAATCGGAGGTAACAAGCTTTGACTTTGACCCAGTCACTTTAGGTTGTTGTGCCAGGTGTCCATCTGGAGTAGCTGTATCAACAGAACAGAATGGATTGTTAGAGGCCGTAGAATGGTCAGATTGGGGCGCCGAAGAGCTCAATTGAATTGTACAGGTCCGTAGCTTCATTTTTATGCTTTTAAAATCAATTTCCCCGGTTGCCTCGCCAACATAGCCACTCCCAAACATCAACTTGCCTCCAAATTGTTCATATAATCTGCTCGGTCCGGCTGCACTAACCGGCTGGAATCGGGACCACCAAATCTAATTGACGTGGAGAAGAGGAAAGGAGAGAAGAAAGATGGCCAAATGTGTGCTGACTAAGACAAGTGGGGCCAGATTAGTGGGGGGGAGGGGGCTAGGGCACCCGAGACATTCAATTTGTGGAGCTGTGACCGTCTTATGGACCATTCTACACGTTTTTGTACAACTATGCCCTTCTCAACATTCCTCTTTTTCCACACACACCCACGCAAAGTTACCCTGCAGTCTCCCTGGTGTGGTCGATGTTCATTGGTCAAAGAACAGACAAGTGGATTAGGTAAGGCGTGAGTTTTGAGGAGTATTTTTTTTCAACCATGGTTGTAGTCACGTGACAAAAAAAACTCAACACATACACATACACATACACCTACCCACACGTATCTACACACTTCTTCTCATCTACCTCTCGCTTATTCCAAGTTGCCATTACCCCTCGTCTTCATTCAGTATTCTCAGTTGAATCGGGGTTAGGGTGCGCTTATTTCGGCACGGTCCATCTCCTCCCCTGTCCCTGTGTGATTGTGATTGGGACGAATCAATTGAGTTGTGTGGGGTTAGGGTTGTATCCTAATTAAGTATATTAGGGCTAGGGCGGGCCAATCTTTCGACCACCCGCCTTTTGAATAGCATAGTCAATCGGGGCTTGAATTTGCTCATTTTGGACTGTAGACAGATTTCCTTCGATATTGAAACCCAGCAGCCGTGTCTAATTGACCGGTATTACGACAGGAAAAAGAAACGGTAGTGCTACACAATTGTTGCCCCATTGGAAGCTGACTCCCCTAACCCTAAACTTAACTGGCCAATCACAGCGGCCGTCATCAGCCCACACTTTTTTACAGTTGCGAGGAATATCGCCAGAGGGCTTCTGCGGAAAATAGGCTTGGTTCTTCTCCATAACAGCACTCCGCACTCCATCACCAAAATGTTTGCTCTTCGACGAGTCGCACGACCCACCACCGTTCTCCGAGCCCCCACTCTCCGAAACACCACCCGAAACATCAACCAGAAGGTGGAGGAGGTTCTCAAGGACGGTCCTTACAAGATCAACAAGGCCGGCGCTGAGGCTTACGAGGCCGAGTACGTGGCCACCGAGAAGCATGCCGAGCACACCTCCAAGCTGTGGCGAAAGATTTCCATTTACATTTGCACTCCCGTGATTCTGGCCACCTGCGTCAACACCTACTTTGTTGAGGCTGCCCATGCCGAGCACCGAGAGCATCTGTCTCATCTGTCTGAGGAGGACTTCCCTCCTGAGTACGAGTTCCAGAACGTTCGAACCAAGAAGTGAGTAGCGCAAAGAGCGAAGCTGTTTGCACCCCGATCACGGACAGCTAAGCTGACTGTGGTTGGGAAGACGACAGTGTTACGTTGACTGACAGCCTTAGCTGTTGTTTGTCTGTAACACACACAAGGACGTATTGAGAGAGCGTTCAGACGCCTGGGGATGACCAAAGTGATGCCTGACGGAAGGACGGGGCGAGATCCAGAGCAGGTTCACCTTTGGTGGAGGCGTGAGAGATGGACATTGGCACGTACGGCATGTGACGCGTGTATTGGAGCGATCTGATTGGTTGACATTTCGAGACTTGAAGACTTGGTCTGAGAGTCCCATGGGAGTCTTCCGTATATGACTGTACCGCGTTTCGTGACGTGTCGCGCTGCTGTTCGTCTCGTTTGGCCCGACCGCCGTGTCTGTCTCGAGTCAACCCATTGGTGGACCACTCTTGGACGACATCCTCGAATGTCCTCCAAATACGGACTATGCCCTCTTAATGATTATACTAACACAGCTTCTTCTGGGGCGATGGTGACAAGACTCTGTTCTGGAACCCTGCCGTCAACCGACACATCCGATCTGACTAAGTTCGCGATATAGCTAAAGCATTATTATAACGGTACAAGTAGAGCGTTCGGAGGAACTTCGAGGGCAAAGCCCGGGTGTCTCCCGACAAGATATAGTGAATGTGCAGTCGTCCTCGACTTTCTGACTACAGTTGTAGGACGAGCGAGCATCGACAATGACTGTAGGACGTAGGCGAAATGTAATACAAGCTGCAAGTACACGAGGAGGTCGGATATATCAATAATTAATGGGACGCCTCCGATCAAGCCCACAACCTCCAGAACCACATTTCATTTCATTGCAGTGTTCCAAGTACATTGGTCGACCCACTGATACACATCACTGGTTCAGATGACTGATCCAGATCGAATGTCTTAAACCTACGAGTCCTCGTACTACACGTGGTAGACCAGTGAAAGATGGAGATATTTGGATGAGTGGCAGTGATTAGACAATTCCTACATCTCATGGAAAGTTCATTTTTACTCTGCATATATACAAGTACATAGCTGTAGAGTGAGATGGATCTTCACAGTGGGCTTCTTGTACGTCTTGCTTGTGCACCAGATACTATACATGTACCAGTAGTTGTATTGTACTTGTACTGTACTGTGTACAATACAGTAGTTGGTATATATTCAGTACAGTGGTTGGTATCCATTATAGCTACAGGTGCCGGTTCTTGTACAAGTACGATATACAGTACAGTAACATGTGATAGAGGTTGAAAGAGCGGGCAAGACGAGACTAAAGCATTATTGCACGTGCTTGTCGGTGAGATTTAGACGGAGGTTTGGTGTCTGGGGCAGTTAGAAGGACGGGCTAATTTTATTGTAATGGAGTGATCGTAATGGAGTGTTCGTAATGGAGTGCTCATTACCTCTTGTCCAAGTCATCTTCTGTATCTTGCACTGTCTTGTACTGTATTATAGTCATCGCTTCAAGTACGGTACATACTGTACTTGTATTTACTGTACTCGTCAACTGAACTTGGTTGACAACCTCCAGAGAAGACTGGGTCTGTAGGTCGTCTCTTACCAATGCTCTTCCTTCATCAGTTTCGGTTTAAACGTGGAAATGACGTTAGATATGAGAAACTGGTCCGTATTTTTCCTAGTATCGGCTCTTGAATCACAATCCCATCAGCCAGCAGCATTGTTTGTCATGAAAAATCGATGCTACTCATCAACCCAGTTAGAGATGTTGCACTACATACTGTAATGATATTATTAAAAAAAAATTTAAAAGTTACTGTATATATATATCGTCTCTGGGTACTGAGGTATGAACAAGTCCAGCAACAAGTACTTGTATGACTTCCCGTTGCACAAGCTGCTCAGCAGACATGTGCCATGAGCATGACTCCTGTACGAAACACATTCAAGCGTAGCCAATTTGTCATTATGGCCACTTCGAGACGAATACTACAGTACATCATTATGCCTGTGTACCATTACAAGTACTCCAAATCTACTACATTTATCTACTACCTCCACCACCTCCATACCGTTGTCATAAGCATTCCAGATTTACTGACAACGCTAGATCACACGCTCTACAACACTGATACGTTGCTCTTCACTCCTGGCCTAAGGCCAGTAGCTTCCCGTCCTTTCTATAATCATTACTCATTATATATCCCTCCAACCTATACCAAAACACATACGAGCTGCGAGATTGTGTCCCCAGCCGTATCCCATATGCCCCTTTCAGTCGATCTAGTGCTCGATCCGTCTGTGTCCGCTCCTTCTCCCATAGTCGCTACTCACATGGTCGCGTCGCGCCACATGTTCTTCGTTGCTCCTAAGTTCGTTACAAAGTGCTAAACACAAACAGGTTATTTGTAGCCGCAATAGCAATCGAGTTCTCATGGGGATGCCAGCTGAGATGCAGGATGTTCTTCTTGAAATCAATCGTGTCAAAGTCCATGTCCCGCTTGACCATGTTCATTCCTGGAGACTGGCCTCGCTTTCGGCCATTGGGTGAGTTGGCGCCGTTGCCGCCCTTGAGAATACCGCCCATGGCGCTGGGAACGCCAAACTTCTTCTGCTTGAAGGCGGACTTGTCGGCCTGCAGAATGATCTCGGCATCTTCGGGTGTGGCAGGGTTGACGGCATCCGGATAGATCATAAAGTTGTTGTTGTACGATCCGGTGGACACTGACTTGCCGTCGCCGGAAAAGACAACCTCAAACTTGTCGAAGATGGCGTCGTTCTCGTAGGTGTCACACAGCTTGTCACGCAGCTGCTCATGGATGTTGATGGTCCGCACGGGCTCTCGCTCCATCTTCACATCCCAGATTTTGACTGTGAGGTAGTCTCGGGAGAGAATATATCGTCCATCGTTGGAGAAACGGACGTCCGAAATCGACGACGTGATTTCAGTGAAGAAGGAGTGCTGTGCCGGGTCCATCCACTCCTCGTATTGCTTGGCGTGGCCGTCACACAGAGCATTGTCTCGCATGTCGGCCAGCTTGATAGTACCCTTGGAAGACGAGTACATGAACAGGTTGCAACTCTGCGGGTGGAAGTCTGCTGCGGTGATCACCTCCGTCAGCTCCTCCATGTTGGCGGGGCTTGATGTCCACAATGTTGAACGACTGGTCCGCAATGCCGAGGTTCCACAAGTTTATCCGCAGGTCGTCGGCCGAAATGTACGTTTCGCCGTCCGAGTTGACCGAAATCGAGTTGATGTGGTAGGTGTGGGCGTTGGCGTAGATGCGTCGGGGTGAGGCCGCCACAATCGTGTCATGGAGCGTCATTCGGGGCAGTCGAAGCGTGTCCATGGTGAGCTGGTTGGGCTTTGTGGAGGTGCCGGGGGCGGCTGCAGAAGCAGCGCCGGCGTTGTTCGAATCGCTGAGGTTATTCTCGGCAACCACCCGCAAAGACTTCTCGTACACCTTCCACAGCTTAATGGTCTTATCGTTGGTGGAAAGCAAGAAGTGGGCCTGGTTCTGGCGTTTGCACCACTTGATCTTGTTGATCTTCTCCTCAATCTCCAGCGACTTGAGATAGTCAAACTCGGCGTCGTGGCTCTGGAACTCGGTGTAGAACCGGTACTCGCATCCCTTCTTGTTTTCGTTCCGCTCAAACAACACTACTCGGCCTCCCTTGTCGCCGGTGGCCAGGTAGTTGCCGGTGTGGTCAAACTCCACGGTCGAAATCACGTCCGCGTCCGTGATGTTTTCAATGTCGCCCTTGTCGCCGAAGCATTGGGAAAATTTCCATTGTTCGTCCATTTTTGTGTCAGAGTGTGTTTGTGTCTGTCCGTTCGGGGTGTGTGTCTGGTGTCTCTGTGTGTCGATGTCGCTAGTCGATTTTCAGTCTTTTGCTTGGTGTTGTGCGTGTCGTTCTCGTACCGCTCGTTCCACTCGTACACTCGGGCCAAATAGCTCTATCGCAAACGTCGATGGACAACGGTGATGATGTGGTGATGATGGGGTCGGTCAAACAACAAGTAGAGTGGTGCAAACTGTGCTGTGAGAAATGTATGCAGGTCGGGTTGGGAGAGAGTAAGAGGTAGTAATGTAGAGAGAGGAGAAGATACGACACGATGAGGAGGTGATGGGAAGGAGTTAGAGATCTGGAAACAGCTGGAATGGATTTAAAATCACGACTTTACTACAAATATGTTTTCTTGCGCTCTGAACCAACGCCAGAACACCGATTTATGGACCCCCTCTCGCTCCATCCACACCCTAATCTCATCTCGCTCAAAAAAAACCACCTTCCGAATTACCCTCCTGCAATTCTAATTTTGAGGGTGACGCCATGACTGGAGCCTCAGGAGGACGAGGCGGCTCATTGAGGATGTTTCTGAAAACCCCAAAATAATCGCCCAGATTTACCGACCATTTTAATAAGCTCAAAATATTTTTCTCGTTTTTACCCGCTTTTTATCCCTGCCCCACACCTCTCGTCACCTTCCTCCACCCCTCCGTTCGGTACTGTTCCAAACAGCAAACGTCCAGCACGCCTCAATTGCACCGCCTGGAGGGCTGATAAATTCGATAAAAGGCCCATAATTTGGCATAATTCAGCCCGTCACGACCCATATTCTCCGATTCGTGTTTTTCTCCACGTGACGATCTACGCGAGCGTATTTAAAACACACCCGTTATTTCGAAACTAATCGAATATAATGGAGGTAATTCTGTGAGAATTCGCCGAAATTTGAATTTAATCGGATCAATTCAGAAAAAAATCCTCCTTACTCATAAACACTCAGACGCCACAAACATATCCTCAATCCCTAACAACCGGCCTCCCCCCGGCAACCCCAGAGACCTTGCTGCCTCTGCCCCAAGCGCAGCAACAACGTTTGGTGATCGTATTGGGAGACAGCAAGGGGGAAGGGGTCCACAGTAATGTGGGGTATGTGGAGGGTTGTGTTTACGGATATTACGTATATAACGTATGTACTGTACATACCAGACAGGGCCTTGTGTAAAGATAGGTTTGGTCACGTGACACATCATTCCATCACGTGATATCCTTTTACCCAATGTGAGGAGTTGCTCGTACTCGTAGTCGTACTCGTATGTACATACTCATACACCACTGTCACTCGCAACTATGACGTCATCGGACGACAAAACTACTCGCCCGCGGAGACCACATCACGTGACTGAAATGTCGCACTCAACTGCCCATTTCAACAAAGGTCCTAATTAGAGTGATAATTAGAGCCGTCTAAGGCGTATCTGTATTGATTGTTTCGTCATTAAGTTTCGATCTAGATCTGAAATGTAACATTGCTTGTGTTGGGTTTTTTCTGAGAATTTTTATGGGATTTGAGAGTGTATAAAAGATATTCTGAGCACGGGTTTTCTCCCTGTTTTTAAATATTTCCAATATTCCTACTTTTGACATAGTTAGGTGGGGTATTGTGTTAGTACGACCATTTGGTATACTGTTTACGCTTGGGAAGAGTTATAGATAGTGTAATTATCAGTATGGTAACTGAGATTGTTGTGGATTGGTGAATGTAGTATATACTATATATCCAAGTACAGTGGTTG